GACGGACAAAATCGTGCCATAAAGTTTCCTTTGTATGTACTATTTTAATACGATACCTTAAATATGTTTAAAGATTTTTGAAAACAAGCTTATCCTAGTAAAATAACAACATTAGAAACTACTGAGCTATGAAATGAAATTCTCCTATTAAGTACACATAATTACTTGTATCATGAAGTTCAGTAAAATTCCGCTATCGCTGCAGCTTATCGCTACGCTCCTAAACATATTCGCAGGTTAATGTGGCTCACGCGCGTATTCGTAGCGTGAAGAATGGCAGATATAAGGGCAACGATCAAGGTTTTAAATTCAGTCCAGGGATGTACCTCGAGAGGACATTTCATTTATTGGATTTTTTACTACAGAAAGAGAACATTCCGAAATGCTTTGAATTATTTTCAATGTTTTGGTTTTATCGTTCACACGTCTATATTTCTCGATCAATGAGAATTAAATTTTAAACTGAGTTCAAAAGCTAATCGTATACACAATACCCTCACTGAATGTGAATCAAAAGAGTCATTTCCTTTGATTTAAATACATATATTGAGAAATCTATGTTTTTCGATTAAATATCAAATGGTCACACATTTTTGTTGCTTATTTTTTTTTTATTATTTCAGCCATTAACTGACCACTGCTGGACACAAGCTTTCCCCATAAGGATATTTTTTCCAGTAGTTGCAACGCTTGGCGGGCGGGTTAGCAACCGCAGTTAAGATTTTAGAGATGTTTTAAGAGGGACGCTACTGCGCATCCCTCACCCTCCCTTAGTCGTCTCTTACGACTCCCACGGGAAAGGGGTGGCCCATTCTATGCCGGGGTACACACTTTATTGCCTATGGTTTATGAATTTTATTTTCTCATACAGATGTATTAAGGCTGATCAAGTGCATATTTGTCATTTTCATTGAGAAATATTATTTATTTATTTAAACTTTATTGGCCAATAAAATGTGGTACAAAAGGCGGACTTAAGACTATAGGCATTCTCTACCAGCCAACCTTTAGGATGTGCAGAGATACTCGATTTTAAACCACCATTAAGAAAATAAAATGCAAATCTATGCAAAGGAAATATTTAATGTCTTCACGCGATTATAAACATCACGAAACGTTAACTATGGTTGCCAAACCACATGCCAAGCCTGGCAACGACTGGCAAAACCCTCTTATAGGAGAGGCCTATTGTTTAGCAGTACATAGTTACCAGTTGATATAATAATAAATAATAATAACGCTGTAATAGTTAGAGAAAAATAACACCAAAAATCGCTAATTTTATATCCCTTTGTAACTGTGTACCTTTCCATTTATTCTGCGTCCCCTTTCAATTTATTCTAGTAAAAATCGAAATCATCATCCTGCTTTTAATCTACTAGTAAAACATAACATATTTCCCCAAAACATCTAACTCAAAATATGAGTACAACGAAATGTTTTAAGAAAGTATCGAGTTAACTAGCATGAAAAATACAAAATTCTTTGCCACATTTCGATTTATGTTCATCATCATCATCATTCCAGCCATTATCCGTCCACTGCTGGACATAAGCCTCCCCCATAGATTGTCATAAGGAACGGTCCTGAGCCACCTGCATCCACTGATTCCCTGTAATGCATCTTAGGTCGTCACTCCATCTAGTGGGGGATCGGCCCACACTGCGTTCTATGTTCGTTTAAAAACAATCCATTACATCGATAGAATTTTTACTAATATAATAAATATATTATAGCGCCTTAACGACTTAACCATTTACTATAAAATTTGGTACACACGTACTATATGGCATTGAAAAGGTTATAGACTTTTTATTTGTCACGCAGACAGTCTCGGATAAAAGCTAATACTCCCATAAAATAATTTTAATTGTTTTTTTAACGTTTATTTATGACTGGTACATCTACCCATGCCTTAGTCCGTATGCTCAGGAATTATTGACCGAGATAATTAGTTGGCTTTATATCTTCCATATTTACTAGTAAGGGTGTATTCGATTTCACCTGTAGCTATATATCTGAGATGTATACTGGACCGCAGTGCATCTAATAATGCAGCCCATCTCAGATTAATTTGGTGGGAGCCTGTAGAGCTGCCGAGTACTTAACTTGGTTACCCGACCTATTAAAATTAGCATCTGCACCTGTTGATTGAAGCCATAAGTAAAGGCAATTTTATTCGGTTAGATAACGTTCTAAATATTAAGACATAAATTGTCATAAAGAACGAGTCTGTTGTGCTTCATAGCTATAAAAAAAAAATAAGTTTTTGGAACGTATAAATGAAATAATGTATTGTCTAAAAAATTGAATTAATATTGAAATAATATTTGTGTTTATTCATTTATTTTTTAGTACAAGATATGTGTGTATGCCGTGTGGTTCCAGCATAGAATAGGCCACCGCTTTCTTTCCGTGGGTGTCGTAAGGGGCCATTAAGATATGGCGATGGATGGGCAGCAGCATTCCTCTTAAAACATGTTCAAAACCTTAAACTGCTGTTGCCAATCCGACTGCCAAGCGTGGCTACGACTGGTAAACCGGGTGAGGCTTATGATCAGCAGTGGAGAGTTGCAGGCTGATTTGATGATATATAAAAGGCGGACTTAAAACTTATGCTAGAAGCATTCTCTTCCAATCAATGTTATCAACATTAATATAATATAATAATATCACGATAAAATATTTTAAAAGAAAGTCAAAATTTTTTTTATAGAACAGTATTAGATTTAATTTGGATGGTGAATATTGTGGAAAAAGTGGATGTTACTGGTATGAGTATACACTCATCCACTTAGTATTAGTATATGCATGTGTATCTGTATGTATATGTATGTGTATATATGCATATCTATGTATATGTATGTATAAAGACATAAGTTTAGTATATAGAATTAGAATATAAGTCTATAATTGTTTAAAAAGCTGCATGTACAAGAGCGCAAAGTTGCAGACAAACTGCGATGCAGTTTCACAGCACTAAGAATATATACTGCCTATGTAACTGTTTACTTGAAATAAATAAATAAAAATAAAATAAACAAAGAAACATTTATTATTTAAAAAAAATATAAATGTTTTTATGTTTTTAAATTCTAATTTAGATCTTAATTAAACTAATACATAGGTAGTATATTATAGTATATATACTACCTATGTATAATGTATAATATATATTATAGTGTATTATCTATGATTATCATTTATTTCAGTCATAAATTAAGGATAGTACTACTTAGAGATATTCATACCTTGAACCTTGTACCTTGAACAGCAGAGAACTCTTCAAGAGTTGGTAGTACGAAAAAGAAGATTTAGCAGTAGATGTTACTTTCTCAGTTTATATAGTCCAAACAAATTACACGATATACACAAACGAACACACAATATCACTCACAGTTTAAACAACACAATATTTAGAACGTCTACCATATATTATTATTATTATTTCAACCGTTAACTGTCCACTGCTGGACATTAACCTTCCCCATAAAGGGAGTTTTGCTAGTAGTTGCCATGCTTGGCAGGCGGGTTGGCAACCGCAGTTAGGCCTTTGAGGATGTTTTAAGAGGGACGCTGCTGCCCATCCATCGCCCTCCCTTAGTCGCCTCTTACGACACCCATGGGAAAGGAAGGTCACGGTCGCCAGTATGTGAAGGGTTCGTTGGATGGAACAATAAAATAGAAAATACTGAATAAAGATATATTTTCCCTAGTATAATAGTAGTGATATTTAAAAATGACGTGCTCTAATAACAAAATATTCATTGTCAGAAAAAAAAAATCTATTTTTAAAAGTATCTAATATAAATAAAACCTCAACACATTTTATTATGCATATTATTATAATGTCCAACAATTTTCTATTTCATAATTAACGACAGTCAACAACAATTGCTAGACAACAATCACTGTGTGATGTCACACCGCATCACAGTGTTAGACTAACCAAAAAGTTCTAACACTACTTGCAATTCTATTCTATAAGTTGAGGATAGTAACTGCAGTTCTATATCCCTGACTAGGGTTGCCATCCGTCGGTGTTTTCCCGGATTTGTCTTAGTTTAGAGGGCACCCGGGGAGTGTCCGGGTGGAGAAATAAAAGGAAGATCTTTAAAGAGGATAATATTTATTGAATTAAAAGAGTTACCTATAGGCTACCAACCTCTTTCAAACCTAGATAGTTGTAGAAAAGTTAATAGTGACGTTTTTGAGAATCTTCTTGTCTTAGCAATTTTACCGAACAATATTTTGTATCGCGACTTATTATATCTGGATTTATTTACTGTAAATATTATTCATTATACAATCTCGTACTAAATCTTTCTTTCTCTCACTCCTTCTGAATCTATATATATAAATATCATCAAGCCCACGTCTACACCTCTACATACCATAAAAATTGTAAGACTTAATATTGCAATGGTCTCGGTACTTTTAAGATTTTTGTTTAAAAATTTAATTGAATATTGTTAAGTTTAAAATTTTAATAAGGTTTTGTTTTATCATAATAGAGTATATTAATAATATGTGTTTATTTTAAGAATAAAAAAATTCCAACTGATTATTAAAATACATACATACATACATATCTGTTACGCCCGTCTCCCATTAGGGTAGGCAGAAACAAAATTTTTAAAATAATTTGTAACCAACTATAATAAGATTCTGTTTTGTTAGGTACATTTACAATGATGATAAAAGATGACTAAATTTAATTTTAAGGTTTAAAAATAAATAAAAAAGTGATTTATGACTTTTCAATTGTTTTTTTATTAAACTACGTTTAAAAATACCTGTTGATATGTCCAGGATCTAGCTTCTAAAATCCGAGGTTTTCTCGTGTTTTGTCCTGGTTGTCAAATTTTAAAGATAGCAACCCTATACTTGACCTATGTACATAAATAATACCTGTATAGGGAAAAATCTTAGATACGTAAATATATTATACTAAGTCTACGACCAAAATATAGGTTTATTACAAGTGTAGATCAAGAACAGTTTATATGGCAATATATTTACATTTATGACATTCCGAAAATTTTAACAAAGTGTATTTTATAAAATTTTACATCAATTATAATCAAAGGTAAGTGATATAACACAGGCTTTATCCCGTGACTCTGCCCGCGTGAATTAATACAAAAATTATCCCAAGTTCGTCATTGTATATGATCCTTTGATCTATTCCGTATGAATTATGTACAATAAACATTTTACAATACAATACAATACAATCCTATGTACTTAATTATAATAAAACCTAGTGTACCTTTCATTGTAAACCGTTCAGTAGTTTTTGCGTGAAATAGTAATAAACATCTATCCATTCATCATTGCAAAATTTCGCATTTATTATATTAATAGTATTAGGAAGTTTTATTATAAACCAAATGTGTAAACAATGTGTTTGTCCAGATCCGATTTTCTCGTTCCCGGGCAAATTCTAAAATCCTTTTTTCATTGGATAAAGTTGGTAAAAGTGAAAAACTTTGTAATTTGTTTGCTGGAGTTGAGTAAAACATTATATACTTATGCTTGCCAAAATCAATAAATATATATATATTTTTTATACCAGTGAGGTGACAAACAAGATACGGCCCACCTGATGGTAAGTGGTTACCGTAGCCTATGAACACCTGCAATACCAGAGGTATTACGCGTGCGTTGCCGACCCTGAAGAAACCTCTTTACCCCCTTTTGAAGAACCCCATGCTGTAGTCTCTTGGGAAAACCTCGGCAGGGAGCTCATTCCACAACCTGAGTGTTCGTGGGAGGAAACATCTATGAAACCGCGCAGTACGCGACCATGCAGGCTGTAGGACATGAGGATGAACTCCCTGTCGATGGCGAGCCGTACGATGGTAGAAAGTAGCTGTGGGCATCATGAAAAATTCCTCTGAGCACAATCCATTGTACAGGCGGTAGAGCACGCAGATATATAAATTTAATGTGGAAATAGTACATTTTAATCGAAAAATTTTTTGTTGTTTTGATCTCGAACTATTTCTATATTCGTCATGAATTGTATAATAAATTGTAGGCACTTGGTATATAAAAATATCTACAATTTTGCTAGATACAGATTATTAATTAAAATCTTTACCAGAGGGAGATTGTGTACAAAAATCGTTTACTTGGACACCTCTGTCCCTTTCGTGTTTTTCTAATGAAGCAGTTGTGTTTGCATGGCTGTGTTTCGGTTTGAAGGGTGGGATATGGTAGTGAATTCACAGGGTACAAAGGAATAATCACCTGAGTCCTCAGGAATGGCAACGCGTGGGTGTATCATGGGCAAAACAGTATACTCTGTTATGTCTAAGTTATATGTTAATGTCTAATGTTCTAAGTTGCATAAAAACGTATTAAAATATATTTCACTGTACGTTTGTTATTTAAACATTGGTTATGCATAACCAATGTTTAAATAACAAACGAATAGAAAAATAATAATGTATAGATAAATATAGAAAATATTCACAGCGTACTTTCAGATGTTTCTATATTATTATTTATAGGTAGTTTCCGAGAAAATTAATTTTCTTTTTTAATATTAATCACATATATGTTTTACTCGGTAGGTATATAAATTGATCTCCCACGCACTCCCACGACAAATTTGTTTTATTTGCATGTCTTTTTTTTATTTGGGTTACATACCTTTAAAACAAAAACATTTTTAAGAATAACCTTTAAGCTTTATTACATCTGATTATAGTTTTAGTCACCATTTTTAGGTTTCCGTAGTTCGTTGTCCGTCTGTTTTTCTAAGGAACGCGTGGAGGTATCGAGCAGAAATATCAATATAAATATATTTAGATATTAATATCTTATACACAGGTCAGTAATCTCTTGAAGCAGTGAAAAAATTATTATTTGTGTAGGTTTATATTTATATGTATGTATTAATATTGGTTTATATTTATATGCGTGATGGAAAGTGGTAACTTGCCTTAGACATGAGAGCAGTACCATGGACATTCCCCATGCGTTGCCACTCCTGAGGACTCAGGTGTTATTCCTCTGTACCCAGTAAATTCAATATTTCAAACCGTACAACTGCTTCAAATATATATATAATGATTTGTAATTTATGTAAATATTTATTTTAACTTCTGTTTAGCACTACTACTGCCCACTCATTACTTCCTATGCCACTGTGTTAGGTTGACTGGAAGAGATCTCTTTTAGAGATAAGTTCGTCTTTACTAACATTGTTATTAACTTATTGTTGTTACTGTATGTTTTAGTACAATAAAGATATATATATAAAAATCAAACTTCTAAATCGACGCAGTCAAAAGACACGGCGTTTATGTTCCATTTATATCAATCAAAACTTATAGCGTACATCCCGTTGATCTAGAATCATGAAATTTGAAAACAAGCAATATCATGTAGGTAGCATAAGTAAAGGAAAAAATCCGAAAACCGTAAATTTGTAGTTATTTGACAAAAAAAAATCATTTTTTGAACTTGATGATTTCATATGGAACCCTTGTTTTGCGAGTCTGACTCGTACTTAACCGGTTTTTTAGTTTAATTTTCAATTTTTTTACCGCATATTTACTCGTACGTATCTGGTTTGTCAATGGTTGACTGGGAGAGAATGCTATATAGTATAATATAAAGCCCGCCTTTTGTAACAAACATATTTTTTGTAATGTGGTCAATAAAAAATAAATAAACGTTTGTAAATAAATTGGACAAAGACACCCAAACAAACGACTTTTGTACAAAGTCTCCCTCTGGTAGATTATTGTTACCTCAGAACTCCCTCAATTATTAAGCGATTTGTAATTTTTTTATCTGTAAAGATACAGTTATATATTGGCCTCTTAGAAATTTTATCAAAATTCGTTAAGTAGTTTAGTTTTTAAATCAAAATAACCGGTTTCACCGCAATTTAAGTTGGTTTTTTTGTGGAGAACAATCTTAATTTTTTTTAGTCTTTACTTCGAAGATGGGCGAAGGCAAATGCACATTCGGCACAAGAATGCCGATCGACATCCACATGCTGAACGAGATTATACACCGCGAGGTGAAGCATTTCCGCAACTACAAGATTTACAGACCCAACTTTGGATGTTAGTATACTTATAGACTTGTAGCCCCGGCATAGAATGTATCACCTTTCCCATTGATGTCATAAGAGGCGACTAAGGAAACATCGAGAGATGAGCAGCAGCGTCCCTCTTATTTTTTTTTTATACAACTTAGAATAGCAAACAAGCTGACGGTCCACCTGATGGAAAGTGGTAACCGTCGCCTATAGACATGAGCAGTACCATGGACATAACAGAGTATACTGTTTCGTCCATGATACCCCCATGCGTTGCCATTCCTAAGGACTCAGACGTTATTCCTCTCTACCCAGTAAATTCACGCCATATCCCACCCTTCAAACCGAAACACAGCCATGCAAACACAACTGCTTCACGGTTGAAATACGAATGGGACAGAGGTACCCAAGCATTCGACTTTTGTACAAAGTCTCCCTCTGGTTATTCTTTTAGCTATCCCCGTAACTGGGAAATTTTACGCTGCGCATGATCAACTGAAGTCTGAATCGAGGGAGCAAACCGAGAAAGTGGACAACTATCACCAGAATGTGGCACAGACAAGAGCTAAAGGCCCACACAGCAAATATCCATCACCAGCGACTGAGAATCAAGTGTGAGTATTATCATCTTTCATCATCAGCCTACTTCTAACCACTGCTATGATCTTTTTTTATATACTACTATTGTATATATGTGTATATGTTTGTATATGATAATATTTATATACCTAATAGTGCGCCACCTACCCTTTGTCTTTTTCTTAATGTCCTCTACCCAAAGGTTGTCTGGAAGAGATTGCTTAGCGATAAGGCCGCCTTTTGTATCACTTCTCGTTAATATTTACTGTATTTGTTATTTCTCTTTTTACTTGGTGCAATAAAGTGTAAATAAATAAATAAATATTGTAGAAAATGAGCACACAACCCGTCTGATGTTATAATGAACGCCTGTAACACCAGGTACGTTACTCGCGCATTGCCGAACCCTCTTTAACACACCCTTTTTAAAGAACTCCATGCTGTAGTCGCTAGGGAAAGCCTCGGTAGGTCATTCCACAACCTGAGTGTTAGCGGGAAGAAGTCTTTTCATCAACAGTCTGCTATAAAGCAATAAAAAGAAGCAAGCCGGAGAAGATTAATATATTGGATATATATTATAATTAAAAATAAAAAAAAAACAATATTACTCAAATGTATGAAAACCGTAGCTTAAATTCACTTTAATACGCACTCATTCACTCATACACAACATATACACACGCGCGCGTACACATATACACACATACACACACACACACACACGACGTACACGCAACTCATTTTACATAGTTTTCCTTATTTATTTATTTATTTTAGTTTTTGGTAAATAAAGTGTACTAATAAATAGGTAATCGCACTCATAGTCCCCAAGATACAGGTCTGGCCTAGTTTGAGGACTGATGGTAATGCAGATATTTCCTCGTTGTATATAAATTGTAAAAATTGTTGTACGTATGTAAAACCTTTTAAATAATAAAAAAACATATTAAAATATTAAATATTAATTCTATAAATGTATTGTTTCATTTTTAGAATGTCAAGATCAAAAACAATTATTCATATTATTATATATTAATTTAAAAAATCAATAACACTCATAATATACTCGTACTCCAAAATCTAGTAAAACTTTAAGAAACTAGTCTATAATTTCAAAATAATGGAATAAAGTAATAGAATAAGTAGATAATAATAGAATAGAGATATTTTGCCTACAACTTTTTTGTATCTTTGTCCATTATCCAATTCGAGACTTGATTAAAAAAACTGCGCAATACAAATGGCGATCATAAAATTTAAATAATGTCTGATACAAACACTTCATCGATTCAGCTACGGTTGGAATTTCAAGCCCCTCGTTCCCCTGGACCGCAACGACCAACGCTTCTACCATCCGAAGAGAGAGAGCAAACACACCAAAATCGAAATTGTCATCCTTATGTCCAACCCTAAGAAAAGAACATAAGAATTATGTACGGCGTACCCTGGCAGACTGCTCGAGCATCTTTTTATATAATAATCCAGTTAATTGATGAAACTCCTGTTATTTATTAACTTATAAAAATGTAGCTTTGCCACTGTGTTTTATTTTTATGTATTTGTTACGCATTGTCGCATTCATAATGTCATTTTAGACTCTGCCAAATTGTGTTGAGAGAAGCAATCATATAATTTCCTCTTTTAAAGTTTATTTACCATATTATCTTTCACATGACATATTAGATCTAAATTTAATGCAATTTTAATTATTGTTATAGTAAAACTGTGGTATTTCTCATTACCTTTTTTTTATGCTACAAAGGTGGCAAACAAGCATACCGCCCATTTGATGATAAACACTCACTGTAGCCTATGGATGCCTGCAACACCAGGGGAGCACGTGCGCGTTGCCAACCCTGAAGAAACCTTAATATACCCTTTTAAAACAACCCCATACTGTAGTCTAGGGAAAACATCGGTAGAGCGTTCGTGGGAAGATTTTTTTAATGGGTGATAATAGCATGGTAACCTAGTCTGCGCTATCGGTATACATTGGCAGGGCACCAGTGATAGATGATTGATGAGGATGAAAGCAGGTCAGTAAGCCTATCTTGACGAATTTAACTAGAATTAGCCACGATGGTTTCCAGGGGGAACCACGTGGAGGTCGACCTGACAGGGTATATTGCTAGTAATGGGTCTATTTGACCCATTACTAACAACCCCTTTCCCCCCTCGTGGTAAGTTACAATAGGTGATGATAATCTGTCGTCCAGCCCCAACTAATTAAAAGTGATTACTCTTGTCGTATGTCGTTCCCTGTATGGCTTACATTAATATAAAAAAAAAAATTACATTTGAGCTTTATTTATTTAGATTTATTCATCATTTTTATCTTTAGAGGCATACTGATTCCAACCTCTTGTGCTCTTCTTTTTATAATCACTTTTCTCTAAAGGCCTCAAATGAGCTGCAGCTACTCGATCTCTGAAAAGAAAGATCTCTCACATAATGTATATATATATATATATATATATATATATATATATATATATATATATATATAATTATTCTTTAATATAACGTTGTAAATTCTAAAAAGACTAAAATAGGAACAATTTTATGTTGATCCCATACTAAATTTGTCAAGATTGAAGTACATACCAATATAAAAATAATAAACAACAAAATAATACCAACATAAAAAAACAACCAAATTGAGAACTTTCTTCTTTTTTCAAATCGGTTGAAAAGATCAACCGATTTGAAAAAAAGAAGCATACCTCATGGCTTCGTCATTTATAAACCAATTTGAAAGATTCTTTTTTTATATGAAAGAGTATAGTTCCAGATGGCCAATCTGAAATTTTTATATATCTTAGAATTTTTTAACAAAATCGGTTTTTATCAGAAAAACTGGTTTTGTCAAAATTGAAGTCACTGTTCTTTTTTTTTTTTTTGTTCAAAATCTATTATTTTAACAAATTTAAAACGAAGATATTTTTCTATTTATTCCTACTTCCCATTTTCATCTCAAAATACATCCACCCTAATTGTTACAATATGAATAATGTTGTGTTTGCCATTACCACTTTATCTTGTATTTACAATATAAATTATACTCAACTAATAATTAATACGACTTACGCAAACTCCTCGTAAGTTTTGGCAGTATGTATGGCGTCACATTTGACGTCGTTGACTTGCCAGTATCTTCTGTCTTCTTCCACGCTATTTCTGAGCTGCTGCTCCATCGCAGCGAAATCATCTTCATTCAGAGGTTTGTTCATTGATACTCTGCTGGGAAATATTGTATTATTATTTAGTTAAATAGGAATGCAGCAAAACCTGTAAGCAGACTTAAGAAAATATGATTCGGTGATAGTAACATAATATTTTTCTTAATAAATGATGATGGAATGATGCATCCACCTATACTAATAGTTTACAATGGCGGGACACTAGTAGAGGATGAAAGCACCTGGTTTACATAAAATAATAAACAAAAGATACCTTTTAATAAAATGAGTTCTCGTCAAAATATTTCCCTCAGACTGCTTACAATAAAATATTTTTTTGCAAGACAGCCAAGAATGTTAGTATCTATGACAACCAACACTCATCGCCATAGCAACCGAGGTGTTTTATCAACGAGAGTCAGAATATAGTAAAATTTTAGCTAACTCGACATTCTGTCACACTAAAATATTTCCAAATGCTACGACTCTGTCTAAAAGTTTTTGATCCATATGGTATTTATTTAAATTTTAATTGTTATTTATTTCAGATATTTTAACTCCACACAGACAACTATTATGATAGCCCACTATAACAAAAAACGAAATCAGTTCAGGATACAATAGGACTGATATACCTGAAGAAGTTAAAAGCCCTAAAAATAATATTAAAAAAAAAAAAACAACAACATCGCCAATAGAAAGGGATTCTCAATTTATTTTAATCGATTTACACAATTCCTTTTACAATCGATAGAGTTTATTTACTTTAATCTGATTTTTACTTTTTTTTTTTTATACAACTTAGAATGGCAAACAAGCTGACGGCCCACCTGATGGAAAGTGGTAACCGTCGCCTATAGACATGAGCAGTACCATGGACATAACACTTTCGCCCATGATACCCCCCATGCGTTGCCATTCCTGAAGACTCAGATGTTATTCCTCTGTACCCTGTAAATTCACGCCATATCCCACCCTTCAAACCGAAACACAGCCATACAAACACAACTGCTTCACGGTTGAAACACGAATGGGACAGAGGCACCCAAGCAATCGACTTTAGTACAAAGTCTCCCTCTGATATGATATACTGAATGGCTAATATTTAATATATCCATTATAGATTCAATATATAGATAGTGTAACTACAATATACAAGTTTTACTATATATTATTCCATCCCAAGGAATGAGATATTTTAAGGTACCACATCGTTTATTGCTGTGTGCACTTCAAGATTGAAGTTACGTATACATCTTCTTTGCAGAGCAGTACTCCGCTAAGATTTATACCTACCTTCAATTTATACTTTAAGAGAAACGGATTGATAATAAAAATGCTTAAATATTGTAGTTCTCTTTTATCACGTCTTCATCGGTAGGAAAACAAAGACTAATAATGACAGAATTGTAAGAATATAAAGAACATAAGAACAATAGAAATATAAAAATATGAAAAACGGAATATGATGGCCAGTTATATAAAAGGCGTATTGTGATGGCCAGTAATACGCCACATACTTGTTGGTGGGACAAAATCTGAAACGATTACGTTCCACCAGGTGTAACAACCTTAAATCTGAAAGAATCTGCATTTGAATATTACAATATTGTGGATAATGGAGGCCTTATCGCGTTTTCAACAACATGTTGAACAAACAGCTTGCCACACGTTGGGCGAAACAATTTACTCTTACATAACTAGACTACACTAAATCAATCGTTAAAAAGAGAATAGGTGCACATTTATACGTAGTAAAAATTAAATAATAATATCATACAACCCGGCGCAAGCTAAAGTTTCATCCCGACCACCTGGATGAGTGACGGAACTAAGGAACCAAGCCCAGCAGTAGTGTTTCCAAACAGTTACGACATTGAAACCTTCAAGAAAAGAGTATATTCCTTATTAAAAGGCCGGCAGCATGCCTGCAAATTCTCTGGTATTGCGGGTGTTTATGGATGGCGCTAGTCGTTTATCATCAGATAAGCCACATGCTCATTTGCCCCCAATATTGTAAACAAAGATTTATTGAAAAATTAAACTATTAGTGGTAAGTGTCAATATCAATATTTTATTAAGATCATATCATATTATGACCATACCACATAAATGCGCCGTGTTATTATGAAAGGTTAATATTTCTTTTGTTGTATTTCACCAACTCTAAAAATGAATGAATGTATTATTATTATATAATTATATTATATGTTTATTTATTCCTTGATCCATATTTATAATATCAATCTATTTGATTCATGCATATAAAATGAATACAAAATTTCATAATAATGTTGCTGAAATAGTAATCATAGGTGTCACAATGTGACATCTTAATAGTCATCGCTTACCACCTTCCATCGGGTGGACTATCAGCTTGTTTGATATTGTAAATTGCATACCAAAACTAACTGATATCTACTTTTAAGGGTCATACTGTATATTATTCATTAGTCAAGCACTGTTTTCCGAGTTGTACACCTATACACATGCACGCGTGACCGTAAAAGCAACTAGCGGCTTTCTTAGCTAACATCAGAACAACAGTTTAGAAACAACAATATTGTAGCAACATTACAATGTATTCATGTAAGTATAGCTACTGTATAAATATAATTTAATGTTAAACTGAGATCCGTGCAGTATTTTTAAACTTTATAAATATTTTAAGATGAATAGTTTACAATACACTAATAGGTATGTAGCGGAAATATTTTTCGCTTAAGTGCTTGAATGTAACAGAAAGTGACCTCTGTCTACCCCTCTTCTAATGATATCTGTTATTTATTTACAATAAAATATTAAATGGTAGCGAATGTAATGGGCATACACAATGTATTTTATTCCTATTTCTTTTTTTTATTATTTTTAGTAAGGCTGTTTTTTATTTTTTTATTATTTATATTATTGGCTCTTGGCCACAATAGAATATTAGTATTTTGCTCTTTTGAGGGCAAAACAATAAACTGAGTTGTGACCATTTTGTGTTACTATGGCACACGCATAAAAAAAATTGTTACTTGTTTTATATATTTTGTTTTTTTTTTTGTATATGCATTCTTTTATCTCTTTTTACTGCATATGTTTGTTGTTATTTGTGTGTTGTAAGTAATGCAAATAAATTATCTATTTATCTATCTATCTAATTTACCGCCGTGTGGTTTCGGCATAGAATGGGCCGCCTCTTCCTTTCCTGTGAGTGTCCTAAGACGCGACTAAGGGAACTTAATGGTTGGTTGCCAATCTGCATTCAACACTTTTTATCCGGGTCATGTGGATAAAGTCATCGGGTAACCGCAGTTAGGCTTTGGTGATGTTTAAAAAGGGACGCTGCTGCCCATCCCTCAACCTTGAGATTCTCTTTGTCGCCTCACTATTATATACCGGGTATATATATACATATACATATACATTTATATATATATATACTATTATATCACCTATTATATACTGGGACCATACGGCGATAACAGTATATATAATTATCTTTTGGAGGAAACAATAAAGAGTATCTATCTACCTATCTATAATTGCAAAGATTAAAAATAATTGATAAGAAATATAATTTTCAAAATTATATTTCTTATCGTACCATTAACTCCTATAGAGTATGAAAATAAGTAGTGATTTATACATTTTACATATTTCAGTTTTCACTATCATTGTATGTAACGTAGCTTACAGTCATTGTCTTGCTGAGTACGAATTGTTCCCCGGCTTTGATATGACGAGTTCATTAAACAATACAACCGAAACAGATTTCGATTTTAACATTGAAAGTTTAAAAATTGATACCACAGACAATCAGGTAAAGCTATTTAATAATTATCATCATATCAGCTAGTATATGTTCACTATTAAACATAGGCTTCCTCCCTAGTTTGGGAGATTTTGCCAGTAATTGCCGCGTTTGGCACGTAGTTTGGCAACCGCAATTAGACTTTTGATGTTTAAAAAGGGACGCTGCTGTCCATCCCTCCACCATTTATTCATTCATTTTCATTCATTCATTATTTCATTTCAGTCGCCTCTTACGACACCCACGGGAAAGGAAAGGGTGGCCCATTCTATGGCAGAACCACATGACGTATCATTCTGATTAATTGATACATATTTTTATAAGATATTATCTAAGAGTGAGTGAGAGGGAAAGAGAATTTGCAGAGTGGGGACTTCAGTCTCCATTGCTAATTATATACCCAGTTAAATCAATATTCACACACCTCTGAAATACGTGATGGTTAATTCCTAGTGAATTCATCATGATGGACCAAACGACCCGACTTCATCCTCGCCTATCATATTTATTTATTTATTTATTTATTTAGGTTTACCAACAATTGTTTCCACAAAATAATGTAAATATATATACAATTATGGAGCTTAGAACTAAGTGTAACAATTTTTTATAGGCAAACACAGCATATATTAATACATGTATAACAATAAGTACAGAGAAATATATATAGCTTACAACTATTATTAAATACTTAACAACTAACAACTAAAGCCACCATATCCATAAGCAGATCCAGCAGCACGACTCATTTTATATATTTATAGATATTTCGTACAAAAACAATTGGAGTATCAAAATTAATATCGACCTGGTCACTGCAGCTATTTATAATCTTACAGAACCTTACCATTGGAGAATTACTACCCAGAACAGTTCTTCTAAATGGAGGTATTAGCGGAGTTATAGGTCCACGAGGTAATCTAGAAGGGACTCGCAATTTTACAAGGCTTAATAACTGAGGACAATGTAATTTATATGTTATAAGTTTATACATAAATATGGCGTCAGAGACTTTCCTGCGTTTTTCTAATGAGATCATCCTAAAGTACTGCAGCCTGGCCTTGTAGGATTTAATTTTTTTGGCAATGCCAGTGGAAAATGCCAAGTGCCATAGGAATCGCTTCTGGATACGTTCCATACGCAATATATGTGTAGCAAAATGTGGGCGCCAGACCACGCTGCAATACTCCAAGACACTCCGCACCAGGCTATTATAAAGTATAATTTTAATGTTACTATTATGAAATACTTTACAGGTTCTTATAACAAAACCAAGCATCCTTGAAGCTTTATTAATAATGTTATTTAGGTGAGGAACAAACGTTAATTGTTGGTCGTATAATACACCTAGATCACGCATACTTCTACTCTCTTCAATTATTTCATTTTTGATTCGGTATTGTGAATATCAAGTACAAGTTCAAGAAAAAAATCATTCCATTATAATTCATAAAAAAATCAATAAAATTTAAATTATTTGCATCTATTTATTTAGTAAGATTGCTATTAAACTATTTAGTATGTATTATGCAAACTAAACATTTTTCTTAAATAAACATAGGTCGAAAAAAAAGCAAAATTCTCGAATCTCTCTTATTTATTAACATGATGCGTCCAACTATCAATATGTAGGGGGAAGGGGATTGTTAGCTATGGGGTTAAATAGCCCCATTACTAGCAATATACCCTGTCAGGTCGACCTCCACGTGGTTCCCCCTGGAAACCATCGTAGCTAAATTCTAGTTGAATTCGTCAGGGTGGGCTAACTGACCTGCTTTCATCCTCATCAGTCATCTACCACTGGTGCTCCGCCAGAGTATACCGATAGCGCAGAAGGGGTTACCATACCATTATCACCCATTAAAAATAACTATCAATATGTGGGAGATTCTTACTTTACTGATTTAAGTATCTTAGAGAAAACGTTCAATTACATAGATAGAATTAATTTTTAAAAGGATACCTACTAATTGCAACTTTATCTGTACATAAGTAGAGTCTTATAGGTCAAATATAACTAGATATATAAGTAAATAATTAGTAGGTAATCTTTTAGCTTCGTTTACAGACCAGCAAACCTGTAACTGAGAACATAATTATAGCATCTACAATAAATACAACTTTTGAGTGTCCCGAAGAAGAACGACCGTCCAATATCGGCCCATACGAAGTACCAACTCAGCGAGACTTGGTGCTGCTCATACGGAAGACTCTGAGTGACATGTTCAACAGTTACCACGAAAAGGCTTTATACTTACTAAAAGATATCAAAGAGGTATTTTGTATATTTTTATAGTAAATGAGGTCCCAGTTTCGATCCCCGATTGGGTCAATTTTCATTACCTGCAGGTATGGATTTGTAATTATACCGCAACCGTAACAATATACCTCATCTATAATTGTAATCTCAACTAATATTATAAAGAGGAAATGTTGATTTTATGTTTGTAATAGTTAAACTCAAAAAATGCTTAGGTGACCGATTATAAAAATTCTTGCTACGTTATGTCCATGTTACTGTTCATGTCTATAGGCGACGGTTACCACTTTCCATCAGGTGGGCCGTCAGCTTGTTTGCCATTCTAAGTTGCATATAAAAAAAGCTATCAACAACTAATATAGACTGTATTTTATAAAAAAAAAAGAACCGTGCGATTCCGGGACTTGTCGCTAAAAGTCAATGCATTTACAATTACAGAGAAGGAAAAGGATTATAAATAATGGGGACTAGCAGCCCAATTGCTAGCAATAGAATCTGTTCGCGTTTAATCTCTACACGCTCTATGTGGAAACCATTATGATTATTTTCCAGTGAATTCTTCGCGATAGTCATATTATACTAAAATATAGTTAAATAATTTCATTTCTAAAACCGCCTATCCTAAAGATTGGCTAATTAATAGTGAATGCCTATAGCATTAAGTCCACCTTGTGTTATTAGTCAACGAAGTCCAAATAAAAAATGATAGCCCAACTGACTTGACTTCATCCACACCCGTAATTATTTATTGGTATCTCGCCAGTGTATACCGACAGTGGAAGCCATTTCTGTCATCATTCTATTTACAGCCCCATAAAAAAAATTGCCTAAAAAACAACTAAAAAGCTACAGGTATACAAATTAGCTTTAAAATAAAACTACTTCATTTACCACAGGCAACTAAAGCGACATCTGACATTGAAAAGAAATGTCAAGGGAATAAATATAAATACAGAAAATGCGTAAGAAAAGTAAGCACCCAGTGTCAATTTATCACAAAGAGTCTAGTAAGTTCGTTAGAAAGGCAGAGGCAGGATGTGACGGCATTTACTAATGTAGGTATAAAGTATAAGATATTCTTATTCCTTCTTTTTCTTAAAAACTCTGTACCTATAATTTAATACTTTACTGTACAATACGTGTTACTAAACAAACAAACAAACTAACTTCTTACTAATATTATAAAAACCAGTTATTCTGATTTAAAGATTGAACTACTGAACCGATATTGATAAAATTTCTATAACACAAATTCGAAGATATACCTACCATTCCATTCCCATCCATTAAAAAACCTCTGTCTATATGCTATAAGGATTACAGCCGTGAGCATATCTTTTGTGTTTTTTTTTAAATAAAGTGGATTTATATATTAATTAGGTATAATAAATATTATTAGAAGTGTGTTTGTCTATAATGAATCGATAATGAAAAAATCCTATTTTATGCTTAAATCTAAGTTTACATGAATATTTTTTACTTTCTTTCTATTATGTAAAATATTTCTTACTTTCCTTCTATTGTGTAATGTACTTACCTAAAACTTATCCAGTCAAACTGGTTTAACTGTGCTCTGAGCGTGAACAATGATTCAATACTTATTACAAACAACTATACACTTATCTAGTAAACAAATACCAGACATACAATTATATTAACTGCTTAGTTTTAGAAGGTCCAATATATATTTCATGAAAAATTATGCAACGATCCCATCACCATATGCAAACTTTTAACTGTCAGATCAATCTGCGCTGTTCCTTTGGAAACCATTGTCCATAATTGCTGATGAATTCGTCACAAATTAATTTCATTTCGTTTCATTTTATTTTATCCTTTATTCCCCCAGGGGGGAAAGAGATTGTTATTAATGCAGACTCTCAGTCCCATTGCTAGCAATATACCCTATCAGGTCGACCTCCACGTGGTCCCCCCTGGAAACCATCGTGCTGAAACCCAGGTGTATTCCATCACGATGGACCAACTGACCTGCCTTTTAATCTCATCTATCATCCCTCACTGGTGCTCCGCCAGCGTATACCATTAACTTAGGAGGAGTTACCATTCTATTATCATTCATTAAAAAAAATATATCCTATATTCATTTAATATCATATATTAATTTAATTCCATTTATTTATATTTCCATAGATTGCCATAAAGAACGATCCTGAGCCATCTAGGTACATCCACTGACTCCATACAATGCATTTGAGATCGTCACTCCATCATGTCGTCACTCTCATAGTGGGGGATCGTTCTACATTGCGTTCACCCGTTTCTTTATGGCAGTCTATGGGGGAAGCCTATGTTCAGCAGTGGATAGATAATGGCTGAGATGATGATGATAATGATGATGATTAATATTTCTTAAAGTAAAGCATGCTGCGGTTAGCACGAAATGTAAAAACAAGTAGACCGATAGCACAAGGCAACCAACATTCCATAATCACTTTAAAAAAATACTATTTTTATCCAGGATAAAATTTGTAATATGACATCAATGAAGCTAGATCCCCTACAGCTGGTGAACACGTTAGCAATGGAGGAGGCATCCTTGGAATTTTCGCTCCCCGGATTCTTGAGATTACTAAATTCGTGTTCTTTTCATTGTTCGATGTAAGTGTCTTAACTTTCTTTTTTTATTCTGAATGTTCACAAACTACAGCGACCTCTGTTGACTGTTTACCTAAATAGCATAAAATTTCCAATATTAGCCTACACATCTAGTCGTTTTTACGGTAATAATTATGTTGTTTAATAAATAAATATGTCTGTTGAAATAAACAACTTAATACTTTTTTAGTGGTTACGCCCAAACTTTTGGACCAAAGCCGTTACGTCACATAACGGACCAAGAGCTGGTAGTGAAACACTTTTTGACTAAAAAAGACTACATTCAACTTATGAACGTTTAAATTTAGTTATTTCTTAACTTGTTACATGTAAATAAATAAATAAAACGTATGTTTTTTTTATGCAATATACCGTAATGTAACAAAACGTATTTTAGTGACATGGCCACCCCAACGATCGATCGAGCTTTCACGAGTTTCACATACCTACGGATAGATGTCGTGACTGTCAATGAACTTTTGACGTGAACTTGATTGCAACTTGAATAACTTAACCAAAATATCTGAGCTTTTTATGTGATGCGAATAGTGATAACCGTGTGAAGTGATTTAGAACTGTAATCAAATTAAAATACAATACGTGAGAAATGTTAATATTATTTTAAAACCTAAATTCAGTGACATCTTGGATGCTAACACTAGACTATAAAAGGCATAAATTCCTTTGGTTTGGGGTAAGTTTTTATATTAATAAATAAGTAAATAAGCTTATTATGTTTCACATTATTAAGAAATAACTAAAACGGTGAAATTGAATAATAAAGAAACCACGAATTTTATTAATAACCGGCTCTGTGGGGGAAAGTATATTATTACCCTACTTTCTATAGTTCTACATATCACATGATAACAAATTGAAGTGAGTTTTTGTTCTTACAAAATATTAAACAAAATAGTTTCGAGTGCCTACGCAACACTTTATTTCAAACAAGTCTTAGATGATCTAAGTACCAATTTATTTATAATTTTTCTAACAAATAGTTATCATTTGTATTTACTTAGTTTATGCATTATTATAATAGATTAATGCACTAAATATATATAGAACTATAATAGTAAAGATAGGTATGGGTATGTAATAATAATTGCTTTAAATACCTATGTAATTATTTTATATATTGGTAACTAACAATAAACCAGTGTTCAAATTTAATTATTATTATGTATTCAGTGAGATGTTGCAGTGAGAAGGTTGTTGCAGTAAAAAAAAAACAACGAATATGCCTTATCTCTGTAACTGTATTTAAAAAATAAAAATAACACCATTATTTACATATCAATAAAGAAATATCTCTCCTTTCTTTATATCCTATAAAAATATTACAGGACTCACAACCAGCACAAATTAATTTTGTGATATATTGAAGATAGCAAAATGTAACTTTATAATTTTATCTAAATATATGTATATCTTTCCTAATAACTGTCTATTGTATTAATATGGGCCTAGTTACCTTATTCAAATAAAAAAAAATATAACTTATATTTATCAGGCGTTTACTTTTATACTGTTATTTTAATACTATATTATTATTACTTTTCCTTAATTAGCCACAAATCTTTTTACTTAAAAAAAAACTGTCAGTTATCTTTAACACTCCGCCAACCGTGTGCTTTTTTTTGCACACCGTCAACCATCATGGACAATATCGTTCCAGATTATAATTTGACTACTACTTAAAGGTACTTAAGAAAAAATTTGGGGAATATGTTCTAGATTTCTTTTCTGTTTCCATAGTTTTTGACTTGAATACTTTAGCCCCTGGTGAAATAAAATTTTGTAATCTCTATAAAAACCGTAATTTCTAAGATTTCACTAAAAATCGTAATCTTGGCTATAAATTAGTTTTAAGAAGAAATGTTTTGGAGATTCATTCTTCATATAAGCGCCTTTCAAAACCTTGCCTGTGACGTACGCGCGTGTGTGTTTTTTTAACAGAGGGGTTCGAGGCCCTGTCCTTTTTTTCTTACAAAGATGTACATCAGGTCGAAATTTGGCGCGGACGATATTGTCCTATATGGTTGGCGGAGGGATAAAAAAGATTACCCAATGATGATTTTCTCTCTCACTGAATTGGCTGAATGAGTTGTTTGGAAGAGATTCAGAGATAAGCCCACCCTAGCTAACAAGTTATTAAACTAATCACTGTATCTTTTTTCACAAGTGCAATGAAGAATATATATATATATATATATATATATATATATATATATATATATATATATATATATATATATATATATATATATATATATCTTATCATCTTTACATATAATAAAATTATTATTATTTTCATGCTGTAGAAACAGTAACTATTTTTTTAACATAAATAAGTACTACATAATATCAAGCCACTATACCTACTCTATGTAATAAACAAACTTCAGAAAATGTAGATAATATTGTTCAATTTGTAAATGAAAAATTCCTAATATTTGTTTTATAAATTGTGTTATTTGTCCAACTGGGTGTCAAATTTAGGACCTAATTTACACAAAGTATTATGCACTACATGGTAGTTGTCAAATAATTTTAAAACTGTTATACTGCCATAAAATTTTATACAAAATATGTAGCAAAATAAGTAAGTAAAATAAAACAAGTTTACAAGTTTAAAAATAATGAAGAATTTTTATATGCGATTTGTACATTTCAAATAATAAATAACGATTCAGTCAAATTGAGAACCTGTTTTTGAAAATATAAAACTTAAAGATTTAATTTTATACCTATAAATTGTACTAATTTCCATCTTAGTATGGTATTATTATTTAATACATACAATAAGCCCATGGAATCTGTCACATAAATCTATCTATTACTCTCTTTAACGGTTCACCACTTATCAGTGAACTGATTATTTTGTATGTATGACTATATTTTAGGTGTATGTATGTCAGGTAGTTTTTAATACACTAAAATTAATTTGTTTATTGTATGAAATAGAACCACATGGTAGAATTAAGTTAATTTTATTATTATTCAATAAAAAAAATGTTATCTATAAAAAGCATAGATTCAATTTGCACTTATGAATTGTATTACACTTCACTTATCAGTATTTTCTTGTAATGTATAACTTGTAAATCAGTGCAATATAATGTTTTAAACTATACAAAAACTAATGCTATTTTTTATGCTTCTTCCGCTTCTCAGATGTCTTTGATTTTTTGGACTTCTTGGATTTCTTATCTTTATGTTTCTTTTTCTTTTTTTCACGTTCAGAATCACTGCTGTCAGATGATGATGATGATGAACTAGAACTACTGCTTGAACTTGATGATCTGTAAGAATAGAGTAAAAAATTTTTAGTTAGTAATTTTTCTTTAGAAACAACATATACGAGTAATATTTAAAAAGAAATATAGGTACAATAAGAAATATTCTAAATATTATAAATCTGAAAGTGTATATAGGTGTTTTTTTTAATTGGTGATAATGGAATGGTAACCCCATCTGCGCTATCGGTATACGCTGGCGGGGCACCAGTCATAGTTGACAGGTAGAGATGAAGACAGGTCAGTTGGCCCATTGTGAAGAATTAACCATGATAGTTTCCAAGGGGAACCACATGGAGGTCGACCTGATAGGATATATTGCTAGCAATGGATGTATCAAGGTGTTTATATGTTTATTGTTCAGTCACACTCAAACAGCTGAATGAATTTTGATCGAAATTTGAAGCACCAGTAGGTTAAATCCTACTTTATATATTAATTCACATGTACAAAACCATGGAAAATTGCTAAAAGGTAATAAATATAATCTGGTAATTGAAGTCTTATCAAATACATCTAGTCAACAGTAGGACACATATAGGTAATCAGTGGCGTAACAACCCTGCCAGGGTTGGCAAAATGCCACGGACCCCCGAACCAAAAAGGCCCCGGCTCAAAAGCCAGTAAGCTCAGAATTTTTTTTTACTTGGTACCTGAGTATTTTATTTTACTTGAAAATAAATGATAGGGCCCCATCAAAAGAATTTGCCACAGGCCTCAAATGATATAGTTATGCCACTGTAGGTAATATCTGTCCTTCTATAGAGCATATGTTTCTTTATAAGCAGAAGATATAGTCTACTATTACAATGCTGACCAGGTGTCACAGTATGAGGTTTTATTCTGAGTTTTTCTTGCACTAGTGCATGCTATGAATTCCTAGAGATTAAAAAGAATGCTGATACATTTCAAAGTGAAGATGAAGGAATAAGAACACATCCTCACTCCTTCACCACATTTAAATTATTATTTTTACCTGGACCTCTTTCGTTTTTTACTTTTCTTCTTTTCTTTAGCTTTCTGTAGTTTCTCTTGCAGTTTCTGTCGCAGCTCTGCCTCCCGTAAACTCTGCAGTGGTGTTGCATAGTTCTCCTCACTGTCACTGCTTGTACTACTCACATCTAACACTATTTCTTTGTTTGGATCCACCTAAAATTATATTTAAAAAAAGGAATATTTAAAATGTCTATTTATACCCTCTAAAGCAGCATATGATATCTTAACCTCAAGTTTCAAAAATTCTCCAAATGACATATTAAGAAATTATGAAATTTTACTTTTCAAAATATGTTAACCCCAAACCCTGAAATTAATGATTTTGTTTTTTTTTTTTTTAAAAATTATGATATTAATATTAGCAAGCTTCTGTAGTTTTACTTAATACTATAATTTGATTGCCATTGAAAGACAAAACATTAGGTTGTCGGCTTCAGCTATATTTACACATCGGTCACCAGCCAAAAAGGTTAAGAACTGCTGTTCTAAAGAATCAAATATTATAAATAAATAATATAAATACTATATATAAAGAAGAGATGGTATTGTAAATATTCAATAATATTACATTCAAGTGATGAGTAACACCTAATACCAAAAAAATTACTGCAAAAATACAGTAAACAAAATAGAATAGGTACTAAATATATTTTCTATATATAATTAGGGAGACCAACTACCTTCAAAGAATAATTTATATACATATTATTATAACAGTAATTGTATTACTTGACAATCAATTTGTTTGTCACTCCGAGTTAAATAAAAAATAAACAAGTATATGACTAAATTCGATAGAAAGTATCTTAAGAATATTTACGAATTAAGCAAAGTATAGAAACACGGATTATTAAATTCAATATATAATCTATTGATACTTTTATACATTGCAAGAATTTTTATAATTACAAGGCAAAAACCTAATAAATAATAAAAATATAACCTACTTTAATAAAGTTTCTGCATTGAAAGGTTAGGTGTCCAGAGTATCCACATTTCTTGCATGCTGCCCTGGATGATTCCTTGCCAAGCTTGTTCACTAAATCTAAATTGGACATAATTATACTAAATAATAACTGCCCTTTATATAGTATTAAAAACTTTGAAAAATAAAAGTTTACTACTTGTGTTCAATATCAACACGACACAACTAACAGTAGTTGTCATTAACGAATGTCAATCAGTCAGTCAAACTGTTAAAGTCATTCAGTTATGAAGTTCATAAACGATCAATATTTAAGTAGGAAGTGAATGTTATTTCGCTGCTTGTATAAAGACATTAGATACTATGTCCGTAATAAAAACAGAGTAGCTTTGTCTTCTTATAAGCTTTAATAGATGCCTCCTTAACTTGCACCGCTTGACCGTATATGAAGCTACAACCTCAACCAAATATATTGCACTTAAAAGCTCTTGTTCTTGTGAAATGAGTTTGTCGTTAAATAGCAATTTATCTATCCATTGTTGTGACAATATATAGACAAGCAAGTATATTATGATATATTTAAAAGAACGATTTATGTAAAAAAACTTTCATTTAAATCATTTCAGCCTTTTAAGAATTATTGAGTAACTAATTTGGAAACTTGGACAATTGTTAGTAACAATTATTACACATTTATAAATATTAATTTATAACCAAAGGTAGACTGTGCATAATCGTCTGCCTACATGTGCATAATATGTGCCTGTGCATAATAGTCTGTAATAAACCTATTCCACCAATATTACTGTCGTAAAGCATCTGTGTTTACATACCACGTACATTCCGATTTGGAAGGTGAAATACGACAGTGAAATTACAGGATACTGAAGCACAACATATTAATCCGGGGGAAGGGATTGTTAGAAATACGGACTATTAATCCCAATGTTAGCGATATACCCTGTCAGGTCGACCTTCCCGTGGTCGTCCCTGGAAACCCATCGTGCTAAACTCCAGGTGTATTCATCACGATGGGATTACTGCCTTTTAATTCTTACTTACCAATCCTCACTGATGACCTGCGAAGGTATTTCATTTATGCAGGCAGGATTACCATTGAATTAACATGCATTACAAAAAAAACAATGGCATGGGTGTATTATGGGTTTATTGTGTATTCTATGATGCTGTTTATATCTATAGATAATTATTATTTTCCATCAGATGGTCCCACACGCAATCAGTGTTTCTATTAGTTTTGGCCGTTATGATCTTAGCTCGGGGAGAAGGGATAGTAAGTAATAGGTGTTATTGTACGTAAAGCAGGTGAACCCTGTTACGTCGACCTCCAAGCGGTTCCTTCAGAAAACTGACATAGTCAATTTCTAGTGAAATCATTATGATAAGCCAAATGACCTGACTTCACCCTCACCTATCATCGCACACTGGTATCCCGCCCGCGTAAATCGAAAACGCAGACGAGGCAACTATTTCTTAGCTTATAATGATACAAAATGACTGTAAACACTATAATCCTTTTAAATACTTTTTCCACAGCTAATAATGAATCAACAGAGGACTTTCAAGACAATCAGGCAAAGGAAATGTTGAGAGATGGCGGAGTTTCTGCCGCTGTGCGATGTGTTATTCAACGTGATCTCGTTGGCGGGCTACTTCTGTGACGTGGTGTTCGACGTCGTGATGGGCTACGCGTTACTGGAGCGAGGGTACAAAGGCAGCTTCGCCGCGGCTATATCTATCGTCGTCACGTCACTGCTCATCTCTCAGGTTTATTTTATTTTAAATTAAGAATATTTTGTACAGACCTCTTTTCGTGATCTAGGCCGTGAATAGATGTAGATGGAGACTAAAAATTTTCCAAATTTGTTTTATTTTAATAATAGCCGTGTAACTTTTTGTTTAACGTGATCTCGTCCAAGAACATGGAATCAGTTCTTATCATATTATCTTTCGATAGTTCATTAGAATTATTTTATTGAATTCCGTGACTATTATTATACGTACACCATTATAGCACTCGAAGATTGGCTATTATTGTAACTAGAAGTACTATAACCTTCCATGTTAGCTATCAATTTCCGACCACTATTCTGCCCACGTACGTTTTGCAAAATATGGTAATAAATAATAATAGTAGTAAATTTTCGAGTGCTGGTAGTAGCACGCATCCTAATGGTAACGAAATTAAATAATTCTAATCGACTAATCATTGATATGTACTTCTGCAAAGTAACATTTAGTTCAGTAAAATATTTATCTTTGGATGACAATGTTTAATATAACACTACATTCAACATTTACAATGAACACAAGAAAAAATTAACCACAGTCAAGAACTCTTTCTTGTCAGTTTTTTTTAATGGGTGATAATGGCATGGTAACCCCGTCTGCGCTATTGGTATACACTGGCGGGGTACCAGTGAGGGATGACAGATGAAGATGAAAGTAGGTCAGTTAGCCCATCCTGACGAATTAGAATTAGTCACGATGGTTTCCAGGGGGAACCACGTGGAGGTCGACCTGATAGGGTATATTGCTAGTAATAGGGCTATTTTGACCCCTATTACTAACAATCCCTTTCCCCCCGGTTCTTTCCTGTCAGTCGTCCCAGCAACACGACAAGACAATGCGTACGTCCCAAATTGTCATGTACTCATTCGGGAAATGCTAAAAGCATTAGATCACTGGTTATACAATCATTTAACTATATCTTATCCTATTCAGGTGCTCTCTCTCCGCTGGCATTTACATGTATGGTGGGCCAGCGAGGGTAAGAAGGGCCGTCCACCGTGGCTTCCTATCACGCTGCACTGCTTGCAGTTAGGTGTGTTGTGGAGGTACGCACGACTTCTAGTGCCTGTCGAGTTACGTCGTGTCAAGCATCAAGTCAGAGATTTGTGTAAGTCACAATTGTATTACAGCTATTTAGTATCGTAAGTATATATATATATATATATATATATATATATATATAGCCCAACAGCGAGACATTTGTTGTCATGATAAAGAATATACCACTTATAGATACAATAGTTTTGCACTAAAATTATTTAAAAACAATAAAACGCATTAATAAACCGATTTGGATTTTTTTTTATCGGAAAAAGAAATACTTTTAAAGTACTCATATTTAATCAAAATAATTTGTTTTGCCACGATTAAAGGCAATATTTTTCTGTGGATCTAAATCTTAAATTGTTGTCTTTTAAATTTTCGCGATGCATGTTATATGTTTTATAAGAGACATGAATTAACGCAATCCATTAACGCGTTAACCTGAATTATTTAAATCGTGATCACTATTGCATATTGCTATTGCAGGCATGCTCCGGCTAGTGCACGCGTTCTGCGAAGCAGCACCGATGTTGTTACTACAACTGCACATTCTCTTCAAGGAGCCACTAGAACCAATCAATGAGCTGGGCGTCACCCCTGAACCTAGTATCGATGAGTCAACAGGTAACTCTAATAAAATAAATAACATAGAACACAGCGACATCTAGTCTTGATTTAAGCAAAATTTGTAATATGAATATTTCACAATTGATAGATATACACACATACTCATAAATACAAGTGTTGAATACAACAATAATGCAAGGATCGAAACTCACATTGTTCGTAGTTGCGATGCAATTCCTTATCGCCGATCTTTTTTCAACGGAAGCTTGTATGGTAACGGTGGACAATCGAACAGGTGCTAAGTTAAGTCGATATAATGACTGATCTTCCGCATAGCGCGTCCGAGAATAGAAATTTTATGTATTTAAAGTTTAATGCAATGTGTAAACTGTATATATATTTGATGAGCTAAACACCGGATAATTTTCTCTATCAGTCACCATTGGCCAGAAAGAGAAATAGGCGGTGCATTCATGAATTAAGAAAACATAAACTAATCATATTTATACATTATAAACATATAAATAGCCTAATATAAACATACACAAAATATGTAATATAAATATTTATTTATTTATATTGCACATTTTTTTTATTTTCGGCGTTTCGTTGCGGGTGATCGGCGACCGAAAATCAGTCGATGCTAACCGTTGTTTGAAAGATAAATGTTTATTGCAGCCAACAAAGCGTTTGCTGAGTTGAATGTGATATCAGCATCCCTTTCGCTGTTCTCTGTGTGCTGGGCGCTGGCCAGCTTCAGCAAAAACGTACGCCTCCAAAACGTGCATAGACTTGTGCTGACCTGGCTGGGAGTCATATTCCAGGTATTTTAGAATGTATTCTACTCAGTAGATATAATACGTATTCATATACTGAATCCTGATAAACTGGAAATGCAGTGATAGAGACCACACAGAAACTAATTATTATTCTAATGTGTGCGTGCGTGCGTGAGTGCGTGTGTGTGTGTGTGTGTGTAATTAAAATTTTACTGGATTAATTACTAAATGGAATTTCTACTAATATACATCAAAAAAATCTCCCACATAAAATTGACAAGAATTTTTAGAAAAGTACAAACATGTTGTTTGAGATGTGGCAGTAAAATTATTAGGTAATACTATTGTATTACCTAATAATTTTAATGTATGGTAAAAGTTTTACTATTAATAGTAATAAAATAATTAATTATCTGTTTAATGGTCTATAGTTAGGTTCTACATAACGAAAGCATTATTCGTTCCCAGTTCCTGTGGCGTCTGGGCACGATATCAGCGCGGATGTGCGCTCTCACCGTCTACGCTCTAGTCTATGAATATTGGGTCTTCTTAGTCATAGGTAAGGATTAGTCTCTTACACTTATAAACATGAATTCTTTTGCCCATAGACAGCTACATTTTTTAATAAATGATAATGGAATAGTAACCTCGCCTACGCTAAAAATATACGGTGACAGAGCACCAGTGTGGGATGATAGGTGAGAATGAAAAGATAAGTCAGTTAGCCCATCTTTCTTGATGAATACACCTGGAATTCAGCACGATGGTTTCCAGGGGGACCATATGGAAGTCGACGTGACATGGTATATAACTAGCAATGGGACTAGTAGCCAGCATAACTAACAATTCCTTCCCCCCTAGAAAACTACATTATCAGAACGTATATATCGTGCACTCATATTTTATATAAAAAAAAACCTGCGAAGCCAAGGCGTTTCAGTAATGTATTATAATATCCTGTTACCTATATAAATATATATATATATATGATAGACAAGACAATGTGTATTTTTCTTGTTTCAGGTCTCCACTGGGTGTCAATGTTCCTCTGGTTGATTTCTCCCAAGAATGTTTTCCACGGGGAACGCATCAGCCGCCCGAGGAAGGCGTATCTCTCCGCGCTCATTGCATTTGTATACGTATTTGCGTATATCAACCTACAGGAACTCAATCATAGACAAAAAATGGTATGTCATTATAATCTCACACGTTCACATTTTTATATATGTTTGTGTGCGTGTATATATATATATATATATATATATATATATACCTATTACTGGGGGTTTTTTTATGGATGAAAATGGTATGGTAACCCCGCCTGCGCTAACGGGATACGCTGGCGGAGCACCAGTGAAGGGTGATAGATGAGAATGAAAACAGGCCAGTTAGCCTATCATGATGAATTCATCAGGAATGAACCATGATAGTTTCCAGGGGGAACCGCGAGGAGGTCGACCTGGTTGGGTATATTGCAAGCAATGGGATTCTGTCTCCATCACTAACAATCCCTTCCCCCCCCCCCCCTATTACTGGGGTAATTGTGTGTTAGCAGTATGTGCCATATGAAATCGAACTTGTAACAATCATAGATGCTATATGAACTTGTGACTCTGTCTGGCGTTGAAGACCTTTCCTAATTAAGTTAGTCCTTTATATGACTTCAGAATTTTATTATAAAAAAACATTAAGGAGTCTAAGAATTGCCATATTATTTTCTGGGAGAGCTCAGTAAATAAGAATAAGTACAATACTACCACACCAATCGTTTTACTCAAACCTAGGATAATCTGCTTTATAAGATACCAGGCAACAAATCTCTAGATACATAACCTAGAACAACAACAACAACAACCGAGCCAATCTAGAAAATTTCGTTTTCTAAATTTATCCTACTGGGAATCGAACCAATGTTTGTATTGTACGAACATCGAACCTGCGAACACCGGATGTGGCATCGTAATGAGAAATTCTTTAGGCTACTGGCGTACTCATCGTATCTTTGGTCACCAAATTTAGTTTCCTAAATTGGCACGACCGGGAATCGAACCCGGATTCTAATTTACACAAAGAGTTTCGTTACGTACAACAAGGAATCGGCTGTGTTCAGGTGACGTTCTACTGCGTGATGTGTGTGGAGAACTGGGTGCTGGTGGGTGCGTGGTGGTGGTCGGGTGCGGCCACCGCCGCGCCGCTCGCCGTTGCTCACGCCGCCGCCTTCCTGCTCGGGCTCGGCTTCATGCTGCTGTACTACAGGTACTAAATACGGTATCATATGTAGTGGGATAAAACAGAATGATAATCCCATCTCCGCTACCGGCATACCTACACTAGTATGGTACCAGTGGGATATGATAGCTGACTTAAGCGAGGATAAACTTAGGTCAGTTAGTGACGAATTCATGGGAATTAACCAGGGGTTCTCCAGGGGGGACCGCATGGAGGTCGACCTGATGGGGTATATTGCTAACAATGAGGTCGATAAGTATAATACAATAAGTCATAAGGCAGTTTACATATTTTTGTCGAATTCAATAACCTTGTCTACAGGCGACGTTTATCACTTCCCATCAAGTGGATATTATTATTATTAGCTTATTTTCCATTTCAAGTTGTATAGAAAAATAATTATACTTAATACTAAATCAAATATATTACAGGTACTTCCACGTTCGAAGACTTGGCTACATGCTGGGTGAAAACCAACAGGGCACTAACAGCACGAACGCATCGTCTCAGAATAAAAACGGTGAGAAAATCTAAAGTTACCACCTCCAGGACTACTAATTTCTCTTTATAATAATAAAATAATTTGATTCTTTGTTTGTTTATAATAAAAAAAACTACTGGCAAAACTCCCCTTTATGAAGGAGACCTGTGTTCAGCAGTGGATAGTTACAGATGATATGATGGTAAAAAATGTATTATAGAACTTTTATACGAAATTTGCCCATAAACCTATTTTAGAAAATCTCTTTGCTTTGAACTTAATTCTTTATTGAAGAGTTTCAAACAGTAATAAGTTCAAGTATAGAAGCGTACAGATTATTATAAACAATGCGATTTATCCGTTATTATCAGGCAAGCCAGGACAAACGGACAACACAACAATACCAGGTGTTTTCAACTGCCGGTTCACAAATCCGGTCAATAACAGCGCAGCCAACGGTCGCAAGAAAAAGAAGCCAACATCGTTCGTACCGCCGCCCGCTGCACCCACCACCGCTTTCTGGAGGCGGCCGCTGCCAGCTGCTCATAATCATCACGTAAGTCTTTTTTATATATATTGACTGCCGGAATTCGATTCGTGGTCGGGTCATTTTGGTAATAAAAATATGTCTATCAAAATAATGTCTAATAAGATAGTAACGCGACATAGGTATTTTTGAATTCTATCTGGTCATGCCTAGGCTTCCCTGGATCCGTGTACTTTTCTTACATTTGATATTCCTTCCACTTTGCTTACAGACTGTAAATATATGCAAATTAGCTTTTTAATTATATTAATAATTATCTATCTATATAAATAGTGAAATTAAAATTATTAGCATCTATTTACGGAAGTACTCTATCAATGAAAAATGCCCAAAAAATTTTTATGGTTCTTCGACGTTTTGCTTTGATAATGATTTGAATTTTACCCTGTATTAAGTTTTAATGTAAGAACATTTAGATGGACCTACATATATTTTAGTCGAAAATGTTTGAAGCGCAATCGGGCTCGCGCTTACGTCACGGCCTCTTATGACTAAGAGTCCCGGATAGACCCGCAACTAGTAATATATTCTCAACTTAAATACACATACATTAATGTGGGTATACTTACATTAAAATATTAAGTATCCTTACGAAACTTTTAACAGTAAAACTATATTACACCACACATAATACACATTTATCGTATAAATAATTTCTAGGGAGGGTCATCTGAAAACGAAGGTTCGAGTGTCGGCTCCCGTGTTAATATCCAACAAAAATTACAAGAGAAGAAACAAAAACAACTTGCAGAATTAAGAGTTATAGAAGAGGAGATTAAGCAAGGAAAATTGGCTAAGACCACGCCCGTGGCGGCCGAAGAGATATACAGCAGCCTCCAGCGACAGCCCATACCGAGGGCCAAAACACATGCCGAGCCCCCAGCCTGGCCGAGCATAGAAATGACACATTCATATCAAAATTATCCAGTTATACCCCACACTTGCAATATGCTGTACCCCACCTACACGGAAATCAAACCAGAATATGGAGTTGAAAATTTCCCGCCCACCGAAAATAATGCAACAGACCTAAACGATCCTTTAAAGATACGAAGACTCCCGAATCGGTACGAAAATCCTCGCACGTTCTATGAGAACCCCGCAAATATTAGGAATGACGTCACGAGGACTCCACTCCGTTCGCCGAATTATTTAGCTTTGGAGGAAACTAGAAACTACGAAGCGAACGGATGCGGAAGTCCGCACAATGTAATAAACAATAGCCCAAGAAACTATAATCCTGATATTTCAAACAATAATTACGACTCTACAGCGATAGACAAACCCAGACTGACGCAAAACATGAATATTTATTCTGATGACAACAGGCCCATGGGAGAATATTCCAGTTTCTGTGAGAACGGTCAAGCTTATACCAAATATGAGAGTAAGGATGAGTACGCATCTGCTTTGCATAGCGCGTTGGCTAACGTGCAGAGCATAGATAATATACGAAATAATTATAACGAGGCAGGATGCATGCAGTACAACCAAAACTGTGAAAGAATGTTCCCTTATCCAGGTCTTGCGGGAAAGAAAATGGAACAGATGAGAAAAATGCAAAGATGCAGGACTCCCGAAATATTATTGGCGCCGCTATATTTGGAGGGATGTAATAGGCAGGTGTGCTGTCATTGGGGAGCGCCATATACGTGAGTGTCTTATATTCTTTTAAACCGACTTCAAAAAGAAGGATGTTCTCTATTTAATTGCATTTTTATGTTTGTTACCCCATCAGTTATAAACAGACATAATTACAAATTGGCCCCACAGTAATTTTAATAAAATTGATTCAATAGTTTATAAATCAAAATAACTGATTTAGTTAATTGAAGTTTTTATTTTTTTATGAATACAATCTTATAGTTTTTTTAAATTCTCTTGTATATTTTACTTATTCTTCAAAATTATTTAATATCATGAATAGATTGCTGTATTTGAAATTAGTGTACCCTTTCTTTACAGCCATATGTGTATTAAGGTGGGTTCCGTACCCACTCCTGTATTCAGGGCCGTGCCTGGGTATATGGCCGCCTGCGTGCCAGTCTGTATGGCCGCCCCCAGGATAACATTAAAAAAAACTACTTTAATTTTTAATGTTTATTATTATACACAGGGCATCAAACCGGGAAAAAAATCAGTTTTTGGTTAACCGAAATCGAGAACGAAAAAAAATATTGGTTTTGTTCCCAAAACCGGTTTCTGAAAAGAAAAACCGGCTAAAAACCGGTTTTATGAGATTTATATGTTTGGATGAAATTTAAGAAAAAAAAATGCACAAAATAAACATTTTTTTATTTAAAATTTAAACAAAAATAATAACATGAAAAAAATTATGGTATTGGTTTTATAATCACAGACAAAATTATCAAACATAAAGAACAAGGAATAACCCTTAAATCTATACTAACATACTAGGATAACAAAGCTCAGTGGCCAATGGCAGATCTGGGCTGACTTGCAACTTGGGAGGTATACAAAATAGAATTAATTTACTTACTTTAATAATAACATGAAAAAAAGTAATTATGGTATTGGTATTATAATCACAGACAAAATTATCAAACATAAAGAACATAGGAATACGATAATTTAAAATCTTAGGTGTCGCTCAGTGACAATTTAAAATTATTTGATTTTAAAAAATCAAATCTGAAACTGTTTTTACTTCGTATCTTAATGAAAACAAACCGATTGTATTTTTGCCCAGTAAACAACTTGTAACGATTTGGCCGCCTCTTAATTTCGGCCGCCTGCGTGCGGTGCACGCAATGAACGCCCGTCAGGCACGGCCCTGCCTGTATTCGAACTGATCTTTGAGCTATGAGTAAAAACATGTCTCAAAGTAAATATACACCATTTTTAAGAAGCCGAAACCCCTTGAATGTGATTCTAAATAAGCCTTTGGTTATTATCCTAATTACTACCCTACTGCATTACCCTTTGAATAATGAAATTGTGCTAGAAACAGAAAGAAAGAGGAGAATGGCGGTGGTGGCGGTGGTGTGGGCGGCAGCAGCGGCGAAGAGTCCAGCCCCGATGCGCCCGCCAGGGACACTCCGCGACCTCCGTCAGACATTGACAGCCAGGTAAGAAATACTATCATTTCAGTAAGTTTCCTTTAAAAGAAGGATATCACACATTTCATCCCTAGTTGCTTCGCTGCATCTTGTATACATGGGCACCTCTGTCCCATTCATGTTCCAACCGTGAAACAATTGTTTGCACAGCTGTGTTTCGATTTGAAGGATGGAATATGGCAGTAAATTTACAGTTGAGCAATGAAAATTGTTATAGAAATTTTATGCAAACAATAGAGACAGATCTCTTCCAGCTACCGTATGGCATGAGAAATGAGAATACTAGTTACATGTACTTTTTTATGTTTCTTACAATATATACATTTGTACGTTTGCATGTTCAGATCTCGCTGCCGCGCTCGTATACGCTACCACGCGAGTTCCGCTACTGGCGGCGACGACCGAGACTGCGGGATGCACATGTGCCTAGCAACAACAGTAGCGATGGTTTGTCCCTATAATCACTGTTATAATCTATTTAATTTCTCATACAAACGGGATTTCAGGTTGCCATTTAAATCTTTCACAAACTACTGGTATATTATTTGTGACTAAAGAGTACTCAGAATAAATAACAATAGGCGGCCTTATAAGTGACCATAGCTAATAAGAGACTTTACATTTTCCGTACATTTCCAAAGAAATTGTGGTGCAGAAAAATAAAAACGTCTCCTTAAAATTGCTCATACTTTCCTATTTATCATGATTGCCTTGTTGTCCCCTTTTTATTTATAGTCAGCGCAGTATGTCTAACTCTTCCACAGATAGTCGCCATTCCTAAACTCACTCCTCTTGTGGATACTTTTGACAGGCTTTCATCCGATTTTTCTTCTAATGTTCTCTTCCTTTACGTTTTGCTCTCCTATTATGACGATAAAATCGTACGATAGAAACTAGTTGAGCATAAGGATGGATAACATAGAACAATATCTATATATTGTAGTTTTTTTTTTGATGGGTGAAAATGGTATGGTAACCCCACCCCGCCTGCACTAACGGGATACGCTGGCGGAGCACCAGTGAAGGGTGATCGATGAGAATGAAAACAGGTCAGTTAGCCCATCATGATGAAATCATCAGGAATTAACCATGACAGTTTCCAGGGAGAACCGCGAGGAGGTCGACCTGGTTGGGTATATTGCTGGTAATAGGATTCTCAGTCTCCATTACTAACAATCTCTTTCTCCCCTATATATTGTAGTTAGTATCAGTTGTCCAATATATAAGATTGAAATGAAGCATCCGATTGAAACGAATAGGAAGATATCCGACTGGAATAGGCGATATCAAAATGGGTGATGACCTTTTTTTTCGTTGTTAATTTCCAGAACCCAATATATAGATATCGGAGCGGTACGGATATTAACCACGGCTAACGGGCAACCCCGATTTTAAAATTCATAAGTCGATATGAACAAAACACATTTCAGGTGACGTAGACAGCGCTGACAACGATAGTGACCGACGGTCAAACTGCTCCGCGGCCTCGCAGCTTCAGAGTCCGACGTACGCGGACGGCTACCAGTACCGAGAGGTGCTCCGGCCTGAGGAGTCCCGGTATAGCGAATTATACGCCGTGTGTCCAGTCGACAGACGGCCTAGGAGAGGATTTAGGAAACAGGGGCCCAAACCAGAGACGAAACTTTGACTGTCACTGGGCGTGCTGTCTTATTCATATGGCAGCATACTTTCCTGTTGTAGTATTAGTTTCATTCTCAGAGTTCAGTTGTGTATATACAACTTTAGAAACTGCAGAATTTCCATAGACAATCGATTAAAAGATTGTTTTTAGTGACACCTATTAGAGATTGTGCTAGCTGAATCACTGTTTGGCCGGCAGCACACCTGCAATGCCGCTGGTGTTGTGGGTGATCATGGGGCATGAGCTCGTTTGCCCGCTGCGTTGTAAAAAAAAATGAATCAACGTAACGACTTATTTAATAATAAAATGTACAAAGTTTAGTCGCCTCTTACGAGCCGCATAGGAAGAAAGTGGTGGCCTATGCTATGCCGGTACCAACGGCCAAAATATATAAGTGGACATTATTTTCGTCATATAGGACATTTTTTAAAATAAAATGTTACGTGATTTCAATACGTGTTTAGGCACTATCATTCTAGTAACTGCTAAAGGTGCACTTGAGAACTTGTATTTAGAATTATCTACTAATCATGTATATTTTGTAACAGTACTATTTATAAGTTATTGATAAGTATATTCCGTTCAATTAAATGTAAGACAGTCAGTAGTAGTGCTAATATTGTTATGTAGAATAGTACATTTTAAAATGAGGATGATTCTCAGTCATTTGACTTATATACTGTCAAAAATGACAAATCCGTCCACAAGTTTTAATCAAATCTCTTATTATTATGATTGTACAAAACAATGTACAATATTAACCATTTAAGTATTCTAATATTTAAGAGCATGTATAAATATAAATCTATTTGTATTATTGTATAATACTGTATATTATACATAAAACTGTTGAGGAGGGAGTGTGTAATAAAAGAAACATGTCAAACTTTTATTTACTTTATTATCTATATTCCAATTGTAAAAGGGGGTACCAGTCACTCTATCACTCCGTGTCACTACGCCACTACTGATCTCAACCATTTACACATTTATAAAGAAACATCAACCGAAATAAGGTTAAAAATTCACAAATACACATTTAATGTTGATTATATCTAGCTTAGAATAATAAGGATTGCGCGCACCGAGAGATTTCTAGGACACTAACGTAAATCAAAAAGAACGTTATAATTGGCCATCCTTATCAGTGCATTGAAAAGGAACGCCTTGACAATGCGTCACTTAATAGTGAAAATATCGAATATAGACAAAATAATATCAGTATTAGGCAACGCGTTGTGTATGTCTCCGTCCGCTCAATCCTACTAACCTAGAATAGCTCACCACGGACTTAGCGACTATTTCGGCCACAAATTACAAAAAGAAATGCTATAAAAGCACCTAACGTAAAATGAAACGGCTCAATGCTGACTACAGTGTATTGTAATGAATGGAACTAGAGTAGACGCCCACAAAAATATTGATATGATTAATTCAATGTCCCACATTATTTGATTACATAAACTCTCAATTACTGTTACATTTTATTGCACTATTACAGTAGAATTACCTGGATCTGTTTGTGAATTGATGCCAATTACAATAACTAGTACTTTATTTGGACTTGAGCGTAAAACGAACGGCAAGTTTTCACACATTTGAACACTACAAACATTGCTGCAATTTCTAGATCTGTATAAATTGCCTCACAATGAAGTATAATAAATAAAAACCTAACATTACTATATCGTATCCGAAGTCAAACCTAATAAAATTAATACAATTATTAAAATAAATTAAATAATTTTTATAAGAAGGTAAAAGTATATAAATAAAAATATATATTCGAAATAATCGGACAGTCTATAATTATAAAAGAACACTGAAAACTTGACCATCGTTTTGTCCGCATTAATAATTCCACGCCAAAATATAAAAATATATGGAAGATACTGGCACGTAATCTCCCGTATTTACTAAAATACGTCACGCCGCAACCAATACGAACATAGCCCCGAACAATGCAAGTCCTGTGTATTTATTTACACCTCTTAAAATACACTTAGTCGATCTTAAAATGAATAGCTTAAATTTGCGATAGTGCCAGACGTCAAAAGAACACTTTTACAACCTAGATTCGTATTAAAAATAAACTTACTTTCCGAATTCTTTTTAAACAATCGACAACGATTTTTAAAACAAACAAACGCGGCCGATATACGGATACATCTGAACTTTGTACAATGATGGAAATTTACATAAAACAACATGTACTTAGATTGACCCGTTGAAGTAAACCGTGCACTGAATGCTGCGTCAACAAAATATGGTCCCGACACAGGCTGTCTATAAAATAAAATAAAGTTAAAAAATATATAACAATTTGTGGTTTCGATAGTAAGGCACTCAACGCACGGGTTACGTTCAAACACAACAAAACATAAGGAATTGTGATATACTATCACTTTAAAAGTCCCCATTACAGGCACAGTGAACATAAAACTCCTTAGAAGCTCTAGAGTTCTTGAACTCAGATTATACTTACACTAGAGGGAATTATTCCTACAACATAAAATTACATAGTCCAAGCCGCGCCGTGGCCGCCTACATCAGAAACTGACAAATGTCACCAACTGAATTGAGATCCTTGATCGTAACGCCTATGCAAACATAACTGTTCAAGTATTATATAAGCATACGTAGAGCCGTTAACATTTCCGGTATTATTGATAAAAGGAGCGAAGGGGAGAGGTTATTACCTTACGTAACATAAATTACAATATTACTAATTTTAAAGACACTACAATTTTCATACTAAAATACTTTGGTTTTTTTTACATTTTCAATTTTAATATTTTCGATTTTATCTTATACCGGTAGAGACTCTAAATTGATAGCTTTCGTAACACTTGAAACACTTAATTGAATTGTTAACGGTTTTTAAAATTCGTTTACATATACATCATTAGGTTTCCGATACGCATCATGATCATTTAGTTGCACAGAAGCCTTTTTTTTTATATAAAATCGTATCTGTGCATAATCAGCCAACACTCATGATTCGTGCCTTCAGCTTAACAGGCATTGCAATCAAGGCGTGTTACAGAAACTAAGTTGAGTTAAGCCACAGACGCGACGTCGGGTATTAGTCTAAATGTTTAAGTTGCGTATCTTACTTGACTATTTATGTTTTGCGGCCGACTGGTCACTGCTCACGATGATATGAGCTGAAATAAAGAATTTTTGTAAGACTTTATATTAACAAAATAGAGGATCTACCATGATACTTAATTATAAAAGTCCGTTCATATAATGAAACAAGTTGAATCATTATGAAGACACGATTACCGTAAACAGACCCGATTGCAGGTATTCGGGACCGTAGATGAAGAGTAGCCTTTCTTTTTTTTTATATACAGCACAGAATGGCATATAACCTGACTGCTACCTGATGGACGTGCTATGAATATGATAAAATACATATATACGTCCACGGCATCACACCTCATGCATTATCATTCCTAAGGACTAAGAAGATGTCATACTTCTGTACCCTGTAACTTCCCTGCCTTTTATCACGCACAATCGGAAAGATTGTTTACCATTTCGTATTATATAAAAAAAAAGTCATTGATAATGGGAAAGGTTCGTATTTGCATACATATCTATAATTCTGTCACCTTAATATTAATATTGATCCTTTATTTTTATCATTAATTATATAAGTTACATTCATATATATATAGGCGAAAATCACTATTTATCTTCAAACTTCATAATAAAACAAAATAATAGAAATGTAATAAAATTAAAACAGCATGCATAAAAAATAAAAAACAAAAATTCTACCTTATAAAGAAAAGCAGTTGTATATCCATTCCATTTCAGTTATTTACTTTTTCATAATATATTATTATTGTAATAATATATAACTATGTCCTTTTATAAACTATAGGTATACTATGCAGACATCTACACTCCGCCCTTAACTCCTAACATCTTAAATACACTGTAACAAACGAAAAAAATTGCAAAAATAAATAATAGAAAATAAATATATATATCTACATTATAACAAATAAAAAATAATATATTCGTAGGTGATGTGTACCACAAAATAATAAAAGCTACCCATAGTACACAGCTTTTTTATCTGCATTTTGTTCATGCCACATTGTCATTGTCTCCATTTGGGACAAATCATTTCCAATAAGGTCAACCATTAGGCGGTACCCCTCCTGAAAGTCATCGTGGTTTCCACATCATCATCATATCAGCCTTAATCGTCCACTGCTGAACATAAACCTCCCCATTGAGGGATATATTCCCAGTAGTTGTCACACTTGGCAGGCGGATTAGCAACCTCAGGAAGGCTGTGCTAATGGAGAGAAGGAAAATGGAAGCTGATGCCCATCCCTAGTCCTCCCTTAGGGGCCTCTTACGACATCCACGGGAAAGGATGGGGAGGGGGTAGCCTATTCTATGCCGGGACCACACGGCAGTGTCCGTGGTTTATTGCTCATTAATTAATCACAACGGGCCAATAAACCTGAGTTCATCCACCACTGGTGCCCCGCCATTGTATAGCATTAGCATAGGCGGGTATAACATTTCTCTACATCCACAAAATTCTATAAAATCCTATCCATGGCGACATCAATGAACACTGATTTATTAAAGTATTAGCGGCCAAAGAAATTGGCATAGTATTTTTTCTTATACTTATTTGCTCTAAACACCTCTTACAGAGAAAAAGAACCCTCTTTTGCTAATCGTTAGTAATGGGAACTACCAGTTCCATTACTACCCTGACAGTTTTATAATCCTACAGCCTATCCCCCCCCCCCGCCCCCCTCCGGAAACCATCGTGTTCAATTCTAGGTCTAATCACGATGGGCTAACTGACCTGCCTTTCAATCTCACCTATCAAACCTTACTGGCGTCCTGCCAGCGTACACCATTCCATTTATCATGCATTAAAAAAAGCCCACCTCTTACAGGAGGGAAAGGAATTGTTAGGGATAGAACTTCACCATTGCTAATAATATACCCACCCTATAAGGTCAAACTCCACCTAATTCCAGTTAAAAAACATCATGATTTATTATTGATGAATTCCTTCCTCACTATGGGTCAACTGATCTGCTACATGCTCACCTATCAGGCCTTATTAATACACCGCCAGTATAAATCGATACCGCTAGCAAGATCACTATTTCATTAAAATGTCCCTTGTGACAACATATAGCATTTCTATTCTGATACATCATGGAAAACCATAAGAAACATGTAAGTACACATGATATATTGAGACTGCACTAACCGACTTGACTGTGGCCTTGATGAAGTCCTTTTTGTGTGCGAGATCAAAGTCCGGGTAGTGGCTATACACTTGCTTGCACACTGTCTTCATTGTGATCTGTTCCAGGTTAGCGCCCTCTAATATCTGCTTCACGTACTTCTTTATTTCATCGTCCTAAGATAACAAAACACTTAGGTAATAAAAAAAATATTTATTAAACATTTAGACATTTTACGAAATTTGTTGTTACTTTGTGAAGTCCATATCAATGGTTAATTGATCAAATATATAATGTTGCGTATGAAAAACAACAACATATGTATTACAGGGGAAAGGGATTGTTAGTAATGGAGACTGAGAATCCCATTGCTAGCAATATACCCAACCAGGTCGACCTCCTCGTGGTTCCCCCTGGAAACCATCATGATTAATTCCTGATGAATTCATCATGATGGGCTAACTGGCCTGTTTTCATTCTCATCTACCACCCTTCACTGGTGCTCCGCAAGCGTATACCGCCGTTAGCGCAGGCGGGGTTACCATACCATTTTCACCCATCAAAAAAAAACTTATGTATTACTAGCGACCCGCCACGGATTCGCAATATTTATGCAATATTTGTTTATGTAATTTTTAAACTGTTCAACAGATTTTAGTAAGGCTGGTATTTTAGCGTGTGTGAAGGTACTGCACTAATATTCTGTAAGATAGTATTCTGTCTTTAAAATTAACGAGCTATCTATCAATTTGATGTACGTGCGTTTATACAGTTCACTTGCGTCCCTCCCTCACCTCCGCTCCCCGCCTACTATACTCGCACGGCCAGCGACAGTGGCAACGCAATAAAATTATTGCGGATTATCGGATTATTGTTTTTATTTCGCATACCTTCAGACCAACTGCATGATTAACATATTGTAAAAAGTAAACTTTATCTCCATGATATTTGCATTTTGATTTAGCTACTTGTTTTTATAATTATAATAATTTATAAAGTATATGTGTACCTTGTAAAATTAATTACTGATATTAAACTTGGACATATGAAATACAGCTTTACAAAAAAGGCTGTGACACAGTCTTTTTTGTAAAGCACTCAAAAAATGCCAATAAAATATACTCACAGTAGGCGGCCGTTTGGCTTTCTTATCAGCAGGGGAATCGGAATCTTCGCCGCTTTCCTCCTCGCTTCCCTCCTCCTCCTCCTCTTCACTAGCGGACTCCTCTTCTGAGGACGCTTTCTTAGCCTTTTTTCCGGCAGGACGACCAGCAGGTTTGGCAGCTGGCTTTTTCTTGGCTAAATGTAGAAAAAAAAGCAATTCATTTATCAATAAGCTTTTTTTACTGATAATCAAATTAAAAACCATAAAACAAAAGTACAAATTAACTAAAGTATCAATTACAGAATAAAAAGTAACACAGATTATCTTTGCAACAGCATTTGATATTCATTTGCTCATAGTTTGGAGATTGAAAATTAAAAGTGGAACTATTGACAAAATGAGTATTTGAACAAGACCAAGATATGAGCATAGTTTCATTGAAAAAGAATTATCATACGCAAAAATCAAAAAAGAATTTAGAAAGTTTCCATTTTTTCAAGTTAGTAAGAAAAGTAAGCATACTGACCGGGCGGCGTAGGCGCTTTTCGTTTGACGGGTGTGGCCTTCGCATTAGCAGCTTTGCCCACTGCACCTTTGCGGCCCTTCGCCACTGCCGCCGGCCGACCGCGCTTCGATTTAGGTTCCTAAACAAATACATAATAAAACACATTAAATTATTTAGATTTATTTTTAAAGCATTGTTATCTTTTCATTTGAGGTATTAATTGATTACAAGAAATTTTATCCTTTATAAAGACCGTCAGATGAACTTTTCTCAAAGAAACAGATTGAAATTTGATAAAACAATTTTAATAATATAACCCATACAGCTACATGGTTGGAAATCTATTTTTTGTTATATTTCAACCCATGTTTCTGTGGGGCAAACATTTAGTGGTAACTCACATACTATCTTAAAAGGATGTTAACGATTTTAATTTCAGCCATCCATTCATAGTATGTCCGTGTGGTCCCAGCATAGAATAGGCCACTCCTTCCTTTCCTGTGGGTGCCATAAAAGGCGACTAAAGGGACTTAATACTAGAGGGATGGGCAGCAATGTCCCTCTTAAAACATATCTAAAAGCCTAACTGCAGATGCCAACCCACTTGCCAGGCATAGCAACTACTGGCAAAGCGAAAGGGCGCTTTGGAAGGTTTATGTTCAGCAGTGGACAGTTAACGGCTGAAATGATGATGATTATTCATAGTATGTATATAATAAACTTACATCAGACTCTTCCCCTTCGCTTCCAGATTCCTGTTCACTCTCACTCTCTGACTTTTCACTTTCTTCATCACTATCAGATTTGGCTCGTCTTCCACGGCCTTTAACAGATGTCACCTGTGTACATTGAACATAAACACTAATTTGTTTTAAAATAATATAAAATACAAGCAGTATTGTTTCTATTTATTGATTATTACTAACTTGTAATGCTTTAACAGTCAAGCATATTTTTATCTCACAAGTTTTTTTAATATTTTCTAAATTTAACCTTATTCTACCTCTAGATTTACAAGAAGCTATGCATAAAGAAAAGAACCAACAAGTTACAATTACTTAAATCCATAATAAATCTTTACTTATAAATGTGAAAGTAAGTTTGTTTATTATCTCTTGCTGCTGTAATGACCAATCATTATGTAATTGGGGATATACAATTATGTTGGAGATAGAGAAGAACTTATGTTCCTGTTTTCCCAGTCATGTGGGCAAAGCTAATAGGCACAGATAGAATTGTATGTAACTTATATAAATAGATTTTTTTTTATATGAATTTACTGCAAGAATAATATCAAATAAGTGTATTGTACTGAAATATAGTAGGTATATAGTAATCTATAGTAAGAACAGTACCTTGCCCTTTTTGCCCTTGGGTTTGCGACCCCGCTTGCCAGGTTTGCCCGACGAGCGGCGACGCCCACTACTCTTGCGTTTACGCCCGACTCCGCTCGCGCTTTCTCCCGCTTCTGGATCGAAATCGGAATCACCCTCTTCCGAACCACTGGGGTTAAATGAACCCTATAAATAAATTAACAAATTTTACACACACTTTGATTAACATAAACTGATTATTGTATAATAGAATGTAAATAATGTAGAGTATATGTATATTTTTTTGTACTTATTTATAACATTCTAAAGATTGACAGAGAGAATACTAAATAAATAATAGCATTAAGTCTGCTGTTTAATACTCAAATATGGGTGCCCATATTTGAGTATTAAACAATAAAATAATTGTGATTTACTTACATCTGAATCTTCTGATCCATCTTTAGGCAGTTTTGGACCCTTGACCTTTGTTTCTGGGTCAGTTTCATATTCCTCATCAGAGTATCCTAAACATTAAAAAATATCATTTAGAAAAAAACTTACAAATTAACATATGTTTGCAAAATATTTCTCCTCAAAATTAAAATAATTAGGTTTCTTTTAACAAAGTGTTTTTGAATAGTACATCTGAAAACTTTTCTCAAGAAATAGCATAAATTTATACTATAATAAAACAACGCATTCTCCCAAAAAAAAGTGGTATGGAGAGCTGGTAATTTATTATCGTTTTTCAATCTTATATTTTTTATGAGAAGATGGATTCTCAGAAACAAGTTCCTTTGTGAAAACTGTTCAGTTTCACTGATAAAAAACATCTAAGTTTTCTGATGATTTCTATTTCGTCCTCTATAGAAAGAATAATTGAAATGAATTAATACATACCTCTATTATGCACTTTGACGGCAGCGGACCGTCGCGGACGGCCGCCAGGTGTAGAGGGCGGCGCGGCTGCAGGCGGGGGGCGGGCGACGCCACGGGCGTGTGGAGAGTTCGCTGCCGGCTGCTGCAAGAATGCCACTAGTCGCCCCGCTAACTCGTTGGCGCCTCCTATCAGAACCAATCATACATACCATACATTATAATGTCCCACCACTGAGTGTGATTCTCATTGTATTATTGAAGAGATCATCATTCAAAAAACCATCAGTCAAAATATCACTTGTGTTATTACATTGAAGTGTTGCAATTATAATTGTATGACTATTTTCCAATTTCAAGGGAGGTATGGTAATAAAACAGTAACATACTAGTATTTAAGAATGCTGATGCATGAGTGATACCATAGACATCACAGACTAGACTGTATTTGCTGTTCATATCTACAGACAACAGTCTATCAGGTGTGCTCTTAGTTTGGTGGCTTAACCAGAGTGATTAGGAAACGATTTTATAGTGTCTTATTCGAATTAAATTTTTCTTGCACTGGTATATTAATTTTGTTCTTACGAAATTCAGGAGATGAAGAGTGGTCTAAGAATTGAAATTCAACAATTACCTTTTTTATCCAAGTCGAGCATCTCACACATGGTGCGCAATTGTTTCATCTCCATCTTGCTGGTCTCTTCCAATTTTGCTTTGTACTCCGTTGAACCAATTGCCCATTCATAGCCTTTGAATTTCTTGATATTACGTTTCACATTACGGTCTAAACATAGTTGCTGAAACAAAACTAGAAATTTAGCATTTAGAAATATAGATAAATTGCATTTTATTGCAATGATATTCAAATATGCAAGGCACAAATAATTGTATTTGGATATTTATTCGCAGTACATAAAAGTAAGAATCTACTCAAGTTATAAAATGTATTAGGTCAAAAATTTCGTACAAAAATTCAAAATTTCAAAAACCACAAATCATTTTGAGTGTTCCATACAAACTCAAGAGCATGCATAGTATTAGAAAGGCTTAAATTTTTGCTATATCAGCCCATATTCTTTGATTAAAATGTTCTATTTCACTGATAAGACACTCTTTACATAGAAGGCTAACTATTTCGATATCACCTGTATATAGGAGAATTTGTTGCTATATTACAGAATATCACAACCTTAATGTTTACTGTTATAAAATAATTATAAATATACTTACGCCATATAAATACTGATGCAATAATTTCTGGTCCTGAGTCTTGAAACGCGACAGCGATACTTCCACGTTGCTAATGTGACCGAGAGGGATACCCTTTCCGGCTGGCAGTGGGACAGGCGGCTCTATTGGCTGCATAGGATACAGTGTGTAAACAATATTGAATTTGTTAACACATTTGACTATAAATTAGGCAATATCGGTACCACTAAAACAGGATTTTTCTGGACATTTCATTCAGGTTCTATCATTTAAAGGAAGAAATTTATTTTTATTCAAGTAAACTTAGATTTAAGCATTTTTGAAGTGATTTTTCATTACCGCGCATTTAGAACGCAATTTCAGTCAAGAAGAAAGGGCAAAAAACTCAGCAGTTGCTCTTTTTAAAAAGTTTGATTATATAAATAATAAATTTGTGTATAAACTACCAAACAGTATCAGATCATAGATATTTGATCAGATAATAATTTGATATTACATATTAGATAACCAATATTGAGTATGTCTATTATTATCAAATATATAGATATTGTAACTACAATATATAGATATTGCCATATATCGCCCTCACCTACTACTGTTAGCTAGAAATGAGTGCATAACAAAGTTGAATGTGTTCTGTTACCAATGCCCTAGATACTGAATTTGTATACTAAACAAGATTTTTTTATTTATTGTAGATAACAATTAACTCGTAACTTATTCATTTTACTACAATTAATATTTATTAATCGTAATTAAGAACATTTTGTGTAATTTTCTATGGAAATGTGAATCTTAATTTTTTTTGTATATCCATACTGGTTTCTAATCCCATTGAATAGTGGTACCTCATTTTCTCGCTCACACTCACCTCTCTTTTAGGTTTGGGTTTAGGCGCCTCCTCTTCCTCTTCCTCCTCCTCTTCTTCTTCACCCTCCTCATCTCCTTCTTCATCACCTTCATCATCTTCATCCTTGGCTTTCTTTGCTGGCTTCTTTACTCTAAAGACACAATAAAAAAATATTAAAATATTGAACAAGTTTCTCTTCCATTCAACCAGTATTATATAGTAAAATTTTAGCCATGGACTAACAGTGTCATACTAATTCAAATTAAGCCAGCTATAATTTTTTAGACAAATTAGACATATATACAATTTATTAAATACAACCACGAAAGACGTAGCTGTACATTAAACGTTTACGTAACCTAATTTTTGACCTCTCTCCCATGTATATTTTTCTGACCCCCCCCCCCCCTCCTCTTCCTAACACGTTACGTAACACCCAAATTGCCATTTTTAACGGGATTCCCCATAAAACAAAAAGGGCTACCAAATTGGAAAATATTAATTCCCTAGTTTTTTATTTCAATTAAAAAAGCAGTGCCAAGTAACGCGTTGTTCGGACCCTATTCCTGCCCCTATAACGCATCGAACATTTTACAAAATAAACATATTGCGTTATGTAATACTTGAACGTCCCCTTGAACCCTCTAAGCTACCATAGTCTTTCGTGACTTTGTGACTGTGTATATCTAAATTGGTACAAATTCACTTAATTAAAAATTAACGAAAATATTTTTAGTTATACCAATCAACTTACTTCTCTTTAGGTTTAGATTTCTTATCATCTGCTTCATCTTCCTCGTCTCCTTCTTCTCCTTCTTCCTCCTCGTCATCTTCTTCCTCATCCTCATCCTCCTCTTCAGTATCCTAAATTAATAATAATATGAATGTGTAAAAATCATAAGTTTTTTTTTATCAAATGGTAGGGAAGCTTAAAAAGCTTTTATAATGTAAAATGTTATCTTGGAGCGCCGACCATATTAAAGATAGTGCGATATGACTAACTTTACCGTTTCCTACTCTTGAAGCCCTTTCATTTGATATCCATATTAATGTATGTGTAAGTGTATGCAAAATTTCAGTTCAATCAAATATCAAGAAATAGTTCTATTTCCGTTTGCAAGATTTTGCCCTAAATAAACATGCTTTGAAAGTTAAATAAAAGCTTGTAATAAAAAACAGAATACCCATAATGTTTATGAATGTTGTATTATATATGGTAATAGCCTGGTCTAAGATTGACAAAAAACATACTACATTAGATAGTTGATTGGACATGAAAATGATAATAAAGTTATTAATGAAGTTACAGAAGTTTTATTAAGTTTAATATGGAAAATCAAGAACACAAACACCATCAGGCGGTTAGCAGAAAACAGAATGTTTGATAGAGTAGAAGCAGTTAATTTTACCTCTTTCTTAGGCTTCTTCTTGGAGACGGTCTTCTTTGCTGCTTTATCGTTCTCTTTCAGATCATCCTTATCATCGTCATCGTGCGTTTCACCGTTCTCCTCCTAATACATAAAAAAAAAGTCATACTATATGAATAAGAGATTCTTAATTCGTATGTATTTATTTTATGGCTTCTACACGATAATTTGCCGTATAAGTCGCGGCATAGAATAGGTCACCCCTTCCTTTCACGTGGGTGTCGTAAGAGGCGACCAAGCAAGTTTATGGTGCAGCAGCATTCCTCGTTAAAACATCACCAAAAGCCAAACTGTGGTTGCTAAACCGCCTGCCAACCGTGGCAACTAATGGCGAAACCCCCTTTACGGGAGAGGTCTATGTTCAGCAATGAATACTTAACGACTGATACGACTATAACACAATAACATCGCCATTTCTGAACCGCTTTGATAATTCTTTTTTACAATGTGTAAGTCTTAGACCCATAGTCTGTGGTAGTGGTCTTATATTAAATTTCAAACTATTGTAACTTCCGTTTGCTTCGTTTAATTTTTCACTTGTAGACACATAATGTCGGATTCTATATTCAAATATTTTATGAGTGTTATTCGGTTTAAAACAGTATAGTGGTATTAATGTCAAAATATATTACATAGTGAATATTAATTTCGTTGAGACTGTTTTTTTTGCAGAGCAATATCTACTTGTTATTGTAAAATGTTTTTATTATTTACAAACGCGACCAGTTACGAAACGTCATACTTAGGCGTGTTTGCAAAATTATTAATAATTCATATAATCGGCATAATGAAATTCCATTGAAAAGTCACAATACAGACGATGGTTTCTAGTTGAATTTTAGATTAATCATTATTTAAATATGTCAACTTTAGTAGTATTTTTATAAATCTACAACCTACTACGAGTTAGGCTGACAATTTAGTAATTAACTTGTTTATTCGGTATACTTCACTCTTACTCAGAAAAATGTCTTAGGTCTAATAAACCCACTTCAGTTATTAAAAGCTTTTGTCTTTTTCTTTAGCGCCAATTACTCGATTTCAAGAAAGAGACAAAAACACTGGTAATAGAATATTAAAATTCAAATCTTCTTTATTCAAATACACTTGTTTACAAGCACTTTTTAATCGTAATTTTTTTATGAATGCAGCGTTCAGAAAGTTGGCATTTGTTGAGAAGAGCCCGCAAAAAACTCAACAGTTACTGTTTTAAATAGATTTGTATATTATCTTTGTGAATAAAAGCGATAATTTTTTACTAGTTTTCACAATTTACTAGACTCCCGTAGCCACGTTGAAAAACATAGTTTCATAAATGAATGGCGGTTTCGATTTACATAATTCACTAACGAAAGAAACTTGTTTTTTATTTAATTTAGCAGTTAAAGTTAATTTGTACACTTTTCACATATTAGAAATAGTATTAATAGAAACAGCAATAATTTGTATTCAAGTTAATCATCATCATCATCATATCAGCTTTTAACTGTCCATTGGTGAACATAAGTTTCCCCTTTGAGGGGTTTTGCCAGTAGTTTCCACGCTTGCCAGGCGGATCGGCAACCGCAGTTAGGCTTTGGGGATGTTTTAAGAGGGACGCTGCTGCCCATACCTCGCTCTCTCTTGGTCGCCTCTTATGACACTCACAGGAAAGGAAGGGGTGGCCTATTCTATGCCAGAACCACACGGCCTAGTTCAAGTTAATATTAAATTATGGGTATTGAAGTCATCTTCAATAATTCTACCGCCCAATTTGATATGCAATTTCAGCTAAAAGGAATTTGGATGGTACATTTTTTTTAACAATTTTTGCATTTTATAAATTATAAAAATATGTTACTGATTACAATGACTATCGCTAACGTCATGACTATGAGTAATATTTCAATCAATCGCAGTATTTTCGTACAGAATAAACCAGACCATTTACTGCAAACAGGTCCAGAATCCAGAGGGAGACTTTGTACAAAAGTCGATTGCTTGGGTACCTCTGTCCCATTCGTATTTCTACCGCGAAGCAGTTGTTTCCATCGCTGTGTTTCAGATGTTTGATGCTGATTTCAGAGTGTGTGTGTTGTACAGAGGAATAACACCTGAGTCCTCAGGAATGGCAACGCATGGGGAGTATCATGGGCACAACAGTATACTCTGTTATTTCCATGGTACTGCTCATGTCTAAAGGCGACGGTTACCACTTTCCATCAGGTGGGCCGTCAGCTTGTTTGCCATTCTAAGTTGTATAAAAAAAAACGAGTATGACGAATGAGACAGCCGTCGTGTTCACTGTATTTATAATATTATATAGAGTAACTATCTAGATTTTTTTTTGTTTGTGTTCGTAATGGATAAACTTAAAAAATATACTTAAATGATTTTTTTTTAAATTCTTTCATTTATAGAAATCTACTTTATCGATATGAAACATGGGCTATCTTTGATTTGAACAAAATCGTGCAAAGCCGGGGTGGTACACTAGTGTATAAATAAAATGATTGGAAACAAACCTTTTTAGCATCGCCATCTGTTTTCACATCCCGTTTGTCGTCCTTGGAATCGTCGGCGCCTGGGTCGTCCTTACCGTTGGCAGTTGCCGACTTTGAATCTCCTGTGTAGCGATAAACATGTTTTTAAAAAACCTCAATTATTTTGTAAAATCAAAGCCCACGGAGACAAGTATCAATCCTCGAGAAGTTTTGTCTTAAAACATTGTATCTCTTTAATAAATACCGACTGTATCGGGTACAAAGTCTTCAAATACACTCTAATAAACAGTTCAAAAAACTAGAACTAATCTGTCCAAACTGCAGTTCGTGTTGACCGGACCGCGTTTTCCGAAAGGATTTTCACACAACGAAAAAAATTGTTAGTAATGGCCTAAAAATCCCATTGCTAGCAATATATACCCTATTAAGTCGACCTCCACGTGATTCCCCCTGAAAACCATTATGGTTAATTCTTGATGAATTCGTCACAATGAGCTTACTGATACAACTTCATCTTCACCCATCATCTCTGACTGGTGCCTCGTGAGCGTATACCAATTGCGCAGGCGCAGTTACCATTCCATTATCATCTACTAAAACCGCGATTGTCCCTGGAAACGATCATGATAAATTCGTGAAGAATTCGTCACGATGGGCCAGCTGACCTTATTTCATCCTTACCTATCAGCCTTAAACGGAGCCGCGATTCGCGAGCAGGGTTTCGATTCCAATTTCATCTTAAAATATGCTGTATTTTCACAAATTCAGGACTAATAAATAATCGTACAACATTTACGTACTACTACTACCGAGTGAATTAAGATCCCGCTGCTGACTTCAGCAGGCATAAGACTTTTTAATGAAACTTGGTTTAAATGAAAGATGAGCGAAAATACAATGCACACGGGTTGCCTGCTCTCAGTTTGCCGTAATTGCCGTAACGTATATTATTAATTTTATATAACTTGGTGAATTTTAGAGGCTTCTAATGTTGAGGAGATAATATTAACGCACTTACAGTCAAATCGGCGAGTTATACGAAATGAATATTATAATTTTTTTTTAATAATCATAAATTTATTTGCATTAAATAGGGCAGGTATCGGTGATCTCGTATAGTCTCGAGCCTATTTAGTAATTTACAGAATAGCATGCAAATGTCAGATTTTGGTAAAAACTAATTAATTCATGCATCGACAACTATACTAAATATTTATCTATTCTTTTTAAAAAATTCGTCTACCGAATAAAACTTCTGTGAAATAGCTATTTAGATAATTTTATTTTAAATTTGTTTAATGGAAGTTCCTTTATATCTATAGAAATATCATTAAAGATTTTTGAAGACATTATTAGTGTAAAACTGACTTTTATTCCCGCCTATGTGCTTCAAAACCGGTGCCAGATGGATCAAAACTGTGAAACACAGAAGTACTCAACACATAAGGTACTATTAATTTCAATTAGCGAAGCAAACCCACGGAATACAACTAATAAATTGCATAAGAACTAAATGACGCAGTGTTAAAAGTTGCATAATGTTATTAGAACAAAATATTGATAATTTAATTACATTATCTTGTGATTTTCGATAAAACCAACTTTACGAGATAAGGCTTTGATAGGGCGAGATTTACACAATGTTAGTAGTTTTTAACCATTACAAAAACAAGTATTCCCTTTAAATCCCTCGCAAAATAAAGAGGGCCAAAAAACACCAACTGCTATTGGAGGAAGGGGATTGCAATAGGGACTAATGGCCTCATTACTAGCAACATACCTATATAATAGGTCGATCTTCGTACGGTCTCCTTCGAAAACTATCATTGATAATTTGTGATAAATTCGTCAACATGAGCCAACTGACCTACTGTCATCCTCAAGTATCATCAGTCACTGATGCCCTGCCAGCGTATACCGATAGCACTAACAGATACATCATTGGGACTAATTCTAAGATACCATCTGTCTGAACGTATTTCTTAATATTGAATTTAATAGTTTCCCAATATTATTGTCTTATGAACCGTCATAAACAAAAAAATTTAAAATTTAATGGATTTTATTTAGAAAATTAGTTCATGTTAGTCCTTTTAATAAAGATTTTGCTGTGATATCAAATTTAGCTTCGCCCACCATAATGGCCTGCGCAGACGAGCGACACGCGAATGTCGGCGAACAAATTTTCCCTTTATATTTACCTCATTTTGTTACACTTCTAAATTCGACGAGACAATTCTCGACGTAAATTTTAGTCCGGGCATTGCAAAACGTCTAAAAATTCACGCAAGTGTATTTGCATAAGGTATACGTATATAAATAATCTATGATAACATCGCACGCCCCCTCTAAATTTTTACTTCAATGTGTGTGAGCATATATAAACAAGTTGCTTACTTATAAAAATAAAAAAACACCTTCAGTCGCGCCCAGAGAAGAATTAAATTCCTTGGTCGAAACCTTGTCAATATTTTTAATTCTTTGAATTTTGGTAAAGCGTATCATGTTATCGTCGTCAAACACGACTTACACAAATTTATTCCGCAGCAAAAAAGTCCATCGTTTGCGAACGCTTTTAGTAATAATTAGTAGATCTGGGCATATTGACATAGCGGTATGTAATCCCGAACTAAGCCGAGTTTAACTGTTTAGTACTATAAGTACTAGACACAATATTTTTTTTAATACATACAAGAAGTAAGTGTATTTAAAATACCCACACGAGTACAAACAGATATAAGGAGTACAAATGTGTGTACTTTGCTAGGAACAAACCCGTAACAGTCGAAGAGCTGTGTGTTATCTTTCGTCTCATACTTTGGTCGACATTGACTCTTGACTTTTCCGGACAGAATGACAGAAAAAAAATTTATATACGTACCATACAATTTCTTTATTATACCACTACCACTGTCTACCATTATGACCAACAGTCGCAGTTTTTAGCGTAAAGTCATTGAAAATCAACCGGAATTATTGTATCACGCGGATGGAACGTCTATTTACAACAGACTTTAAAAAGGAGGGTGTTCTTAATTCAAATCTATTTTTTTTTTTTTTATATAACAACTTCTACCATCCTATCGAGTAATAACAATTGGTAGGAGTAAAGTTTAATTCATTGTTCTGATTCCACTGTCTATTGACATATACGTAGGTTTGTTTGCGTAAAACGTTCCAAATTATTCCCACGAAAAAAGTAATAAATCTATCCGACTAATTACAAATTATCGCTTAAACGTGAATGAGGAAGAACGAAATAGCAACTTTTATCTCGTGTCTTATGCGTACGCTAACATAAACATATCCATCGATAGAATTGAAAAGTTTTTTATTTCTTTGCCTCTTATCTAAGGGTAAACGAATGTAAAGGATTTAATTATCTGGGTTATATAGGAAATTACGGAATAAGCGAGTTAAATGTAGCTGGTTAAACGATAGGAGTTTCGTTGTCTGGTTTACAACCGAATTCGACACTTTATAACTTAACAACGCAAAGAATGAAGAATAATCTGTAAAGATAACCCCTAGGGAAGGTAAATGTGGGTTGAAAGTTTATATGAAATATCGTCAGTTTAAAAATTAAACATTTTAAATTTAGGGTCACATTCGAAACAAAATCCGCGTGAAATTGAACGCGAGCGAAATCGCAGGCAAAATCTGGTATTTAATAATATTTCGAAAATAATTCTATTTTAATAACCCAGCTAAAACAAGGCACGATATGTAATAAAAAATTATCCAATGTAGAAGCTGCAGTGTTCACACATTCCATCTGTCATGCCACTATGCAATAAAGATACGATATTTTCTAAAGATACCATAATTAGCAGCGACACATTTTATGATACATGACGAGTGACAGTGATGTTGACGATAATGACGTTCCGTTATATTACACGATTTATTTATAGTAATTTTAATTTTCAATAGAACTTAACGAAAATGTAGACAAACGAATAATTGATTCGACCATAAGCCAATCTACTGTTGACTAATAGTTGTACAAATAAAAAATCAATCGATTTTGAGTGTTTTGTATGTTACTTGTCTAATTAGAGAGAAGTCTTGTAGTAATTTAATAATAATGAAACATGTCATTAATTAAATTCAAACAATTCTAGACAAATGGAAAATTAAAAATTGTGACATAAAGTACTATTCGTATTTTTTTTTTTACTTTCTAAAATCCATTTATTGGTAACAATCTTACTTCCACAGTATTTTTTTAATACCTTTTTAAATGATAAATAAACCGCCTGGCAACTTAGACAAAGTGATAAACGAATCTATCAGTATATACGTTTCGCTTAGTACTCGCATGAGAAAGAACGAGAATGCGCATATTGCCATTTCATTCTGTCTTATGGACACACTAGCGATAACGATCCTATCGATAAATTGTTTTTCCACTCATCTAGCTGAACACGGGCATTTTTTTTTAACTTAGAAACTCTGAATCGAAATCTAAGTGTGTAGGCTCGAAAGCTACGAGAACACAGACTGCTTTAAGCTAAGTTTATTGTATTAGTTTTGCATGTGTGCATAATACGTGCGTTACTTAGCTGATGTGTGCGGTGCGAAACATACCACTTTGACTATAAAAGAATATATTGTCATATTTTTATCATATGAAGGCATATTTAGTAAAAATTTTGGAATATTTTTAATATAATTAAACAAATAAACGTAAATAGCTAGAACAAAAAATTTTGTGTTAATTATGTATTAATTTCTAATATTTGTCAGTTACTTTTAAATGGCAAGTTTAAAAAAAATATGCAACATTGTTCAGTAAAGTAGTAAGTACATACAGAAAAAAAAAATACAGGCCAATTGACAAACTCTTCGAAGTTGCTTAATTGTTACGACCCACTTGTGTATTAGATATACATTATGTTCGCCATTGGACAATTATGATTTACTGTACATAAAAATATTATAATTACATAACACATTATTATATATTGCCTACTCGTTAACGATAACGCTGTTTGTTTTATCTAAAAATAATATAGTGTTATAACTATATTCATAACATTAAACAAGTAAAAATAAATGTGAAATTCACTTACCTTAATTAATTTGATAGTAAACTTATTGACAGAACAAATATGATGGATGTTTAAACACACAAATGACATTTTACACATCACACTGTACGAACTGTTGCTGGCAATATATAATATTACAATTTTAATTAAAATATTATTTGTAGATATTAATGAAGAATCCATATAAAAATATTTAATAATTACTTACGAGCTGTGAAAGAGACTTATCAATTCATATTTTAGATTTCTACTTTAGTTATGTATTTATTTATTTATTTAACACTTTATTGCACCAACATAACAGGATTTGTTGAACAATTTTCAATACGCATATTGTAGTACAAAAGGCGGTCTTATTGCTAAGCAATCTCTTCCAGACGACCTTTGGGTAGAAGGAATTAAAGCATAAATAGGTAGGTGGCGCGTTAAAAAAAATAGATCTGTAGAAATAAATATCTGTGACAGCAGTCATATACGTATACAAAAATAAACACATACATCCAAATATATACATACACATACATATATAAAGATATATACATACATAGAAATACGAATAGAAATACGCATATATAATGAAAATAAGAGATAAAAAATAAAACAAGGAAATCAAACATTCTAAATTATTGCATCCATTTGTAGAAAATTTCTAGTATTATGAGAAATATAAGATAAAATACAATAAGTATATTTAGTGATATGTCGTTTAGCTAAGTTGTAATGGGAAAGACTTGTGAATTTCTATTGGGTAGCAATTAAAACAGTCAACATAAACATTGGGTGTTGCTGGAAGAAAACTCTATCAGAGTTAAGCTCGCCTTTGTACTTTTGTTTACCTCTGTCATATTTTTATAACTAATGTGTACAATAAAGTATTAAATAAAATAAATAAATAAACTGTTGACTAAACATAAGTACATAAATTATTTGTTACTTTATACAATTGATAAATTAATATATAAATAAAGCTGCTGCTGGACTTAACATGTAAACTTATATCTACTTTATTAAGTATATATAATATACAATCAGTATAAAATCTGCAGATCATAACATTGTTTTTTTTTTTTAAATAAATATATAACCTTACTAATCTTTACTAATATAATAAATGTCAAAATGAGTCTGTTACCCTATAGCGCCTTAATAACTTAACCAATCACTATGAAATTTGGTATAAATGTATTATATGGGATGTTAAAGATTATAGCTTTTGACCTAAGTCTGTGAATATATTCCGGTCATAAGGGTGAAGTCAGAAGTCAGTGTAATATAATTGTAACAGCGATATTTGTACATGTGAGAGATATGTACATAAGAAAAATTAATATAAGAGGTTTTAATAAGACCAATGGATGAGAAAAACATATTTTTAGAAATTTTGTCTATCTGTTTTTATGCTTATTCCGGCGTAAGTAAAAACTACTGCACCAAATTTAATTTGGTTATATTCCTGGTGTAATTTAAAAAAAAAAATACTGTATGTTTTATGTCTATATGCCATCCGGAACTGGTTAATTTAATTGGTTTTTTTTTAGTTATGAAATCCACATGTAAGAAGTAGCATACAAAAAGCTAATGTTAAATAAGAATATTACCCATATACATAAAATTAGACTACAATTTTTAAATAAAAAGGCCTCTTCATTAATAATATAATAAAGTTACTAAAAATATTCAATATTACATCATTGTTGAAGAATGTAAAGGGGCTATTACACTATCTACATTTATGAGTCATAAATACAGGGTGAGAATGATAAGTGATCACAGTAGTTTACTTCTAAAGTATACAGGACATTGGGGTCAATACTGAAGCGCCATTATCTGTCCCTATCTTTAAAATTATTTTGGGCTCAGTCATTGCACTTTACATCAGAAAATTAAAAAAAAAACGAAAAGTATGAGAAAAATAATATGAATTTAATTTATTTAATAGTTCTTCAGCACAAAATGTTAGATAATTTTTTCTATGGTTACTACTATGGATACTTCATGCTATGTACCATGTAAACATAAAATAAAAAATAAAAAAAATAAAAAATATAAAAACATTAAATCTTAAGTTAAACTGTAAATTTAAAATAGACCATCAACAAACATTGTTGTTTTATCCCAATAAATAGTACAAGAAACAAATATAAACACATTTCTTTGGAAAAATATTCCAATTCCTTGGTAAGTATACCCTTAAAAATGCTAACAACTTCAATTCCTTCATGCATATGATAGTGTAATATTACCCTAATATGAAGTAATATTGGCCACAGTTTTTCCAGCAACAAAACATAGTGTGATGTGCAATTAGTAACAAATATAGCCCCACAAGGTTAGTTGCGATGTAGATGAACACTTGAGTGACCACATGGTGAGCATGTTTACTCCCTGACCTTCTGCATCTGGCTGATTGTCTTCCTCTTTTGTTATTGGTTGATCTACATCGGTGTTACCTTGGGCCTCTGTCTGTGCCAGAGACTCACCCTTAGAGTCTTGAGAGGATTCATCTTCTGTGGTTTGACCATCGCCAGCCCCAGACTTCTTGTCTTCATCCTAATTAAAAAAAAAAGATATATTTGAACAGAATAGAAGATACTTGATGTGACTGTTGAATGATATATTTACTGCTTATTTATTCTTCACAAGACTTTTAATATTTTTCCCTCATTTTAATCATTTTTCTAATATAAAATGAATAATTTTAAATCATATATAAAAAGTAAATATTTTAAATTCTAAATATAAAAAATATATTTAAGTTAAAAATCTTATGAATAAGATATCCTGTGTAAGTAGCATATATTTTTGTGGTTTTTTTAACGCAACTACTTATTTTATACAATATATACAATAGTTAATAAGAATGTATTAAGTTTTTAAGTATTACCTTCTAGAAATGGTTATAGTGACAATTGAAAATGTATGTCCATTTATTGAATAACAATAATAATCTGCTAAAATAAGTACACAATAACAACATAATTATTGTTATGATAATTATGTATTATTAAAAACTAAAATATAGTATGTTATTGCACATAAATAATAATTTCAGTATTTTGTATTTCAAATAGGTAATATTTTAATAAGAAATAAAAGAATATAACTTGTAATATGTAATGTTTAATCAGTTATGTTCAATATATTGCAATAGTAACATAGAGCAAAATCATACTTAGCAAGAATTGTCAAACTTCATTGCTCTATGCTAGCTTCAATGTTCGCGGTTTTGGCCGCCAGACGATTATTAACCTTTAAAGCAAATCATAAGACATATAATCCCATGTCCTTACTCTACATATACCGTCATATTGTATACACCTGAATACATAGTAACTATGTATACCTATGTAGGAGTATTCAGACTTAGCAATACATACTACTTATATATACGCAACTTACACGGAAATCAATTTAATACGTAGCTATACATACTAGAATACTAGACTGCATTTTTATTTTTTCCCGCTTAAAATATATTGTTACGACCCGGACAAAACACTGATAAAAAAATCGCCAGTAAAAAAACCAAAAGAGGTCAGCAATAAAGGCCCCCAAAAGGATACCTGTTTTATTTACATCGCGCGCGGTGTTCGGAGAGCGAGTAATGAGATGCGAGGCGGCGGCAATGGAATAACATCATATCACGCCGACTCTAAAATTGAATAATCGCAAGAAACCAAATATCAAGGTCGTGCGGATTTCCTACCAATGTCATACATAGATTGTGCACATTAACAAAGGCCCTGCATCCAAATGCAAAGGGGCGGGGGTGGCAAAAATATGCGAATTCACGAAAAATATGTAGTTAGAATCAGTTTCGATAACTGATCATAATGGCATTCACAGTTTTTATTGTGAAATATTGACTTATAAAACATCCCTCGGTGGCGTAGTTCCCGCGTTTAGCGGGAAGCAAACGTTCTGTCAGCCATGTTGCGACGCAGGCAAACATTAGTGATATAATCACGGAAATAATACCACTTCACCACTAAAAATGTCCTTATTAGATGCACACCATTATAAGGAAAATTAAAACAAATGTATATTTCACAACTATACCTGATTGTCACTGATTTTCGCTTTATCGGTATCACCCGACATTTTTCCTACAAAGAAATTGAAAGCGAATTCCAAAGCGTCTTCAAACACCGGACAACACAAATGCACGCACCCATAACATAGAAAAAAAAAGCTGCGTTTCGTTATTCGTTTCGTTTTACTTCAGAAAGCATGTAATCACAGCACTTGTTTAAATAATGGACGATTAAAAACAATTATTTAAACATTATTTTGTAACTCATTAATTTTTATTCTGTTTTATTTAATAATATATCAATAATAAAAGTTAATGTAACAACTTCCGGTTTAACATATTTATTACATTAAAATATAATATTTACTTAAAAATTTTTGACAATAAAATAATATCTGCTCTGTTTATTAAAATACGTTTAAATTAGTTGAGTACACCCAAAGACAGGCGTAAAATTATATCAATATATACATATAATGTGGGTGCTATCATTTTAGCAGTTTTTATATAAACTAATTTGCTTTCACAGTGTAGTTTATTTATAATAATTTAAGAAGTATACATTAATTTAGTAAATATAAGTTACATTTTTTCTAATCAAATATTTTGTCCAATTCTTCGTAAATGAAATTTTAGTATTTTTTACGATTTTGACATGATCCAGTGACCTCACAGAATATATTTATATAATGAGTAATACATCATATCACCCATGTAATCTTGTATCATTAGTAATTTATCAATGCAACATTTAATTGAACTAGGTGTTATCTTATTATTTAATTTGTATTACTTTCTTTAATTCCGTTACCATTATTATGCATATGGCTGTCAACGCAAAAATTGGCCACTACTATTACCACCAGAAATGCTACAACCTTCCATATTAGTCATCATATACATCACCAGAAATATCAAAATAATCCAAATTTATTGCTTTTTGAAAAGTCTAAATGGATTGGTAATGTTGATACCAATCCAATATCCATATATTTCTTATCTCGATACTGCTCATATCAGCCGGATATTCACTTCTATGGGGTACTTTGAGTAAAATTTTCAAATGCACTGTTCATTGTGCAAGAATTATAATAAATATAGACGTAGTTCTTTTTGAATTTGTCACGATGCGGCAACTGATCTGCTTTTATCATCGCCATCTTTCAATGGAACCCCGCTAACGTGTACCAATAACACAGGCGGGCTACTTATTTCATTTTAATCCTATTATAAAGTATGACCTAATCTGACTAAATCTCATCAAACTGAAGCTTATTTAGACTAATTAGATTAAATTTTTAATTATACAATCAGGACTTATCGCGATGAAAAAGCTTTTACAGGTAAATAGTAACTACATACCTGCTTCTTTATTGCCGACATTTCGACGTTGATTGTACTACTTCAATCCTAATGAATTCCGCTAGACCACCAAGGCTTTTTTTAATGATTTTTTTAAAAAGTGCATGTTTCTGAAGATTCATAATTCTTTTACTTCCTTTAACTGTCTAAAGAGAGTAAAAGAATCTGAAAAAGAATTACATTAAAAAAAAGTATGTTTATAAAATACTAACTTGCACAGTTTTATCCACGTGAATCAGTTTATAAAATATTTTATATATTAAGTTGGAACATAACCAAATTTCACTCAATTCCCTTAAGTTATTTAAGCGTATTTGAATAATAAACTTACTGCTATGGATACTATATAATTGAGTATAAACATATACTGTAGTAGGTTTATAATCAAGCTGTGAATATTAGCAAATTTTATAAAAAAAATATAAAACTTTTTTAATACGTTCGATATAGATATCGTTTTTAATCGAGTTGATAATTCAGGAAGAGTAGGCTATAATTGGTTACAATAAAAACATACGATTTTTTAAGTTTATTTGTGGCATAACCCTTACATTACACATTTATCGGTACGTTAAAAAAGTTTTCCTCCTGAAAAATGGCGGGAACGATGAACATTTAGTTTAAATTTAAAAGCTACAGTTTGAGTTTACATAAATATGCGATAGGACAATATGTATAATTTTTTATTATGTTTGTGGTGTGCTTTGAATATTATTTTTTTTACAACACGGGGGCAAACGAGCACGCGGCTCACCTGATGGTAAGTGACTACCGCCGCCCATGATTATCCACAACACCATTGCGGCATTTTTTTATAGCACTAAGGTGGTATACAAGCATACGGCCCACCTGATGGTTACCGTAGCCTATGAACACCTGTAATTAGAATGGTTGTGAAGGGTTCGTTGGATAAAACAATAAAAATATAAGAGACTGAATAAAGATATATAATATTGTTCCCTAGTACAAAAATAGATGTTTTAAAACGTTTCTCTAATAAACAAAATACTCAATTGACATAACAAGAAAAAATAATAAATTCTATCTTTAAAAATAATTTAAATAAAACCTCAACAATGGTATTACGCGCACATTATCGACTTTGAAGAAATCTCTTTACTTCCCTATTGAAGAACCGCATGATGTAGTCTCTTTGGAAAATCTCAGCAGGGAGCTCATTCTATAGCCTGTGTTACTTGTAAAAGAACAATAATTTTAGAGTTACAAACTTCTTATACGTAACGCTGGCAGAAATGTTTGTAAAAATAGCGACAGATTGCGATTGAGGAAAAGAAGAAGAGCTTTCCTTCTGAGTATTCTGTGATACTCCATGCTCTTCTTGGCGGGAACACTACCGTGCCCCCTGATTTGTCATTCGTTAGTTGTAAAAACGGCTAATATAGAATATCAAATTTGTATTAAATTATTTGAGTGAACCAAACGCTTTTCTGAAAGTAATCATAGACAATACTATAATGTTTTTTTTTTCAAACCATTAAATGTCAAGTTTAGATTGTAATGGAAATAAATAATTATCTAAATGATCTGAAATATTAGTTCCAATTAAATATCCTATATTTTTTCTCAGACAATAATTTGTAACTATGTAAGTCAAATTATTTCATTTCAAAGAAATATTTATCTATTCTAATAATCCCACTCTTGTTTTTATGACATAAAAAAGTTTATGTTAGTTTATGGTCCGCGTCTTTCTCTCGCCCGTTTGCGAGATAGCCCAATCGTATAATTTTTGGATCTTTTGATCCGTTTTTTCATGGCTAACATATTATACGATTGAATGTATTTATTAATTCAAACATGAGTGATTATCCTTCTATGGCTACGCTTCAAAATAATAGCCAGACGGCGGGATATGCGAATGCTCTACAACGTGCGAGATTGGTGAGTCTTCATTATAATACAAACGTTTCTATATTGCCTTTACATTATTACCATGAGATTCAAGTAACTCATAAATTTCTTGCGCTTTTCTGCTTAATGAATTATCTATATTATCATCTATTTCTCTTTATAACTTTATTTATGCACCTACGTTTTTTCACTTTTACTATAACCTACATAATTGTATTTTTCGTTCCATAATGTATATCGAAATACAATCAAAATTTATCGAAATACATATTATTTAGGTAAATAATTAAATACGATTGCACTGCCTCTTGAATTAAGATCTCATCCTCGCCTAACTAGCTTTTAAACATGAATTGCTATTTAATTTTTCCTTTAAACATCCTCTTTCATTACTCTGTTTGAGTCACAAATTGTTTTATTTACTCTTCTATTTTAATACACTTAATTATATGATGTAATGTTAGTTTATCTAGTTCCTTAATTTTTCAATGCACCACCTAGCTAAGTATCTGTTTGCTCAATGGCTGACTGGTAGAGAACACTATCTGGTGTTAAGTCCGCCAAATGTAAATACAGTCATAAAAGTCTAAATATATATATAAAATTAGGTAAAATATTGTCTTCAGTGCTAAAATGTTTTGTAGGTTGCTGCAAAACTTGTAGGTGGTAGTAAGAGACCTTTGGAAGAGGGAACTGAACCAAGTCCGAAGAAATCAGCAACTGTGGAGAGTAATTATCAACAACAATCAATGAGGTAAGTGCCTATTTATTTATTACTGTATTTAACTTACCTATCATGTGGTCATGATATTTCCTGAATTTTTGTATCATTTCATTTCATAGTGAACTTTGTACAAGTCATCTGCGTGTATACCTCTGTCCCATTTGTGTTTTTGCTATATATCAATTATGTTTGCATGGCTTTGTTTCGATTTGAAAGGTGGAATATGGCAATTAAATTACATGGTACAGAGGCATAACACCTTAATTCTCAGGAATGACAATGCATGAAGGGTGTCATGGTGACACAGTTTATTATATCTATGGTACTGTTAATGTCTGGAGGTGATGGTTACTAATTTCCATCAGATACACCATAAACTAAAAGGTAATTTGTGTCTAGAATTAACAAAACATAATCATGTATTTATATCTAATGATTAGCATAATGCAAAATATGGCAATGTCACAATTATCTTTCAATTTACAAAAAATAATATTCTTATTAAGCTATCAATGAAAATTTGATTTTGGTGGCAAAATGTATTTTAAAAATTCCGAAGCAAAATATTAAGTAAGTGCAAAGTTTTCAATGAGAGACTTATATGTAATGTATTTGTTTATTTACTAGAAAAAAAAAAAGAAAGATCCTGCCAATACAATTTTTAATACATTTATGATAATACATTTAGGAACCCTAGAACTTTTATATTCTTTTCGATAGTCATTAATGAAATAACAGTGTGACTCCTATTTTATATATATGTTTAATCCAACTAAAAAGATTTCCATGTGTACCATAAGACAAAGTTTTAGCATTAAAATTTCTTGACAGATTCTAATATTCATTATATTTTACATTACCTCTGTAAATGTAAGAAGATTATTGCCTATATTATGACCTGAACAACAACCATGTTGATTTGGATTAAATATCTTTTGTAGATACATAGATAATTGATATGTGACAATTTTCTTTTAAGATTGACATAATTTAGAAAAACTTACAAAACCTCTGCACCAACGAATAAACTTTGCCAAAGAGTCTCAAAAACTGTGGAACAAATTAAGTTGCAAGGTGTCTAGTCAAAAGATCATTTTTAAGGTGTTGCCACCTTGATGCATCTTTTGATGCAGATGGAAAACAATTTGAGTATTTACTTTATTGGAATAAAATTGTTAAAACCATTTAAATGTATTTGTTTCTTATACTAGAAAGTAGTCATTTGAAATTTATGGAAAGACACCACTGTCTTTCTCTGTCATTCTTACTGTAACAAGAGCCGTCACCCTATGTCTCGCTCACACACATGCACTATAACATTTTTCTAACTTTTAAAATACAACATGGAGCCATTTTTGAAGTGAAACTAAGTTTAATATAAATTTATTAATGTTTAAATTTTTTTTTAAATTACTGTAAAATGTGAGTAGTATTATACCGTTTTGGAATTATGAATAGTAGGGCCAACTTTTGAAATTATTTGCCACTATATAAAAACGTCACTATAACTTGTCCTTTTGTCGTTCGTTATAGTACTTAAAGATTTAGTCCAGTGTCTAATTTTTCAGTTGTAAAATACTTCTATACAAAAAAAAAATTAACATGTATTTTTTTTAAATATTTGTTTCAAGGGTTATCTCTCCACTCTCCATTGGACATTGAATTTAGGGACATCCTGTATACTACATCAATTCTTTTTTTCATTACCATAAAAATCACTTACTTTTGATTCTATCATTCTTAATTTAATTTTTTAAGTGTGACTTAAATTGTTTTTACCATTAATGCTAAGATGTATAGGACAGTGTAATGTACTTTTTTAATTAGTGCAACAGCAGCAGCAACAGCGGCGGCTGCGGCGGCGGCGGCAGCGGCTCGCATTTCCGCGTCGTGCGGCGCTGCCGGGGTGCCGCCGGCGCCGCCCAGCGCCCCTCCCAACTTCATGCCCGAACAGACTATCGATGAGCGCATTAGAGTGCCCGATAAAATGGTTGGACTTAGTAAGTAAAATGGATTCAGTTTGTTTGTCCTTATGTTTTTTTTTTAATAGGTGAAATTGGAATGGTAACCCTGTGTTATGGTTGATAAACTGATGAGACACCAGTGAGAGATACAAGGTAAGGGAAAAGGATGGTCAGTCATGGATCAGTTACTCCATTTTGACATATTCAAAAAGGATTAACCATGATGGTTTTCAGGGAGAAATGTGTGGAGATCAAGGTAGATAAGTATTGCATTCAATATTTTATCCCTATAAATATAAATAAATTGTTGAATATATTGCTGGCAACGGAGCTTTTAGGTGCTATGTCTGACAATCCCTAATGCCTATGTACCTCGTGTTAGGTTGCTGTCGTCTGGTGTCTAGAGTTTCTAAGCTACCTTCATTATATGCAAAGGCATGTAACATGATTTACTAAGCATGATACCATCACATTGCGTCCAGCCAGTGATAACTTTAATTAAAAATTATAATTAAAACTAAAACTGGCTGAACTGGCAAATATAGTTTAGCTTTCTGCATCATCATCATATCAGCCGTTAAGTGTCAATTGCTGAATTCCTCTCTGAATCTCCCTCTTGGAGGTTTTTGCCAGTAGTTGCCACGCTTAGCAGGTAGGTTGGCAACCGCAGTTAGCCTTTAGTGGTATTTTAAGAGAAACTTCGCTGCCCAATCCTCGACCATTAAGTTCCCTTAGTCGCCTCTTACGAGACCTACGGGAAAGGAAGGGGTGACTCATACTATGCCGGAACCATATGGTAACCGTTGCTGCCTTATCGTGTTCATTTTATATTATTAAGATAAAAACTATCCTATCACTTAAATTGGAGCAAACTGTGCACATTCACAAAGTTTCTCATTAATATGAATTGAGTTTCCGCATTTAGTAATGTATCATGATAAGTATTATCCAGGTAAAATTATTTTTCATTTTTATAAGTAAATAAGGTAATGTCTCGGTATGGTCATGTCATGTGCAGAAATGAAAGCCTTAAAAATGAATTTAAAAAAAGTATTAAGTATGATAGTGAATACGAATATTGTGGTAATAAATAAAAAAAAATTATAACTGTTTTGAGAACTTTCTCCCCTTTTTTAAAGTTGGTTAAAAATAATGTTCAATTTTGTTTAGTCATTGGTCGTGGAGGCGAACAGATCACACGGCTGCAGGCAGAGTCCGGGTGTAAGATCCAAATGGCTCCTGATTCGGGCGGTCAGCCCGACCGCATCTGTACATTGACAGGGTCCCGGGAAGCTATACAGAGAGCCAAGTAAGTTATTTTTAAATTTTCGCTTATAATACACATTATTAATATGGTTTGGTCTAAACACTATTATAGGGATTTAATAAATATGTTGATGCTTTTTATAGTAGGCATATGCACTTTAGGTTAAGAATAAACTAAAAAAAATAAAACGTGCATGGACGGAATGGTGGTCGGAGTTTGGTGGCTAATATTGTAGGTAGTATCAAATTTTTTATAATAATAATAGTAGTTAATCTTCGGGTGTTGGCTTAATGCACGCATACTAATGGTAGCGGAATTAAACAAAATAATTCTAATCCACTAACCAGTGATATGGACTTCTGCAAAGTAACATCTAGTTCAGTAAAATATTTCAAAAAAGATATTTTTTATGAAAAGCCACTTTCGTGAAAACACCATTTTGGTTACTTTTGTCACCAGGGAATTAGTAAATCAGATAGTCAATCACAGAGGGCGAGAGAACGCGCCGCAACATCCAGACAACGCAATGGGCAATATGGGCGGCGGCGGCGCCGGCAGCGGCATGCCGCCTCTGCCCAGGGGTGGTGGGCTTGCTATTACAGTAAGTATATTCATCATATACTCCTATGTTTTATGTCTATTATTGTATTTTATGACTTAATATGAAAACTGCATATGGAAATAGATACAGTGGCTTTTGGGTATAACGACGATGAAGGGATCACTCTGTTTTCGTCGTTATATCTGAAAGTCGTTATAGGCAAAAGTAAAGAGATACAAACATGTACACATGTATAGTTTTTTCTTCGCACAAATTAGCATTGTTTTCACCGTCTTTCAATTAAATGATTTCCACCTTTTCTTTAACAGTGAATGTGCGTCGAGACAATCATACTTATCCAAAAATTTACTAAACCCATTTGCTACTCAAACATTCATCTATCCTTACAACTTTTCGCATTTATGACATTCATAGGATGGCCATTTTGTCTTACTGTGGTACATACACAAAAAGAAAAAATATGTTCCCCCTTTCATGTATTTTCTTCTTTATTTTTATATATATTTTTCTCTTTTGTTTATTTCTATCTGTGTCTGTTGTTATTTGTATGCTGTCAGTGACGTAAATAAATTTATATTCAGTGGAATACATTTATTACGACCTTGGTTGTAGCGACCATTTGCCTAAAACGACGTTAAATCTAAGTCCCTTGAATTTAAAGCATACTTTAGTACAAAATTAATGTGGCTAAAGCGACTAAGGATATAAGTTATTATCTAAGACTAAGGATATATATTATCGCCGAGTTCGAGTGTAACGACTGTTTTTAATGAATCATTTGTAACAAATTCCTAGAAATCCCATGCAGATATTGTGACGGAAGTTGGCCGCTAAAGAGACAACAAGATTTCTTTTTGTCACAAACATTTCTAACCTTTTGTTTCCATCCATACAGATGGTCAGCAAGTATGGAGACCTTTACCTATTTTTTATAGATATCAGCTAAGTAGGTAGGGAAGCGTGTACGTTTTGGAGTTGAATTTATGGTTCAGTTACAAAGTGATATTCTGAGTAGCAAATGAGTTTAGTAAATTTTTGAATAAGTATGATTGTCTCGACGCACATTCGCTGTTAAAGAAAAGGTGGAAATAATTTAATTGAAAGACGGTGAAAACAATGCTGATTTGTGCGAAGAAAAAACTATACATATGTACGTGTCTGTATCTCTTTACTTTTGCCTATAACGACTTCCGGATATAACGACGAAAATGTGGTCCCTTCATCATCGTTATACCCGAAATCCACTGTATATACTTACTAAATAACTGTTACATTCTTTCACCTTCCATTTATTTAACTATTTCGTTACCAGGAAGAAGTAATGTTACCAGGCCCTAAAGTGGGTTTGATTATAGGCAAGAATGGTAAAACGATCAAACAGTTACAAGAACAATCTGGCGCCAAAATGGTTGTCATACAGGACGGACCTAACACTGAATATGTAAGTAGAAACTTTTGAGTTTTTTTTTATGCCAATTTTACTGTCTTTGGTTTTTTTAAACTTTTATATTCTGTCTTTAGAAATATTATCTATATCATTAGATATAGATAATATTTACTATTCTAAAGACAGAATATAAAAGTTGCGTAAGTATAAAGTCCTAAACCTCTAGTATAAAGCATCTACAGGTTAATAGGCTGCAGTGACTGTTTACCATCAGGCTAACGGTAAAAAATGGTATATAATATGATATATAAATAAATTATATATATTAATATATAATTTATGTTGTGTCAATTATTCAATTGTAGATAAAAAAATGAAGCATTATTGCTATGACCATATTGGGATGACGGATGTAAAAATAAATAAAACTGTCTAGAAATTATTATTCGTGATTTTGGTTATTGCTGCAATTAAAGTGTAGATTTTTTTTATATACCATGTAGGTGGCAAATAAGCCTATTACAGTTAGCCTGATGGTAAACAGTCACTGCAGCCTTATTAACCTGTAGATGCTTTATACTAGAGCAGTTACTTGCACGACCCCGAAAAGAAACTTAAAACTTATGTGTTTTAAGTTTCTTAAGGTTGTGTGTATAAAAAAAGTATTTTTTGAAGAATGACTGAACAGTATGGGGTATACTGTAGTCTCTAGAGAAACCCTCGGCACATAGTTCATTCCACAGCCTGAGCGTTCGCGGGTGAAAACTCCTGTAAAGCCACACTGTATGCAACCATTTAATTTCAAGCGTGTGAGGTTAAATATCCTAACCTAACCAATTTTTGAGCATGTAATTCTATGTAACAGGAGAAGCCTCTACGTATATCAGGTGATCCGTCAAAAGTGGAGCACGCCAAACAGCTGGTGTACGAACTGTTGGCCGAGAAGGACATGGGAATCGGCGGCGGACAGCGGTCGCAGTACGATGACGCATACTCACCACAAGATCAGGGCAACGGACTCGCTACCAACTCCACTGAGGTAACTTTATTTTTTTTATGTGATTTTTATTTACATGATGATGTTTTAATTTACAATTTACCATAATGTACCAAATATTTGTATTGTGTAGGTGTCAGTACCCAAGATTGCTGTAGGGGTGGTGATAGGTCGCGGTGGTGATATGATCAAGAAGATCCAAGCAGAGACAGGCTGCAGGGTGCAGTTCCATCAGGAGAGGGACGATGGTCCCGGAGATAAAAGGTTAGTTTCCTAATTGATACAAATAAATAGCACCTTCTCTCTAGACCGGTCCCAAAAGAATTTATATAATCTGATTTCATAAAACTTTAAAAAATGTAAACAAACAGGTTATTGACCTGATTATAAAGATAGTCTGTCGATGTCAATAGTATTACAAATTAAATATTTAATTTATTCAATCGATTAATCGATTGAATATTAGGATTTATTACTAATTTAATTAAGGGCGTTTTTCTGTGATATATTCAAACGAAATTTAGTTACTTTTTCATTATGTTTTACTGCAATGGTCAATAGTAGAATTACTATTAGTGTATATATGTATTATTTATCATATTAAATGTACATTTATGTCTAGGTGTTACCTGCAAGGCAAACCGCACCAAGTGGAGCAAGCGAAACAAATGATTGACGATCTCATCTCCAGCGTAAATGTAAGTTGATATATGTAAATCTTGCTTAATAATGTTTATTAAAAATTAATAAATTTTACAAAAATTAAAAGACTTTTAACGTCATCATATCTGACTTCACTTTGGCATTATTAAATAATAAAAAAGGAACATAAATAGATAAAAGTAACGAGGCTGTCTCTTCACTGGAAGGGCAGACTACCAACCCACCAACTTTTTATTCAAACAATCTGCTTATTGTTTTTAATCGCTTGCACGATGAAGTGCTTATTTTATTAATATTATAAATATGACAATAAGTTTGTTTGTTACTTCTTTGCACGTTTTTTTTCTATAACACAGGGGGCAAACGAGCATGCGGCTCGCCTGATGGTAAGTGACCGCTGCCGCCCATGATCACCCGCAACACCAGAGGCATCACAAGTGTGCTGCCGGCCTTTTAAAAAGGCATATACTCTTGAAGGTTATGATGTCGTATCGGTTCGGAAATACTGCTGCTGGAAAGCTTGTATAAGGCATGAATAGGAATAAGGACTAATTTTAATTCCGGTCAGTCAATATGTTCCGTCTACGCGATCGAAGTCGCGGATAAAAGCTAGTAAATAATATATAATAAAATTGGAAGTAGACGATGTCTATATGGATGAGTTATTTAAGTAAAATTGATATAAAGTAATAATAAATGTTAAATCTTAAATGGTGGTCCACTGATGATTCTCTTAATAGTAATAAATGCGACAGTTTGTTACGATGGATAGATGGATATTTGAGGCTTATTAAATCAAAGACAATTAAATCCAAAATTCAAATCTCTGGCGGGCAAAACTCTTAGTTATATTTGCTGTATTTGATACCAATGTCAGTGGCGTGAATTTACTGGGTACAGAGGAATAATACCTGAGTCCTCAGGAATGGCAACGCATGGGGGGTATCATGGGCGAAACAGTATACTCTGTTATGTCCATGGTACTGCTCATGTCTATAGGTGACGGTTACCACTTTCCATCAGGTGGGCCGTCAGCTTGTTTGCTATTCTAAGTTGTATAAAAAAAAAAAGGTGAACTGAATTTGCTAGAGATTTTACTGCATTTGTTAGTAAACTGAACACCAAAGCGTGTTTAACTAATTAAACTAGATGGTAACACAGTTAACTCATTTTACGATTTTATGGCGTTTAAGCTGCTTTTGATTTTATAGACCTCATTTGTTACTCTTTCGTGCCAAAACTATTGAATGGATTTGTGTCAAATTTGGTACATGTGGGTACGTTATATCGTAACTTAGCACATAGGATACTTTATTGATTCATGTGGATGAAGTAAATTCTACTCGGAATATGTAGAGGCGAGATCAAGAAGTGAGGTCGGGTCCCGGTCGCGGCCGCGGAGGCTCTGGTCAGAGGAACGGCGACCGCGGCGACTACCAGCAGTGGCAGGAGAACCCGGAGATACGTGTCACGTTCACTGTCTCTAACGTCAAGTGCGGCCTCATCATTGGTAGAGGTATGGACGCTTCAATACTGTAAATCCTAAATTCAAAATTTATCACTTCCTTTTTTTAAGCCGTCAGCTTGTTTGTAGTTCTAAGTATTATGTCAGAGGGAGTTTTTTTTGGGTTCCTACCGTGAAGCAGTTGTGTTTGCATGACTGTTTCGGTTTGAAGGGTGGGTTATGGCAGTAAATTTACAGGGTACAGAGGCATAGCACCTCTTCAAACTCCAGCACATAACAACATAGCAATGCAAACAACTGCTTCACGGTTAAAACACGAATGGGACAGAGGTGCCCAAGCAAACGACCTTTGTACAAAGTCTCCCTTTGGTAAAATTCATTAGATATTATTACACAAAGAGTGGCAAAAATTTATTTGAGAGGTTTATCTACACTGTTTAAGAATGGATCGTAGGTGATATGTGATGGTGTGATAACGAGAGTAATCTTTTAGGTGGAGAAGTAATAAAGCAAATGAATGCCCAAACTGGCGCACACTGCGAGGTTGACCGGCGAGCAACCGGCGCTGATCGCAACACGCGCACGTTCTACATCCGCGGCCACCCCGATGCCGTCGAGGCCTGCAAGCGGCTCATCATGGAGAAAGTTGGCATGGTGTGTATATTTCCCTTTCATATATTTTAATTATGTTCTTAAAAAATATTTAAATTGGGCAAAATTAGTTAATTACTATTTTAGGTAAGTGTTATTTATACATACTTTCATTTTCTGGTATAATAAATTAATATAAGGGGTAATAAAAAAACTTATTTGAATATAATATAAAATAATAATTATTTCATTTTCCATATTTGCATCTATCAGAACAGTTTAGAACAATTATGTCGCTAGTATTACAATTCGATAATGTGAAACATTTCAATTCCAATGTCACAATCTATTGGAATTTATTTCAAGAGTAACCCCACCGATTTTAATTTAGACCTTCTGGAGCGCAACTGAGAAAATAGTATCCAATTTTGTTAAACATTTTTTGGGACAAATATATAAATAGACAAAATTTCTCATCAACACAGTCATATTAAACAAAAAATATTAATTAATGAAATATACACAGCCTATCAACTTCATCCAAGACGGCGGTAACAATGGCGGCGGTGGCGGTGCCGGTGGCGCCGGCGGCGAGTACTATGGCGGCGGTGGCGGCGGCAATGGCGGCGGCCCGCCCGCCTGGGGCTATAACCCGCAGTGGCAACAAGTCAACCCTTCACAACAACCACAGGTAATGTCTCATGCATGCTGACAGATGTTATCACCTCTCTACCGTGTAAGTAGGTAATAATTGGATATATGACAGTCTTAATAATGAAATGTGCTTCATATCGTAGCTATTTTACTTAAATTTTGAGTATATTATCTTTTCAAAATAATTTGGGGATTTTTTGTCTGCGGTTAGAAATGACTAGTTGATGCCCACGACTTTGTCCGCGTGGTATTCGTTATTCCTGTTTAGTGTATATCGATGTGTGGTATATACCTATTTATTATGTCTGGGAATACTGAATTAAAATTAGCAAAAGTTCCAACAGTTTCGGAGATTAGCTCGTACAAATAGACATAGAAACAAAAAATTTAAAAAATATTGGACGTGTTCTATTTCGCTTCTAACATCCCCCTGACTTAGTTTTTAGCTTTTTTTTTTCTATGATCAGACATTCGACCTCTAGTTTTATTATATGTATACATAGGAGAGGAGATTTTTATCCAAATTAATTGAGCAAAAGCACAGTATATAGCTAGTGTAAAGTGTAACTGTTAACGAACAGTTTGCTTTTGTGTCGAATCGCATATATTTGTCACACAGCAACAAATACAGATAAACCCACTGACCGGCCAGCCGGACTACTCACAGCAGTGGATCGACTACTACCGCTCACTTGGTCTCATGAGGGAAGCGGAGGCAGTGGAGCAGCAAGCTAAACAACAGCAAGGTATGATGCTTTCAGATTTTACGCTATTGTGACGATTATCATGTGTGATAATGGTAACACAGCTATATACATTTTTACCAGAGACTTTGTACAAAAGTCGATTGTTTGGGTACCTCTGTCCATTCGTGTTTCTACCGTGAAGCAGTTGTATTTGCATGTCTGTGTTTCGGTTTGAAGGGTGGAATATGGCAGTGAATTTACAGGGTACAGAGGAATAACACCTTAGTCCTCAGGAATGGCAACGCATGGGGGGTATCATGGGCGAAACAGTATACTCTGTTATGTCCATGGTACTGCTCATGTGTATAGGCGACGGTTACCACTTTCCATCAGGTGGGCCGTCAGCTTGTTTGCCATTCTAAGTTGTATATATATTTACCCTGTAAATTGTTAACCAGTGAAAGACAAATAATTGAATTTTAATGCGATTTATTTATTTATTATATTATAGTAAAGTAGAATTGGTTTAATTGTGATGAATTCCATAGCCGCAGCGGTAGCAGCTAGTGCTGCAGCGAGCGGGGCCCCGACCAGCGCGGCGGGCGGTGGTCCAGGTGCAGGCGCGGCGGCGGGCGCGGGCGCGGGCGCGGCAGCGGGCGCGGGCGCGGGCGCCGCCGACTACAGTGCGCAGTGGGCCGAGTACTACCGCAACATTGGCAAAATCAAGGAGGCCGAGGCCATCGAAGCGCAGATGAAACTCAAGGTATTATTTTTATCCGCCTATCGAATAGAGAAGGGGAGGAATCGAATAGGAAATGGAGAGAGGGTAGTGTTTTTCAGGTATATTTCTTGTAGTTTTTTTTTTTCTTTAATTTAACAAAGCACAGACAACATCATGAACATCTTTATGCTGTTGATGAAAAAATAAAAAGGAGAGTATTTTTTATAGTTTTGTTTTATCCATGAGTACTCATGACTGGGATAAAAAATGGCCTGTCTTTCTTCATCTTGAATACTACTTGGATACCAAATTATGTGCCAATTTTTTGAATCGTTAAAGCACCACGAATTAACAAATAACTTCGCTTTCACATAATATTAGTAAGGATTTTAATAAATTTTTCAAAATATGACTCAGTCCTTATTTCGACATGTCATGAAGAGGTCCACTTAATATACAATTTATATATTTCAAACCCATTAGTAATTTTATTATACAATCCCAGCAACAACAAGCCCAAGCCGGAGCTGTAGCTCAACCGCCGCAGACGGCGCAGCAGACGGCGGCGAGCCCGCAGCAGCAGCAGCAGCAGGCGGCGGGCGGGCCGCCCGGCAATGGCGCCGCCATGATGGGCGGCCAGTACCAGCAGCAGTACCCCATGTACTCCGGCGCCATGTACCCCGGCTACGCGCCCTACCCCTACTCTGCGTCCTCCGGCCCCGACCAGCAGCAGTGAGCGTGAGTACTCCCCACTCAGTAATACACACACGACACTAACGTGGAAACTGAATACTGATAAGATACACACTGAAAAAAAAAATACATAGTCTTTAAATGATGACAAAACACACTGTTTACAATCTTTCGTAGACATATTTAATTAAAAATATTTGAATTTAGAATATGGAATCGCCTACAAGAATATTTGATTTGCAATAACCTAATAACCTATCTTTTTTGCACTGAGAGGTAAGAAACAAACTCATTTTGACACTAGTATATATTAATAAGGATTATTGTAGCTGCAAATATGTATAACTGGCCGCAACTTATCAAGTGTTCAGTTTTCATTGAAAACCCGTGCACTAAATATATTCATAACTATGTTATATAACTAGGTCAGGGATAGTGCTTTGGTGTTATATATGAAAAAATGCTACATTATTAAGTCTGTGGAATTCTATTTGGGTTTTGGTAACAATATATTGTTCTGAACAATTAGATGTATCTTTGAATATATTATTATAAAGACATAATTCGTCATGGTTTTTTAAACTTGTTAAATTAATTAAATGTGTATGATGAACAAAGTTACATCTAATATTTTAACTCGATAAGGTTTTTTTGACCACTTATTACAGCTATGCAATAAAGGTAACAACATGATAAAAAAATTTTAATATAAAAAAAAAATTATACAAACATCACTTACTTGATTACATTCAGAGTCGAGTAGTAAAAAAGTACATATCTTAGAAATGGTTTAGTTTCTCAAACTCATTATGAGTTTTATTTATATATTTAACATCAATCTGGATGAGAATTCGAGAAATTCTCGCTAGGATTCTCGTTCTATTTCTAACTTATTAGAAATTGACGTGAACGAAACAGTAGCAGAAGACTGTTTAAACTTTGACTTGAAACTATACAAATTATACAGTTTATACTTTTAATACTATTTCCATAACTAGACTATAAGTATTTTAAGTCTCCCTCCCATGCAAATAGTGTATAGAATAATTCTAAGTAATTTCAAAAATGTGTACAATCTCAATTTTACTTCATTTTGTGCGTATCAATATCTTTATCAATTTTTATTTGATTTTAATGAATTTAATCAGGGTTTATTCGAATATAGGTCCCGTATTAATGTCAAAATTGAAATAAATTTATTAATTTAAAAGATTATTATTTTTAATCTACATTAGTGTAGTAATTTACATTATACAATACAAAATAGTAACTTTTTATTATATTTGGATGCTTTAAATATTAATTGGATAATAATAAGAGAAATATAATTATTACACTAGATTTGTTTATTAAAAACTCATGTGTTTACAAATTTTTTGACCATAAAAACTTATCAAGTTAAAAAATCAATTTATTACATTCATAGAACGTTTTGTATACTGCTTAACGATTTATATACTTATGTGCATGTTGTATTTTATATTTCCGGGTTAATGGTACATTGAATCAATTGAATATTTATTTTACAGGCTTTAAAACTCTGATCGCATGTATTAATTTGTATTCTCTTTCAGTTTGCATGACTGAAATTTAATTAGTTACATTGAATATGATTTTATTTATGCTGTAATATATTATTAGTGGTTGCCGTAGTATTAAATTATAATGTAACAGCACAGCTTCTCTGCCTACCCTCTAAGAGACTTTAGTGAAGGTAGATAGATACATATGTAACACATATTGCATTTTGATAAATTAGTAATATATTTTACATAGACACGAATGGAAATAGACGGCGCAGGTCCTCCTAGATAAGTGGCAAATGAATGCATCGGTAGGCGTTTTCATTATCGTGTATAAAAGAAGAACCCCAGACGTTGCTGTGCGGTTCTATTATATCCATACGACAGCGAAAACTTATCTTTCGATAAATTCCTTTTCCCATTTTTCTAAGACATAGTAACATAGTACATATGAAAACGAGATAATACAAAATATGTTTACTGATATCAAACCATCTTTCATACATACATTTTGTAATGTATACAATTGGGTAATGAGAATTTAATGAACTTACTATATTTGTCGTTTCTGACAATTGATCGTACTCACACTGAAAGAGACTTTCGCATGAGGTCGAAATGTTATATACAATCTTTTAAGCTTACTTAGGATAAAAAATTGGAGCCTAAAGTACATACATTTGCGACATCTATTCCAAGTCACGTCTGTTATATTTTACTTTTTTACTTCATGTATTTAATACTATATGTCTGATAATGCTACATAGTCCCTTTACCTGTATGTATTTAGTTATTAGAATTTTTAATTAGCCTTTAATTATTCTTGTAATTAATTTATTTTAATTAGATTTATTTCGTGTATATCCATGAAATGGGCCCGGAATGGAATGTTAACTATTATATTTGTATGAATTTTTTCAGAAATATCGGCAATTCATATCAATGAAAACTTTATGACTTTTTTTATACCACTGAGGTGGCAAACAAGCACTATTTTTAAATAATTCATTGATCTATTTTTCAACCAACTTCAAAAAGAAGTAGGTTCTCAATACGGTTGTAATTTTTTTATGTTCGTTATCTGATAACCCGGTCAGTTGTAAACCGATTTAGAAAATTATTTTTTTATTTGAAAGGATATATTTACAGATTGATCCCATAGAGTTTTACCAAAATCCATTCGGTTGTTTAGTTTTTAAATTAAAATAATTGGTTTTGCCACAATTGAAGTAGATTTTTTTTATGGAAAAATTTTTATTGCTTTTTTTTCCTTATTATAATTATTTTATTATTAGTACTCTTAATTTTTCCCAAAATAATAATGCATGAAATAATCAAACACCTAAAATAGAAAAGGTGTTTGAGTTAACGTAATTTAGTATTGTTTTTTTGAACCATTAATTTTAATTAATATATATCTATCTTGTTTAATAAACTTATAAAGAATACAAAATATTATATATTATTATAATATATTAATATTTAATTAATCAAAGTACCTATTTTCGTCTTACTGGAATGTAGAAATTTTATTCTATAGATGGATTATGCATTTTATGATACGTTATATTTTAAAATACCTATTATGTATTCTACTTTACGTGTGAGCTCTGATATAAATTTGATTATTATTATATGAATTTATGCAATTACACATACATGCTATATTTATTCATAAAATTATATCATAATTACAGCTTTTTATTCATAAAAAATATCAAACGTTAAAATCCATCTCTTTTCTTTGTCCTATGTTAAGTTAAAAACTTGCCAAATTTTATTTAAATTTATTCCTCCGTTTAACTGTAATAGAATAATATAACCTATTATAATATCTACATTTACTGACTACATTAAATTACACGAGTTTAAAATAACTTTTTAGATGCCTAACTGTGAACAATTTTTTAAAGTGTTTTGTCTCTTTCTAATTCTAAATTTAAAAGAAACTGACACAACATAATGGTTGGAATGGATTTTTGTTTTATTTTTTATGAATAAGTTAGGCTTGAAGTTTATACAGGTTGAATTTAAAATAATTAGAAGCCTTTAATGGCAAAGTGTGTGAGGTTCTACTAGTGAAATGGAACATTTTTCCTAAAAACATGAGTCGAGAAACGACAAAATGAATTTGAAAGTCTCGTACAAATTTTGAAAAAGAAAACACGGCCATTTTGGTATGGGAGGCTGTAATATTTTAAATTTCGACTTGTATAGTACCCGTAGTTTTGTAGTAACTCAACATTATTATTAATAAAGGTCTTATTAACATAAAGTTGATATAATTATATTAGTTTACACTATTTTTATTTGAAATCAATTGGATTATTTATTATAATTGGCTCGTTTAAACTGCAAACGATGTGTTACATTATGATTTACTCCTATGGTCATTGAAACGGCTATGATGTTTTGATACAAATGTTTAGTGTATGTAGTGTTGCAGATGTAGGCCAGTGCCGGGGTTGCCTGCTCACGAGAAATCAAAAAATACCATATTAAAAATAAAAAAAAAACTACCAAAACCTACTGTTTTTCCGTTTTTGCCATGTTCGTTTGTTCTCATTGCAGAGCGCTGATCACCGGGTCCACGCAGACAAGAGGATATAGCCTGTAAAATGTTATGTTAAGCAAAATTTCACTAAAACCCGACCCGATCGCCCTTCGAATACCCACAATAAATAATCGGAAATATAGTAGAGCTGACACTGTTTTGAAATGTTTAATCTTTTAGGAAAAAACATTCAGGCCAGTATATTAAATTATTAATCTATGATAAACCCAAAGTACAGTCTATTAATAAAATTATGACAATAGCTAGTAATTTTTCTTGTATTGTATAGGAATTGTCAATTCAATAAGCATTGTATTTCACATGTATATTTAAGTTTTATTTACATGTTGACGTTTCTCTACCGCGATATAATACGACATAATGTAAAAGACATAAGTAAGAAACATGGTAACATAGTATTGTTATTAATTTTATTATTATAATAAGTCCTCTCTATAATTTTTAAATTATTGACTCTATTGTGCGTTCTATTCGTTGAGCTGCTTTTATTTTATGCCGCATTATAATTCTGTCAGCAGTTAGGTTGCCTACAGTGCGCTGGCGGCCGCGAAAGAAACGCCAATATGATTTCGATTCGCATTAAACACCATTACATATCAATTTATTTCTTGTGGGTTATAATGTTTTATTAGTAAAATGTATTGAAACGTGAGATTATAATAAAATTAACGAATCGCGGCTGTGTGGTCAATATATAAATGATTTTCAACTGTGTATTATGCTCGTGTTCACGTGTACTTATTGAAACTGTCGTTAATTGTTTTGTGCCAATTGACAGTCTGTCCAGGTTTGTAATGTACCACACTGCTTTTAAATATGAGTCGGACGAAGGAGCGATAGAGCGACACGATGCGTTGCATTGTGAGATACTTCGTCGACGCCAGGAGTCGAGGTAACACCACTGTGTGACTAGTTTATAGAAATATCATTTTTATTATGTGTAACATGATAATCTCTACTACTATTTGTCGTTGGACTTTCTAGTTTTATCCCCTCGCGGTGGGGTTTTAAAACTAAAATTTATAATACAATTTCGTAATATTATAATGTAGGTGTGTAAGTTAGGCGTTATGATAAAGTATGTTCGGTCTTACTATTCTTCCACGCCCGTTAGGTTGTAACGAATATGCTACATGGTTTAGAATATGTATTTTCTTTTTCTAAGATTTAGCTTTGATAATTACCCCATAGGGACAGTGTATAGCAGAAGTGAAAAGGTAATGTAATCAAATCTACATTCCCCGAAAATGTTCAGTAATTATTATATAAAACGCGTATCCACTGACGCACCACGGATATCCCTCAACTTTTGTATTATTATTTAAGAGATAAAGTGTATATTATTGACATATTGTGTGTTCATTTTATTTCTAACAATGGTTTCTCTCCACAGACCCCAGAGGTAAGTAACCCTATGAAAATTATCTAATAAACGCTGCACCATGTTTACACTGTGCTTTCATGTATTTATTATTCTGATTTTATTGGTCTCATGTCATTACATATATTATTGTTTGGTGATCATATTATGTGTGTATTGATTTGAAAATGTTCACTTCAACGATTGTATGTAATTGGTGTACTTCTCGATATTTGGATATGTTATAAATGTATATCAATCGAATGTCGCCATTCCCGTCGCAATTTGTGGAAATTATATTAGTGATAGTACTTCTGTATAGGTTGTTTGTGATTTGCGTTTTTATCATGACCTTTCACAGCTATATTCGGAATGAGGGGAGTCTTTGCCCCTCCTATGTCCGCCGATTATTACGCCTTGATAATATTTTACATGCGATATTGTGCACAGCTCATGTTTTGTATTTGATGTTATTACTCTATATCCCATTGTACTTTTGATACGTAACTGTATTTCTGTACTGATATTGTTATTGTATGCCCTGTCATTTTCCAATATGTGATTACATCACTGCCCTCATATTGTCGGTCTGTTAAAGGTGGGAGACCTAACTGCCTTCAGTACGTAATTACAATAGAGAAATCATGTAAAAAAATATACCCGGGACGGTGCAAAGAGTTATCCAGAACAAAATGGCGGCTAATATGGCAGTTGTCCACAGAGAGAAATTGGTAAGTTTTGAGTGATTGTCGACAATAATTGGATGGGTTTATTAACTATTAGTAAGTATCAAAGTATGAAGGACGGTTTTAACAATATCCCTCCGCCCTAATAAAAGCTAAATAAATATGTTGGATAGCTTATTAATTTTTATAAAGAGTCTTTGTAGGGATTAATTATGAAATATCAATATAATAATTAGTCGCAGAATACTATAAATAAGGGGGAAGGGGATTCCAGTATATTTGATACAAAAATATTTACTGCTGGCAATACGACGTTATCCTAACGTTTATTGGAAACGAAATGTTCCAGAAATATTTAAAAATTTTACTGAATAGTAAAAGAGAGGAATAATAATTAACAGTGATTCTTTTTTAATTCGCATATTTTCGGTTCAGTTGTAACTTAAAAATATTGAAAAATATAAAAATTTTCAGGTTACTGTTGATATAAATTCTAATAAATAGATATTTTAGGATAACAATGTTTTTCTAAAAGCGCAGTTATAGACGTCAATTATGCTACCACCTATACTGCCATAAAATGTTGCCGCTCTACATTTCCGTTGTCAAAATACTATTGTACCGATGGCGTAATTTTTCAACTTTACAAACTTTGTTCTACTACAAAAAAAAAAAAAACGGATTGATTTTCTGAATCTTCCTCTCTCTAAATAAGTTTTTAAAACTGTCATTGAGGTCGATTCTAAGGCGCTATTTTTTTAAAACTATCTCATAAATTACAATTTTAATTCCATGTTACAGCGAAATGTTTATTGTTAGAATCAATGTGAACTAATTTTCTAATAAATTTAAGTCGAAATTATTGTAATTTCAATGTGCGACGGCCCGTAAAAATAGTAATTTTGAGAAATTATTAAATTATATGGTTAAGGGATAGTTTTAGAAAAATAACACCTCAGAATCGGTTACATTGTATATTTTTTATTGGATCAGTATTTAAGGAAGTGTCTAATGTTCTATTAAATTCATACCACATGTTGGGATTCTAGAAACCATTCTAAATCAAGTTCTTAGTTGCAAGTACATATAGGTGGTGATGGTACCTATTGGTATTGATCTGAAAATTATTTACACCTTCATATTGCAACCGATTGATAGAAAACTATGATCCTATTTATTAACTGCTATTGAATGTTTTTTTTTTTCTTTTAATACGATACCGTTGTACTCATGTCCATATTGTACGCGCTGTTGTCTTGACGGTTTCATCAAATCTTTGCTCATTCCCATTTTATTTTCTATTTGTATGTTAATATTTTGTTCTTTACTATATGCATTTTCATATACATTTAGTTATATTTTCATATAAGTATTTTATATAAAATGCAGTATGCATTGACTGATGCAAGTTTATTTTTAATCTATCATTTTAGTTGTTGCATATTCTGCATAGTCATTTTCAGTGAAACGTACGGAAAGATGGCGTTATCTAAATAAAAGGCGATATATTACTTTGGATGTTTTATTTCTATGTTAGCTAGCGATCCTATAACAATAGATTTGAACAACGACGGTTCGAACGTTCGAGAAAACGGAAACAAAATGCTCAACGAGTATAGTAAGTATGTATATCTTTTAATAGTAAAAGTAGGTATAATATTTTATTTATAATTGTCTAAGGAGAAACTTGATTAGGCTTATTTATAGCATTCAGACGATTAGGTCTTTACTCAAATATCTAGTTTTCTGGGTAGTTATATTTTGGATAAACGTTAAACCACAAGTGGCAAACAAATTATCGATAGATACTTTATCGCTACAGCATGCGTGAGAGGGACAGAAACATCCGCCGTCTTGTTTTTTCCGTTAGTAACGAAAATTTATCTATTGACGAATTTGTTTTAAGATTTTTGTTAGGATGCCAATCTGTCGCTTTTAATTTCTATGACTTGACTAATAAATTACGTAAATAATTTACGATTTCACAATAACTCTTCTCTTTTATACAAGAATAGTTGTATATCTACCTGGCGTGATGCTTTCATTATTAGAAAGGAGTTTTCTACAATTCATCGGACAGCTCAACGAGAAAAAAACCCCAATAACACCCATATTTGCAAGGGGAGCTTAGGTACATTAGTGTCAATCTATATAAATATAATAAAGTGACTCTGAACGCATTTGTCTTTGGTACTACCAGCCTGATTTAAAAAATCTACACTAGATAGCTCAGTTCTTGAACATACGACCACGGGTAAAGCCGCAGGATACGTCAAGTACAAATATAGTTTAATATCTTTGAGGGGATCGTTCGTTTGAGGTCTGTGATGCAAGTGAGGTAGAAGACGTGCTACTAGACCGTAAGAGGCGAGACAGTCGTGAGAGCGGTGCTGTCGCCCACGGCTCCAGTGGGCTGGTTGTCTCTGGTACTGGGGAGACCCTGAAAATGTGTTTATGATTAATGATATAGTATTCTTTTGGCCGTCTAGTCCCAGTATAGATAGGCCACTCCTTCCCGTGGGAATTGTAAGAATCGACAAAGGGATGGGCATCAGCGTCCCTCTTAAAACCTAACTACGGTTATCAGTCCGCTTGTCAAGCGTGGCAACTACTGGCAAAATCCCCTAAGGGGAGGCGTATGTTCATCAGTGGATAGTTAAGGCTGATGTGATCATGACGATATAGAATTCGTTACTGTGGTAGTTCGATTGAATAAAAATGCAATGGTAACACTCCACTGTTGTATCTCGTTACATTTTGGTTCTAAAATCTCAGAATACATCTAAAAAAATGTCTTCAGTAACGGTATAAGCTGGTGAGATGCAGCTGAGCAGTAAATTATGGTAATTGAGGATAAAGTTAGGACATATATCGTCGTAGTCGTGGAATACTGACGCATCTATATATAATATTTGTCAGATCCGTCAGTATTTTACGACTATGACGATATAAAAACTTTAGAATCAAAGAAGATATTGCACTTAGATACTGTCTAATAGGTGGATTTATATAGTTACTGCTATCCTCCACAGATTATATTTTAGGGACACCATCAAAAATTTGGTCAAGGGCGGCAGGTGGATACCTGATTTCTGAAATTCTGAAGATTCTTATTTGCACTAACTAAAGCAAAGCTAAAAATAAACCATACCTATTTTTTCTAGCTCTAGCCGTTTTTGGTCGTGTTCGCTTTTTCTCTTGTTTTGTAGAAGCTGCAGGTGCTGCACTCTCCACCTCGGCTCCACTACCAGCACCTAACAATTTAAACCCATTTTAGTATACAGATTTAAACCAATACCTACTAGAAAGTATTATTACTGAAAAGGTCAGGTATATATTAGTTGATTTTATACCTATTTATCTCATCAACTTTTTTCCCAAAACAGTTTTGCAAATAAATATTCCAAATATATATTGGGAGGAGTTTGTTTGTTTTGTTTTCAAAAGCTCTTTATTTATCATAAATGATTACAAATATAATAAATTCCAGTGTACGTAAGCTTAGAATTTACAATCAGCCATAAATCGTTTGGCGAGTATTATACACTCCTTCAAACATTTAAAATAGAGATACAAATATCTATAATTCTACACAACATAAAAACTTACATGATTACTTATTAATTATAATCATAAAATAAACACAAAATGCACATATTTGTAAATTATGCATTATAACAAAAATCATACAATTGGGAGGGTAGTTTGAACCCAAATAGTACCAAGTTTGTAACATTAATATTAGATATTACTATTAGCAATCGGCAGGTATCAGTAATCATGACTGTCGAGAGCTATGCGAACAATAGAAATAGAAATGGTGCGTGCCATCTTGATCCTTACTTCAGTATGCAAAAAGAGTGATTACGGTCTGAAGTAAAATATTATTCGAAGTTTAGAAACCAGTGATGGGGCGATTTATATCTTTTATATTTATCGATAAAAGGTAAATTGCTGGTTCGTGTTATACAGATCCTATTAATTAGTGGATTGTTGTGTTTTATATTCGATTTAAGATAAATAGATAAATTTTAATTGGGAGGAGTATTCCTCGTGGAATTCTTTCTCAAGAATCAATCGTCCTTGAAGGGTAAGACAATTATTATAACAACGAAATTATTAGATACTATCTTGATCCAAGACAGGTGTATTTATGGGGCAGGGTCGGTTAGAGGTCCTTGCTCACCACAGAATTGTCTGGTGCCCACTCTGAGATGCCAGTGAAGCTTTACAAAGACGTCTAACTGTAGGTATATATACGCTTTTAAGAGTCTAAGTTCTTCTCTAGAAAATAATCTTAAATACGCTAATGTTATGGTCCAAAATCTTCCAACTCTAAATGATAGGTGACGCAAGTGCGAATTATGCTTCTTATAGGAAGCGTTCTTGGTTAAAGTGAAGTACTTTGTTAGTACACGCTTATTATCAAGTAGTCTCCTTAATTGATACATTCAGTGTATAAAGAAATATTCTAGAAATAAACACTTACCGACTATAAACAGCGAATGTTCCACTTGTACTTGCCCAGTTGCGTGCTGAATGCAAAGTGGTCGAGCTGCTTTTAATCTGGCTGAATCATCTCTTCTGCTTCCTACAGCCCTATATATATACAAAATAAAGAATATCTTGAATTAGTGTTTAGCAAGATAACATTGAAACGCCTACGATATTAAGATTTCATTATTAACTTTAGGATTGTGGCTCTAAAATGAATCTGTCGCACTTTTATTATGTTTATCAATAGACACTTCTAAAAACTTTTGAACAAGCATAAACTCCTTATTGAAATAACGTAAAAAAACTAATACAAAATGTCCGATACCATAGTATAAAATATTTTTTCAAGACGGCTTTGAGCAATCTCACAAAATAAATATATTGAAAACTTACGAGCTATTTCCTGAACTAGGTGGTTCATCCCAAGGCGCATCGCTTTCCACAGCGCTGCTCTCAGATGCCACCAAGTACATAGATCTGCGTTTATAATATAGTGTGGTCAAATGTCAAGATAACGTCGTTTATAAATGCAACTATGAGACTAGCATCAGTTTGTGTAATGTAAGTAATGTACATATTACGCGAACAGGTTTAAACCATAAAAATAGGACTAATATTGAAACTAACACACTGCTTTGTTTTCCTATAGATGGGGGTTCGAGCCTCACAAAATACGAAGAGTTTGTATTCATAATTGGGACTAAAGCCATGTAACGTGTAATATATCTTGTCATATTTATTACTAGTCTTTGCCCTCGTGAATTAGTATGTAAAGTGTAGCGTAAGTTTAGATATAACATATCCGGGTATCAAATATTCACCAACAAATTTATAATATTAGTAGAACAATCTGTTACAATAGATGCATATAGCGTTTCAAATAAAACAAACCAATTATTAATAGAAGTAGGTACAAATCTAAAATCGATTAACCAATTGAACATTTCTATTTCATTTTGAGAGACTTTCTACGATAATTGTAACAAAAAGGATACCTTTTCATTAAAATCTACTGAACTATATCTATTATATATACTATTTTTTATCCCACTACCTAGTATATGCAATATAAATTAGGCTTTACCTAGCAGGCACGTAGAGGTGCGGGGGAGGAGGCGGGGCGCGGCGGGACGCGGAGCGGGCGCGGCGCGCCCTTGAAGCTCTCCCCAGCAACACCGACTCTACAACGGAACGGGGGGCTTACTATCAAATGAAATTCCGAAGTTTCGGACTCAATTTCGTGTTTTCGTTCATACCTAATACGGTCCAGTAAATGGAGCTTAACATTTCGTTCGTCATAAATCCTACCATAAAAGACCAAAGGAATAATATTCTAATATTTTTAATGTTTTTAAACGGTAAGTATTATGTAATTTTAAAATCAAAGTGTTTCGTCCAGCTCCGAAATTTCGGAAAACATTTCATGGTAGGCCCTCGGGTTACAGTAAACAATTGCAAAGTAGTGGCATAACATTATATATAATATAGGCATTTAACATTTTGTTAAGTTCACAAAAATTATCTTAAAATCCATTTTTGTTCTTATATTAATAGACACTCGGCCCATTCCTAAAGTGGTCTGCGATTGCCTATATTGATTTGCAAGGCGCTGATTGCTAGGCATAATTAATTACCTCAGTACAAACATATATCTTTTTGCTACAGAACTCGAGAGGGAGGTTCGTACAACAGCTTTTTTTTTATTTAAATAAAAAAAACTAGGGAATTAAAATCTGCCACGTTGGCAACCTTTTTCATTTATCTTTTACGGAGAATCCTTCGGCTATAGAACTTACCTCTTTTTTATTTTGTTTTCATTGTTTAGTATTCGTTAATGTTGTGACTTAGCTAAAAATTATCACTTGTATAATAAATAATGTTAAGGAAGGGGTTGTGGTACAGATAAATGTTACGGCGCGTTACACGAGGAAGAGGGAGGCTCAAAAATTGCGTTATGTAATACTTGAACGTCCTCTAATATTCAAAATGTAAATAAAACGATAATTTCGCTTGCACTATTGAAATTACCAGAGATAAAGTCAGGTTAGTTGGTACATCCGAACTCTTCTCTTCTGAGGGGAAAGGGATTGTTAGCAATAGAGTTTGACAGCCCCATTGCTAGCAACCCTATCAGGTCGAGCACCACGCGGTTATCCCTAAAAACCATCATGATTAATTCTTATTGTAAAGCCTACTTTTAACCTCACGTATCATTCACACTGGTGCCCCGCCAGTATATAACAATAGTGCAGGGGAGGTTACCATTCCATTTCCACCTATTAGGAAAAAATCCTTAAGGTGGTTGAGCCGAGGTCATTTTTATACAAAATATTTTTGTAATACACGCTGCAAGTATAAAGGTATTTAATTAACAACCAATAACAAAAAAATGTTTTAAAAACCCTAAATTCGCAAATCAAATTAGAATATTGCTCACACCGATAAATCAGGTTTTTCCCAGCATTATTCAAGGCAGGGTCTTCTTGTATCCATCCTATTAAAAAAATATACGTCATGTACCCGATATAGGGTCACTGTCGCTGTGTTCCTGCCGCTCGCGGCGCCAGCCTGAGTCGGGCGCGGGTGCGTCCGCCGCCACGCCGAACAGCCCCGACACCGCTCCGGCCACCACCTTCCGAGCTGACTTGGCCGCCGTCTGGAGGCAAACGTTCCGATATCAATCCTTACCACAGACAATAACACTACCACAGATAGCATACTAATCAGTTTTGTAAGAACAAAAGACTACTTATTACAAATGTGAAAGTGAGTTTATTTATTAGTTTATACATAGATCTTAAACTAAATTAAAAGTTTAGTTTAACACTTTGTACAAAAGTCGATTGCTTGGATACCTCTGTCCTATTCGTGTTTCTACCGTGAAGCAGTTGTGTTTGCATGGCTGTGTTTCGGTTTGAAGGGTGGGATATGGTGTGAATTTACAGGGTACAGAGGGAACATCTGAGTCCTCAGGAATGACAACGCATGGGGGGTATCATGGACAGTATATTCTGTTATGTCCATGGTACTGCTCATGTCTATAGGCGACGGTTACCACTTTCCATCAGGTGGGCCGTCAGCTTGTTTGCCATTCTAAGTTGTATAAAAAAAAGTTCGTCTGCTTATAGTTACTACGTACTGTATAAAGTATAAAATACATATAATATTCTTTAGTATTAACCTACGTACGTAACAGAGGTTAACAGTGAATTCGTAGTGATGGACTAATTTATTTTGTCATTTATATGGACACCCTACCAACGTAAACTAATAACGCATGCGGGATTATCATTACATTTTCATCCATTACAAAATTTTTCTCGTTCTATCTTTTATATACGGCAGCGAAAACATTTCTATCGATAGATTAATTTTTTTATACAACTTAGAATGGCAAATAAGCTGACGGCCCACCTGATGGAAACTGGTAACCGTCGCCTATGCATATACAGCATAAGCAGTACATAAGTAAGCTATACATAAGCAGTACCATGGACATAACAGAGTATACTGTTTCGTCCATGATACCCCTCATGCGTTGCCATTACTGAGGACTCCTCTGTACCCTGTAAATTCACGCCATATCTCACCCTTCAAACCGAAACACAGCCATGCAAACACAACTGCTTTACGGTTGAAACACGAATGGGACTGAATATATCTGGTTTCCTAGTACTCTTATGGGAATTAGTTACGATAAGCCAACTGATCTGCTTTCATTCTCACCTATCATCCCTTAACCTCAAGTGCATACCTCTATCAGGTGGGGTTACCATTCCATTTTCATCCTATAAGAAAATGTCTCTAGCGGGTTACTCACTGTAACATTGATGTCTATCTCTGGTACGCAGCTCAGGTCAGCAGCCCGCTCTGCAAGGTTCTTCAGCAAAACGCTATTTGGCTCTGTTGTCTCTGATAATTTCACCAGCTCGAAGAAGTAATCTGGGTATACTTGCTCTTCGACTGTAAATTAATTTTTAGAACACTTTGCAATTATTAATATAGTTTAAGTCAATTTTAAATTATAAAATTATTTTTATACATAACTAATTTTTTACCCGCTACTCGTATGCGCAGATTTTAGAGGTAGAAAAACAAAATGAAATAGTCCATTTCTTGATAACGTACGAGATAAAACATTTTTTAAATTTTACTTTCAAGAATACAACAGTGAAAACCGGATTCAATTTGGTACAGTAATTTTTGCATAATACCGGAACAAACATAAGGACAAGCAGAAAAAAATTTTTAAAAAATATTGTTTTAGCTTCTATTGCTCCTATTAAAATTCCTTCTATAAATTTTTTTTTAATACGTTTTATGTCCATAATACTCATATTTACAATAGTACAGACATTGTCTAGTTACGATATTATATTAGAAACTAAGATAAGGGGGACTCTGTACAAATTCGTCTGGGTATCCTTGTCCCATTCTCTCAACAATCAGTCGTGCTTTAGTGTTTGCCGCTTCAAGGGAGAAACTCAAAAATGACGACACGTACCATAATGGGCGTTAAAAAATATTCCATTTGAAAGAAACGTTCAGCACCCAAACTACGCAGTGCCGAACGGTTAACATTAATTCCGAACAGCAATCAATAATAATTTGCCTAAAGATGCATGTTGAAGAAACACGTGTCGCAAAACATGCGTGAATAAAATGGTAGTCAGAGATCAATGGCTTATTTGCAAGGTTGTGAAACTTCTGGTAGTAATAGTGGCGATCAGAACAGTAGCAGAATTAAACAAAGCAATTCTAATCGAATGATATGGATTCCCGCAAAATTACACCTGGTTCGGTAAAATACCCCCTTTTTTTATCAAAAACTTTATTGACATTTTGCGAACTTTTTTAAAATTCTAATAATACTTACCAGGTTTTGGAGGTTCTTTAGGTAGCGGCAGCATGGGCGTTACACTTGGGACGACGCCAACCGGTCCCGCTAGTGATACAGGCGCCGAGCTCTTTGGGATATTAGGAACCATTGCACTTGTTGCGTCTGGTACGGGCACAAGCTTTTGTAAGTTTTCGGGTATTTCCAAATTCGATTTATTTGGGGCGGACTTTATACCAGTTGATGGGAGAGTCGGTTCGGGAACAGACAGCTTGTTTGAGGAGGCCAGTTGGGGCGCTGGTGTGGAGATAGCAGAGACAGATAGTTTTGGGACGGTTTTGCCGTTGACTAGTAGATCTGGCGTTGCTTGCTTTTGTGTCGTATCTGAAAAAGAAATTGAATATTGGTTACAAAAAGAGTTTATTATAAAAAATAATGGTTTAGCATTTTAAGTGGTAAATAAAACAATTATTAAATATATCTACGCTTCTTGCTTTCCAGTCGCCTTTATACATATCTTTTCAATGTACTAGGTACTTAGTTATAGATTCTTCTTTCGTATATATTTTTTAAGTCTTATATTTCTTTTACTCACTGTTCATTCTGACAATTTGATAGAAAATAAATATTATTTATAAATTGAGTGCATATTCACAAATAATTCAAGTGCAGTAACATACTAGGTATTGTTTAAATTTCTACATAACAAATTTTTCACCAGGTGAGTGTTAAAGTGTGAATCACATACCAGTATTAGTGGCAAGTTCAAGGTCATGCGTGAATGCCATGACGTTGAGAGCTGACGAGAGCGCTGGACCGACCCCGTTCCCTACTTCGGCAGCCAGCGCCATGTCCGCGGTCCCCACGCAGTCGGGAGGCGGCGCAGCTCCTCGTCTCCTGATTTGAAGTAAATTATGGCAATGTGATATAATATGTATCTTTTCCTAAGTGAACAATTTGGGGAACTGTAAAGCTCAAGCTGTAAGGAAATTTAAATTTAAAATATATTATTACTGGGTACTAAGGTAGCATCTTAGTCTTGGTTAGTAATTGAGTTTAACAGCCCTATTGCTAGCAATATACCCTATCAGGTCGATATCTACGCGGTGGTCCCTGGAAACTATCGTGGTCAGTTCTCATCTATCATCTATCATTGATTCCCCGCCAGCGTATACCGATAGCGCAGACGGGGTTACCATACCATTTTCACCCATAAAAAAATGTATGGGCTTCATATAGCATGTGATGTGGGTAAATGGTAATGTTTACATAATGACGCTTATCACTTTTCATCTGCTGGAATGAAATAATGAAGATTTACATAAATATTTCATTAATTGGTTGAATAATAATAATCGTGAGTGATATTGTATCACAAATAAATACTACTATATAAGTACATACGAGTATGTGAGTAAAGACCAATATAAATAATTGTAACTTTTTTTTATACAACTTAGAATGGCAAACAAGCTGACGACACACCTGATGGAAAGTGGTAACCGTCACCTATAGACATGAGCAGTACCATGGACATTACAGAGTATACTGTTTCGCCCATGATACCCCCCATGCGTTGCCATTCCTGAGGACTCAGATGTTATTCCTCTGTACCCTGTAAGTTCACGCCATATCCCACCCTTCAAACCGAAACACAGCCATGCAAACACAACTGCTTCACGGTAGAAACACGAATGGAACAGAGGTACCCAAGCAATCGACTTTTGTACAAAGTCTCCCTCTGGTAAAATTTCGACAATATTTATTTCGTTAAAATTTCGATAATATTTATATATATTTTAATTTATTAAATAATTTACTGAACTAGTTGTTATATTGCGAAAGTCTATATCACTGGTTAGTTGATTAGGATTATTTTGTTTAATTCCGCTACAATTAGTATGTATGTGACTGCCTGTTGGCAGTTCGAGTGTTCTCGAAGAAATTATTGTCCAACTTACGGCATGGGTGCTTTTGTTGGCGTAGATATGGAGACACGGCCCCACATCAGACGACGCAGCTCTTCACCGCTGATGCCGCGCCGCCTCAGCTCAGATATGGTCACTTTTCCCACGCGCTGCATGCGATATTATAGTGTATCCGACATTCCTTGCGCCAGTTTTGCGGTTTAATTTATATATTTATTATAAATAATTTGTTTAAAACTATCATCATCATCATATCAGCTATTATCTGCCAACTGTTGAACATAGGCCTTCCCATAGGGGGGGGGGGGGGAGCGGGTTGCCAGTAGTTGCCACGCTTGGCAGGCGGATTAGCAACCACAATTAGACTTGGGTGATACTTAAGAGTAGTGAAGTGTTAAAATGGATCCTTCGATCATTAACTTCTCTTAGTACCTTTTTACGGCACTCACGGAAAAAAGAACGAGTGGATCATTCTATGCCGGGGCCATAATTAAAACTATGTTAGTACTTAATTTTTAAATAATTACCTAGTCCTCTGAACAAGCTGCCGCACCAGAAGACTTTCTGGTCTGACTTGAATTTACCAATGTTATGATACTGAGGAAATTTATATGGGGTTGCTTTCCATTTGTGACGGAAAAAACAAGATGACTAAAATAATCGTGATTAATTCATGATACATTGTTTAGAATAGACAAACTGTACTGACTTCATCCTCACCTATCCCCTCTAAGTGATACACTGTTAACGTAAACCTATTGGTTACCATTCGTTTTCACAAATTAGAAAAAAAAAGCTACAGAGGCCTTAAATTATTATTAAAAAACAACAGTTATACCTTCCAGTTGGCCAGAGCGCCTTTCCGTTGTTTCGCCCTGGTCTTCGCCTTGCTCTTGATGACCATGACTGCGCGTTGCTCGTACCGTGGGTCGTCTGACGGGCCCAGACCTATGGAGTACTCCTGCAGGTATCGGTGTGCGTCGTCCTGAGCCACCGAGCGTTCTAACGACACCACTATCTTCGCCCACTGAAATGTTAATACGGATTTTTTTTTATGGGTGATAATGGAACGGTAAATTTCGGTATACACAGGCGGGGTACCAGTGAAAGATGATAGGTGAGGATGAAGCAGGTCAGTTAGCCCATCGTGACAAATTCAACAAAAATTGTTCACGATGGTTTTCAGGAGGAACCACGTGGAGATTGACCTTATAGGGCATATTGCTAGCAATGGTGCTGTCAAACTCCATTACTAACAATCCTTTTCCCCTCTGTTAATACGGATTAGTCAATATTATCAAGCTTTTATTATTAAGCTTTTATTATAAATCGACTTCAAAAAGAAGAAAGGTCCCAATTTGGTTGTATTTTTTTATGCTTGTTATCTCATAACTACATCAGTTCATTTAACCGATTTCGATAATTCATTTTTTATTTGAAAAGTTATACGTATAGATTAGTCCCATGCTTCTTTTGTTTTTCATTCTTTTATCTCTTTTACCGTGTATTATGTGTATGTTTGTATTGTAATTTGTGTGCTGTAAGTAATGCAAATAATCTATCTGTCTATTTGTCCATAGAAACTTTATCAAAATCGATTCAATAGTCTAGATTTTAAATCAATATAACTATTTTGTCACTATTGAAGTCAGTTTTTTTGGGACACAACCTTTAAAGATTAAACTATAGCTTTTTAAGTAAAGACTAAACAAAGATCTTTGATTTACTAAACTTTCAAAGAAAAGAATTTACTTCAGTTATTCTTTATATATTTTTTACATACCAACTTCTAAAAAGGAGACTTAAGGCAGCTTATGGGGTCCAAGTAACAAAGCATATAAATATATTTATTGCAATTATTTCTTTTGCAATATATGTGGACCAACGACTATATAAAATTATGACAAATTTCAAACTGATAGAATTTGTAGTTGCTGAGACAAAGTGTTGTGACAGACAGACGGAAGGACAAAATCGAATCAGAAGGGTTCGTTTGATACAGAATCCTAAAAATGTTGTCTTAAATCAATAAATATAATACCTGTTTAACCCACTCCTTTTCCGACTGCTCTATGACGTGCGCGTACGTATTTCCCATCATGGCGATCAGCATGTTCAGCAACAGGATGGGAACGAACACCATGAACACGGCGAACACCGTCTTGGCCAAGTTCGGGTATGTCGTCAGGCCTAGGTCTGTGTACTGTCGGTCATAAAGGATGTAAATCCTATTGGCATAGACATATTAAAGAAATGACCGAATGGGTCAGTGGTACCCACCCCACGGTGGAAACTGACCTTTTAATTATGTGCTCACATATGTGAGAGGGCATATGCCTCTTTTTAAAAGGCCAGACCTCCCCTAGAAAGTAATCTTAAATACTTATACGTCAGTGTTTCTATAGGTTGTGGATACTTTGGAGGCAAAGGGTTCAGATTTTAGAAATTTAATCTTTAATTATTTTTAAAGTTCCATTTGATAGATTGAAATATGTCTGTCCTATTTAATATTCACAATGCAATATTTCCATTTTTGTAGAAAATAGTTAGGTCCTGAGTCGTTCATCTTTTTTAAATGTCAGCCGATCTTATGAACTTCCTATCATAAATCATAGACTTCTCGATTCAAATCGATTAAAAACATCGATATTTTTGTCCAAGATCGGAAACAACACCTTAATCTATTTATTTTACTACATTTTGGACAAAAATTAGTTTACGTTGTAACGTAACTGACGAACGGTTATGTTAAGTCATAATTATAAGGTATTCGACATATTCTAAGCCCTTAAAATAAACGGTAATGTTTCGATTGAAATACTAACGCTGTAGTCTCCCAATGTGATTTGGAAGAGCGCCATCCACGTGCTTGGGTAGCTGGAGTAGAGAGTTGATTGTACGTTGGGAAACCCTGAAATAATTTGATGAACAAAAAAGTTCAATGTGACACATGATTAATTAGTCAATTTACATTTTATGATAACACGTGTGTGATCACAACAATATATGTATATATGTTATATCGTTACTATCATTTATTTACACAACAATAATTTGTATATTGACAGAATTCTCTTTAGTTTATTTCGTCTTCTCCGGCTTTAAAGTCCGGCCCTTATATACACGTTTTGCGCACGTAGGTAAACGATTTACACAAGGAAAATTTAGTCTACAAACAAAAAATTGTTTACCTGAATCATAAAGATCATCTTTATCATCAGAACTTTAGCATTTATTAATATAATAAATGCGAAGTTGCCGTGTGATCCCAGCATGAAATGAACGCCTTCCTTTCCAGTGGGCATCGTAAGAGGCGACTAACGCCCGAAATTAATAATCAATTCTAATACAAAATTTCCTATCTGCGATTTGCATATTAATCTATTTTTCGATACAATCGTCTTAATAATCAATCTATGGATCGAAACTGTAATCTTTCAAAACAATCCAGCGTTGGGAGGTCGGATCACAGATTAAAGATAGTCCTCTGATCGAAAAGTTCAGTTTTCACGTCTCAATAACCTATCTAATGATTTTGACGTTTGGATTGATCGGTGTAACGGGAACTTAATGGTTGAGAAATGGGCAGCAGCGTCCCTCTGAAAACATCACCAAAGCCTAACTGCGGTTGCCATTCCACCTGCCAAGCGTGGCAACTACTAGTAACATTCCCCTTATGGGGGACGCCTATGTTTAACAGTGGATAGTTAACGGTTGATATATAATAAATGTGTAAAGTTTATAACAATGGATAGATGGATGCTTGTTACTCTTTCACGCAAAAACTACTGAGCAGATTTGAATGAAATTTGGTACACGGGTAAGTTATGTCCTAACTTAACCGCGGGATACATGTAGTGATAAAGAATTTTACAGATACCTCTATAAAGAAAGTAGAAAGATTGCGAAAATCCGAACAGCACGATGCAGTAAATGATGCCGAAGGTGAACATATCGCCTGTGATCATGCTGTAAATCATTGTCACGAACGGGCCGGTCAGCTTCACAGCACTGTTGACATTTTAATTCATCTTATTAAAATATAATAAAATTGTAATACAACATGGTTAAAAAAGCGTCAGGGGTGTTCTTCTCTAGAAATCTGTCCAACTCTAAAATAAGGGCATACGGGTATGCGATCCCGGCCTCCCGAGCCGCTGCAGTGTCCCCTCCCTTTCCTTTCCCACATAAGTCCCTTATTCCCCTCATTCACCAATTTCTTTTACGCTTTTCCAACGTTCCCTTCCTTTTTTCCTCAATCCTTTCCAAATGATAGGGATAAGGGTAGGAAGATGATGAACAAGATTAAAAAAATACTCACTAATATTGTGGCATTATTCACAATTATATATATTTATAATTTTCGCAATTATAAATATATATAATTGTGAATAATGCCACAATATTAGTGAGTATTTTTTTAATCTTGTTCATCATCTTCCTACCCTTATCCCTGTCATTTGGAAAGGATTGAGGAAAAAAGGATATATATATATATATATTCAATATATATTCAATTTAATATCTAATATATAAAATTCTCGTGTCACGGTGTTTGTTACCAAACTCCTCCGAAACGGCTTTACCGATTTTCATGAAATTTTGTGTGCATATTCAGTAGGTCTGAGAATCGGCCAACATCTATTTTTTATACCCCTCAATGATAAGGGTGATCCACCCCTAAATATTTTTTTTTATTTTTATTTAAATATGATTTATCATTAAAAAGTACATACAACTTAAAATTTTCACCCTTTTACGATCAACCCCTGTTTTTTAATTGCGATTTTTATATTTCGCAATAAGTGGTAAAACAATGTTTACGGGGTCAGCTAGTATTCTTATATAATTGCGAATTATCTTGTTTTACCATCCATTGTTACCTTTGTATCACAAAATAAATAGCAAGGAAACTATACAAATTTATGAACTATATCTTCATTTCTTTATGCAAATAAGTCTTAATCAAGACAACTAATGTTAAATGACACAAACACTGTCCACTTACCCAGCGAAAAACATTAGCAAGAACCAGGAACCGGGCAACAGAAAGATAAGTATGGCCTCCTCCGTCATTGTCTGGCGAGACAGTCTAGCGGGGATGCACGCCAAGAGTAGAAGGTTCGACGCCAGGAAGATGAATTTGGCAGGTTCGTGAATCTAAAAAAGTAAAAATAAAATAAATATATTCAAGACAATAAGCAAATTGAAATTCAAATCACCTTTATATCAAAAAGACTTGTTTACAAAGACTTTAAAATCGAATTTTTTTCTATCCCTGGTAGGGTTGGACAGAGGCATTTGTCGATTGTCACTATCGTGAAAAACTTACCATAATGTGAACATTTTAGAAACTTCATAAAGATGGAAAATCGATGATAAATTTTTAATGTTTTACTATGTATTATGGACACAAAATCCTGGTAAGTTTCAAATTAAATAAGTATATACTCACTAACTGTTTGAAGTACGCCACGAGCCCCTGGTTCTTGATCTCGTCGCCTTGCTGCAGTATGATGTAGCACAGAGTACTGAGTATAGTTCCCAGTTCGCTGGCGAGCCGAAGTCCGCTCCGCCAGTCGATGACCTCGAGCCCCCAGTTGGGGTGGGCGTCCGCCTCCGCGCTGCTGTGGCGGAGGTACACCGACACGGAGAGCAGCAGAAGGTGCAGCATCAGTATCATGAGCCGTTTGAGAAACTTTTTCTGAAAAAATCTTTTATTTTTAAAACTTTATCTTTGTACACGTCAAAAACTATTGTATACTAACTATTACCCGCGACTTCGTCTGCGTGAATATGTTGATTGATCAACATAAATAGTAATATTTGTACTTTTAAATAGGTTTCCAAGATCGATTCGATCGGTCCTTCGTTGAAAAGAACATAGAGTTATAATTATAACATTCCTAATTCTGCTTTGACAATTAAGATCACTCCAAAAACAAATAAAAACATTTCATACGGATACCACAAAAAGGCAAAGTAATATATGTTATAAAATATATAATATCTATGGTATAATATCTATATAAAAGAGGATACTGGGTAACAACGCTTAGCCAAAATAATTAATATAATACAAATAATAAGTTCTTTATACAGCATAAATGAACAATAACAAAGGAATTGTCAAACTTCAAGCCTTAAGGGAGTAAACGAGGTTTGAAAATTTGTATGGAATTTCCTCAAATTAGAAGTTAGACATTACTTGTATAACTTTTAACTTGTCTTAATTTTAGTTTTCGGCTCATGGTACAAAACAAAATTCGCGAGAATACGAATACCACTTACAAGCGAAGTCGCGGGTAAAAGCTAGTCTAGTTTAAGTACCAGCTAATACTCACCCTGGCAAATGTTTTCCATTTTTCCTCTAACAATCTCTGTATTATACCTCCGTCCAACATATTTAGATGCTCCTGCTTCGTCCCGTTCAAGATGATGAATAAAGCCGAATTCCAGTCTAGAATAATAAATATATACATATTTTCTATTCGGTTGTGTTTTCTATGTTTGTTACCTCATAACTCCGTCAGTTAAATTCATCAGATTGATTTAGAGAGTTTTTTTTTATCTAAAAGCATATGCTTACAGATTTGTCCCATATAAATTTTATCTAAACCGGTCCAATAGTTCATATTGTTCATATTGAATCAAAACTAACCGATTTTATCACAATTGAACTCGGTTTTTTTAAAACATAATCTTAATTATGTAGACATGAGATTTTTGCATCGTACTAGCTTTTACCCGCAACTATGTACCCGTGATTAGGATATTTTCAATGACCGGGATAAAAAGTACCCAGTAGTGTATACCAAAATTTCATAGTAATTGCTTTAGGCGCTAACAGGTAATAAATTTTCTTTCATATTTTTCATACTTGTAAGAATGGTCACAACAAACAGCAGTAGGGGGGAAAGGGATTGTTAGTAATGGAGACTGAGAATCCCATTGCTAGCAATATACCCAACCATGTCGACCTCCTCGCGGTTCTCTCTGGAAACTATAATGGTTAATTCTTGATGAATTCATCATGATGGGCTAACTGGCCTGTTTTCATTCTCATCTATCACCCTTCACTGGTGCTCCACCAGCGTATCCCGTTAGCGCATGCGGGGTTACCATACCATTTTCACCCATCAAAAAAAAAAAACAAACAGCAGTACAATATTATACCAATGTTAGTATCTACATAATTATTATTTATAAAATGTGTAACCAGTATTGCTATTCACGATAGAAATTTTTGGACCACTCTGTGCTGCCAATTTAAAATTGAAAACTCAGCTTTTTATCGTTCATGTTTCTTTAGTTTGAATTTAATAGTCGAGGGATGGGCAGGAGCGGCCATCTTTAAACATCACCAAAGCCTAAATGCGGTTGCCAACTCGTTTGCCAAACGTGGAAACTACTGGCAAAGCCCTCATTATGGGTCAGGCTTATGTTTATCAGTAGACAGATAACGGCTGATTCTTTGGGGAAAGTGTAACAAATTCAGTTTCAGTAGTCACACTTTTTAATTATATCTATTTCACCATGTATAAAACTTACTAGTCCGCCCATCAGGTAACAAAGTGTCGAGCGCGTTCAACGGATATGCAGAGCATGTGATGTTGGAGTATCTCCAGAACTCTCTGGCCGATAGTTCCAACATCTCTCTGAAGACAGACGCACGACCAAGCTGGCACGCCAGCGTGAGTGGCGTGAACCCTGCCAAGTTCATCCGGCCGTTGCTGGCTGGGACTTTGGGATGGCGCAGTGCATAACCGAACATGTCCTGAACATTAGAATATATTTTACATGAAATTACATTAATGGTCGGGGGATTGGCAACATCATCCCTCTTTAAACATCACTAAAACCTAACTACAGTTGTCAACCCATCTGCCGGCGAAGCAACTACTGGCAAACCCCCCAAAAGGGGGAGGCCTATGTTCTGCAGTGGACTGTTAACGGTTGATATGGATAGAAAATCTTCTTTAACCAAAGTATTACGAGTATGCAAATGCCAAAAACAAACTCATTGTTACAATTATAATATTTAGTAAAGACCATTTTTGTTTATGATTTTAAATACTTGTCACTCAATAGTTGATGTCAATATTAGAATTGACAAAATTGTTTACTAGTCATCTTCCCACCCTTATCCCAAATTATTATTTGGGGTTGGCGTAATATCTTTTTTATCCAAATTCAAAAAAGATTTGGCTTATAATTTTACAACAAGCTGCCTGCCTGACGTCAACCCTCGTACTAATATCGTTTACTAGTGTCGTATATATTTAGTTAATGTGTTCGTATCTTACCAATTTGTCACAGACCACAACCATATGCAATATCATGTTGCCGAAGGAGTCCTGCGCATCAGGATCGGCCCCGGAGTCGAGGAGTAGGTTGTATACTGCTTCGTTGGCGCAGCAGGCTGTCCACGCTAGTGGGTATTCTCCTAGGTATGCTAAACCTTCATAGTTGGTCACACGGGCGGGAGGCACGCATTGTTGGTCGCGGGGAAGGAAGAAACTGCCTGGAGGAAAGGAGAGAAACGATAATTGAGAAGAGAGAGAAATGAAATGATTAACTTCTTCGTTAGGTGTAGCAAGGGTCAAACAAAAGAAAGTAACAGAAGTATTTTTGACATAATCGCGTATCTTGAAACAAGTCATCTAAACTAATCGTGGCGTGGTGAATCGGGTCTTTGGGTATCCTAGAATATAGATGAACACTACAATGGCTCAACTATCATACTCGTGAACGAGTGCTTCTAGTGGGGACTATACTGTTCAAGAATTTTGTGATTGATAGTAGTTTTTTTTATCAATTTGAAGTTTGTGATGGACAATTTATCCATTCACATTTTTGTTTTAACTTATCATTTATTATTTGAGGAAGCAACAGTAGAGTTTTTTGCCTGCTCTTTTCGCCTGATATTGGATTACGAACTGGGAATAGATTCATAAAAAATCAACATTCAAAAATAAGCAATTAAGTTTACTTGAATAAAAAATATTTGTATTTTATTTTTTTATGGATTAAAATGGAATGACCTATCTATCGCCTGCGCCTAAATATAAAGTCAGGTTAGCAATGGACTCTCAGATCCTATTATTACTAACAATCTCTTTCTCCCCAATGACGTTGAAATAGATAATGTCGTACGCGTAGAGAGAAACTTGACAACTTATTATGTTGGAGGTAGGATAACGCAAATATGGAGGGGGGAAGGGATTTTTAGTAATGGGGATCTAACAGATCCATTGCTGGTAATATACCTTATCGAGTCGATCTACACGGGGTTCTCTCTGGAAACCATCTTAGTTTATTCTTGTGGAATTCGCGAAAATACTTTCGCGGGGCATTAAAATTATTGAATACTCAAAAAAATGTACACTGAAATTAATTATATTAATCGTTTACCTATTGCTCTCTGGTTGACATCGGCACCCGCTTCCACCAAGTCCTGAACTAATTCGTTATTGCTGTATGCTATCGCCAGATGTAGAGAGCTCGCTCCTATTTGCAAAAAGATATTTTTTTCATACTTAGAGTATTTTTCTGTTCGCCAATGAAAAATAAATTAATTTCTTGATTATAATGAGATTAGTCTTTTATTAAATAATATATATATATATATATATATATATATATATATATATATATATATATATATATATATATATATATATATATATATATATATATATATATATATGAACCGTTTATTTTGAAAGTGTGTAAGTCCATTTTTGAGAAAAATGTGCTATCACGTAATTCATGCTAATAATCGTAATTAAATAAACGTTCCATATATAATTATATATAATTTATATAATTATATATATTATTATATTAATAATTTATATAATTATAATATTAATATTACAATTATATAAATTATATTTAATTAAATTATAGACTAACTAATGATCTAATAATCAATTCACAATTATTGTCGAAATTATAAAAACAAGTGGCATAATGAACCTCTTCTTACTATTTAAATTTTATACCAAAGGTAATAAATATATATATATTTTCAACAGACTTCTAAAAGAAGGTTCTCAATTCTTTTTCTACATATTTATTACCTCAAAACACCGTTAGTTATGTACCAATTTGGAAAATTATTTTTTTATATGAAAGGATATACTCACAGATTGGTGTCATAGAAATTGTATTAAAATCAATTCAGTAGTTTAGTTTTTAAATCAAAATAACTAGTTTTGCCATAATAGAAATTGGTGTTTTTGTGAAACAAAATCTGTTAGATTATTAACATAATTTTAATTTATCTGTCGATATTGCAAATTGAGTGTTACAACGAAAGAACAAAACGACGAACATTTTATTTAAAGAAATGACGTATAAGCTAGTAATAATAATAAAAAAAAAACAATTGTACACAGCCATCGTGACATACCCAAATATTCTTCACCTTCTACCACGTCTGACGATAGCTTAGGAAAGCACTTTACCAATGTTCTTGCTAGCCTTGTATGGATCTAATAAAAATAAAACATACTTTTTAGTAAAGATCTCCGAGTTATTCAATCTCCATTGCTAGCAATCTACCCTGTTAGGTTTTTTTTTTGATGGGTGAAAATGGTATGGTAACCCCGCCTGTGCTAACGGGATATGCTAGCGGAGCACCAGTGAAGGGTGATAAATGAGAATGAAAACAGGCCAGTTAGCCCATTATGATGAATTCATCAGGAATTAACCATGATAGTCTCCAGGGGGAATCGCGAGGAGGTCGACCTGGTTGGGTATATTACTAGCAATGGGATTCTCAGTCTCCATTACTAACAATTCCTTTCCCCCCACTGATATGGACTTCTGTAAAATAACACCTAGTTCAATAAAATACCTGCAATATATTTTGTTTTTATGGATTTTTTTATGCTACTTAGAATGGCAAACAAACTGACGGCCCACCTGATGTCGGATACATATTGATGGAAGCTGAATGAAACAAAATAATTCGAAATAACCAGAAATATGTGAGGAGAAAAGTATTGTAAGTAAGGGCTTTGACAGCCCTATTGCTAGCAAACCTTATCAGGTCGACCTCCACGTGGCTCCCCCTGGAAACCATCACGGCTAATTCTTGTTGGATTCGTCACGATTGGCCAACTGATCTCTTTCAACCTCACCTATCATCCCTCACTGGTGCCCCGTCAATGTATACCGATAGCGTAGGCGGGGTTACAATTCCATTATCATCAATTAAAATAAAAAAAACACAGAAATACTCGTATGTTGGATACTTACTTTAGTATCACATATAATGAGGACATGAAGTAATGACTCCCCGAGCGCTCCCCGATAACACATCTGCCAGCACGCCATGTGGTCTTCCCACTTTGCGAGAGGGTCGTGGGGTGAGAGCGATGCTTCTATCGGTAACACCACCTGAGATAGTATACAATTTAAAAACAATTAATAAATGTTACAAGTAATAACTCTGTTATGTCCATGTCCATCTACTGCTCATGTCTATAGGTGACGGTTACCACTTTCCATCAGGTGGGCCGTCAGCTTGTTTGCCATTCTAAGTTGTATAAAATTAGACATTAAGAAAAGGATAGCAAGATCTATATTAATCCAAGAAATGGCAATCATCATCATCATTATATCAGCCATTAACTATTCACTGTGGTTTTTTTTATACAACTTACAATGGCAAACAAGCTGACGGCCCACCTGATGGAAAGTGGTAACCGTCGCCTATAGACATGAGCAGTACCATGGACATAACAGAGTATACTGTTTCGCCCATGATACTCGCCATGCGTTGCCATTGCTGAGGACTCAGGTGTTATTACTCTGTACCCAGTAAATTCACGCCATATCCCACCCTTCAAACCGAAACACAGCCATGCAAACACCGCTGCTTCACGGCTGAAACACGAATGGGACAGAGGTATCCAAGCAATCGACTTTTGTACAAAGTCTCTCTCTGGTTCTGCCAATAATGACCACGCTTGGCAAACGTGTTGGCAATCGCATTTAGGCTTTAGTGATGTTTTAAGAGGGACGATCTTGCCCATACTTCTACTATTAAATTCCCTTAGTTGCCTCTTATGACACTCCAGGGTTAAGAAGGGCTGGCCCATTCTATGTTGGGACCACACGGCGATGGGTCACCGGTTAATAATGAAAAGTGAACATGAAAATAGATCAGTTAGCCCGTATGATGATTTTAACAAGAATTAACCGCTATAGTTTCCAGGGGTATAGTTTTTTATATTGATTGATTGAACAATGGGACCGTTAGTGTCCATTACTAACAATCCCTTCTGTTCTCCCTAGAAACGATCATGATTAAACTTTTGCGTATTCATCCGGATGAGCTAACTGATCTGCTTTCATCTTGAACTATCATTCAACACTGGTGCCCTGTTAACGTATACCGATAGCACAGACGGGGTTGCCATTCCATTTTCACCCATTAAAAACATCTAACAGCCCTCTTGCCAGCAATATACCCTGTCAGGTCGATCTCTTCACGGACACTCTTAAATTTGTCACATTGGGCTAACTGACCTGCTTTCATTCTCACCTATTTATTATTCACTTACCCTGCCAAATGTATACCGATAATATAGACTGGATTCTATTTCATTATCATTCATAAAAAAATCATGACAAATCTGAACGAGTACAAAGCTTGTTCATAAAGTAAAAAACCTGTTCATGATCCCTGAACTTCCACCGGAGATACTCGGCTCTGTTGATGACGCGCCCTCGTCCGCCGGCGTACATATAAGCTGAGAACTCCTCGCGTATCAGCTTCTCGGCAGCCACCATCCCTCCTTTAGCGTACGTCTCCAAGAGGAGACCACCTTTTCAAATTCAAAAGATTGAATAAAATGCTTATTGATCAACTAACTAAGCCTTTCCCAAAGAGGGCGATAACACCCTCTTGTGGGCGCTGTAGGCCTAAAGGCTAAAGGTAAGAGACCCAGAAAAAAAACGAGGGCTTGGGGGTGATTTGTTGATCTTGAAGTAATAGTGGTTTTTAAGTAGATGAAAAAATGGGGCGCTAAAAAATAATTTATTCTCAAAGTGGGCAGTAGACAAAATAAGATTGGGAACCTCTGGATTAACTGTTTCTCGGGACTCTACGTACGTATTATACCTCTATATTTATAGTATTTAAAAGAATGAACAGCTTCGTGCCTCCAGTCACACTGTTTATTTATTACTCTTCTCCATCTAAAGATTGCCTGGAAGAGGTCGCTCTTAGCAATAAGGCCGCCTATTGTCAGTGTAATATTTTTTTGTAATTGTTTGTATTTATAATAAGTTTACTATAGTAATCTTATGGAGGAAACAATAAAGAGTATCTACCTATCTATCTGCCCGTGTGAATCAATATATTATTTTTTATTCAAATTTTTTAAGGCTTCACTTGGGTGACTATGTTTTTTTTTAATGGGTGAAAATGGAATGATAACCCCGCCTGCGCTATCGGTAAACACTGGCGGGACACCAGTGAGAGATGATAGATGAAGATGAAAGCAGGTCAGTTAGCCCATCGTGACGAATTCAACAAGAATTAACCGCGATGGTTTCCAGGGGGAACTGCGTGATCGACCTAATAGGGCACATTGCTAGCAATGAGACTATCAAACTCGATTGCTAACAATCCCTTTCTTCCAGACACCCAAGGGTTAGAAAGGGGTGGTCCATTCTATGCTGGGACCACACAGTAATATAGATACCTTTCTTATAATCAGCTAATTTGTACAACACGGTGTGTTCCTCTGTGTGAGGCTGTGATATGACTCGGTCGAGAACCGAACCTGCTGCCTGCACTCCCTCGCCAAAGCGTAACTTGCCGGCCACACCTCCCATCTCACTGTAATATCAATCTTGTTTCGATTTTTTTTTTCTTTAATATCATAGAGAGGATTTGATTATTTGTTTGTTTGTAAGACATAAACTCGAAAACTACTCAAAAGATTTAAAAATACTTTCATCTATAGAAAGATACATTATCAAATATATCAATGAATAACATAGGATATATATTGCTTTTTTTAAACAGAGATCCCTATGAATATTACAATAATGAACTAAAGGCACCAAATTGCCTATTGAATCTGACATAAAATATAACAAAAATTCTTATTAAATTGTCACTGAAAATTTATATTTTGACGGTAAAATGTGTTTGAAAAATTCCGAAGCAAAATATGAAGCAGGTACATTGCTCATCTGAGGGTCGAGGAATTACATAGTTAGCCACTATCGATACAGCTGATGTAAATGCCTAACTAGGTAATTGCTAACGCTACAGCACGAGACTGGTCAACGTGACGACTTGAACGCACTTCTGGTTCACACTTCGAACTGGGCAGTCATTTTAGTTATAATTAGATATAGGAATTTTATACTGTAACTTTTGTTAATAGATTAATTTAAGTTTTAATAAAATTTTGTTTTTTTTTTCGAGTCCTCCGGTTGTCGTCCTCATAATTCACGAGCGGGATAGAAGAACCCAAATAGATGACAACGTTCAAATATTCAAAGTCTCTCTCAAGTATTTGGGTTTCGTGAAGATTTTACTCTATATGTCCTATACAGTTAAACAGAATAAACCCTATCGATGGAATAAACTTTTTCTAATAGAATATGATAAGAAAACTGTCTACTTAGTAGGTTATTTTTATTGCTGATTGTATGTACTCACTAAATTAGGTCATCTATTTGGGTTGTTGCTTCTTACTGCCTAAACATAATATAATACTGCTTTAAGTGTCATAATTATCAAAAATTCCCACAGAAGTTTTTATTGGAAGATCTAGTTACAAAAAAATCTAGAAATACAAGCCAAAATACCACTAATGTTATAACTGTTTATGTCTAATTTAGATTCTTTTAAAGTTATTTACTTACCAATCAAACTTATACTAAAAAAACACTTTAAACGTTCGTTATGTGCCCACATATAGTTGTAGATTCCATACATAATAAATTAACACACATTTTGAAAATATAAATGTGTAATTCATTTTCACAGCTAACTATTTAGGTGCTTTGTCTTGTAAACAACTATTAGTTGCCATAGAAACTATTTATAAGAGTACAATCAGAATATATTTGTCGCAGGGAATTGACGTTATTAGGCATTTCATTAAATACCTAGGGATATCACGAAAGAGATCGAGCACTTTAAACTATTGCGTATTCTTGTTAAAAAATCTAATGATATGACAAGTATACTAATTAATATGATCAGTGATTCATGATTTCGCTATATTAAATATATTAAAAAGTACCTATAATATCATCATCACATAAGCCGTTAACTATCGATTGGTGAACAGGCAAATAAATTTTTATTATAAACCTTTTATCTCGGTTTTTATGAATCAAAATAATTGTTATATATATATATATATATATATATATATATATATATATATATATATATATATATATATATATATATATATATATATATATATATATATATATATATATATATATATATATATATATAAATATTTACAACACAGGGGATAAACGAGCATGTGGCTCACCTGATGGTAAGTGACTACCACCGCCCATGATCACCCACAACACCATTGCAGGTGTGCTGCCGGCCTTTTAAAAAGGAATATACTCTTTTCTTGAAGGTTATGTTGTCGTATCGGTTCGGAAATACTGCTGCTGGAAGTTGATTCCAAAGAATGGTTGTGCGTGGAAGAAAATACCTTGAAAAACGCACGGTGGAAGACCGCCATTCGTTTAGATGATTGGGATGAAACTTTAGGTAGTGGCGGGTAGAATATTTTATATATTAATTCTAATATATAAAATATTTATATATATATATATATATATATATATATTTAACTGTTTTAGTTATTTCCGCAGGTACTTCAAGAAATGCCTAATATCTTCATTTTCCTGCGACACAAGGTAGGTAGCCACTAAACACCCTCATATGGAATATTAGATTTCCGAAATCGTTATCTATTGCGTCGTAGTTATAGCACGAACTTAGATTAATGATTGGTCTCCGCTGTGCTACGTCAGCTATAATCATTAATATCAACGGGGGAAAGGGATTGTTAGTAATTAGGTCTGATGACATCATTACAGGGGAAAAGGGATTGTTAGTAATGAGATTTGACAGCCACATTGCTATCTATACACCCTATCAGGTCGACCTCCATGCGGTTCCTCCTGGAAACCATCCCATTCCATGATCCCATTGCTAGCAATGTATCCTATATTGCTTGTTGAGGAGTGGAATTAAATCTTTTATATTTTTATCAGTTGTTTTATTATTATTTATAATTTTACAATATTTTAATTTAAATGTGACATAATACATTGGTTTTATTTAAAGGTATTGTTTTTAAATATAAGATAATATAGCGGTCAGTATAGAGTATACATATATATTTTTTTAAATTACTAAACTATCTTTAACATTGCTAGCAATGTTATTGACAGTCCGCATTATTAACAATCCCCACTTCCTACAAGGATACCCTTGTGGTACATTTTTTTCTAATAGCGTTAGGTACTTTTTTCATATTTAGATAATTTAAAAGACATGTTTTGTATTAAATGCTGAAAAATGGTCACTCGCTGAGATCAACAACAACAATCTTTAGTAAATATTTATTTATTTATAAGCAAAATGACGTGGCGGTACCGAAATGGATACCAAACGCGGTGATCTTCATTTTACAGGCCATGGACTGGAGACTAGACTCCTCTACATTGACAATAGAGTAGCACACAAACTCGAGCATGAAGTTACTGGTATTCGTTTGTAACGCGTCAGTGATCAGTTGCCAGTGTACAAGTGTGTTTGTCGTTGTCGCGAACGATTTCAAAACTGGCGCATAAAATGGCAGAGCAGTTACTTAACTTAAAATTTGTACGAGAAGTCGAAAAGCGACCTTGTTTGTATAATTACACTATTGGCGAATATTCACGTAGAGATCTAACGGAAAATGCTTGGGCTGAAATCGGGAGAGAAGTGAATTTGTCAGGTAAATATTTCACAATGTTTATTTTAGTTGTGCGTACACTAAAAACCAGATGGCAGCACTATCGCTAAATAGAATGCTTCAACTGACTCAGAATTTCAGATAGATGGCTCTACTCAACTTTTTCTAGTCATCTTTATATATATTATATACGTATATATTATAACACAGTCAAACACAATCCGAAATAACAATTTCTTATAAATTTTATTATTTATTAGTGATATTTATTACAATTAGCGAAGTGTATATTGCATTATTATTTATTTACGTAAATTCAGTTAGTTGTAGATTTACTTATTAAATAAAAGTAATAATTAATATACCATATTTACTCACTGTAAACTTATTAATTACTCGTAATTATGACTTGATGAATTTGTGATAATTTAGACAACTTTTATTTTTAAATGATGTAACTTATTATTATTAATTTACTGTATATATTACTTTGTAACTATTTTCAGGAAATGAATGCAAAGAAAAATGGAAAAATCTACGCGCCGTGTTTGTACGGCATATGAAACCGTTTTTAACTGGAACTAAAACAAAACCGAAGAAACCGTATTACTTAGCAGATGCTATGCAGTTCGCTTTACCGTATATAAAGTCATTGTATCCGAGATCTGATGAGATGCATATACAACCCCAAGTGGAGGTGTACGACGAGGGAGAAAGTAACTGGCAACCACCTGATAATGAGATGTCTCCTCCGTCAGTAGTATCACCACAACACTCGTTCGTGGCATCACCAGGTTCACCCCAGTCGTCTATTTCGCCCATGCCTTCATCTCCAAAAATAAGTCAACAATCAAGTAAAATAATAGCCAAAAGAGAGGAAATGGACGAGGATTACGTATATCCTTCTTGGCATCAACCTTATCAAAATAGGAAGACATCAAGAAAGGAAGTCTCACAATTAGATAACGAATATTTTCAATCAAAAAGAAGTAAAGTTGACTCGATTCAGCATGAAGCTAATAAAATGTACTTGTTAAGTTTGCTGCCAGATGTTGATCATATGACTCCAAGTCAGACGAGGACTTTCAAACGAAAAGTAATAGATTTAATCGATAATATTCTGCAAGATACACCTGCCGTGTAAAATTGATTTTTGTGGTGGAAATGATAACAAGACTAGTCTTTAACGATAATAAACTCAGCTATGTTTCGACTTAGGAATAACTTAGAAGAATATAAAATCCAGAAAATTTATTTTTATGATTTCAGTTCAAAGAACCTTTGATTTATTTTAAGAATTAGGTGTTATTTTTTGGAAATCTAGTTACTAATATACTAGTAATACTAACTAATATACTAGTAATACTAATATACTAGTTAGTTGGCTGTCACACATACTAATCGTAATGGAATGAAACAAAATAATTCTAATCAGTTAACCCAGCAGAGAATTCTATGTATAATAAAGAAAAAACGGACTAAGTACGAGACGGACTCGCACATTGAGGGTTCCATACAAATTATAAATAAAAAAAATTTTGCAAAAAAAAATTATTTTTGTGATGTAACTATAAATTTACAATTTTCAGATTTTTCCTTTTTTTTATTGTTTCTTGCCAAATTTCATGATTTTAGTGCAAAAAGAAATAATACATTGCTGTGATAACATCTCAGCCTGTATTGTAAAGTGTGCAGTAAAAAAATCTTTAAAAAATATATAAAATATTATAATTTAAAAACAACTCTATATTCTAGTAGTTATTTTATCTATAATATGTAAAAATTTTATTTAAATTAAAACGGACGGAATAAGAAATGTATTATAACTATCGGGACGATAGTAGAGGAAATCCAGCCTCATAAAAAGCGCTATATAATAAAAAAGCCGCGATTCGTAGCGCCATCTATCATAATAAAAGAACACTAACAGTTTTCAATGTCATGCTCAAATACCTACTTTGAATGCTTTTAAATTTTGAATAATTGAAAACGGAATGACGAATCGTCTTCGCTATATGCTGGTAAGGCACCAATGAAATATAATAGTTGAGGTTTAAAGCTGATCAAAATTATCTCATCGTGACGATTGAAGTAATTGAAAAAAACACCTTCTGTTTCAACTGTGACAATGACCTTAGATAGATAGATAACCTTTATTACCAGTATTAAGAAAATAAAAAATTAAAACAATATAAAGAAAAAAAAACCGATTAATGTTGCTGGTAATAGGAGCCGCCTCAGCTGTTGCTATATATGTACAGCTCCAGCGAGATGTACCTATATAGCGCTGATTTTCAGGCGGCCTCTTAACTCTTTTACCTTTAGCATGCGTGCGGGTCGCCAATACCTATTTCTCGGTCGGGAGACTCAACACGCTTAACAACAAATACATAAAACATTACAACAAATACCTAAAACATTACAACCAAAACTGAAAAGAATAACGCGGTTTCAGAGATGTTTTCTCCCACGAACACTCAGGTTATGGAATGAGCTCCCTGCCGAGGTTTTCCCGAGAGACTACAGCATGGGGTTCTTCAAAAGGAGGGTAAAGAGGTTTTTACAAGTTCGGCAACGCGCGCGTAATACCTCTTGTATTGCAGGCGTTCATAGGCTAAGGTAACCGCTTACTATCAGGTGGGCCGTATGCTTGTTTACCACCTCAGTGGTATAAAAAAAAAAAGAACAAACTCTGAATAAAATATCGCACTATATATTAGTAGTGTAATGTTTTTTTTTTTTTTTTTAATACATGACAATTAAATGGTAACGCCGCCTGCGCTAATGGTATACGCTGGCGGGGCACCAGTGAAGGATGATAGGTGAGGATGAAAGTAAGTCAGTTGGCCCATCTTGACAAAACACGAATTAATCACGATGGTTTCCAGTACGAACCGCATGGAGGTCGACCTGATAAGGTATAATGCTATTAATAGATCTGTTAAATCTCATTACTAACAATCCCATTTCCTGGTGGTGGGAAGTGAGTGAGGGGGACAATGGGATGAAAGTTGAAAGGTATAAAGGTGATAAGGAAAGGGGTATCTTTTTTAATAGGTGAAAATGGTATGGTAACCTCGTCTGTGCTAACGGTATACGCTGGCGGAGCACTAGTGGAAGATGACAGGTGAGAACGAATGCAGGTCAGTTGGCCCACTATGATAAATTCAACAAGAATTAACTATGATGGTTTCCAGGGGGAACCACGTGGAGATCGAGCTGAGAGGATATATTGCTAGCAATGGGGCTATTAAACCTCATTACTAACAATCCCTTTCTCCCCTAAGGAATAAGGTATCGTCGGATGGAAGGAAACATCACTCCTCGCCCGCGTCTAATATCCGTAGTGGGGGGAAAAGGATTGTTAGTAATGGAGACTGAGAATCCCATTGCTAGCAATATACCCAACCAGGTCGACTTCCTCGCGGTTTCCCCTGGAAACTATCATGGTTAATTCCTGATGAATTCATCATGATGGGCTAACTGGCCTGTTTTCATTCTCATCGATCACCCTTCACTGGTGCTCCGCCAGCGCATTTCATTAGCGCAGGCGGGGTTACCGTTCCATTTTCACCCATAAAAAAAAATATCCGTAGTGACGTATGGATAAATTTTTGAGACTCGATGCTCTATCTATATAATCTAAGGTCCATAGTAATGTCCACAGTACTATTTTTGACCTAGGTATCTGTCAAAGTATAAAAGTAGCATACAGACAGGTAGGTAGGAACTACTACAGTCAAACTTCCATTATCAATTTTAATGTTTATTCTAATGCATTGTAATTTAAATATAGGTACAGGTATGTTCTGAATAATTTAAATTATACCTAATATAATCTAAGTGTCATTTTTAATTTATTATAAAATTATTTTGTAATTTCAATACTACAACATAATTTGTATGAACTACTTACCTATCTTTATAAGCACATGTACTATCCTTATTCTACGTTCATAATTTTTTTAACCAAATAAAAATATTACATAAAAAAAAATTACACGTTTAACAAGATATATAATAATATTAGCGACCCGCCCCGGCTTTGCGCGGGTGCATATTGCATCACATCACATTAGAAACCACTGAATTTATCAGTATATTTCTACAATATTATGCGTGTATTATATACATATAAACCTTCCTCTTGAATCACTCTATCTATTAAAAAATAAAAACCGCTTGCGTTGTTTTAAAAATTTAAGCATACATAGGAACAGACAGACAGCGACTGCGATTTTGTTTTATACTATGTAGTAATTTTGCTAGTATCTAGGTATAATTATGAATGGTATTACATTAATAATTAATGTATTTATATATCTACAGATCAAAATAATTAATGGATAATGTAAATAAAGCAAGCTCCTCTATAAATACTTTATTCTTTGGTCTACAGTCTAGTCGCAAAATCGGCGAAATCGAATCACTTGCACACAAGTGTACATTATCAACACATAGACGATTCACTATGGATATCTATATATAGATGTATAATGAACATGAAGAATAAGGGGGTGAAGTGAGGTAGGAAGGGGGACCAAGCGACCTCTATTCGTTGAGTTTACTTGTCGCGACGCGGCATGGCCCCTCTTTAAGCTTATCGTTATTATTTTGTAACAGCTGTTAAATATTTGTTTTCCAATATAAATCATATAACATTTTCAACACTTTAAGTGAATTATCGAACAATAATACGAAATGGAGTACTCAGGTAAACATATTAAAATATTTTATGCCGTTCTGTCATTATTTTCTTACCAGCCTTTAGTGATATTTTTATACAATTTTAAACTTTATGTACATGTAATAGGGTACATCATTTGAAACATATCCAAATTCTCCAAAGACCAATGCATAGAGTTATAGAACGCGCACGCGTCGTTGATGTTGCAATAGGAATGTACCGATTATTGAAGAAAATATCGATTATCGAGTAGTTTTTAATTGTTATTCAAATGTAATTATACGATTTTTAATCTGGTGGTACCAGACTATAATTAAAAGGTAGGGAATTGGCCAACATCTATTTTTCATACCACTCAATCATACCCACCTCTAAATATTTTATTTTTATTTTTTTTTTAATTTTTTTATTTTTATTTTATTATGACTTAGCATTGAAAAATACATACAAATTAAAATTTTTACGTTTTTGCAATCAACCCCTGTTTTTTAATCGCGATTTTTATATGCCGCAATAGGGTTACAGGATAGCAATCGAATATAATAATTGTAGTAGGATAAATTTTCATATATATATCTCGAAGTAATGTATATGGTAAAACAACGTTTGCCGAGTCAGCTAGTATTTTAATAAATAATGGATCAAAAAAAATATTTGACATAAATCATGGACCAAGAGAATTCAGGAACATTAGCAACATACAATACATACTGATTTATATTTATTTATTAATTTTCATATTCACCTAACTCAATATAAATTGACCTACGTAGGTATAAACGTATTATTTAAATTTTATTTTAGATTTTACTATGTAGTATCGACTCTGCGACGATAAGTAAAAATGTCTAAATTTAGTTTTAGGAATTTACCTTAAGGAAACTTAAGGCTTCTTTATAGTATTATTAAAGTTGTACTACTCTTTGGATTGAAAATGATTGGTACCTAAAGTAATTTTGAATATGTGAAAGTGTTTTGCTGTAGGAAAATATATCTTAAGGAATTACAATATTTACTTTAGTTTGTAAGTAAAATTAAGCATAAAGTATATATCAATATATCAATATACTGCACTATGACTATCGATAAAGAGTTGTCGATATGCATGAATCCCTAGATTGGCTGATACATGTGTGAGTGAGCGCCAAGACCCGTCACTATTCAATCTGTTGTATACACTACTGATAGTGTGACCGTTTAAAATAATATTTAAATATTCGTTATAATACAAAAAGGTTAAGGCTGCCATTATATGTATTTATTCAAAGAAATAAGTTGACATAATTTTGGACTTTTTTTTAAGTACTTAGCTTTTGACAGGACATAAATTTCGTAAATTTCGTTCCAAAGTATAAATTAAGGATAGTATCTGGATAAAAAGGCCCATTGCTATATTCGTTCACAGAGCAAGTAATCGCCAAGTCTTAAAGAGTAGTAGTCTTAACTCTTATAGAGTTGCCAGCGGCATTATATCTACAAAAACAATATGTGACAGAAGTGTTTGTTTTTGCCATAGACTTAGTATAATGTACAGGCATACCTTATTCTTAAATATAATCACACCCGAGATACTTCATACAAAAACAGCTGTGCCTGTCATATCTACTGAAACAAATAACGTCTGACAATGTGCGCGTGTGTAGTTAAAACTAGAGTTTATATACTGACGCGTGTTTGGGAGGGAGGGTGAGTTCAGATCTAAGAACAAGGAATTACATAGAAAGAATGATAAAATAAAAACTGTAAATCATACGGTTGCCTCGTTTCTTCTTATGCAAATATAATTAGTAAAAAGAGGAAGAAAGATAGACCATCAGTTGCTATTTTTCTTAATTCATAGCAGGCTAGTGTATAGAAAATGTGTATGTAAAATTTTTGTTCATTTACATTACTAGATTATATACTTAACACAGTTTATGTAGAAAGTATGCATGTAGTATATAAGTCAGAGAATTAATTATATTTTTCTTTACAGATAATATAATGAAGTTTGAATTTGAAGAAGAGGAACTTATTTATGAACATCCTTCGAATTTTATTGCAAGTAATTTTAATTTTCCTTTAGTATACACTACAAAACTAGACGAAATGGTTATATTAACTAAAGAAAATGTTAATAGCTTATCAATTGAGAATATATCGAAGAGAATTATTAAAGAAAGTAAACCCAAATTTATTTCGTATCCCAAACAGGAAAGAGGCCTATATGCATATACAAATAAAAGGGCCTATAATAAGTTAGTAAAAAAAATAGAAAGAATAAATACAAACAAAACAAAACCAGTGAATTCCAGGGATTCGGAAGAATATACTATTTATCAAATGTCTCCGGAAGCGGACGAAGTTCATTCGTATGTTATTAATAGAAAAAAAAGGACTAGAAAGCCTCGTAATCAGAGCCAACCATATTATTTTGTTTTCGCAGACAAACAACAGAAAGATGTAGAAGTTATATCATCTGACGAAGATTCCGATGATCATTCTCATATCCGTTCTATTTTCTTAAATAGCAACGAAGAGTCTAACGATATTCTTCCGGAAGACGATGTTATTATTGAAGATCCAAATGCCAACAGTGCCTTACCCACTCGTATCAAACCTATAAAGAATATCGTACGTTTCCAGAGAATACAAATAAGTCATAATTCCAATATAGATTTTAGTGGTTATGAAATATCTAATAGTTATCTCATTTTCACATACATATGTACGGATTACAGAGACATTTATTATATTGATGAACATTACACACTCAAAGAACATTATCAGCTCAATAACATAGATCCAAATGAAGAATTTATAGATTCCTCGAAGACTGATTGTGTGTATGAAATTTACAATTGCTGTTGGTATAAACGCGAACTAAGGGTACGACAGTTATTCCAGAACGTAAGAGATAAATCAAAATTGAGGTTTGCAAGTGTAAAACATCCTTGCATTCCGACTGATTGCGTTTGTTGTTGTAAAATAAAGACGGGAAACAATAGCAGTCATATCGCACAAGAATTTTCAATGGTGATAAAGGATAGAATAGAAACTGACACTTGTAATTCAGCTACTAGATCCAATACAAGTAAATGGAACCGTCACCTTTTAAACAATCTTGGTATTACGATTGGCTACACCATTAATTCGGCTTTACGATATAAACCAAAAATACCAAAACGAACAATACGAATTAAAACAAAAAAAGATTATCGCCAATTTACCCTCTTACAGATTTTTCTGCGTTTCACTAATGATGTTGAATATTTTTACCTGAATGAAAGTGGGTTAATTCAGACACATGTATGTGTACCTAATAGTTTTGTATCCAAATTATATCTTAAATTAGAAACAGAAATAATAGACAAAGGCAAATACCGGTGTAGTTCAACAGTATGCTGTTGGTGTAAATATGAACAATCTCTATCCAAATTAGCACGTTCTGTATTACCAAGTGTCTTAAATTTTTTAAAAAAACCACATACCTGCGGTCACTATTGTACCTGTTGTTGCAAAGGCTGTATTAATATCAGTAATAAAGTGGCAAAATTTATGCCTATAAGTTTGACACGTTCTGCAAAATACACAAATGGAGCAATTAAGAAAAAAATACAATCAATTAGGGGTCAACAAAAGAACGAAGTATACACTTCTATCCAAGAGGAGCAAACTGGAGGTCAAGTCACACAATCAAATCCAATTCATATTGATCTAACTGAAATGAAATCGGAGACATCCTCTGTAGATACGTTCGATATTTATGAAACGTTTAAAGACCTGAAACTCAATATTGAACAAAAAGGAGAAGTAACTGCCGTAACAAGTATACGTCCTAATGAGTTGTCGACTAAGAATCTAAAAATTCTCGCGCACATTATTAGTAATGCTCAAAAACAAATAAAACAACTCGGTATTATGGGGACCAATATGGTAATAGATAACATATTTAATAAAGACCCAATTTTACTTCCTCAAAATATACCATCATTACTTGAAAATAGATTGACTGATAAACCCGCAACATCTAAAACGTCTTCAGTTGATAACAATACATATTCGAAATCGACTACATTTGTACATAATAAAAAAGATCTACATGTATTTAATAAGAAGGCCCAATATCAAAACTATGCTACCATAATGGGTCAGAAGACAGAAGAATACTACATATCCATTACGGCACTTGAAAATAATTGCACCAGACCAGAGCTCCGATCAAGTTTTGAAAATCTCACAACATACCTCGACGTTGAACAAAAAGTCGGTACGCGGAACAAAAATATAAATGTTACACACATTAATAAAATAATACCAACTGTATTGAAACGAAAATCAAACCAGGGCATGTCGGACTGTGTGAATGCAAAGCACCCAAAGAGATCAGAGAGACACCAAATACAAACACAACGAGTTACAGTACCGAGCGGTGTTGATGTAAACCAAATATTAGAAAACGTTAAAAAATCAAGTACGATTAAAACCACGAAGTTTTTACAACCAATTACTCTACATAAGCCTAGTACGGTTACACAAGCGCCGCAGCAAAGTTCTAATCCGGTAACAAATGTAACGTCACTGCCCTCAAGGCTATTACAAATTTCAGGTACAGCTTTAACTTTAATACCAGTGACTTTTATGCCGACAGATCAAAATATTAATAATCAATTGCTTGTGAATCCAGGAACATCCGCTATTGTAGATAGTAATCAAACCTCATTAACACCAACAGTTCAACAACCTATAAATTTTTTAATCGCTCCAAAGGAGGTAGCTATACCTGCTATTAATAGTAATATACCGACAACTACACAGATTGCAACCAAGCCAATTGTTATAGATGTAACTAATAGCCCAAAACTTAGTACATCTAATTCCACCATCATTCCTAATCCTAAGGACACATCTGAGGACCCTGAATGTGTTTTAGGCATTTGAAAGTATTACTGAGAATATTATTTTACTAAAATACGTTGGATTGGATATCACACAATAGGTCTGGATTCATCAAATCACATGCAATTTTTTTTTTTTCTTTTTATTTTACTTGTTATAGTAATTACATGGTAAAGAACATTAGAATAAATAATTTATTAATTTTTGACTGTTCATTGTATTTTCTTTTGACCATTTATATATAAGCATTTGCTTTTAAATTGATTTTTAATTATAACTTTGAATTTTTTATATTTACCTTCTTTTTTATAAAAACGTCAACCTCCTACAAACCTAATTTAGCTATTGAAGTCTTTTGTCTTTCTCTTTTGCGCTAATTTCTCAATTTGAAAGACAGTGACAAAACACTCTAATAAAGGGGTTCATATTTTCCTTTGCCTATCTTAATAAGCATTTGTGAACAATTTGATTTTTAGTTTTAAAGTTGGCATGATTTTTTTCTTACATTTAATATCTATGTATTCAGATACTGAGCTGAATGCTTTTTTTTATTTGTTCAGTGTTCGACACTTCCCTTTTTTTACTGTTTTAATTAAAGCGTCTGTGAAAAAGTTATAATTTGATTTTGTAATTCATGCAATTTTTTATACTTACATACAATACATTGCGTTCTGTGACTTGCCTCTCCCATCTAACTGTTAGAAGAGAGCGAAAACGATTGTGATACAATTGTAATGATTCATTAAATAAAGTTATATGATACTGATTTATTTTTTATTATATTTACTATAGTATGGAGTTCTTCAAAATAGGTGTATTAAGGACTTTTCAGGTTCAGCAGCGCGCACGTGACTGCCTTAGTCGTCCATACTAATAAATTACAATAACCGTTTACCATCAAATGGGCTGTATCAACTCAAATTGACATAAAACATTCAGTTAGTGGTTTAACTATCTTAACTGTGTATGTAAGGGGAAAAAGGATTGTTGCCAATGGAGTTTGACAGCCCCATTGCTAGCAATATACCTTATTAGGTCGACCTCCATGTGGTTCACCCTGGAAACCAACGTGAACAATTCTTGTTGAATTCGTCACGATGGGCTAACTGACCTACTTCATCCTCACCTATCATTCTTTACTGGTGCTCCGCCGGTGTATACCGATAGCGCGGGTGGGGTTACCATTCCATTATCATTAATAAAATAAAAAAAAAAACTACCAAACTACATAATTGTGTACTATGTTGTTTCTTTTGAGTATGTACATAATTGGTAGATCGCACCGAGTTTCGTCAGTAAACAGTAGATCTTGGGTCTAGTCAAATCGGCTACCTCTGAGTTTTAATATTTTATATACACTATCGGGACTTAACGCGATGAAAAACTTTTGCAGGTAAACAGTACCTACATACCTGCTTCTTCATTAACGATTTTTCTTCATTAACGATGTCGTGGTCACGACAGGACCATTTACCTGCAAAAATATTGCATTTCGTTTATCATTTGAAATATGTGTAAACAACGCAAAAGTTTAAAATTAGTTGTAATATATCTAATAAGCCGTGTGGTCCCGGCATAGAATAGGCCACCCCTTCCTTTCCCGTGGGTGTCGTTAGAGGCGACTAAGGAAAGGGCATGAGCGTCCCTCTTAAAACATTTCCAAAACTTAACTGCGGATGCCAATCCGCCTGCCAAACGTAGCAACTACTGGCAAAACCCCCCCAAGGGGAAGGTTTTTGTTCAGCAGTGGAAGGCTGATATGATGATACCTAATAAGAAATCACCAAACAGCGGGAGGTACACTGTTCAATTGTAGGTTCAAGGGTCGAGTCCTGTCTAGCTCACTGGAGATCTTTATGTATAGCATAGATAAAAAGTTATACTATAGAAAAAAAAGTCAACAATATTAATGTTATTCATTATGGGTTTAATGCCTTAATTTGTTAATGGTAAGAGAATCATCAAAACAGATTTGGCGAATATTTATCGCATTATATATTGTATATAATACTAGCGTATCTCGCAACTTTGCTCGCATCGCATGCATCAGCATTTATCTACAGTATCCAATTTAGGATACAACTTATCCATATACCAAATTTCATTCAAATTCAGCCAGTACTTTTGTTTGTACCTTATGAATTCATCATGATGGGCTAACTGGCCTGTTTTCATTCTCATCTATCACCCTTCACTGGTGCTCCGCCAGGGTATCTCGTTAGCGCTGGCGGGGTAACCATACCATTTTTATCCATCAAAAAAAACCTCAGTTACCAACGTTATAAGTATTATGTCAATAGTTGAAAATAACCAATGCACTTTACTCAAAATTCAGTTTATTGAACATGATAGTTGAAATTAACAACGCAAACTCTTATAATATTAAAATATTTTAAACATTAGTTGATTTCAATTTCTGTTTAAACCAATAAATATTTGTAAAAACAATTTCTTCTCAGATTTTAATTTGATTTTAGTGGCATGGTGCGACTCACACAGAGTAAAATAGTAATATTCCTACTCTTTGATTTGTACAGAGTAGAACAGTGATCGCTGAGGGGTACAGTTGTGTGGACGTTGTTGTGGCGATGATTACCACTTTTTTTAATTGGTAGTTAAATTTGCCATTCTTAAGTTGCATGATAAAAAATGTTTCGATGATAAGAGCCTGTCGAGTATCGTGTGCAGGTAACTTATTCGATTCTTGTATTTGAGTAGGTACCTATCGTATATCCGAATTCAGTATTACAATTTAGAAATAAAAATCTAAAACAATTTTATAATCTTGTAAATAAAGTGTCATTTATTTTTAAATATGCTATTTCTTATAAATGGACGTTCTAATTCTTAAGTCTATTGTGTAAAATTATAGGCAATAGAATTTAATTTAGATTTAACGTTTGATTTTTAATTTATTCTGCATTTTTAATTTAAAATTCTAATTTGTATAAATTACTTTTAGGAGAGTATACGAGGAGCACTGCGCGAGTGCGGGCGCGCGCACATCAGTCTCTTGATGGCATTTAAACCGATAGGTCGCGTCGAATGTTTTACACGGCGTCAAAATTTTGTTTCATGTGCTACTTACCTACTACAAGAATTTTTGATATTCTATTAACGTAAAATGATTATTTGCAGAGCCCAGAGGCAATATTTCATTTAGCACGTGTTCATTCATTATTTAGTGATCGTTTTTAGATTTGTACATTTGGACCTTTATTGTGTTTCTGATAACGCATTTTTGAAACAATGGGACGAAGAAGCAAAGTAAATATAAATAAATCTAAAAAGGCACAATTAATGAACAAAATATTGTAAGTACCTCTATTTAAATATAAATATGTGAATTATGTGTTATTTACGTAAACTTAAGGCCTGCGTAGACGAGGGTTAACCTCGATATACATTTATGTTTATCAAATAGGATAAAAAGTATTTATTACAACAAATACAAGTTCGTACTACATACATACCTATCTACGCTACATAAGATACACTGAAAAAGTCTCTAGTGCGCAGGTCTTTATAAATAGATAGATTTATTTTCATATGACTACCGACGCCGGGCCGCGACACACATCACTCCGTGTCGACGCTGTGCACTGTACGGATGACTAATCGTTACATGCCATGCATGTTTTTTTTTTTGTTTTGGATGCGTTGACAATTTTGCATTTAAAATTCTGATTGTTGAGTTTTTCTATATATTCCTACACTAGTTTTTACTGGTGACTTCGTACGTGTGACCAGGATATATTGATTAACTTTTAAGAACATTTTGTTTGTAAAACGTGCCTTACATTTTATGCGTCGTGTCCAGATTGAAAGTTTGAGCGACAAAAACCAGTTAGATATTGCGAAGGTCAAGCCACGCCCCCATAGAGCGTTTTTATAATAAAATTTAACGTAGCGCAGTGTGGTATTACTGTCGTGTTGTAAGAAGAGCTAATGTATATATCTATATTGTAAAGAATGAAGACGGTTTTTTTTTTATTTTCCGCGACGATATGCCGTACTACAGTAAACTAGCTCTTTTTCGTGGTTTTACCAGCGTCATAAAGTATCCTTTAAGTTAGAATATAATCTACCCATGCATCAATTTGTTTATGACATAGGGGGCAAATGATCATGTGGCTCACCTGATAGTTCCTCTCTATTGACTTGGAAAATAATATCTATGAAAAAGTATTGTGTACCTAATTGCCAAAGTGATACTATTAAACAATTAGCCCATACTTATTTTATGAAGAAAAATAATAAAAATCGTTAATTTTAGTTCAAGAGAGATTGTTGTTTTGGGGGGGTACTGCTAGCAGTATACCTTTTCAGGTCGACCTCTACGTGGTTCCCTTTGGAAACCATTGTGCTGAATTCCAGATATATTGGGTTAACGTTTTTTTTGCGGTGTTTTTTTTTTATATAAATGGTAAAGATAAACAACTTTAGCATGTATTTTTATCAAAATAACAGTATAAAATAAATAAATGGCTGGAATAAAAATAATGTTGTGATATTGTCAAATTTTCTTAAGTATCATATTTTTAAATGGCTAATATCAATAAAAAAAGACATGATGAAATGGCTAAATATGCTAAGTATAGGAATTAACCATAATAGTTTCCAGGGGGAACCGCGAGGAGGTCGACCTGGTTGGGTATATTGCTAGCAATGGGATTCTCAGTCTCCATTACTAACAATCCCTTTCCTCCCCCTAAAGATTCGTCGCCTCCCCTCCCTGGAAACTATCATGGTTAATTCCTGATGAATTCATCATGATGGGCTAACTGGCCTGTTTTCATTCTCATCTATCACCCTTCACTGGTGCTCCGCCAGCGTATCTCGTTAGCGCAGGCGGGGTTACCATACCCATAAAAAAAAAAGGCGACGAATCGCAAATATTGTCGTCAGAAATCTTAATTTTTCTCAGCAATTACGAGACATTTGGGATTGATATTTATATATTTCATTTATTATATCCTTCACATTAATTTGCCCATTGCTTAACATGATTGATAAAATTTCATAACAAAGAAAAAAAAATCACGAAAAATTGTCTTTTAAAACAGAGATTTACATTTTACAAGGAAACTGAATTAAAACTTTTTCTATTTAAAATTTTCTACATAGACTGAATTAAGCAAACACTTCAATATATATGCCCATTATTTTTTAAATAATAATCGATAGTTTTTAAATTAAACAAGATATACTGATTTGGCGCATAAGACTTTCCAAAATAAACAAGCTCGCTCACGCAGTTTTTTTTTGTATGCATTTTGCACCCCGCAGTCGGATTTCAGTCTGTTGCTGACCATTGTGAACGATGGGTCTGTACTAATCGAGTTCTCTCTTATGTTAACGTTAGTGACATTTTATTATTAAAAATGAGGAAAAATACCATAAGGATTTCTAAAGGGAAAAAGAAAACTAATTTAAGAGAACAATGTAATGAAATTGTTAAGAAAGAGTTAAATAAACTGTACATAATTTTCATATTGTATTTACATACATACATACATATCTGTCACGCCTGTCTCCCATTAGGGTAGGCAGAAACAATGGAACGCCAAATGCTTCGATTCAAACAAACCTCTTTCGCTTCTTCCACATTCATCAATCTTTTCATACACGCTTGCCGGTTACGGGTACTTTACATATTGTATTTAGTGTTTTTAAAATAAAAAAATGCGAGTAATTTATAGAATTTAATATATCTTTTTAGATTATAGTCATTATATGATATATAAGCTTTTGAACGGTGTGGACTGCCGTTCGGTGAGCGTGGACTGTAGGGGCGTTGGTTCAGGCTGGAGTGAAACACAGGGATTACTATTCTGAAGCCTCCGGTACCGTCTGAAGAGAGTATTTTTTCTTCTTGTCCTATTTCTTCTCGAGTGTAGTGTGTCGCTGCCCGGAAGCGAATGCCGCTCGACGGGAGGCGGCCTATCTTTATACCCGCCCGCTCGCACGATAACGTTTCCAACTCGCGATAGCGATCTGTGCGAGCGGGACGGGGCGAGAATGAACGAGACGCGTGTCTCTTCAGATCGGTACTCTATAGCGTTTATTTATTGCAATTTACAATTTCTTAATTCTATTTATTGTTACAATTTCTATTTCTATTCGTAGGTAATAATGACAACACACAAAGAAATACTTTATTTAACTTACACTATCTTAAATCTATGTAAATCTATATAAAATAACAGAATACAAAAACGATTAAACTAGAGACTTAACAACTATCTATAAACATTGCTATATACAATAATGTCGCGAACATAATCTCCCGCCGCAGCTCTCGTAGCTGGAGTTAACTCGTGTTCGCGTCGCTCGATGTCGATGTGGGCAGTATGATCAGCTTCTTAGTGGGTCGCCGTAGGATGCCCTTGTTCGTCCGCACGTCGACTGCTCGGATCTCGCCGTCTGGTCCAGGGTAGGTCGCCACCACCACGCCTCGCGGCCACGTGTTGCGAGGCAAGGTCCCATCAGCTATCAGGACCAGGTCGTCCATTTTGATGGCTCCGTGTGTAGCTCGGGGCTCCCGCCGGTGTTGCAACTCGGGTAGGTACTCCTTCACCCACCGGTTCCAGAAGCAATCAGCTAGCCTCTGGCTGGCACGCCACTCCTTGTGTCCCGCCGCGTCGCTCTCGGTGAAGCTGCCTGGCAGTGGGACGCGCGACGGACCGCCCAATATGAAGTGATTGGGGGTTAGGGCGCTGTCGTCGTCTGCCGATGTCGACACGTGGGTTAGCGGTCGGCTGTTGAGGGTGTGCTCGACTTCGACCAGTAGAGTGTGGAGGACCTCTTCCTTGGGGGCCCGTTCGTTCAACGTAGCGGCTAGTGCGGTCTTCACGCTACGCACCAGCCGTTCCCACGCACCTCCCATGAAGGGTGCGCTCGGGGGAATGTAGCGCCACCGGATGAAATGGACTGATGACTCTTCTTGGATGGCTTCCTCGGCTGCTTTCTTCAGTTCGACGTCAGCACCTTTGAGGTTGGTGCCTTGGTCGGACCATAGCTCAGTGGGACACCCTCTGCGGCTTATGAAGCGCCGCAGGGCCATTATGGCGGAGTCCGTGCTGAGGCTGCCGGCGATTTCTAGGTGGACTGCGCGCGTCGTTAGGCAGGTGAAGAGCACTCCGTATCGTTTCTGGCGAGTGCGGCCCACTGTCACGGTCATAGGCCCGAAGTAGTCTAGGCCGGTGAACGTGAACGGTCGTTGATGATGCGCCAGCCTGCTCTGTGGATGGTTGCCCGTTGACGGCTGCGCCGGTCTTGCTCTTCGTAGGCGGCACAGCTGACACCTCTTCAGTTCACTGCGGACGGCGTGTCGTAGGCGCAACACCCACAAGTGTTGTCGCATCTCGTTCGTGGTGATCTCGAAGCCGCCGTGGTGAAGTTTCCGATGCACCCATGCGATGTATAGGCGCACCCAGGCGTGGTTTCCGTCGACGATGGGGGGCTCTCGTTGCTCGGCTGACAGATCGGCGGCGGCTGCTATTCTCGATCGAAGTCGCAGAATGTCGTCGTTGTCTATGACGACTGACAGCTGTATGAGTCGACTGGATGACGGCAGCTGTTTCTCTCGTTTCAATGCTGCGATTTCGTCGCCGAACGCCTCTTGTTGTATCGCGCGAATCCATAGCCGTCGCGCGCGATCTAGGTAGTGTGTGTCTATGGGGATGAAACACACAGATGGACTATTGCTGTTCTTGATTTTCATCTTCGTCTTCTCTCTATCGACTTTCTTCGTGCGGGTCCAAGTGGGGTCGGCGCTCTCTTTCTTCTTGTTCCTCTTTCGGATGGCGGTACAGCGTTGACTGGTCGGTCGCAGGAGGTCGATGAACTGCAATACCCGTGCTGAACTGCGAACAAGTTTCAACCAATTAGAAAAACGTGACGGATCGGGTAATGCTATAGACAACTGCGTCGCGTTCTGTACGCTTGTGTACGCGTTCTTCTCCCGTTTCCGCTTGACTATCGTCGCTCGTACTATCTTCACGCGGCCACTGCTCTTCGTTTTTGTCGAAATTCCTTTCGACCAGTTGGAGACGTCGCATTGCCGATTCGTAGTTGTCCGGCGGCACAGGGTCGTCCTTCTTCCATAATAACCCCGTCTCGTATCCTCCCGCCGGTAACGGACGAGTTTTCTCCTCTAAAATGCGCAGGGCGCGACGTTCTTCTTCATTGTAAGACCTCTTCGGTGCGATTCCCAGCGATTCGAGCGCGAAATGTTGCTTCATCATTTCTTCCATCGATTGTTCCTCTTCATGTGTCGTCACTATGTGGCTGATTCTGTGCACCTGCTGTCTTGTCCTGCCGCGACTCGTACCGTGCAGTACCCATCCCAGGTCGGTGAGTGATGCGACCGGCTGCGTGTCGGATCCTCTTCTAACTTCGTGGGCCAGCAGTAGGTGCCAGTTGTCTTGCCCCAACAGTACCGTCGGTTTGCCCTCTTCGTAGACCAACTCCCTCTCTATGTCCCGCAGATGTGGACAGCCCTTGATGACGCTGCGCGGTACCGACTGCAGTGATAACTGCAGTCTGTCCATCGTCCGTGCCCCCACTGTGTATTCTTGTGAATTCCGCCCGCGGATCTTGAAGTGAACACGCGTCGATTGAGCTGCGTTGATCCGTGCCCCGGCCACACCTTCCATGTAGAATGGTGCGGGGGGACCCGTAGCACCGATTCGCTCCGCCACCGTCGTCTCGATGATGGTGCAAGTCGACCCGTCGTCCAGTAGCGCGTAGGTGTCGCACGTTCCCGTGGGACCGGTGACTCGTATCGGCAGGATCTTCAGGAACGCGATCTTGTCGTTTTCCCTTGCCGATGCGGTGACTGCGGCGGACTTGTCCTCGACGACGTGTGTTGTTACTTCATTCTCCGGCTGTTGTCGCGTGGTGTGCAGCAGAGGGTGATGAGTCTGCGTGCACTCATCTACTCCACATCTCTTGCTCTTGCAGGCGTGGCGAAATCTTCTCACTTTGAGGCAACGGAAACACAGCCTATGAGTCTTCGCTAGCTCCCATCTCGCCGATGTGTCCGCTTCCTTCATCGTCTTGCAGTCCGATGGAGCGTGTCCCTCTCGTCGACACATCGGGCACGGTGGTGTAGCGGGTTTCTCCTGCGTCGTGTATGTCTTCGCCGTCTTCCTAGGAGCGGACTCCCGCCGGTCTTCGGACGGTATCTCCTCGGCGGGGGCGAAGTTTCCACATCGTGCGGCGGTCCTTTGCAGGAACTGAGAGAGTGTTATGAGGTCCGGTTGTCCCTCCGGTTGGTCGTTGGCGAAATCGTAGTACTTGAAGCGTAGTACCGACGGCATCTTCTCTGTGACGTTTCTCACTATTTCTTCGTTGTATAGGTAGTGACTCTTGTTCAGCGCTCGTATCGTGGCGACGACGTTCTGCACCTTGCTTGCGAAGAGGCAGACGTCTCTTGCGTTGTCCGAGAGTCGTGGTAGCGCGCGGAGTTTGTTCAGTTCGGCTGTGACGAGTGCTCCAGGGCGGCCGAACCTCGCGGCTAACATCTTCATTACTTCTTCTGCGGTCGTAGACCCGACGAATAGGGAGCGTGCCGCGTCCTTTGCGGCCCCCTTCAAACTTCTGCGCAGTCTTGCTAGGTTCTCTTGTTCTGTGAGTTGACTTGCGCTCTCTTCATAGGCCATCTTCCATGGTAACCACTCGCTCGACGATCCATTGAAGACTGGCAACTCGGTGACTCTTGACGCTGTGGAGGGCAGTATGTTGCGAGCGGCCATCTGCATGGCGATCGCAAACTCATTACAATCGATGCCCACCTTCAGCACCGGTTCTTCCTTCTTCATCGACTGCATCGCTGCTGCTATCGTAGGCATGGCGGCATGTGGGTCAACGTGGCGTGCGTGGTCCCGGTGAAGTGCGTCGCTGCTCGGCTGTGGCGGCGGCGCTCTCGAATCCTCTTCAACGGGTCTCGATGGGACGAACCCCTGACGCTTGCCGGTGACTTCTTCTATCTCTGGTACATGCGGCTCCATCGTGAGTGCTAGCGTGCTTCGATGAACCCAATCCGACGTTCGTTCTCTTCTGACGGTAGCGTCGTCGTCTTCTATTTCCTCGTCGTCCTCTGATTCGGCTTCCAGGGCGGCGACACGTGCAGCAGCCAATTCCACCTCCTTTCGAAGTAGCTCCTCCCGTGCCTTGGCCAGAGCCTTCTTCTTCTGCGAGGCCGTGGTGCGAACCGTGCGTGCCGTGCCGTGCTTCGGTTCCTTCTTCCTTGCTGTCTCCTCTGTCGTTCCTGTGGCTTCGGTAGTCTCCGTGGCTCCTGTGGTCGTCGTATCGCCGGACGTATTCGTAGTCGATGTGGTGGCGGCGGTAGACGACGTGGCAGCGACAGAAGGCATTCTGACAGCCGCAGACGACGTGGTGGCAGCAACGGACGGCGTGGCAGCGACGGACAGCGTTCCGGCGGCCGTAGTCGACGTGGCGGCGGACGTTGTGGCTTCGGTGACGGCGACTTTTTGTTGCGACGACTTCATGTTTCTCGTAGTCGGCATTTCAGCGATCCGGCTTCAGAATGGTCTTCCTCCAGCGATCCGGCTTCTCGATGTACCAACGGTGTTCCTCCAGCAATCCGGCTTCTCGAAGGACCACGGTGTTCCTCCAGCAATCCGGCTTCTCGAAGGACCACGATGAACGGTGTGGACTGCCGTTCGGTGAGCGTGGACTGTAGGGGCGTTGGTTCAGGCTGGAGTGAAACACAGGGATTACTATTCTGAAGCCTCCGGTACCGTCTGAAGAGAGTATTTTTTCTTCTTGTCCTATTTCTTCTCGAGTGTAGTGTGTCGCTGCCCGGAAGCGAATGCCGCTCGACGGGAGGCGGCCTATCTTTATACCCGCCCGCTCGCACGATAACGTTTCCAACTCGCGATAGCGATCTGTGCGAGCGGGACGGGCGAGAATGAACGAGACGCGTGTCTCTTCAGATCGGTACTCTATAGCGTTTATTTATTGCAATTTACAATTTCTTAATTCTATTTATTGTTACAATTTCTATTTCTATTCGTAGGTAATAATGACAACACACAAAGAAATACTTTATTTAACTTACACTATCTTAAATCTATGTAAATCTATATAAAATAACAGAATACAAAAACGATTAAACTAGAGACTTAACAACTATCTATAAACATTGCTATATACAATAATGTCGCGAACAGCTTTATTACTGTAAAGTTTTATCAAGATCCATTTAGTAGCTTTTGCGTAAAAGCCGTAAACATCTATACAAACTTGCCAGTGATGACTTATGGAACTGAAACATGGTCTTACACGATGGCCCGTATACAAAAGCTTCAAATTACTCGGCGGGCTATGGAGAGGGCTATGCTCGGAGACTCTGCATGATAGAATCCGAAATGAGGATATCTGCAAAAGAACCAAAGTAATTAACCGACACAGCCCGGAGGATAAGCAAGCTGAAGTGGAGATGAGCTGGTCACAGAGCTCGAAGAACCGGCAACCGATGGGGAAGAAAGGTCTTGAGTGGCGATCCCGTATGGGCAAACGCAACTAATTTAATGTATTTCGTTAAGTCCTCGTTTTGTATATGTATTTCTCTTTCTTATGTTTGGTTTTGTCATAGAAAAAGCTTAAGTAGTAATTAGTAATTATATCTAAGGTTTCGGTGCATCTTTTTAGCATTTGAATACCTACCTTCATTATAAAACTCTTGTCAGGAAAGTACGTTACTGTAGTGTCAAATAGATTTATTATAATATTTGCGACTGTCATGTTCAGAGAGTAATTAAATTAAATCTTATTAGAATAAATTAAGTGTGTAATGTTTTATTAAATTCTATTGAAATAGATAAACATTATTTACAAACAATACATATTTGTAATAACTCTTTGGCAATACTTGCTTTTTTACGAATGGAATTATGACCTCACCTGCGCTATATGCTGGCGGGCTGGCGGGGCCCCAGTGAGGGTTGATAGGCGAGAATGAAAGCTGACGACCTACCATGAAATATTATCCGAAATTTCGCAGCCGAACGAAACAAATTTGATATTAAAAGTACATGATATCGTTTAAAATAAAAATATATCATTGCCTTGGACTTTTATCGTAGGATTTATGACGAATGAAATGTTAAGCTTTATTTACTGGGCCGATTTCGGTATGAATAAAAACACGAAGTTGAGTTTGAAAATTCGAATTTTCATTTTATGTTAGACGCCTGTGTCATTTGGCTCATTCGTGGCAAATTTAACAAAAAATATCCGCGTTGATTTCCAGGATAAACGCGTGGAGGTCGACCTGATGGACTTTATAGCTAGCAATGGGGCTGTTTAACCCCATTACTACCCAATACCTATCCCCCTGGCAATTCTGTCTTTGCTATGATATTAACTAATGAAAACTATAGATTAAGGATAGTCACTTGTGGGATATTTATTCTCTTTTTACGATAAAACTTAAATAAGACTTTAGTAAAAAGGTATTTTCATTTCAGAAAATTGAGAAAGGCGGGACTAGCCTATGAAAACAGTAATGGCACTGATAGGTAATTATTGTAATTATTCTATTATATTTAAAACTTGACCTTTTGTTGGTTTTTATAATTGCAAACCTTGTGTGTTATTATTGTTAAGAGACGCGCTTTTTCTAGCAGAAAAACCTGTGACACTGCGGTCTCTCTAAGAGCTTTTGTGCCTGCCCTATTTTAAAGTTCGCTATTAATCCCTATCAGTGATAAGATTTTTAAACCTTGTGTAATGCACTTTTGAAAGATAAGTTAGTAGTAAATAAGTCTAGACAGACTACATAGGTACAGTGCGAAGCATCAATAACCTGAAACCAGTACCAGAGGGAGACTTTGTACAAAAGTCGATTGCTTGGGTACCTCTATCCCATTCGTGTTACAACCGTGAAGCAGCTGTATTTGCATGGCTGTGTTTCGGATTGAAGGGTGGAATATGACGTGAATTTACTGGGTACAGAGGAATGACACCTGAGTCCTCTGGAATGGCAACGCATGGGGGGTATCATAGGCGAAACAATATATTATGTTATGTCCATGGTACTGCTCATGTCTATAGGCGACGGTTACCATTTTCCATCAAGTGGACCGTCAGCTTGTTTGCTATTCTCAGTTGTATAAAAAAAAACCCGGCAACTATTTTTAAAATTATATTAAAAGAGACAATAAAAAAAAGTAACGAGATTTCGGAATTAAGAAACTATTCAAATATTAATATAGTAGTTACTGGTTTCAATTTTTTCATTCGAAAATAACATCTTTAAAGAGAATATTTTATAAATTATAAATATTAGATACAATTGCTTGAGAATTTTTTATGCAACTTGGACTGACAAATAAGTTGACGATTACCAGATAGAAAATGGTAAGCATCACCTAACGTTATAAACGAAAATAATACCTGGACATTATTGATTATACAGTGATCCCAAGATTGGTACTTAGGTACGAACGCTGAGTCCTTTTTGATATAGGTAACGGAGATCAAAACATGCAATTCCAATTTGCATAAAAAAAAATTGCGTTCTTAGTCACGTAGTTGCTTCTTTATGTGTTATTTTTATTGTAAAAAAGTAGTCATTTTTACCTCTTTTACAGAAAAAGTGAGTCAGTGGTCGAGAATCAAAAAGAGAATGATGAATGTTGGACCTGAAGAAACAGGTTTAGAACAGTAAGTTATTATTATGGGGTGGAATTGAAACTATTCGCATTTTTCCAGACTATCAGTTCCTCAAAGAAACATTATAATATTTCTGCCTTTTCTTTTTATTCCCAAAGAATAAGAAAATAATAAAAATGAAATCGAAAAAAAAAAAAACAATTACGACCCTTCTATACTACCATGGCGCATTTATTGAAGATTAGGCTGTATCGCTCTGTTCTTTTGCCTTTTCCATTGTGGATAAATTAATACTAATACTACTACATTTAGCTGTCAAGTTAATAAGGAAGTTCGTAAATTCCAGACAATTTATTGAAGACTAGGCAGCATGGTCTCCGACCTTAGCCTGTTCCACAACGGAACAAACGTATTAAAAAAAAAGGAAGTTCGTAATTTTTTCTTGTAAAAAACGAGAGGGTAAGAATAGAATAAGTAATATAGACCAATATATTGATATATGTGTATATATAGATATGACAATATCCGAGTATTACCCCTACTAGAAACTAGTGGATACATTACTAGCAAAACATTGTTTATTAAGTATGACGCGGTCTCGCCTGGAAATTATCGTGATAAATTTCTGACGAATTTGTTAGAAATTTATCAATCTAATTTTCAGAGATGGATTACATGGAAGTCGACCTGGCAGAATGTAGGGCTAGCACTGTGATTGTTAATTCTATTACTAACAAGTATCTTAATAATTTTTTTTTTATTTATAGGTCAAATAACGAGATCATTGTTGTAGTGGAACCGCTTGGTGATGACAGGTAATTTTTTATAATTTATACTGTTATAAAATGACGAGAGATGACTAACATGGTTCGACATGTATTAATAATTTTAATTACACTAGCGGAAAAAATTAAAGGATCAAAAAATTCTAAATTTTCGGCGATTTTTCAAATGTGACTTTTTGATAAAAGTGGTCGTTTTGAAGTAAAAAAAGCAATATGAAGCTTAAAGTTTCTAATTTTTGGATCTCGCAATATTTTTTTTCAAGTAACACGTATTGCGCAATCTTAATGAATATCATGAAAAAAAATTTCGAAGGTTTTTTGATCTTATTTTTGGTGTACGAACATGAAATTTTTTTTCCAATTTACTTACTAATTTATTACTAATTATAATTAAATGTATAATTATTATTTACTTTAATGTGGGTACTAAAATATTAAATATTTTCAGATTTAAAAAGCAAGAGCTAAAAGTACATATTGATCCTCCTGAACCATACAGGCAAGTACCTACTGTCTTTCCATCGAATTGTATCGTACCTACAGTTTTTTTTTTTCCCAATGAATGATAATGAAATGGTAACCCCGCCCGCGCTAACGGTATACGCTGGCGGGACACCAGTGAGGGATGATAGGTGAGAATGAAAAGGCAGGTCAGTTAGCCCACCGTGACGAATTCAAGTCACGATGGTTCCCAGGAGGAACCGCGCGGAGGTCGACCTGATAGGGTATATTGATAGCAATGGGGACTACCCTCCCCATTACTAACAATTCCTTCCCCCCTCGTACCTACAGTTGTAACATAATCCATTCTTCCCTATTAGTCATCCAACGGATACATCCAGACAGATAAAGCAATGCGTCCCGAATTGTCATGTTATCGTTCAGAGCATTGCTAAAATTGTAACACTGGTTGTTACTTATAGGCCTCCCCCTTGGAGTTTTGCTGTGTGGTCCCGGCATAGGATAGGTCACCTCTTCCTTCCCCATGGGTGTCCAACAGTGGGACATGGGCGGTTGTAGTAATAATTATCATCATCATAGTCATTTTTATTTATTGCTCAACATAGACCTCCCCCATAGACTGCCATAAAGAACGGTCCTGAGCCACCTGCGTCTGTAGTGACAATGACGGTGAGATATTAATTTGGATGATTAAAAATATATTTAATATTTTCAGAATTAAACCACAAGACGTTAAAATACAACTTATCGAAACACCTGTGAGGTAAGGAATTATTCTTAATAACATTTCCATTTATTAGTATAGACTTTTAATTTATATAAAATTTTATATTTATACTACTTTTTGTCTGCTAGTAAAATTAATTAAATTAACCACCTCCAGCTGATGTATCAGGATATAACACACACTAGAGTTTATGTTAGACCTTCAGGTATACGACTGTGGAAAGCGCATGCAATTTGATGCAGTAATTTTCAGGAACTAACACACAGATAGACAGACAAAATTTTTGAAATAAATATTGCTCTTTTATTGCCCTTAATAAGACTATATGTTTTTTTTTTAAAAAACTCCCATGCACAGACGTCGTTTAGTTATAATTTTGTTATAGTTGTTATGACGTATGATCTGATATTGTTTAATAGTTTGTATTCACATGAATTCATAAATTTTTTTTATACAACTTAGAATGGCAAACAAGTTGACGGCCCACCTGATGGAAAGCGGTAACCGTCGCCTATAGACATGAGCAGTACCATGGACATAACAGAGTATACTGTTTCAACCATGATACCCCTCATGCGTTGTTATTCCTGAGGACTCAGGTGTTATTCCTCTGTACCCAGTAAATTCACGCCATATCCCACCCTTCAAACCGAAACACAGCCATGCAAACACAACTGTTTCACGGTTGAAACACGAATGGGACAGAGGTACCCAAGCAATCGACTTTTGTCTCCCTCTGGTATTTATATAATTTAACTTTATGAAAAGGGGGTGGAATCATTAAATACATTATTGTTTAAAATTGCTTTAAGTTTACTTGAATAAACATGTTTCATTTTATCTTTCATTCGTTTACCTATCTTTTGTAAGAAGTTTATGTTTTCGCCGCGACAGTGTGAAATCTTAATTATTGGCATCCTTCTAAACAATTGTTCTACAAGTCGAACTGTACAATTTTCCCAAAGAAATGTTAATCGAAAAACGTTAAAAATATTTGATTCTATCGTTAACGTAGGTTAACAGAGCAAACTGTTGTAAAATTTGTTACTTACCAAGTTGTTTTTTTTTAGCAATGGTGATCAGCAAAATATAGAAGCCCCAGAATGTTCTTCAATTAATAGGTATGATTTCATTGTACTAATATAATTTATGCTGAATAATAATTAGGTTTGTTCCTTCAATATAAACTTTTCTTTTTACTAAAGTCGAGAACCCTTTCTATTTAAAAAAATGCATCTATTTATTACTTACCTATAGTTATGCACTAATCCACATTAAGGTTACACACTTATACATTCATATACTTACTATTTATTTTTTTATCTTTTTCTCTCTATTCGAAAATAAGTACATCTGCAAAGGTCTCCCTTAGATATATCGTATCCCCTTTAGATACAATAATAATACTCAACTTTGTTGGATGACGCCTCGCAGCCCCAATTCTGTTCCGCTCCTAGTCCCCGAATTATTATTAACATCTCGTTATCGACCGACGAAATGAATGGGGTCATTCATAGTTTATTGCAGCAAATAACTTTTAATACCTACAAATAAGCATGTAACATAATATACGAAACATACATACACAGAAATACCTAATACACTACACACTATTCACAGCAATCTTTACTTTTTGTGATGCAAAATATAAACACAAAATACCATAAATGTGTATAAGAATAAGAGAAATAAATAAATATAACTTAGAATGGCAAATAAGCTGACAGCTCACCTGATGGAAAGTGGTAATCGTCGCCTATAGACATGAGCAGTACCATGGACATAACAGAGTACATTGTTTCGCCCATGATACCCCATGCGTTGCCACTCCGGAGGACTCAAGTGTTATTCCTCTAATTATTATTCCTCTAGTTATTCCTCTATTACTTATTGCTATTTAATTGTTTTAGGTATGGTGATGACCAGCAAAATATAGAAGTAGAAAAAAATGCTCCCATTAAAAGGTCTGATTCATTTATACATATAACCTGCACACCTGCAATGCCGCTGGTGTTGTGGGTGATCATGGGCGGCGGTAGTCACTTACCATTAGGTGAGCCGCATGCTCGTTTGCCCCCTGTGTTGTAAAAAAAAATACAATGTGTATTAAGATTTCTCTAAAGTACCGAGTTTAGAGAGAGTTCAGACAGAGAATATAATAGAGAATACATAGTAGCAGGCATCCATAGGTTGTAATAACATGTTTATCATCAGACGGGCTATGTGCTTGTTTGCCACATTCGTGGTATAAAAAAATACATTTAAAACTCTATTATATTTCTAAGAAAGTAGAAATATAAATATAAACGTATGTACAAGTAAAGAGCAGCAATAGTGCTGGTACTCTATAAATTTCCATATTTGAATACACACCACACAACACAACCCTTACTGATATTATAAGTGTGAAAGTAAGTTTGTTTATACTTAGGCCCTTAACGGCTTAACTAATCATCTGTGAAATTTGGCATATATGGATGGAGAAGACTTAGCTTGTCTTTTTATACTGGTCTGTGAACATGTCCAGGTTACTTGGACAAAGGCACGGGTAAAAGCAAGTGTATAGATAAGGTCAGACCTGTATGATGTTGTATTTATCGGAATCACAGAATACTTACACGAATACATACATTTTTTCTCACACATAATGTTTTATTTTTAGGTCGTGTAATTCAGCAAATCAGCAAAATGAAGAAGTAAAAAAAACTGCTGCAACTGTAACTACCAGGTATAATTAATTATGTATATTTCATTATAAATTAATAGTTTTAATAATTCGTGTTAAGACCCGATATAAAATTAATGTGTACTAAGGGCAAAAGTAACCGACATAGCCCAAAGGATAAGCAAACTGAAGTGGCAATGGGCTGGTCACATAGTTCGAAGAACCGACAACCGATTGGGAAGAAAGATTCTTGAGTGGCGACCCCGTAGGGGCACACGCATTGTAGGACTATCCCCCATTAGATGGAGTGACGACCTGAAATACATTGCAGGGAATCAGTGGATGCAGGTGGCTCAGGACCGTTCTTTATGGTAGTCTATGGGGGAGGCTTATGGTCAGCAGTGGACGGATAATGGCTGAAATGCTGATGAAATGCAAAAGAAAAAAATATATTAATTTCATAGCCACATGCAAGTAAATGCAACTCCGTTCATGGCTAATCTGATATTTTCAGTAATAATTTTCCTATGGATATTTTTGGATAAACTGGACTAAATTTGGATGGAGAAACTTCTCATTGGTATTTGAAAATACTTATGGAACATGAGCTAATTTGTAGGTCTAGTAGTCTTTACTGAACCTCAATGAACATGCGATCAGGATATTTTAAGAAGTATTTTAGTGATAGCTTATTAGATCTGCTAAAGAGATAAGCTGCAATGAATAAATGTTAGATTTATTATTTCACTAAATTGTATATTTTTTCCTTTATCTGAATTTAATGAAATTCAGCGCCTAGACTAAGTACCCGCATTTTAATTGGTGATGTTGCTAAATACTTACTTAGTCTAAAGAGCGATTTAAATCTTGGACATTGTTATTTCGGGACTGAATTACTCGGGAATTAATAATATTTTACTATTACGATTAATATTTCGTACTTTACATATGTACGTAGAATGAGAATGCCACAAGTATTATTTATTAATTTGAACAAATTTATTGATCAAAAAAAAGTATGGTACAAAAGGCGGTATTTTTGCTAGTTGTATTCTCTACCAGTCAATCTTTGGGATGAACAATGAATCACGAACGCGGTACTTCATTATTAGAAAAGGTAATAATAATAATAACAGGTATACGTATAATATTCTTAATTTTTTTATACAACTTAGTATGGCAAACCAGCTGACGACCCATCTGATGGAAAGTAGTAACCGTCGCCTGTAGACATGAGTAGTGTCATGGACATAATAAAGTATACTGTTTCGCCCATGATACCCCCTATGCGCTGCCATTCTTGAGGACTCAGGTGTTATACCTCTGTACCCCGTAAATTTACTTCCATATCCCACCCTTCAAACCGAAACACAGCCATGCAAACACAACTGCTTCACGGTAGGAACACGAATGTGTGTCAGTGGTGTCCAAGTAAACGACTTTTGTACAATGTCTCCCTCTGGTATTTATACAGTATTTATATAGTATTTAAATTGTAGGTCTGGAGGTGGTTGGAAAAATGAGAGAAAATTGAGTAAATGGAGAAAAAAGAAATCATGGAAAAAGTCTAAGAGGTTTGTTTTGTTTGTAAAATTAATTTAAGATATTTTGCACGGTTGTATTTATTTCATATCTCGACAGGTAAATCTCACCAAAAGAGGATAAGTAAAAAGATTTGCTTTTTACATATTACTTCCATATAAAATTTAACTCAAAGTCAGTCTTAAGCCTATTTTTTTATAAAAACGCCATACCCCCAATTTTTTTTGTGATACCTACAATGGAAATCAATTAGAAAAGAAAGTGATAAATAACTCTAATAGTTGTATTTTTACTACTTCTTATACCTTGCTAAGGTTGGTGGGTAAGTACATAAATTCTCTAAAGAGACGTAAACCTTAAATATTTTATCGACAGATTATACAAACTGAGTCCTGTTATTATTCGTATTAAGTAGGTTTTTGACCTTTTAGGAACTACAATGATGGCCTTGAAATTGTAAATAAAAAATATAATCTTCGGGCTCTTATGGATTTTGTTTGTTATCTCATAACTCCGTCAGTTGTAAAGCGATTTGAATTTTTTTTTCTGAAAGGAGAAACTTACAGATCGGTCTCACAGAAACTTTATCAAAATCTGTTCAGTAGTTTAGTTTTTAAATAAAAATAACTGGTTTTGTCACATTTAAAGTTGGTTTTCTTTGTGGAATACAATGTTAAAGTTATTAACCGTGTTCTTTGTTTTAGTCGTGTTGGTGATCTGAAAAAAGTAAAAATAGAAGTCTCTCAACCAATAGGAAGGTACGATTTCATTAATTATATATATATAATTGTCTTTTTTTATTTTTTTTTTATATAACTTAGAATGGCAAACAAGCTGACGGCCCACCTGATGGAAAGTGGTAACCGTCGCCTATAGACATGAAAAGTACCATGAACATAACAGAGTATACTGTTTCGCCCATGATACCCCCCATGCATTGCCATGCTTTGCAATTTTCTTATATTTTATAATACTAATGTTATCTTTTTTTTTTTTCTGAAAGGATATAAGTAGTTACAGATTGATCTCGCAGGAACTTTAACGAAATCTGTTCACTAGTTTAGTTTTTAAATAAAAATAACTGGGTTTGCTACAATTCAAATCGGTTTTATTTGTGATACACAATCTTAAAGTTACTTACTGTGTTGTTTGTTTTAGTCGTGGTGATGATCAGCAAAATGTAGAAACAGAAGTCCCTCGACCGATAAAAAGGTATGATTTCATTTAATATTTATTTATATATAATATATCATTATGTCTTTTTTTATAATAATTTTCTGATACTAATGCTTTTCACCAGTGAGTTTTCAAAGACAAATCTTTGTTTATTCAATTTAAATGGTAAACGAGCTTACGACCCACTTGATAGAAAATAGTAACCGTTGCACGTTGATATGAAAAGTACCATGGTCCTCACAGAATGCAATCGTCTATGATACTCCCATGCGTACCATCCATGAGCACTAAAACACTTTTACGGGGTAAGTCCGCCATTGTACTCATTTTTTCTACTGTACAATAAAGTACTATATCTCTGTACCTAGTAACTTAATATTTTACTATGTAAATTAATATAAATCTTATATATAAAAATCTTGTTTCACGGTATTTATGGTCGAACTCCTCCGAAACGGTTCGATCGATTTATTTATTTATTTCTTATTACATTTCATAATATATTTTTGTGATTTTTTTTTTATGTAAATTTAGTAAGTATGAGAATAAGTTGTATATTTCATGCCGCTACGTGACTATCTAGACGATAAAATTTTTTATGACAAAACAATATTTGCCGTGTCAACTAGTATATGTATATAATAAATGACCTTAAAACCGAACCGCAGACCGGTCATAGTGATCAGTATTTTAAATTCATTACTTAATATCTCCGAAATTTGTTGTCATAGATAGAGAGCTAAGTTTTTGTGACTTTTCATTTATCACTTTTAGAAGCATAATGCGACAAGTTTACAATTAAAAAATATTATAATTATCACCTTGTGGTTTGTATACCTAGAAACAAATTTCGGAGATATTAAGCAATGAATTTAAAACACAAATCACAATGACCGGTCCATGGTTCGAGTGTTGTATTCTTATGGCGCGTTTTCACTGGTATAACAATTATTTTAAAATATTTTTAGTATTATTAATATAATATAATATTAACAACTAGTATTATTTTTTGCATTTCTATGTACCTAATATCTATTTCTTTTATACCATAAAATATATATCAGTATTTTAAAATAATATATATATATATATATATATATATATATATATATATATATATATATATATATATATATATATATATATATATATATATATATATATAATCGAGGCTATATATATATATAGCCTCGTATCTCAAAAACGGGTCAACTTTTTGTCATTTTGACGTATTTTGACGTATTGTACAATAAATGAAATGAGTATTTAAGCAATAAAAAGATGCAGAAATTATAAGACAAAATAAATATAGAAGTTATAAAGGAATCACTCATAATTATTTATGACGTAACATTTCTATGGTGATAGCATTTCTATCTATATAATCTAAGATCTTTTATATTGTCTAGTGTGTAAGGCTAAGAAGAACAGGTAGACCTTAAATAAAATAAACTCTTTAAATAAAGAGTTTTTTTTATATGTGAAAATGGTATGGTAACCCCACCTGTGCTAACGGTATACGCTTGCGGAGCACCAGTGAAGGGTGATAGATGAGAATGAAAACAGGCCAGTTAGCCCATCATGATGAATTCATCAGGAATTAACTTATTTAAAGAGTCAGGTCGTCCATGGAAGATAATCTTAAAAATGCCAATTTTAATTCTACATGAAATATATAGATACATACTTGGGTATGTAGACTTAAGCATTTTATTATATTACAGCCCGGAAATTGAATATGTCAAGATAAAGACAGAAGTAATTGAACCTGCTTCTGAAAGGTAAATTTTATATATAATATTAACTATCTACAATATTCTATAAGTTGTTACTATGGCAAAATGTCAAATCGCACAGCCTTGAGTAGTTCCCGTTTATGCCGCTCGTCTTTGAGCTCGTCTTTGGGCGCTAGTGTCGCGTCTTAAGAATTAGTAAATACCATTTCAATATTTCATCGCTGCGTCAAGGCTGATGTCTAGGCTGTTTGCTTAGAGAATAGCACTACAGATCAGCGGAAGCTACTTTTGAGAACAAAAACATTTTGCAAGAGACAAGATTACAGCTCCTCTAGGCAAAAACGAATCTGTCGATAAAATCGCTTCGGTCACAGCCAACAGTCAGTAAGAACTAGACAGCGATTGTCGTCATTTCATTCTATCGCACGGACTCGCTAGCGATAACGATTCTATAAATAGATTCGTTTACCACATATCTAGGAAAGATCATAATATTTACAATATTATTAAATTTATAAAGAATATGTCGTATTAGCTTTTACCTGCAATTTCGACCGCTTGACCTGGGGGCTACCGTGGAATGAAATTCCGAATTTTCGGAGTCGATTTCGTGCTTTTGTATATACTGAAATCGGCCCAGTAAAAGAAGCTTAAAATTTCGTTCGTCATAAATCCTACCATAAAACTCTAAAGGAACGATACTTTAACATTTTTATAATTTTTAAACGATATGTATTATGTAATTTAAATATAAGATTTTTGTTTGAATATCATGAAAAACATTTCATGGTAGGCCCTCAGATTATAAGGCGCTAAGAGGTGGCAAACAACTTTCACATTTATTTTTAAGTGAGAGCGTGGTGTTACTGGGATAAGGGCAGGAAAATTATGACGATAGTTTTTAAACGATTTCTAAAATTAGAAACTTCTCTATTTGTTTGTAATGCTATATATGCTAATATGCCTTTTACAGAACAAAATTCATCTTGTAATTATTTATATTGGCTTATGCACGTTTTAAATTCGGAGGTGATCGACTAGTTTCGAACCCAATAAGAGCTGTTATTCATTAGCGCGGTTCACGGCTGTGTCGCGAGTAGCGAATAGTAGAATAAAGGCTCCCATTGAGTTCGAAACTAGTCGGTCAACCACGAATTTAAATCGTGAATAAAGTCGACATTAGTAATTACAATACAGTATGCTTCACGATAGTTATTATTCAACAAAATTCGTTTTGGTTTTGTTACGCAGCAAAATTACTTGCCTGGAATTTGTGTTATATTTAATTTATTTAATGTTATATTTAATTTAAAAAAAAAAAACAATTTTTTTAAACAGTTTTATTAAGCAATACTATGATTACACTTAAAATATATCTAAAGCCTAACCGCGGTTCCTGATCCGCATGCCAAGCATGGAAACTACTAGCAAAACTCCCCAAGGTGGAGGCTTATGTTCAGCAGTGGACAGTTAAAGGCCGATATGATGATGATTACAGTTTATTTATTAATTATCAATGATATTTAGTGCGTATATTACTTTATAATATTTTAATATATACCTATTTTATTATTTCCTTTAGCCCAACGTGTGAAAATGAAGTGTTAATGACCGAAGCAATTGAACCAGCGAAAAGGTAAATTTTTAATAAGATATATCTTTTATTTGCTATAACTATTATTAAAATACTTATCTATAAAGTGATCGATACAAATTAGTGCAAGTATTTGAAAACAAATAAGATCGCTTGCCAATATTGTAGGCAACCTACCTATAATATTTCTAACATGTTTTTCAATTCTGAACTGATTTTTACTTTTTTATTCTATTTTTCTAGGGATTCTAGTGTTTTTAATAATTCACAGGAATTACTTGGATTAATATCAGCTATTGAATTCCTTCGCCTTTCTTATTACCTTTCTTATAATCCGCCACAAGCTAAAGCTTCATACCGACCATAATGAGTGGCGGTCCTCCACAGTGGGTTTCTGTGGACATTTTCTTCCACGTACAACCAAAGTATGGAATCAACACCCCGTACCAGTATTTCCGAATAGATACGACATTGAAACTTTCAAGAAAAGAGCATATTCCTTCTTTCTCTGCAATTTTTCTAATGTTGTGATATCTATGGGCGGCGGTAATCACTTACCATCAAGTGATTGTTTGCCCCCTGTATTAAAAAAGTAATTCTAGTTGTCTTAGACTTCATTAACATTTAAGTAGAGTCTTTTTTAACAGAATCCCAAATTATTTTATGGCACCGACATATTGCATTATTATGTAATAATGCAATATGTAATTGTAGCAATTGTACTAAAAGTAATAAGTAAATTACTTAAATACTTTTTCTTTGTTTCAGTATATATTATGAAGCGACTACGGAAGATCCTTTAAACTGTGACAGGTAAAATCTTAATCATTTGCATGTTTGAAGTCGGCCTACTTATACTTATTATTTGCTAGCGATCCGCCCCGGCTTCGCTGTTGTTTTTAGTAAGGCTGGTATTTTTTTTTTTATACCTATTTAGCAATTTGATGTTAATTCCTATTTTATAAAGCTAATAATAATGACTATTTTTGCTATACATATTATTCCTTTATTTAAAATCCTTCACACAGCACATGTCATATTATAGAATGTTAGGCGACTTCAATTGCATTTATTGTAATTAATTATTGAAAATATGTATTTATCAAAATAGAAAGTAGTTTATAGAATTCAGGAACTCACATCTTACTAACAGTGAAATATTTTTAAAATCGGACCAGTAGTATCGGAGATTACCCCGAACATCCAAACTCACAAATTTTACCTCTTTATAACATTAGTGTAGATTTAATATAAATTTTGTGCTTTTGAATGCTTTTTAGATTCACTGCACCAATAATTTTGTAGACGATAGAAATTTTCTTTTAAAATGTTTAATAATATATAACAATAATAATATTTTTGTGAACTTTTACCATCACTACAATGGGGTTTTGTTTCAATTGACATAAATATCTACACAGGTACTTCTAACTCATAAGAATTGCGTAATATAAAAATCTAACAGATTCGACGACTTTCGTTGTGTGCGTGTTGAGGTGTCAAGTTTGATTCTCGGTCGGGCCAATTTCGGAAATGAACTTTTCCAAATTCTCTCAAGACTGAGTGGCTGTGCCCGTAGATGCTCATTGCCTGGTTTTCATAATATTCTCTCATTATTTTCTAATTATATTATAGCGTATCTCAGCTTGAGAACTGGGGGAATGGGATGATAATTTTTTATTTATACTATAGATAGGTGTAAAATGCCATAACAAAAGGAAGCGTTCCTTATGGCAGTCTATGGGGGAGACCTATATTCAACAGTGAAGAGATAACGGCTAAAATAATAATAATAACACACATGATTAAATACGAGTCGAAAGTCCCTGATGAACGCAATGAGAAGTTTTGTCCTCCGCGAACTAAATGTCTATCGTCTGCGCAGAGCTTAATGTAGTAGGTACAGTTCGACCCAACGAATTCCAAATTTAAAAACCTTAGAATCGCTCTGTTGTCTATAGGCGTCATGTCAACTTATCACAATGTAAATATCGTAAAAAAGCTAACTAAATCGACGTCTATTTACACGAAGAATTTTTATTATATATGGATAAAACTTGAATCACATCTTACCACTACCACATCACAAATATGAATGAACAGCCAAGTGTATCTGGTATCGTCCACCGCGTAGTATGATGTTATCTGTTTGGCCTCGAGTTCATTGCGCCGAGTGATAACTGTCGTGCCCTACTAATATTAAAAATGGAAAATTTTCAGGAAACTCGCTGGATTCTCACTATATCCGATCTCTTATGCGCTACATTGAGGAATTATTAATGAAAGGTTTTCCTAAAAAAAGGTTTATCCCTAAGTCCTACCTGTTCTCCTATGAAGCAGCTGTGCTTACAGGGCTGTTTCAGTTTAAAGAGTGGCTTATGACAGTGACATTACAAGGTACAGAGGCATAACACTATAATTGGGGGGTGGGGAAGGGTTTGTTAGTAATGGGGAGGTTATTTCCCATTACTAACAATCCCATTGCTATTAATATTACCTATCACCACCACGCGGTTCCCCCTGGAAACTATCGTGTCTAATTTATTGTTGAATTTGTTACGATGGGCTAATTAAACCAGCCTTTTCATCCTCACATGTCACCTCTCACTGGTACCCCGCCAGTGTATACCGATACCGCTAGTCGCCATCGCTAACGATATGCCCTACTAGGTCCACGCGGTACCATCATGATTCGCCACGATGGGCAAATGTTTCATCATCCACTGGTGCCCCGCCATTCTAAAACTTCCAAAGCAGATCTTACTCTTCAGACTGGTTACTAATTTCCCATGCGAAGAAAAGAAATAAAATACAATTCATATTATTAAATATAACTTTTTTACATAATATAAACATAAAAAAATAAATGTCAATTTTAAATCGAATAGTGTTCTATTCGATTACATTCTAAAATTGTGAAACCGTAGTAAGGGCACATAAAATACGTAGCTAATGGAATGTATGATTTTTTTCTGGTTACGTATTTTATTTTCGATACGATTTTGGAAAAAACACTGCAACTATGATTATTTGTATGTATATTATTTAATTTTCTATGCATCAATATATTTGTCTTTTACTTATTTGTTTTATAACTAGGTGAAATATATGTACATACATGCATACATATATTATATATATATATATATATATATATATATATATATATAAACTGTGTAAAGTGTATTATAAAACTAACTTTTGCCCACGACTTTGTTCGCGAGTGGTATTATTTTCTCGCGGGAATCACATTTGTGTCTCAGAGATATAATTAAAAAAACAGCAGAGTTTTTATAAACATAATTAATTAATCTATTTATTTAAACACAATGCACAATGAAATAAGTATACATATGGCGGACTTAACACCTAATGGCGTTCCCTACTAGGCAACCATAAGGCAAGCAGAAAATTAAGTAGGTGGTAGGTAAATTCATATAAATTTCATTCAACAATTTTTTTTACATCAGTGCTAGTACTGTCAGTAAGCATTATTCGACCGCCGGCATCGACGTTAGACGTACAAATGAACTAAATTTAATCGATGCACCCAACGAGCGTTTGTCTCGCTCGCTCATTAGTACTCGATCTAAATAAGAAAAAAGAGAACAACATCAATTTCGTTTCGTACTCACGGAGTCTTTTCAAAATCGTATGTTTAATGTATGCGATCAAATTTTCGCCATTTTGTTTTTATTTCTCAAAGAGGAAAGTACTCTGTTGGAAATATTCAATATTTTTTGTGATTGAGCAAACTTATTAAATAACAATATTTGTAACAAAAATAATAACACGAATATCGTCTATAACTTAAGGTATTTATTATAATTTTTATTAAATTTAATAATTAAAACGGCATCCAGATATTCATCGGCGTTGAGCTATTTTATCGAAATATTCACATAGGCATTTGCCTGTTTGTTTTATATTATACTAGCATTTACTCGCAGCTTCGTCCACATGATTTTTTTTTGATGGGTGAAAATGGTATGGTAACTCCGCCTGCGCTAACGGGATACGCTGGCGGAGCACCAGTGAAGGGTGATAGATGAGAATGAAAACAGGTCAGTTAGCCCATCATGATAAATTCATCACGAAGTAACCATGAGTTTCCAGGGGAAACCGCGAGGAGGTCGACCTGGTTGGGTATATTGCTAGCAATGGCATTCTCAGTCTCCATTACTAACAATCCCTTTCCTCTCTCCACATGATATAGATTATTGATATTATTATATTATTATATTATCTATTACTAATAGAGAATATACGACGTAATTTATGTAATGTGCACTATTATTAATTATTATTATTATTTTGATTATTATTTTGATAAAATATATTTTTGTGTACAATAAAGAATAAATATTTAATTAATAAGCAGTAAACATGATAATATGTATATATGTATCTTCACGCCAAACTCGCCAAAGTCGGGCAGCTCGAATTATTGATAGTCAACGCCTTACTGTCCGACTTGACCCACTGAAATTGCGCAGAGATGTTGCATATCTGTGCATCTTCTACCGAATTTATCATGGGGAGTGTTCTGAGGAATTGTTCGGATTGATACCTGCTGCTGATTTTCACCACCGTTTTACACCTGCCACAAACTAAAGTTTCATCCCAATCATCTGGACGGGTGGCGATCTTCCACCGTGCGTTTTTCAAGGCACTTTCTTCCACGCACAACCATTCTTTGGAATCAACTTCCAGCAGCAGTATTTCCGAACCGATACGATAACATAACCTTCAAGAAAAGAGTATATTCCTTCTTAAAAAGCCGGCAGCACACCTGCAATGCCGCTGGTGTTGTGGGTGATCATGGGCGGCGGTAGTCACTTACCATCAGGCGAGCCGCATGCTAGTTTGCACCCTGTGTTGTAAAAAAAAAAAAATAAACCGAGAGTAGTTATTAATAATTACAATTATTAACTACCGCAGTTTCCCTGGGAACAATCGTTAATTTTGATTAAATTAATCACAACGGTCCAACTCATCTGATTTTATTTTTACCTATCATCCCTTACTAGTGTCATGCCAGCGTAGCTATAACGACGTTTGTGCTGGAGGGGAAAGGCATTGTTAGTATTAGAGAGCTTAATATCCATTGCTGTCAATATACCCTATCAGATCGACCACCACGCGATTCCCTCTGGAAACCATCGTGACAAATTTATCGTTGAATTCGTCACGATGGGCTAACTGACCTGTCTTCATCCTCCATTGATGTTCCGCCAATGTATACCAATAGCGCAAACGGGGTACCATTCCATTATCATCCATTAAAAAAAACCTGTTCGTGCTTCATCGAACTGCAACTCGACCCGCTTAGCGCGAACTATAGGCGTTTGCGGCATCGTCACAGATAAGGAAGATGCCGCGAAAATATCATGTGTACTTACAAAACTCTTTTATTTATTTATTCACATGAAAACCAGGGTTACATTAGAGCATATAGATACAGTTTAGGATCACAAACTAAGCCACTAATAGGTTTTCACAAGTAGTAACAATATAGATTATAGATAAAAAGCACTGCGCACAAAACAACAAAAATAGGAATTAAAAAAAAAAACAAATAAACAAAATGAATGAAAAAAAAACTATGATAAATAAAATACAAAGTACAAATTAAATGTAAATATTTGATTAAAATATGACCATACAATAGGAATTCAAACAGACCATGAATCAAACAATTGCTTATTTAGTTGCTCTCTCGCTGATATTATGTTTTTCAAAAATAAATTGATATCAAGAGTTCTAGAAAGAGTATTAAAGTTGTTGCTAGCTCTTTTTAACAATAAAAGTGTTATTTTTTTATGTATTTCAATGAATTTTCTCCTCTTCCACTAGGACCAGCAACAGTATGGCGGAGTTGGAGAAATTCAAAAGGCGGTTAATCCGCACGGTGGCCAGGCTCCGACAGCAGAAGATACCAGAGAACGAGCTGTGGGGACAGTTGCAGAAGAATACTAAGTGTGATTGCCAGTGGATGTGGTCAGTAAGCGGTTCACATATTATATTTTTGAGTAGTTGTGTAGGGCGGTTTAGTGAGCTTGATTTACTTACAAGCACAAGTCGAAATCATTCACATGATTTGAAAGATGTTTTACACAGAGAGATTTGTACTAAAGTCATCTGAATGGGTAATATCTGTCCTACCCGTGTTTCTCCTGTTAAACAGCTGTGCTTGCGTGGTTAGGTTTCGGTTTCAGACACTATTTGGCCGTGTAGTCCCGGTAGGGGAGACTGGGGCTGGTTGTGACAGGGGTAAGTAGTTACAGTGGCAACAGCGGCGAAACAAAGAAAGCTATAGTGACAATAGAAAGAGATAAATAGCGCCACTATTACACCGCTCACACAGCACAAGAGCTAGCAGCGCCAGAGTTTTCGTGAAAAGAGCATGGGTGTGTCGGTAATAAAACAGCCGGTTTGTAAAATTTTCTATTTTTAGTAAAATTGGTCTACAATCTGTTTTCCAAACAATCAGAGAGGTGTCTGGTGTTATTTTTGCGCTTTGATGATTCTTTTTTGCGATAAAACTACGTTTGTAAAGTTGTATTCATTTGTGTTTTTATTGCTTAACCTCAAAAGGTCAATTTTGGCGTTGGGGCTAAAAGTGACATTTACTCGGGGCAGGTTGTGCAATGTCACTACGTACCCCGTGGTTTTTCTTTCTAACTGATATAATTTGTAAAATATAATTTATTGTTATTGACAGACTGTTTTGTTACTGACAGACCTATAGATGAGACGACTAACTCAGACATCGAAAATTGCCCTGTTCCAACACAGAACATAAAGCCTGAAACTCCAATTTCATCTTCTCACCATGTTCTCTTAAAAATACCGTAATAGAAGGCAATAGCTCTATTTATACTAATCCAATTGTTGGATATTTTAAGGATATTAAAAATATTTTCTCTCTTGCAAATATTTAGCGATATCCGAAAGCAGCTGCCAGAAAAACTTAGACAACAACTCGCAAATCCGCTATCTTAACTGATACACCAGAAAAAAAATTTTTAGCCCTGGAACAGGAAAAGATTAAATCCAAAAAGGGAAAGTTAATTAAAGGATTAAAATCAAAATCAAGTTAGGAAATATAGATAAACAAAATATCATAAAGATAAGAGAAGCAACTAAGCAAACAAGAAAGTTAATAGTAAGAAAGAAGGTTTTACATGAAACTGATGAAAAAAGCATAGAAAAGGAACATTTTGTCTAATATGTTGTGTCCCATTTGATATCGAGAAAGCTGGTAAAGAAAATTGGTCACATGTAAAATGTATTCAAGGAAATATTACACACTATTGTTTGAATTGCGAAAGTGACTATTCAAACTATGGTGGCTGAACTGCTTCTTTTCCTTGTAGGATTTATTGATTTTCTTTTTAATTCTGGCTTAATTTCTGTTTATTTTTATAATAATGTAACCTTTATTGATTCGTTTTTAAGTTGTTGTTTGATAAAGAAGTTTTTTTTTCTTATAGATGAGAAATAATCTACGTTTTGGTTTTTTAATTATTAAACTAAATAGTATAGATTTTAATTTTGTTTATTTCTAAGTTTTGTCTTAATAAAACAAAAGACTGCTTTGTAAACATATTAATATGTTGATTAAATAAAGAAACGCAACTGTCTGTGATGATTGTTCCTAATAAAAAGACTTATATTATGTTTATTTTCGTTTGTAACATTTTGCCCCATGTAGTGTAACAACCAGCCCCTGATACGGGGTTGAAAGTGACAAGCCTCCTTTTTTAGAATTCTTTCATTTATGTCCAACCTAATCATTTGGTACATATGAAATATTTTAAATTTAATTGCTGAATAGTTACTTAATCAAACAAATCTATACTTACGTAAAACAAACAAACGAATAAAAAATATGGCACTTTAAAATTAAAATGTCACATCCATCCCCGGTCTCCCCTATAGAATAGGCCACGCCTTTTCTTCCGTGGGTGTCGTAAAAGTCATCTGAAGACAGAGCACTAGTGAAGGGTAATAGATAGAGGATGAAGGTAGGTCAGATAGCCTATTGTGACAAATTCCACCTGTCGACCTGACAAGGTATATTACTAGCAATAGGGATTTCATTTCAGGAAGTTCATTACTAACAATCCCTTCCTCCCGAAATTACAGCCAATCCTGAGGACTAAGGTGGGATAACACCTTGGCCTCAGGATTAACAATATATGGGTATCACAGTATAGAGACGACTACTACTTTCCATTAGGTAAGTTGTCAGCTTGTTAACCATTTTAAGCATTAAGAAACTTGATAAATTTTTCCAACGAAGTATGGGCGCAAAAAGTTTTCGTGCCTTCCATGCTAACTTAACAGCTGGACGTGCCGTACGTGTCAAAATTTCTTGTTCTTTTTCGACTTATATCTTTGGAATGTTCTTATTTGCATATCAGTTCCTTAGAAGGATTCCTTATAATGATTTCCGTTTCACCTTGTATAATCTATGTGTTAATTTATGATATCCCTAAATTTTATTTGTTCCCTGGTACTTTGCGCTTTTACGATAAGGAAATAGTGATACACAGTATTTTTACGTCACTTTATTGATTTAAATTTGAATTGATTTGTTGCAGGAACCGTATGAGATCGTTAACAATAAAGCGATTAAAGCGCTTACTCTTAGCGGTGGATCGGCAGGAAAACATCACGGCGGTAGCTCGCATGAAGCTCACAGACTGGATGATGTTAGATTTCATACTTGTACACGAGAAAGTCGACCTTACCGGAGCGGTAATAGGGTCTATAATATTTATTAAATTTAGATGGCATCTATATCATAGAATATCTAGTACACGCATACATTAACTGTGCCCACATCATATTCAGCGTGAGCTGCAAAGAAGTTTTCCAAAAAGATGTAAAAAAAACTAACCTATCAATAGATATGTTTTCGTTAGCGCATGAGTGAGAAAATGTTGGTGAATGGTGCTATCTCGTTCCCTCTCATATCTATCAATAGATTCGTTTGCCACTTGTCTGGAAGGGTAAGGCGGGTAGAGAGACTTATCTAGCTGTGATAATAAATTAAAGAGAAATACTTAAGTGACTTCAAAATAGAGAAGGAGATTCCAAATTCGTCAGATTTTTAAATTAAGAAATCAAAATATTCTTTTGTCTCTTGTGCACGTCAATATATTTTTTTCAACCCTGCTGTTTAGTAGTTTGTATATATTTTTAATAGATAATAATTGAATGGTAGCCACTCGCCAGCGGTACACTGGGAGGGCACCAGTAAGGGTTGACAGATGAGAATGAAAAGGCAGGTCAGTTAGCCCATCATGATAAATACACCTGAAATTCAGCACGATGGTTTCCAGGGGGATATACGTGGAGGTCGACCTGACAGAGTATATTGCTATATTGTATACTGGTTGTCCGCATTACTAACAATCTCTTAACCCATGTTGTTTGTATATTACGCAATATCGTCACTAATATTGAGCCCACTTTAATAATTATTTTTACTATCGACATTATAGGATTTACTTCCATATTGGTCCTATCATTTTATCACATGTGCTTTTTTAGTCGTGTAATGAACGTTGCTTATAAAAACAAGTGTGGTTGCAGAATCTAAACCTTAAGTCTGAGCCATTGTCTCTATTGGAGCTGTTCTCCCTGGTGCAGCGGTTCGGCGTGGAGGGACGGTCTGGAGACGAGCTCGCCTCCGCCTGGACCGCTGCCACAGTTTACTACAATAGCCAGTAAGTGCTTATTGCAAGTAATAGATGTTTATAAAGAAGGACCTGTTTAAATGTAAATCAATTGCAATAAGTATAAGTATAATTTTATTACTTTCGATTAGAAATTTGTTAAAAAATCTTATTATTTTTTTAATAAATTTCTTATATATTTTATAGGATAAAAAAATAATATTATTTTATTACTGAGTAACGTATAGGCATAAAACATAACCATAAATATTTTTGTGCCTAGAAACTACTTATTCATTTTATTCTATTTTACGATAATATTCTTTTCTTTTTCAATTTTTTTTTAATATTATATGGCTAGTTCAAAATAGTATTATTATTTATCAAATGTTTAAGATTTCTGTACAATGTTAAACTATTCGCAGAGGGCGCCAGTGCTCGCCGATGTTGCTGCAGCGCCGGTGGTATCAAATGAAGGAGCATACGCGGAACAGATTTTACAATTTCTGGTTTACTTATCGCGGAAACGCAAAATATCTGAGCGAAGCCCGCGCGCAACACGATCCAACTAAATTACAAATGGCGATTGCGAAACGGTAAACATTAACAACGTCATTGTTATGATCATCATTGTGATCAGGTTGATTGTATAATATGATGATAGGTTTAGTCGTAATGCATCCAAACCGAAAGCGTAATCCACACGTGATCACATCAACTAATTTTCTAATTCATATTATTTTTCAGATACCCCCATATAATTACCATGCCGTTTCTTCCATGGGAGGAATTAATAGAAAAACGGCTTGCCATATTACCAGAAGAATTTGTAAGTGAACAATAGTATTTATTAGTGTATTTATATATACCCATTTATTTGTTTACCTGTTTGCTTGTTCGCAAGACTGCATGGTATCCTACTAGTGTTTCTGTTGCACAATAACTTTGCTCATATTGGTTTTAGATTTACAATTGGAATATAGAATTTTACATATAGTATATGCAGACATAACATTTTAGTCCTCAGTAATGGCAATGCATAAGGATTTCTATGAGCACCACTCCGTATTCTGTATGTCCATTGTGCTATTTATATCTATAAACAACGGCTACCACTTTTTATCAGCTGGGTTGGCAGCTAGTTGGCATTCTTAGTTGTATAAAAAAAACTTTCAAGGACAAAAATAGCACGCAAGGCAACAAATAAATACAACAATTGCACCATCTCTTTAACCCTATATCAGGTTTAGCTTAATCGTATTTTTTTTTCAGGAAGAAAAAATGAGAACACTACATAAAGCTTCAGATCTTCCCAAACCCTGTAATGGTACGTATTCATATGTATGCAGACTTTAGTGTGCATTATGTTGTATTATTTTATTGTATTCAGGTTTGTATACTTTTTTCAATTAATTCTATATACATATTTAATATTATTTTACAATAATAATAAAATAATGATACTTTTTATACAGTATTATTATATTATTTGTTATACAGTATAGTATGACTTCCGCAGTTTATTTGTATTGTTATATATATTTCAGAAAATACACCAGGTTTCGTAATAGTCGAACCAGAAATGGAAGTGATAGATCTTGAGGTAAATTCCGAATCAGAAACTGAATATGATGAACAGGATATGGTCACAGAAGCGCAAAAAATGTTGAGCACGACTGATATAGATGGCAAGTCACATAACTCTAACTCAACTGTTGCAGCAACTGAATTTAATTTTGCTAAGACTTCAACATCTCAATTAACGAGCGTTAAATTAGAAGTACAAGAAATAACTACAGAGGAAGCAGATGATTCCAATTGCGAAGATTTGGCGACAACTATTATACCTATTCATGATAATGCAATCGGTGACATTAGCACTTGCATTGAAGATCCTCAAGGTGTTCATGAAATAATCAGTGAAGAACAACAAACCACAGTGGAATCTTGTACAGATAATTATCTAACTGGTGACGTAAAAATTAGTAATCAATTATTTAGTGAAAAAGAACAGTCTACAATGAAATGTTTCACAAATAATTGCTCAGTTAGTGATCTAGAAAGAGTTTCTGAAATAATCAATAAAGAAAAACAAGTCACAGCTAAATATCTTACAAATCCGACTGGTGTCAATGTGTTAGAAATTAAAAGTGAACCACTTAGTAACGAAATTCGTACAAATCCACTAGAACCGATAATTATGCCTTTAATCACAAATGTTTTTGGAAATGTTTATGTTGAAAATGAAGTATTACCTAAAATAGCTGATATTTTATTAGAAAATTGTAAAGATGCATCTGTTGTGACGGAAGATACTGTAAAAGTATCCGATATTAAAGCAATAAAAGAACCAACATTAATTGAGGTAGAGAAAATAGTAAAGAATGAAATAGAGGAAATGGATATAGAAGAAAATATTATAAGTAATAGTGACGTTGAAGAGATCCTGAATACTCCTATTGTGAAAGATAGAATAAATATCAAAAAAGAAGTAGATAATTGTGAAGATACGCTGATAAATACAAAATTAAAGGATAACGTTGCAGAATTGGCCGATAATGGTGTCCCGTTATTTGATGATAATGAAAATATAGATACTCATATCAGTAAGTATATTATTATTTTACATATTTATTATCTTTTGTGATTAATATATTGATTATTAAAAGAAAGATATTTTTATTATATCCACAAGAGTTTGTATTGCATTGCATCAGTTTATACGAAATCAATCTACTGAAGTGATCATTGTGTTAAGAACAATTTTTTTAATTCGATATGCCCTTACTAAAGACTGATAGTTTATAGAAATAATGTACCTTGTATCATAAAATATGTCATTGAAGAAATAGAAGATTTTGATTTAATAGTTGGGACAGAATCGTAATATGTTCTATGTTTGTTCATCCTAATCTTTAAAACCGCTCAATCGTTTTTAGTCAAATTTTGTAAATATGAGTCGTTTGCTACAATTTTAGCGACTTTATTTCGATCGATAAAAATGAACTCGGAATTGTGATAGCAGACAAAACAACGTTTGCTAGGTCAGCTAGTATGCCATAAGCTTATATACTTAGTTATATATATTATATATTGATTTTGTCAGTTAATTCTTTCAACTGTAATTTATATTTTACCAGTATCCGGTAATTAGCACAAATGTAACATTTATTTTTATTTTTCAGTACCACTATCTCTTAATAACGAAGAGAAAGAAACTGCAAAATTTGACCTAAAACTTCTAATGAAACCTGTGGTATATACAACAAAATTAGATGATATGCATTATTTTAGTTATAATGAATTTGTACATGTCAAATATATAACAAATATAAATGACATTATTATAAAAAGTAAACCTATTAGTAAAAGGTCGATCGATAATTCCCTAAAACAAAATCCCATTGATTCCAAGTTTGACCTAGAAGATGAGTATATGAATGATGATTTATTCGATAATAATTCTTTAGGTAATGAAAGCTCTTTATCAAGTGAAAGTGAAAATAATGAAGTACCAGAACAAATTAAAGTTAGCATGTCAAGTGCTTTATTGCAGAAACCACGCATTCGTACCTATAATTTCATAAACCTCTGCAAAAATCCTGATTTTAATACTAGATTAAAAAGGTTAACTCTAGGATTTTTAAGCTCTACACGTAACAGGCAGTTAATAAAGACTTGTAAACCAATGACTATAGATGTAAACAAAGATTTCGAATCTAAACTTATAAATAATACTTTGTTTTTAAAATCATGTTCAGTGCCAAACAATGATAAACCAGTAAGTGATATTTCAATGGAAACTAGTAATTTAGATGAGCAAACTACAACTATTGTCCCTTCTGCTATGTCTGTTCAGAGTCTTATAAATAACACGAAAATTAATATGCAAGATTTGTTACCAATATCACATCCAAATGTGAATAGCGGAGCAAATAAATTGCATAGACAAGAAATTTGTAAAAATCAACAAGATTTATGTAAAAGAAAGAAAATTATTAAATTGTCCGATATCGATACGGCAATAGTAACGCCGATTCATATTAGAGAAGATAATGAAGAAAATGAAATGGTTCCAATTCAAATTGGCTCCCAAAGTGTCCAAATAAGTTCAACAGAAAGTCAGCGAAATCATGTTCCTACTATTACACAATCTATTATCGATGGTTTCAATACAGCTGAAGATTCTGACCATCGAAATAGCAATATTGATGCAGGAACTATTTGCATTGACTTTCCACCAAAAGAACGAAGACCTACTAATTCAAATTTGATCAAAGAAAATAGCAGTATAAAAGAAAACACATTAAATGCGACAAAGAAAGGAAAACCTATCGAAAAACCTATTTGGACACCAAGATTTGCAGCTTCAATTAACTGGTACAAAAAACAAAATACAAAACAGCAAGAGTCGCAAACTCTTCTAACTGTGGATACACTTAATAAAATGTTTAATGTAATTTGCCCTGATAGAGATACAACTACTAAAAAGTATAAAAAAAATAGTAAAAAAATTTCTAAAGCTTTTAAAAATCAACAAACGGAATTGCAACAGAAGTTAGATGAATTTGAAAAAATTTCAAACAGTAAAAGATTAAATGCAATTAATAAAGATGAGAATAATCTTTCAAATGCTATCAAAAAAGATGGTACTATCGATAGTCACATGTCGGCTACAAAATTACCAACATTTGGAATACAGTTAAAACCGAAACAGTCTTTAATGGTTATCGACTGTAATAAAAATTGCTGTTGGGCTCGTCAGAAAATAAACGAAGTTCACTTAAAATCTATTCAAAAACATAACCATCCATTAAATCAATGTACCTGTTGTTGCAATAAGGATTTGGACGACTTTTTAATTAAAAAAAGAAAATCTACTACTTCTGAATCTGCAGTTCTCTATGACGATGATGATTCAAGCCCGAAAAAAATAAGTAAAAGCGTTGCTCAAAAGTTAACCCCTGATCTATGTACATCTTCATCTATTGAAGTGAAATATAAAGACTCCTCGAAGTTACTTCCAGTGTCTGATATTATAGATGTCGACAATTATAATATAGAGAGCTCTGTAAAACATAATTCGATTCAACCATTACCTAATCATGTTCCACTTCATGTGTCAAAACTTCCGTTTACTCTTATAAGGAGGTCTAAAAATAAATTAGTACCTGGACATGAATGTATTTTTAATAAAGGGCCAAATAAAATACCAACACTACCGCTTTATAATTTAAAAAAACAAATGGTTATTAATGGACAAGGACTACAAGACCCACAATTTCCGAGTTCAGTGACTTTTAATAATAAAGTTGTGTTTATCAACAGTAAACATGAAAAAGGAAAAAGGAAACGGAAACAACGAGTGGTTCTTACTGATTCATTTGATGTTAGCGATAAGCTACCAGAGCAGGTAGACGATAGCCATTATAATTCATCTGATGATGAACCACTCGCAAATAAATCGAAACAAGTGAGAAGAGAGGATACGAAAAACAATAGTGCGAATGTTGAAAGTGAAGCATTTGGCATTTATAATGAAAATCGTAGTATAAATACAACGCAAACTTACAACTTAGTGAACGAGTTACCCAATGAAAGAATAGTGAACAGTCTGGAATCAGAATCGCACCCATCCATTTCTTTAATATCTGAAGTCGATACGTTGCATGATGACTGTATTCTAGGCGTTTGAAATATAATTTATATAGTGTAAAGAGCAGGATCCACAATTTAAAGCATCGACAATATTACTAATGATTTTTTTGTTTCTATAAACTTTGGTAACATTGTTGAGGTGAACATCATGTTTATAGGTATATACATCATAAATATACAAGTAGTAGGTATAACGTACTCTCTACATTGTCTTTCTTAACGATTGTATCAGATATATGTTTACTTTTGGCGTTTATTTATAATTGTATTATTGTATATTATTTTGTGATCTTGTTATAAATGATGAGACCCCAATACAGTATCAATATAACTTTATTTTGTCCCCGGCTTCGCACGGGTGGACATTTTTACAACATACAAAAAAAGTGGTTATTGTAACATAACGATAATAGTTGGACATATAGTATCATTTACACCTTGAGTTACGTGACTAAAGTTTTAGTAGGGATCCATAATCTTTTCTAGCAATAAATATAGTCTATGTTATTCAGGGTGAATGTAGCTTTCTAATGGTAAAAGAATTTTTGAAATAGGCAAAGTAGTTTTTGAGTTTATTCATTACAAACATACACACAAAAATACAAATCTTTCCTATTTATAATATTAGTGTAGATGAATACTGGTAAAGAGGATGGTATAAATATTTATATTCTGTTTACACTCTTCATTATTCTGACTTACAAAATTTATTTATTGTTCTATGGATATAAATATCATCGTTGATTTTACATTTGTACCAAGATCTAGCTAGAACTAATTATTTTATGTACAAGTAAACACATTCGCGTGCGTGTACCTCAACTGCCTATTACTATGTACTTAATTATCTTATTAGTAATGGTTTCTCTTTATCGAGATATAATTTAAGTTATAGTCAAGTTAATAACTGTATATAATTATGATAGTATAAGATCTTTGTGATTTAATATGTAAGTAGGTGGTAGGTAGATATTAAATAAACAAGGAGAATATGAAGATATTTCGGAATTGATTGTTTACATCTATGCCAAATAATTTGTTTAATAACACGATTTGTTTTATTCAAGAAAATGTTCTATGTGCTCTAATATGGATACTTTAAAAATTTTGTAATTGAAAATTCCTAAACATTAGGTAAACAAATTAATTGTACGAATAACGTAAGAGAGTTTGTTTTAAAAACTTGATACGGACAAGACTTATTTAGTTGATATTAATGTGATTTATGATTTGTGATTTATTTATGTTAAAAGTAGTATAAACTGTGTTGAATATGCATAATTTACCAAACAATTTTAATGTTTAACATTTAAATTGAGCGGTGATCATTTTGATTACCTATTACCTTAATTATTTCATATAATTTTTTTGTTTATCCATTGTAAGCAACGCTCAACCTAAGTGCCCGATATTATAGTTAAATAATATTGCATATTTTTGACGACTTAAAATTTTATTCATTATGCGATCACTTACCTAAAATTCTGTCGGCTATTTTGAAAGATGTTTAAATAAAAACAAAGTGCGCCATTTTTTTTAGTGTTGCAAGTAATTATATTAAAAATTTCCCAGATCAAGTCGGTGTTTTTTTTTAATTTAAACAGAACTATTTTTCCTTCATATGTAAATATACATATTATATATGTTGTTTACAAGTTAATGTATGTATTAATTAGAATGGCATACATGTTTTGAATTTTATCTCAAATAGGTTATCAGTCTAATAACATGCAGACTCCGACCAGATTAAAAACTAATGTGAGAATAAATAAATTTTTGTTTTTTTTTTACATTGTTTCTCTTAGTGTATTATTCTTTTATTAAAATGTAACCTGACTAGGTACGAAAAAAATATAATTGAATACAGCAATAACAAATGTATTCACACTTAAAAATAGAACGAATAATTTATGCCTTCAAAATATATAAAAATCCCATGTCTATCCTATCCTTGATTAGGTATGATAAAAATCTATAATATATTTATGATAAAACAAAAATTTTCCCCTTAGTATAATTATAATGGTTTTGCCGTAGTCAGGAAAAATACATCGCAAACTAAAGTCAGATTTATAGCGGTTTAGAAATACCTATTAATTTGACCAAGGATCAAACTAGAGAAATCATACGATGCTTCTAAATTAATATAAAATGAGACAACGGGAACGTAATTAACTTATTTTTGTTGTTAAACATAAGTTTTAAATCCTTAGTTAATATTATAAATGCGAAAGTGAGTTATTGTTACATTTTCATATCTAAACCGCTAAATCGATTATGATGAAGTTTGGTATACAGATAGATTGGACCCTGGAAACAGTTAAAAGCTTTTTTCCCAGATTAGTAAACATATCCTGGTCACGCGGACAAAGTCGCGAATAAAACTTAGTATAATATAAATTATTATGTAATTACATTATACACCCGACGTTGAGGTCAATGCGCCGCGCGAGGTCTGTCGTCCTCTACAAATAATTTATAGACTTAAATGTTTTAGTTCTTTTGATTCTACCTTTATTTCATAGATTACAGGCAATCAATTACGCAATTCTGAATTCATGCTTCTTTAATATCTGCTTATGTTTTTTTTTTAATGTATGATAATTACCCGCGCTAGCGGTATACACTGCCTAGGTACCAGTGAGGGTTGACAGGTGAGAATGAAAAAGTAGGTCAGCCCATCGTGATGTATGCAGCTGGGTTTCAGCACGATAGTTTCCAGGGGGGACCACGTGAACGTCGACCTGATAGGGTATATTGCTAGCAATGGGACTGGTAGTCCACATTACTAACAATCCCTCTCCCCCTAACTGCTCATGTTAATAATGGGAAGACTTTCTAAAGGATAAAACTAGAAAGATATCCGCATTAGGGTTTGGAATCCCAGTCTTCTCTTTCCAGTTGGAAATTACGGTAAATTTATTATTACAGCGGGGCCTTGCTTACAGCAAATCAATCTTTTCGCAAAAGATTTAATCCATAAAGAATTACAGAGTCTTCGATATTTCAAATTAACTTTACCGTTATTCTAATTTAAAAATATTTTTTAGCTATTTTATAATTTCAATTTTTTACTTCTGGAAATATTTTTCTATTATTGTTAATGAATTATTCTTAAACTAATAAATAAATAAACACAAAAAATATATAAAAACAATGGGAAAGATTGTTAGGAAAATCTCGTATACCAAGTGTTTCTGAACGACATCAAGTTGACCATCAGATAATTTGCCTCGTTAATAATATAAAAATGTGCCCATACAAGCCCAGTTTCACAGAACAGGTAAAGTTTTCCGTCGACTTTTGCCGTTGTTATAGATATAGATAATTATTATGTGTTTCCTCACACTTCACCAATCATATTTTGATTCAACTGTACGATAATAGAGTAGTTTAAAAATCACAAAAAAAAAAAACAAATTACTTGGAGAGGCAAGTATTGTTAACTACCTTCTCTTCCACTTGTAAAACCATAAGAAGCAAAAAGAAGGCGACTAAAGAAATGTTATTTTTTCTAAAAGCATTTTATAGAATCCTAAAGATGATCTGTAGATTAATTAAGCTAACAATTTTCTCAATTTAGTCATCTAATAGGCACTTTTAGTATTAAAATAATTTTAGTTTGATCGTCAGATGTTTGCAACAAAATTAATATTAATAAAAAACACATTTTGTCTCTAAATTACGAAAATGACAAAACAATTTTAAAATGTGTTGCACTAGATATCCAAGTATTACGAAAAATGTAACAAATGTAACCATCTGGCAATATTGAGCCGTACGCGCCACATTCTGTATGACGTCACCTGGCTGACCTAGCTAGAGGCACTGCGTGTTATCAATACCTACTCGCCACGCAGCGAATTCGCAGCTGTTGTACGGCGACCCTACCATTAGATATTCTCGATACTTCTGACTCGATAGATTTTCACTTTATGCGTTTTAATGTTTACATCCGTCTATTATAAAATATCTTCAACATAACCTACCCTAATCGTAAACCTATTTATATACTTGGTTAATAATAGGTGCGTTATAATGAGGCCTATGATCAACAGTGCATAGAAACGTCTGAAATAATGATGATATATACATTAAAGGATCTTATTCAATATGTCTTTGTATCTAAAATTATTAATAAATTTAAAAGTATAAAAGTTATTAGCTTCGAGTTAGTATGCAGTTTTCATTATACGTATATTATAAACAAGGATATTTTTTTATTGATACGACAGACGCTTTGGATATTAGACTAATCGATATAGGACCTAAATATAGTTTATTGTAAGTACATAGAAAACTCCTACATCAATACAAAGCGTCAGTCATGAATAGGTCCAAATGTTTTTATTGTAGGTAGTATGTTAAAGAAGTTACCAAGATCGTCAAATAAAAACAATATATATGTATGTTTACATATTGCTGTTATGTAGATACATAAATAATATATCAACATAATTATATAATTTGTAAATATTAATAGTTTTTGTATATGCTAAGTAATTTTCGTGCGAACGGAAAATGAAATCCATAGTAGGGTCCTACAAGAATTCTATTTCAGGGATCTACGATTCATCAACTTAGAATATTGTTGCATCGTATCCCTAACTTTGATAAAAATCTAAGTAAAAGCAACTACATTACTGTTTAAATAACTTAAACCATTTAAGTAATTTGGTAGTTTGTCTAATTTAGTAAGTGGTTACATGACACAAACTATCTACCTATTGAACTGACTGAGTAGGTATATTATATATTGAATATTAACATACGTAATTTCTCAGAGTGCAACTACTATTAAATTACTATGTATAGATAAATATATCTATAAAACTACTCACTTTAGTGTTATATTTGACAAAAATATGTATATACAGATTAATCCACATCAAACTAATAAGCGCATTTGACCACTCTCTTCAACATTACAAGCACAAATGAAATAATAATAGACGGACAAAGATAAGCTGTCTGCACGAATCGACAAAACCCGAACGAAACCGAAAGGGACCGAACCGATTTCAACAGACGACTCGCTCGCCCACTTGGTTTCGCCCTTGAGAGAACAACATTACTCCTTCTCTGTTGCACTCACGGAACCGCGGTAATGTCGCTTCCAAGTGCCACGATCAGAAAATTTCGCCATTTTGTATTCAATTGTCGAAGAGTCTACTGGCTCGTTGAAAGTATGTTTTTGTGACCGTGAATACATAGTGAATCAATTTCATTAGAAAGATGTCAGTACAACGTTTATAAATGTGACAAGAATATAGTGTCTAAGGTAATTAATATAATTATACTACATCGGAATAATATTTTAAGAGCAATATTTACCTAATTATCTTTTACCTCTTGATGTATTGTTACTTTATATTATACCAGTTAGCTACTTTCATACATTGTCTATCCAAAGTGAAGTTATATTTATAACTAGTCGTTGGAAAAGGAAACGTCGATTTTATTTTATTTAAACACATACCTACTTGTGACATGACGATAACAAGAGCGTGCACTCGGTTAGAATGCTCAATCACTTCTGCCGTCTGTTTGCTTGCCGCGGCGGGCCTTTTTTCGTTATTCCTCCTTTGGCGACTGTAACAATATTTTACGAAGTCTTAAGATTATAAAACGACGGTGTTGCTGTCTAAAAATACTACAAAGAATAAGAATTACAATTGACAAAAAAGAATTTACTTGTTAATTTTATTATTAAGTACATAGGTACTTGTAATTTTATAAGATAGAATAGAAGAAAAGAATAGGTAAAATCTTTTACTGAACTAGGTGTAATGTTATTAAAAATCTTGTTAATATAAATTATAAAAATGAAAGTCCCGACTTAAAGACGCTATACTACTTAAATACATTTTTGATAACAATAATACCGTATAATAATTTGCTATTATTGATTGATCCATGCAGTGATACCAGTTAAAAGCAATTAATTACATGTTTCAGGGTAAAAAATATTTTGTAGGGTAATTTTTATATTTTTTATTTACATTGAAATTTTGTTCTTTCGTCTTTATCAATATATGTATCACGCTTTGATGCTTGTATTTAGTATAGATACCTACGTAAACTGCGGGTCTAGGTATGTATTTTTCAATTTATTTATTTATCATTCATATACTCCAAATAGAGAATATTAAGATATTGTTTATTGATATATTTACATTCTAGACTACTTTAGGATTTTATTTTTATTAATTTTACAAATTATCAATTACAACTATTATCAATTGATAATTATACCTATACTCGTACAAGTACGTATCATCACTCACTGGTGCCTCGCCAGCGTGACCCGTTAGCGCAGGCAGGGTTACCATTTCATTATTATCCATTAAAAAAGGAATACTTTTATTGTTAGAATTGACGTTTTGTGGAATAGATATTCTTTTTAATTATAAAATAATATTAAAGTAATAATATATTTTTGTGGACGTCATTTTTCCGAAACTACCCACCATTGACACTTTTTTAAAACAAATATAATTCTGTTATTGCACGTGTGAATAACAACTCGTAACCAATGTGTGGTTTTATTTCGGTATTGAAATAAATAGCTGGGTTACAGTTAAATGTTTACTGATCAGTTACGGATTGAAACTAGCTTTGAGATCCCCTCCGGTAACACATTACGAAAAAAAGTATTTTTATACCCACAAATACTACAATTTTACCATAGAAATATATCAGTGTAAACGATTGCATTGCGAAACTACCTACTATAATAAATGTGCTATAAAAAATGAAGTATTTCGTTTTAGTAGTAAATATTTTTAATTAAGTGACTTTAAAAATAATAAAACAAAAATGAAATGTATTTTCTGTTTAAATTCTATTTACTTCTTTTTTACTTTTATTATGAGTGTATCAATTTATTTTAGTATGTAATATTAATGTTGATCAAATAGGTGACGTACTGAAAAAGAGCTAAATTAAAAGTACCTGTAACTGGCGAGCGTGTACGAAACAATTTTATGAATGTGGAGGCAGCGAAAGAGGTCTGTTTGAATCGAAGTATTTGGCTTTTCACTGTTTCTGCCTAGCCAGTGAGAGACGGGCGTGATAGATATGTGTTTTGATGTGAAATTTGTTTTTCTATTTAAATATTCGACAAAAATAAGCTAAACGAGACCAAATTTAGCTTATTTTTGTGTCAGTTTAATGTCAATTTAATGGCAACACTATTGTTATTGTTGATAGGTAGGTAGTAGTAGTATATGAGTCTAATGTCCAATCCATAAACAGCAACTTTTGAATAATAGAGACTCGCTGGCGATTGTGCAGACATGACTTAGTGATACGGAATCTGAATGATTTTGATATTCGAATAATTAGTAATATCTAATTTTTCAATTTTAACTTCTAAATTAGTAATATACTAATTTCCATATTCGAATAATTTTACTAATTACAACAAAGTCCTTACCTTATATCTGTTACTACCAAGTTCATTCCAGTCTGCATCCACTATTACTAGATCACTATGTCAGTGAAAATGACGACGAAAAATACATGAATTTTATAATATACTTTATAATAATTTCCTAATCATTTACTTTCCTGTTTACTTTAATATACTACTATCGCAATTTGCTATAAATACATTTTTACTTAAACTTTACTTGCTTTCTTTTATCGAAAACTGGCAATTTATTAAATTTAAATTGGCAACACTTTTATCTATTAACAAAAAAAAAACATTTCAACTATCGGGTCGACTCGGTATATTCGTATCGACTCGTACATTAACGATTACTAATGAATGAAATTTGTACTTAGTAATCGTCGGACTATATTAGTAGTTGGACGACTTTACTAGTCTGACATTAGTAGTCGAATAAATACAATTAGTAGTTAAAATCATTTGAATAATGTCAATGATTTGCTCAATCGAATAATAGTAGTCGAATTAGTAAAGTCGCGCATCGCTAAATAATGACTATTGATAGCGATCTAGAGTAACTGACGATGGCAAATTTAAACTGCTTTTAATCTGAAAAGTATTGTAAAATCTTTATTGTATATAATTCACATTGAATACATTAAATGATTAAATATAAAGTTGTTATAGTCATTAGACAAAATCGTTTTGAATTAGGTTATTTTCGTGTATATGTTGATATCTAAAAAATCGGAAAATAACATAGCCACACAGTCGCTATCTATTTGATCGTTTTTTAGGTTCACCATTTCGAATTTAATAGTTGACAGACAATTCGGAAATTAGCTCATTTTGACTACTCTTGAACATAATATAATGATTGGAGGTACACACAATACAAACAGTATTGATGGTTTCCAATGGAACGACGTTGAAGTCGAACTGACAGTATATTGCCAGCAAAGGGACTGCTCTTCTCTGTTAGTGATTCAAGCAATATTGTTATTTTTTTTACAACACAGGGGGCAAACGAGCATGCGGGTCACCTGGTGGTAAGTGACTACCGCCGCCCATGATCACCCACAACACTAACGGCATTATACAATCAAAAACACCAATGTCGAATGATGCATAGCAGTTGGGATTTTTTAAATCTTGTCTCATCCATTGGCGTACCTGAACCTTACCGTAACCTTAAATAGGTTACTTTTAGAATGGGTACCAGACAATTCTGGACTGCACACGATACGCTCGACCTCCTCTATGATCACGCCTAAGCGTTACTCAATCCTTTACCCAAGTAACCTGGTACTAAACGATTTTTTCGTATTAAAAGTGCTAATAGGTTTTATATTGTCGAATAGGACTGTCAATATCATGTCAAAGTTGGAGAAATTCAAACGGCGGTTAATCCGCACAGTGGCCAGACTTCGGCAGCAGAAGATACCCGAAGATAAGTTGTGGATGCAACTGCAGAAGAACACCAAGTGCGATTGTCGATGGATGTGGTTAGTACGCGGATTATGCATTTTCGATTTAATTATTGTACGAAAAATATTAAATGATTGAAGTTTGTCTGAGTCCTCAAATTTGAGTTAGAATTCGATTTAATTTTCAACGAACACCAAAATACTGTATATTAAATCAGTCTGACTCGGCACATAACTAGTTCGAAAGTTATCTAAAGGAATTATGATTACTTTTTGGATAACTGATAACTATATACCTACATAAATGTCAAATAGATGTTTTAAGAAAATGTTGTGTGCATCTATATTTGTAATTGGTGTAAATGTTGTGTTGTGGTCAATATAAAAGTCCTTTATATCAATCAATATTAATTTTTTGTTTACGTTATTGTGTACCTTTCAAAATAATGAAATTATTTTTAATATAATATATATTTTTGTAGATTAATTGAAAGCTGGGTTTATTAGCGTAAATAATGTCTAGGCCGCTTTCTTTCTTTTTATATTAGAGTGATTGATTTTTATCAAATGGACCAAAAGCTTGTTTGTCATATCAGTTGTAGATTTTTTTCAAATTTTTATTGATTTGTTACAGGAATCACATGCGAACGTTGACAATAAAGCGATTGAAGCGCTTGCTCTTAGCGGTAGATCGGCATGAAAATATCACGGCGGTAGCTCGCATGACGCTCACAGACTGGATGATGTGTGATTTTATACTTGTGCACGAGAAAATCGACCTTATCGGAGCGGTAATAGGGTCTATTTTGATATTTATCCGTATAATGAGTTTAAATAGTACCTGTAAATATTTTAACTATGAATGTTGACTTTCAAATAATGAAGTATAATTCTATTGTTAAAAATAAATAATTATTTAAATCAAATTTAAAAATCCAGGTAGTCTGGGGAATTTTTAATACAAACTTGCAACACTAAAAAAGTCTCGTTTCAAAAATTGTCCGCCAAAAGTAATTTTTTGTTTGATTTTTTAACCCGATCCGTCTATATAGTGGAGTGATGATGGAATGTCTCTATATAAATACTTTGCCAAAAACAGGTAAACTTTTATTCATTTATACGTGAATGGTGATTCAGGTATATAGTTATTTCTCAGCTTCATGAAAGTGAAAAAAAAATATAATATTCCTAAGAATATATTATGATAAAACAGCATGATGAATCTTATTTTCACTTATCACTTTCATTTATATTTGACTTAAAATATATTTTTATATTATTATATATCATATAAATATGTTGCAAGATTCGTATCAGAAAAATAATTTAAAATTATTTATTTTAAATATTTTTTCTGATTTGGGGAATTTTTAATCTAATAACTTGCAACACAAAATATGGTGCGCTTTATTATCGTTAAAAAAAGGTTCAAAATTCAATCAGCCAATAATCAAAGTGACTACTCTGATATGCTACATCTGATATACAGCTGTGTTTGCATGGCTGTTTCGGTTTGAAGGGTGGGATATGGCGTGAATTTACAGGATACAGAGGAATAACACCTGAGTCCTCAGGAATGGCAACGCATGGGGGCTATCATGGGCGAAACAGTATACTCTGTTATGTCCATGGTACTCTCTTGTCTATAAACAACGGTTACCGGTTTTTATTTTATTTTACTATTATTTTAATTAGTTATTTTAATATTACATCTTCCTTTCTTTGACATTATAGTTCCTTTTTATCTATACATACACGTTAGTTCCAGTAATCCATCCAACTAAGGGAACTTAATGCTCAAGGGATATGCAGCAGCGTCCCTCTTAAAACATCACCAAAAGCCATACTGCAATTGCCAAGCGTGGTAACCACTGGGAAAATCCCTCCAATGGTAAACTTCTATAAGGAATGGTCTCGTTTCTATGGTAGTCTGTGGAGGTGGCCTATGTTCAGCAGTGGACAGACGATGGCTAATAAGATGGTGATGATGAGAAAGAACAAGTGTTGTGTGGCCGGACATTGTTATCTCGTTCTATCTTCTGGATGTGGTAGTGATAATGTATTTATTAGGTTAGTTTACCATATATCCGTAATGTAAGTAATGCAATAATATAGAGTGATGTCTTTTTCAACCGACTTCAAAAAAGAAGGTTCTTAATTCGATTGTATTTTTTGTGTGTTTTACCTCATAACTCGGGCGATTGTAAACCGAAAGGGATATACTTACAGATTGGTTCCATACAGATTTTAACAAAATCTATTGAAATAGGCTTATTTTGTATAACAAATTTTTTTTATCGAATAAAACATAAAAAGGTATCATTGCAGAGCCTAAACCTGAGGTCGGAGCCGTTGTCTCTATTAGAGCTGTTCTCACTGGTGCAGCGGTTCGGCGTGGAGGGACGGTCTGGAGACGAGCTGGCCTCCGCCTGGACTGCTGCCACTATCCAGTATAATTACCAGTAAGTATTCACAAGTGGCCAATATAGCTATTTACTTACTATTCTACCATATCGACTACATAATATAAAACTACTTTGATCTGTTACTTCTTAAAACACATATTTACTAGATTCTAAGGTAAATCTTGATGAATACAACAGTAAAATTCGCATCTAATTTAGTGCAGTACCTTTTACGTTATGTTGGAACAAACATACAGATAGACAGACAAATTTTCTAAAATTTATTGTTTTGTCATCTATGGTTTTATTAAGACCCCTTATATCAACTTTCCTTAAATAACTCCCATGTGCATCTGCCAAGCGTGGCAACTATTGGCAAAACCCCCAAAAACGAAAAAAGGGGAAGGCTTATGTTCAGCAGTGGACAGTTGAAGACTGATGTGATGATGATGATGATTATCTCTCAGGTACTAACAACGTCTAATTACAAGGGGGAAAGGGATTGTTAGTAATGAGGTCTAATAGTCCCATTGCTAGCAATATACCCTCTCAGGTCGATCTCCACGAGGTTCTTCCTGGAAACTATCATGGTTAATTCTTATCGAATTCATCATGACGGGCCAACTGACCTGCATTCATTCTCACTTATCATTTTCCACTGGTGCCTCGTCGGTGTATACCGATAGCGCGGGTGGGGTTACCATTCCATTTTTACTTATTAAAAAAAAGTCTTGTTACAATTTTATTAATAACTTGGTAGTAGTACTTTATTTCACTGTCTTTATAAGAATGAAATGTTGCACTTACCTTTTTTTATTTATACAACTTAGAATGGCAAACAAGCTGACGGCCCACCTGATGGAAAGTGGTAACCGTCGCCTATAGACATGAGCAGTACCATGGATATAACAGAGTATACTGTTTCGCCCATGATACCCCCCATGCGTTGCCATTCCTGAGGACTCAGGTGTTTTTCCTCTGTACCCAGTAAATTCACGCCTTCAAACCGAAACACAGCCATGCGAACACAACTGCTTCACGGTAGAAACACGAATGGGACAGAGGTACCCAAGCAATCGACTTTTGTACAAAGTCTCCCTCTGTATACTGTGGTGTTATGTGGACCACAAAATTTTAACAATGTTAATTTGTACCAAATATAAATTATTTTCTCAAACATGCTTTGAAATGTGAGCATTATTTTGACAATCTTCTTCGAGATAAATCAAAATTGCCGTACTGGCCAGATACAAGCGGGCAGCGGCCGGCAAAAGTTTTAAGAAAATCCATATCTGTCGTGTTTTGCGGCCAGATAAATTAAATTTTTACACTTATAAATAAATAATATTCCCTACTTTTAATTAAATAACTTTTAAATAAATAATTAAATAACTTAATCTACTTTTTTTGTATGTTAGTCAGTCTGCAACGATTCAGATACTGGCAGTCTAGATGGTCCGCAAATAGCCTTAGGATATCGTTAGAGCTTTTTTTTTTTTATACTACTTAGAATGGCAAACAAACTGACGGCCTACCTGATGGAAAGTGGTAACCGTCGCCTATAGACATGAGCAGTACCATGGACATAATAGAGTATACTGTTTCGCCCATGATACCCCCCATGCGTTGCATTCCTGAGGACTCAGGTGTTATTCCTCTGTACCCAGTAAATTCACGCTGTCCCGGACCCTATGCATCGTTTAACGGTCGCACGTCCAAAATCATACTTACTCATTGTCCTTATGAATTTAAACCAAGTAAACCCAAATTTTTCGTTTTGTGTCCAATTCACAGAGGGCGCCAGTGTTCACCGATGCTACTGCAGCGCCGGTGGTATCAGATGAAGGATCTCACACGCAACAGATTCTACAACTTCTGGTTTGCTTACCGCGGAAACGCAAAATATCTGGACGATGCGCGTGCGCAGCACGGCCCAACTAAATTACAAATGGCGATCGCGAAAAGGTGAACTTTATAACTTTACAAGAGCGTTCATGCTAAAGTCTGAAAAAAGAATCCAAAATTCCAAGTATTTTGTTCACGCTAATCTTTAAAATCGCTCAACCGATAATGAAATTTTGTTTGCTTCAACTTGAGAGTTAAGTTTTTATTTCGATAAAAATGAAGATGGCGATAGGGAGCTAAACGTTTGTTAGGTCAGCTTAATTTTAATAAGAATAAGAATTGTCTACTTTGTTGTTATTTTGTTTATAAATACAGATTCCATATTTTCAACCGACTTCAAAAAGAAGGAGGTACTCAATCCTTAATTTCCCAAGTTTTAAATACATATATATTTTTTATACTAGCGGCCCGTCCCGGCGTCGCTCGGGTGGACATTTGTACATTTTAAAAAGTGGCCATTAAGGTTATACACGCGACGGAAGCTTAAAAATGGAGTAACTTCTCCCGTTTTCCCTACATTTCCCTTCACTGCTCTGCTTCTATTGATCGTAGCTTGATGAAAATTATACTATAACCTGCCCAGGAGTATGAAGAATAATTGTACTAAGTTTCGCTAAAATCCGTCGAGTAGTTTTTGTTTCTATAACGAACATACAGACAGACAAACAAACATTTTATTGATTGCATTTTTGGCATCAGCATCGATCACTAATCACCCCCTGATAGTTATTTTGGAAATATATTTCATGTACAGAATTGACCTCTCTACAGATTTATTATAAGTATAGAAGATTTATTACCATATAACTTCGTCAGTTGTAAACCTATTTGTATTTTTTTTATCTGAAAGGATATACTTACATATTGGGCCCATAGAAATTTTATTAAAATCGGTTCAGTAGTTTAGTTTTTAAACCAAATTTTGCAATTCATATTACATACTTTTTCAGATACCCCCATATAATTACCATGCCGTTTCTTTCATGGGAGGAATTAATAGAAAAACGGCTCGCCATATTACCAGACGAATTTGTAAGTATGTACACATACTAGAATTTTAGAGTCCGTTTTAATTAAAGACACTTTAATTTTATATCCAGAATTCTTGAAAATGGTTGTTACTTAGTGTGAGTGCAACCCATAGCATTCTTAGTTTTTTCTCGAACTACTCTATGCTATTGGCTGCAAATAGCCTTTACAGCTTCACCAAACTCGCGGAAGGATTTACGGAGTGGCGTTTTCCTATCTACTGCCCGCCGGATACGGTTTAAATAGCCTAAGACAACGAAACGGCTCGAACCTGGTCTCAGACTGTCGTATCTCGATCCCGGCCTGACACTTAAGGACAGGGGGATCGTTTCAGACCAGGCACTCTCATTCTTGCTAAACGCCCTTATAATCCCATCTTACTGGCATGTGTGTATAGAAGGACACATTTACGCATATATGTTGCTGTTGTACTCAGCACACACAACAACCAGAAATATTGAATTACAGCCACGCGGGGCCGGCTTTAACGTACTTACGTTCCACCTGATTAAAAAAAAAAACTAAGTATCTGAGTAAAATGTTGGTATGGATGCGATCTTTAATTTTATGGCGCCTCTGTCTCTGTGCCTCTTTACATTTCAGCGCCCCTGGGCACCTCCCTAAAATCGACACTGCCGTCATGTATTAATCTAGTTACACAGCTACTCAAAAAAGTAGTGTAAAGTTTTTATAGTTCATGAGAATTCTCATTCCGTCATAACTTCTAAATGCTAAGACAGATTTGGGAGTTATTAGAATCCTCACATTATCCCTGGTAATAAGTTTTGTAAAAATAATACTTATTTGGACAATTGAGTTTTGTAAATAGACTTATTGCCGCGTACGAAGAGGAACCATTTTTTTTTATTTCTTTTTATTTCAGGAAGTGAAAATGAGAACATTGAACAATACCTCTGATCTACCCAAACCTTGTGATGGTAAGTAGGTGTATCATACATTTACAAATCTCCACTCTCTGTTACGATGAAAGTAACTTTCTCTCACCGATTAGCCTTTGACAAATCCGCATCTCCCTATATACACATATTTTAAATCCTCTATCGGGACTAAACGCGACTTGATTTTTATTGCCGATGTTTAGATGCGGGTTGTACCAGAAAACGACGCCATTTATTTCAGTTCATCCATGACCAGGACGTAGTTAATATAATTTATACATAACAGTATTTAGACATAAATTTTTAATTATGAATCTATATATTTCAGAAAATTCACCAGATCTCATAATAGTTGAACCAGAAATAGAAGTAATAGATCTTAGAGTAAATTCCGAATCAGAAACTGAATATGATGAACAGGACATGGTTACAGAAGCACAGAAAATGTTAGGTGTAAATGAAATGGATGGGAAATCTCGTGATTCGAGTTCAATCGATGCTGCCACAGACTCTCATAACACAAAGACAACATCAACAACAAAGACAACTTCTCAAAAAACTACTATAAAAGTTGAACCACAGGAAACAAACACAGAAGTAATAGATGAAATAGATGACTTATACGATTGTGAAGACTTAGCAACAACCGTTATACCTTCAGATATAGGTGATAATGCAATTTCTAGGATTGCTAATCCTGTTGTTAATTCTCAAGAAAATATTAATGAAATATTCAGTGAAGAACAAGCCACAGATCTGACTGAGGATCCATCCAGTAACGAAATTCCTATTGTCGCACCTGAACCGATGATGATGCCTTTAATAACTAACGTTTTTGGGAATGTTCACATTGAAAATGAAGCGTTAGTTGGCATAAGTAATGCTTTATTAGAAAAAAATATAGACGAATCTGTAGTTAATAATAATGTGAAAACATCTGATGTTGTACAATCAAATTCAGTAGACCAGGTAAAGACAGTAAATAATGAAATTGAAGAAATAGATTTAGAAGAAGATATAATAAGTACTGTTGATGTTAATAAGTCCACCCTGAATAATCGTGTTGCGGAAGACAAATCAAACATTAAAAGTGAAGTAGATAATTTTGAAGATATGTCGATCAATTTAACAATGATTGATGATGGTATAGAATTGGTCGATGATGGTATAGAGCTGTCTGATGAATATGATGATGTAGACACTCGAACAAGTAAGTATATTGACGTACTAATTGTTAGCTTTCATTATTGTTACGTTGCTTTTAAATTGAAGGATATCATATCGAGTAGGTTACCTCGCGCCTTTTGGCATGTGTCTAGTTTGCCTTAGGGATAATCCGCCTCTGCCTTGGGGGCAAAGGGATTGTTAGTGATGGAGACTGAGAATCCTATTGCTAGCAATATACCTAACCAGGTCCACCTCCTCGCGGTTCCCCCTGGAAACTATCATGGTTAATTCCTGATGAATTCGTCATGATGAGCTAACTGGCCTGTTTTCATTTTCATCTATCACCCTTCACTGGTGCTCAACCAGTGTATCCCGTCAGCGCAGGCGGGGTTACCATACCATTTTCACCCATCAAAAAAAAATACGCCTCTGCCTATATTACATATACGTGAAACTGAAATCATTAGCATTCCAATTGATTATGCCAGTGAAATTGTCAACTTTCAGTAATCAAATTAGTAATGACAAATATGCATGGTGTTAGTCGATCATGTACGGGCTTTATCGACTATGTAATTTTAGACATACCTAGTACATTAAATATAAATACGCATAATGTTAAAAGAGTAACTGTTGAGTTACTTGCGGGCTCTTCTCAGCAGATAATAACCTTCCGAACACTGCAGTAGATTAAAAAGAAATGACGATTTAAAAGTGCTTGTAAACGAGTCTATTTGAATAAATATGATTTGAATTTATCGAAAACTCTACATTTTTTTTTTAGTATTTCTACAAATTTCTATGGAAAAATGTTTCCTTTTACTAGTAGAATTCTTCTTATAGGGATGATAAGAATTTTGATGTACCGAATTGGATAGAGTCATAGTTATATTTCTGACAATCAAACTTAAAATCTAGTGTATATTTTATCTTTATATGCCATTTAGAAGTGGTATATTTCATTGTTTTTTTTTTGTTAGGCGTCAAAAAATAGTTGCGGGCAAAGCTAGTTTGTTACAATATTGTTATTTATTTTTAAGTATTTAGCTACTTTTTTCTTAACTATTTGTTTCACATCAGCACCTTACGTTATAGGTACGGGTATGGTACGATACGCTACTATAAATATAAAATTAATCTATACTTATAAAAATACTTACTTATTGGTAACATAGTCTTTTAATTTCGCATATAACAAACAGATCTTTTTGAATTCTTTTTACTATGTATCTCTAGTACAACTGTATCTCTGTACAACATGGGTACTTCTGTCCCATAGGTAATTTTCTGTTAGGTACTTACTATGTTTCGGATTGAAGCGGATGGGATATGACAGTGAAATTATAAGGCATGGAAGCATAACGATCTTAGTCTTCAGAAATGTAATGTGGTCAATAAAGAATAAATGTATGTATACCTTGTATACTTACACTAATGAATAAATAAATAAATGGCAAAGCAATGAAGTATACTCTGTGTAGACCATGGTAATATGTACCATATGTCTATAGGTGACAGTTTCCACTTTTCAACAGTTTTCAAATTGTTGGCTGATCTATATGAAAACACAATTATACACAAAAAAAATTAGATAATATTTTCCACTCCTATATTATTAGTATTAGTAAAATTTGTATTTATTTTTCAGAACCATCATCTGATAAAGATAAAACGAAAATTAATATAAAGACAGAATGCGGTACTAAAGAAAACGAAGATAATCCAAAATTCGATTTAAAACTTTTAATGGATCCCGTGGTATATACAACAAAATTAGATGATATGAATTATTTTAAGACTAATAATTTTACATACGTTAAAGATATAACGAATATAAATGATATTATCATAGAGAGTAAACCTGTTAGTAAAAGATCGATTGATAATTCTAGAAAAGAAAATACAGTTGAGCCCACAGGTCACCTTGAAGAAAATTATATGAATGATGATTTATTCGATAATAACTCTATAGTTAATGAAAAATCTGTATTAAGTGATAGTGAAAATGAAGACGTACCTGAGAAAATGAAAGTTAGTTTGTCAAGTGTATTATTGCAGAAACCACGCGCACGTACATATGATTTCATAAACTTGTGCAAAAATCCTGATTTTAATACTAGATTGAAAAGGTTAACTGTAGGGTTTCTGAGCTCTACTCGTAATAGACAGTTATTAAAGGCTTGTAAACCAATGACTGTAGATGTAAACAAAGTTTTCGAATCTAAACTTATAAATAATACTTTGTATTTAAAATCATGTCAAATGCCAAAAAATGCTAAGCCAGTAAGTGACATTTCAGTGGAAGCTAGTAGTTTAGGTGAGCAAACTAGGACTATTGTCCCTTCTGCCATGTCTGTACAGAGTCTAATAGATAATACGAAAATAAATATGGAAGATCTATTACAAACAACACTTGTAAAGACCAATAGTGAACCTAATAATAGTCAAGAAAGTAGTAAAAATCTAGAAGACTTACGTGAAAGAAAAAAAATAATTTGTTTACCCGATATTAACAATGTTCGTCGGATTAATCAAAAACTTCTCATCGCAGAAGTAACGCCAATTCGTATTCAAATAGATAATGAGAAAAAGGTAACGCCTCCAGTTCAAATTGTTTCTCAAGATATCTCATCAGATATTCAAATAAGTTCCGCAAATTCGGAAAAAAAGGTTTCCTCTATTACCAAATCTGTTACTAAAGTTCCCAATATAACCTGTAATATAGAAAAAGTTTCTAATCAGAATAGTAGTAATATTAATGCTAGAAAAACTATTAATATAGACGCCTTACTAAATAAAGGAAAACTCAATGATTTAAATTCGATCACAGATATTAATATTATGAAAGACAGTACATTAAATGCACCAAAAAATGGAAAAAATATCGATAAAACGTCTTCTTTACACACTCGGACGCAAATACCAAGATTCTCAGCGCCGATTTCTTGGTTAAATCCAAACAAAAATACTAAATGCATAGACAGTCTTCTAACAATGGACACACTTAATAAAATGCTTAATGTAATTTGTCCAGATATAGAATTATCAACTACCATGAAAGACAATAAAAAATCTAAAGCTTTTAGAAACCAAGCGTCAGAGTTACAAAAAAACTTAGAGGAGTTCGAAAGAATTTCAAAGAACGCACCTAATTTGGTCTATAAAGTAAATAGCAATTTATCTAATAGCGTTAGCCCTGAAACAAATGAAACGAATTTACAGACATTGGTTGCTAAATCAATAGCACAAAATCAGACTTCTAGTCACAAAATGTCAATAAAAAGGAAAAAAATTAAAACCAATATAATTCCACGTCGGTTAGGCTCTGATTATAATGTCTCCAATAAATATTGCTGTTGGGCTCGTGAGAGAATAAATGAAGCTCCCTTGAAATCTATTCGAAATCATAAGCATACATTAAATCAATGTACATGTTGTTGTAAATTAGATTTGGTAGAATTTTTAAAGAAGAAAGAAAATTTCTTTGCTCGTTCTACTACAGATGATGCCATAATTCTTCCTAATAATGATAATTCAAGTCTGCAAAAAGCATGTGAAACTATTGAACGCGTGGTCGAAGAATCACGCAAATTATGTAGCAACAATGAACATGAAAAACCTATTAATTCGACAACAGATACTATTCCAAGCATAACCAATAAACAAGATATTATTTCTGCGCCTGTAGAAGTTATATCTTCATTTGTTGATATGAAATGTACATCTACTGATATGAACTTGGATACAAACATCAAAAACATCGCAGAAGTGCCAAGCACAGACGGGATGCATTCTGTTGCTACTACAGTGTCAGTTAATATTAATACTGACAATAAAGCATCACAGTTGCCAGAAGTTCAAAATATATGTCCTGACTCTTCATTTGTAGTATCTGATATTATAAATGTCGATGAGGATGATGAAGATACGAAAAACCCTGTAAATCTAGAATCAGATCAACCGTCATCTAATCCTGTTCCAGTTAACGTGACAGAACTTCCGTTTACAATTATTGTAAAACCTAGAATTTCTTCTGTAAATGTAGTATCATCTGCTGAACCTGGAATTAAATCATCAATAAGTACTGATAAGAGCCTAAGTAGGCAAGAAAGACTTATCAACAAAAGACGGCCCACAGAACAGAGATTAGGGCATTGTGACTTAGGAAAACAATTAGTTATTGATGGTACTAAAGGATTACAATCATCAAATATACAGATAACTAATAATGTAATTGTGCTTTCAAAAATTAAGCAGATACAGAGTCCAATATATTTAGGACAAAATAAAATATTATTAACTGATGTAAAATTATCAAAGAAAAATACTAATGCCAATCAAATGCCAATATTAGGAGAAAAATCATTGCTTACACATAGGCCAGTAAATACCGTACTTTTACCACTGGGTGCTGAAATGACATATGTTGATATAGATCCAGAGCTGATAAGTAACACACAGATTCCTTTTTTACCTAAAATCGATAAACCTGTTAATTCTCTAATATCTAGCAATGACACATCACGTGTTATATCTACAAATCAGGATGTTAATGAAATTATAAATTTGTCCGATGATGAAAATAGTAATTCTGAAAATAGCGAAGTGAATCAACAGGTTAAATCTTCGCAAAGGAAAGAAATAAATAGTTCTTCTGAATCGGTAACAGATACATCAATCACTGATTGTCATGTTATTATTAGTGATCAAGTTTCGAATTCTACATTGTCTAAAATGGATTCTAGTAATACTAATACTGAAACAATAACAACAAATCCGCCTTCAAATGTAAAAGATAATAATATCGATGATTCAAATATACAAGTTGTAAATATTGTAAATAATAAAGACGTTCCACTAATTGCGGGGGAAAAAACAGATAATGAAATTGATTGCTCGGAAATAAAAAGTACAGGTTTAGCTTTGGCAGAAACTGAAATCACACCTATTGCAGATCAAAGGTCAATTAATAATACAGATGAAGTTGAACAGAATAAGGAGCAAGATATAAATCAACCAGAAGATACAAATATAGAACATGAAGAATCAAATAGTACAAATGTCCAAAGGAAAAGTATATTATCAGATCTCATGGAAATGTCTGGTATTTCAGCTGATGATACTACACCGAATATGCCTGTTGACGTCACGCAACAACCAGTTTTATTATCCCATGATGCAGTTCTAAATGTATCTAATCCGATTGTTGATTTTCCTCAGTTATATCCAGTTACATCATTCAACGTGAGTTAAAGTATGCTTGTGAAAAGAATGGTAATTTTTTTAAATGCGATTTAGATACAGGAATACTATCTGTAATAAATGTAAGTATTAAGAAAAATCCAAAAAAAATAAAAATACCAGCATTAACTCCAATTGCACCAAAAACACGGATAATAGATTTAACAGACGACAATGACGAAAAGACACCAACAATAAAACCAAAAATAAACAATAAAGACTCCAAACGAAAAAAACAAAGGAAAAAAATTAAGAATATTAACAAAGAACAGAATTCAGGGAATGCGAAAGCAAAAGCAAGAAATCTCCTTCCAAAAAATACAGCAAAACCCATAAAATTGTTTAAAGTATCTTACCCTAGCATATTAAAGAGAAATAAAATAGGAAATGTAAGTCATGAGTCCTGCAATGAGGAAATAAAAAAATCGGACATGAAACATAGGATTAACGTAAAGAGGAAAAGAAAACAACAATTTGACGATACCGATCGTAATACTATACACACATTTGACGTTAGCGATAAACTTCGAGAGCAGGCAGACGATAGTCAAGATAATTCTTCTGACGACGAACCCCTCGCAAATAAATCGAAACGACTAAGACAAGAAGAGACAAAGGTTAATAATGCAGACGTTGAAAGTGAAACGGGAGGTATTTATAAAGATTGTACCACACTAACTCCAGATTTAATAGACGAGTTACCAAGTAATAGAGTAATGGAAAGTATCGAATCAGAATCACATCCAACCATTTCCTTCATATCTGACATTGATATGTCGCAGGAAGACTGCGTTTTAGGCGTATAAGTAAAGGAATAATTTCAAATTTCATTTTCAACATACGCTTGTCGTACTAACTTAGGATCCAATTCTACCCTCAACAGAATGTTATCATCGTATAATAAAGCCGTAAATGTTGACCATGATATCGACATCTTTGGTAATTCTTTAGTGCAGTATACTAGGCTTATTAATAATATGGATTAGTAGTTAGGTCTTTTCTAATTGTATAATTGTTAGTTAGTATACATTGACGCTGTGAGAGCTGTATACGCCTTTAATTGATATGTTCATATAGCCTTAAGCTTGGTAGTGAGGAGTAAGATTTTTTTGTTCAAACTTAGATTTAAGCATTTTGTAATAGTAGTTTTTCTCTTTTACTTACTAATAATATTGTATATTGTCTACTTAATTATTGTGAGCATATTGTTGGTGTGTCTTTTATAAATAAATAAATAAATAAATAGTGTAAAAAGAATTAGCGGAAAAACTTAAACAATTGAATTGTGGTTGAATCAAAATCACACAATGTATGTTAAATACAAAGTTAAGAGGGTTAATACCGAAACTTATCGAAGTGGCAGCATTGGATATTAGTTTTGGTCAGTTTTTATTAACAATTTAGTTGATTGATTATTTAAAAAAAGTGCTGTGTTAGCGAACTAAAACGTTAATATACCTATATATTAACGTTACAGAATAAGTTGCATATATTGGTGTATTTGAGTTTATTTTCCAGGACTCAGGCGCGTCCTGGAAAATAATCTCAAATTGGCGTATTTGAGAAATCTCTTCGTCAAATCTCTTGTAAAGGGGCATATGGTCTCTTATACATACCCTCTCTTATATATGTCCTTGCTTGTAGTTGAAAGTTCTGTTTATGATCTTGTGGGTACAAGACAAATCTGGGGTGAGCACGAACCCCCTCTCCCTTAATTTTTTTATACCACAAAGCTGGCAAATAGGCATACAGCCCATCTACTGGTAAACGGACTGTAGCGTATGGACGCCTGCAACACCAGCGGTGTCACTGCGTTGCCGACCCTGAAGAAATCCTTTTTGAAGAACCGCATACTGTAGTCTAAATTTGCTTCGAATGTTACCAAATACTTTTTTGCTATTAAAATAAAAAAATTCAATGACAACTTTGTACAAATCTTGTTGCTTAAAGAATATTTTAGTTCACTAGCAGAGCATTTTTTTTTAATATTCAATCAAAAATTGTTTAACGTGAAATTTTATGAACTTACTATATTTAGGGTTTTCGATAATTGTAAAAGTCTAAACAATAAACAACAAACGTAGTATGTTTTATATTTCTTGGGTGCGTGGCATACTACTACTGTCCTTGCGTCCTGTACATTTCTACCTCGTACAACTAGGTTATGGAGTGAGTAGGAGTGACTCCCGTCTTCAGTTTTCCCTTTACAATATAATATAGGGAATTTAATAAAAAACGTGTTTGCAAATATTTGTAAGGTCGGCAACGTACAAACAACTCCTCTCGCGTTGCAGGTGTTCATGAGTGATTTTTTTTTTTATTTTTGTAATATCTATTACATATATATTATTAACGACTGTATTGTTAATGAATATGTCGGAAACATAATGACTTCGCTCATATTATTTGTTATATTTTAATTATAGTTAAATAAAGTATAATTTTTAACAAACAAGTCGGGTACCTTATAAAAACATACATTAATAATGTAAATATTAAGAATAAGAAATAAAGTTATTCTTACTCTGTACATTAATATATACTTAATCGCTATAAGACGTGTGTAGATATAGAATAATTTTAATTTTAAATACAGAATCTAGGCCAGTGTTTCCACTAAGTGGGGATATACGCAGAGCTAAAAGAAATTATTGTTCGTTATCATAAATTAATATTTGAGACATTGTACAACTTTTATCGAAATATTTATTATCTGAATGTTTATTGTATATTCTGTATATAGTTGACGTTGAAAATGTATATAAAATCCTATAGGTATAAAGTATTTTTAAATAGTATTGCTAAAAAATTTTACCTATTGACCTCTATACGCCTCAGAAGGATTTTTTTTAACACGTTAATAGCCACGATAATATCAGAAAAAAATTCGCATGGGCCATGGTAACTTTATTAGATAATTTAATTAAAAATGTATCAAGGAAACAATGTATTACAGAATTTTTTTTTTGCCAAAATTCCCGGAAAAACTTTTTTATGTCACACATATCGTCATAGTCGTAGAATATTGACGGATCTTTATATGTAATATTTGTCAGATCCGTCAGTATTCTACGACTATGACGATATATGACTTTACTTTTTTAACTGAAACAATATACCATTATATAACTATGTTTATTTTATTTTATTGTTTGACGTAAGCCAAGAAATTTTCAGGTTTTGTTCCTGATAGGCCAAGCTTTCGAAACATAATGCAAATGTGTCGTTTACGTCGGACATCTGTGATTGACGTTGCCTTCTACCAAATCGCGTACGTCAGACATATATCGTCATAGTCGTAGAATACTGACGGATCTTTATATGTAATCCTTGTCAGATCCGTCAGTATTCTACGACTATGACGGTATGTCTGACATGGTTCATGTAGAACTTTTTAGCGTCAGACACATATGACTGGCATGGCGCTTAACGTGTTAAGGGCTTTAGTTGCCTTAGTTGTTACCTATTTTAATTCTTAACCGTCTCATTCGGAGATATATGATAGATAAGCTGTGGTTGTATGATTTTTTTTACTGTTTAACTGTCTACTACCTGTATTAATGCATAAATAAAATAGAATATGGAACAAAAATTTAAAATATTTGTCACAGATTGCTCCCTCCAGAAGATTACGGTAGTAAACTTAAGAGATCATACTGAGAAAACAATGTCATTAGCTAGAAATACTCTTATTAAAAAGACCGTATAAATTATATCAAAAATTGTTTGTCGTTAAAATTGAGTATTTTAGAATTCAAAATAAAAAAAAAAAAAAAACGAAAATAAAAAATATTTTTAATAAACGATGCCTTTTATTGAAGTGATAAAAAATAAGTTAAAAGGAAAAGAAGCTTCAGTAAGCTAAAGTAACTAATCAGCTGTATCTACAAGGTATATTAGGTGTTTTGACCCGGAGCCATCTGTATTCATCAATTATTTGCAACAGTGTTCAGGATGTCATTTCATCAACTTTCACAGTATTTGTATAAACATTTGTTTTTGTATAGCAACCCCATATAATGCGGTTGCCACACAAAAAATGGGGTTAAATACTTTTTACACAAATTATAATACGATTCATTTTTTTTAATGGATGATAATGGAATAACCTTGCCTGCGCTATCGGTATATGTTGGCAAGGCACCATGAGGGATGATAAGTGAGAATAAAAAGCAGGCCAGTTAGCTTATCGTAATATATTCTTCACTTGGAATAGAAAACAATAGTTCCCAGGGGGAACCGCGAGGAGGTTGACCTGACAGGGTGTATTGCTAGTAATGGGGCTACTAAATCCCATTATTAACAATCTCTTCTCCCCCCAATACGATTCATTTTGTGCATCTTACCTGCCGATGAAACTACCGGTACCGGTATCGGTACCGGTATCCGTAGCATGAAGCAATTGACAATCGCTAAATTAGGGGGGAAAGGAATTGATAGTAATGGAATCTAACAGCTTCATTGCTAGTGATACGAGTGCTCTATCAGGTCGACCGTTATGCGGTCGCCTCTGAAACCATCGTGGCTAATTTTTTTTATATTTATCACGGTGGACCAAGTAACCTATCATTCTTACTTATCATCCCTCACTGGAGCTCCGCCTATGTACACCGATAGCGCAGGCAGAGTTACCATTCCATTCTCATTCACAAAAATATATTAAATCTTATATAATTTTTAATATTTTATATTATTAATAATTGCCGTGTGCTACTGGCATAGAATGGGCCACCCCTTCCTTTTTCGTGAACGAACTTAATAGTAGAGGAATGGGCGGCAGCGTCCCTCTTTAAACATCACCATCACTAACTGCGATTGCCAAGCGTGACAAATACTAGCAATACCTCCTGGCATGGCTAAACCAGTCTATGGGGGAGGCTTGTTTTTTTTTAATGGGTGAAAATGGTATGATAACCTCTCTTGCGCTAACGGGATACGCTGGCGGAGCACCAGTGAAGGGTGATAGATGAGAATGAAAACAGGCCAGTTAGCCCATCATGATGAATTCATCAGGAATTAACCATGATAGTTTCCAGGGAGAACCGCGAGGTCGACCTGGTTGGGTATATTGCTAGCAATGGGATTCTCAGTCTCCATTACTAACAATCCCTTCCACCCAGGGAGGCTTATGTTCAGTAGTGGACAGTTAATAATTGACCTATTGTTTTATTAATTGAATGTTGCAATTTGTTAATAATGTCTGTAGAAAATTGGTCAACAAAGTTATTTAAATTAATAAATAGGCAATTTTATTCCCTACTTCAGATTACTTTTAATAGATGGCGTTGTACGTGATACGAATTTTAACAGGTCATTAAGTAAATAAAAGATGTATATGATAATTAATTTTTATGTAATGTCAACAATAATAAATAATAAACAATATTTATCTAATAACTACATTAAATGCACTTACAATCGCATTCTCTATATCCTTATGTATTTTGTTGACTTCTGCTTGAGTGAGTGTTCGTTCTAAATGCCTGTACACTATTGAAAAGCATAGACTGTGTTTCTTTGTCTTTGGGTGGATGAATTTGTCTTTTAACTTCACCTGAAATTAAGAAAATCCGTGTATATGTATAGACAAAACAATGTTTTAATTCTCTAAACTTATCACTTAATCTAATATTTTAATTTGATAATTTCATAGAATTTCTCTTTTTCTGACCATTACAAATGCAATTTATAATAATTTTGACTTAAATCTAGTAGAATCTAAGATTCCGCTGAAATATTAAATTGAAATCTTAATTTCAGAGATAGCTAGAAACAGCATAGAAATGGTGCTTTAAAATTAACTGTGGTATTAATCATAATTATATTACTACTAAATTTAGTGATAGCATTCTTTTAACTATTCCATTCTATGTTGCCATTCCTGAGTCCTCAGGAATGGCAACGCATGGGGGGTATCATGGGCGAAACAGTATACTCTGTTATGTCCATGGAACTGCTCATGTCTATATGCGACGGTTACCATTTTCCATCAGGTGGGCCGTCAGCTTGTTTGCCATTCTAGTAGTATAAAAAAAAAATTAAATAGCTTAGAGCATAATTTAGAGCATTCAAATTTAATAAATTGATCCCATTACATACTGAATCAGGGACTTTTTAAAATACTAATGACTTTGACACTGCAACAGTTTAACATACCACCTATCTTCTAACGGTCGCGAGTTCGATTTCCATACAATTCAAACATTTGTATTTATAAGTATGTCTGTTTGTATTGGTCTGGGTGTTCTCTATGTATAATATGTATTTAAAAAAAGTACTTGTCAGTTATTTAGTACCTACAAGACAAACTATACTTAGTTTGAGACTAGATGGCGGGGAGTGATTTTAGTGATATTTATTATTTACTTATGACTGTTAATGGGGATTATGGATTTATTTGTTTAATTGAAAATGGTTTACAATTGCAAGACACCAATGCAGCTTGAAATGAAGAGGGTGAAGTAATAATAAAATTTTAAACAAATTTGCCATAAATCATTATGGTAAATTTGTTTAAAATTAAACTCAATGGTAGCAATATTTTTTACTCTGTTGTGTAATATAAAGTGATAAATATTCAATGTAATCATTTTTATATTTAAATAACATATGATTTATGATTACAGCTACTTTTCTCAGTTTTTTTTTCCAAATACCATTGCAAATACATTTAAATAATAATTGCTTACCTGTTCAATAATATCTCCTCCAATATCACGGACTAAATCATAGAAGTCATTGCTCATAAAAGTGTCTATGGTGATATTTTCTGGTAACCAGAATGATATATCATTTGTACATTGGGGATACACTGACACAGGTTTATATGTTATCTTTGCATTCAATTCCTTATTTTGGAATTGAGTCAAGAACCCAGAGTCTTGGCTCCACATGAGTCTAATATCAGGAATCTTGTACAAGGCCATCGCTAGCCTCTCTAAGCCTAACCCAAATGCATATGCAATAGTATTATTTGGTCCTGCATTTGCTAATATTTCATTACGGACAATACCACAACCTAGAACTTCCAGCCAATTGTTCTCATAATATATTTCGAGCTCCCACGATGGATGTGTGAAGGGGAAGTAGGCATCAACCCATCTATATTTTATATCATCACCAAATAGTACTTGTACTAAACCAATGAGGTGGTTTTTAAGTTGAGCCTCCATAAGTTTAGTTGCTTCCAAAGTGTGACAGCTCTGCTTTGTTGGGTCTGTGATGGTGTTGGTAAATAAATGTGGTCTTTCTTTATCAAATGTTGGTTCAAATATGTCCAAGTCTGGATGGTTTGGAAATAGTTGTTCTTTACGTTGAGATCTCACCACATCTAACTGGAATATAATATATATTATTTAAAATTAAATTAAGGTAAATTTATTGACCTAAAAAGACATGGATGGACTGTGTGAGAGATGATTTGTCCAGAATGAGAGTAAATACAGAAATGACTGTGAATAAAAGAAAATAGATGGGGAGAACATATTATGCTTACCTCAAAGAAATAATTTGGATAAGGATAGGAATATGATGAACCTAAAAAGAAATGGATGGATTATATGAAAGATGATATGGCCAGAATAGGACTGAATGCAGAAATGAATAGAGAAGAATAAAGAAGGAAAATATATTATTGACTCTAAAAAAATACTTTAGACAATGGCAGGAAAATGATGAATATGATAATTCTAATATCTAATATGTTTTGCTTGAAATTTATCAAAGTATTCTTATTATTTGAATTAAATTAAAATTGACAATTTACATACTCAGTTTCATATACAATTGTAAACTGGTTAGTTAATCAAAATTATTTTGTTTAATTCTGCTGTCATTAGTATTTGGGTGGTAGTAGAATTTAAAGAAATAATTTTAATAATTAACCAGTGATATGGACTGCAAAATAGAACATAATTCAGTAAAAAAATTGCAATACTCTGTAATTGCTGATCACTAATTTACCTATAAAAATGTCACATCATTGGAAAAACTAACTTGATGGAAAACAGGAAAATGTGTTGAATCAATTTCATCTCTCCTATAAACATCACCGATCATCAGAAAGTTGTTAAGGCCAGATCTGAGCAATTCACTCTGGTGCGCTGTCATGTGAGCACGAAGCAGCATGTCTTTATTTATATAGTAGCAATCAGACTTAGCCCTGCTAGGATGGTCCACTGGTATTAAGAGATCATCGAAATTCTGTTTAGTTGACACAATAGGCGATAAATTATCATACACACTGAACGTAGGTTTCCCTCTGTGAGTGAAAGATTTGTAAAAATACTGCACTATTCTTTGACGTACTATTGATAGTGGATTATCATTTTGTAAATGCAAGTTTCTCCCCAAATATGAAATTATTTTGGGTGTAACATTTGTATAATCATCCGATATGAATTCTGTGCTGTTTATTTTCACTGTCGGCATAGATTTCGCGGCAGTACTGTAATTATATTTGTGTAAAACCGATGATAATAAACGACGTATTTTGAAAAGTTTGGTCATGGTTATTGGATCTGTAGGAACACTTTAACGATATTATAATATTGCAAAATTATTATACACTTATTCGATTACACTAGGTAATTAAATTTTAATATATATATTTCTTAATATTGTACATATTTTTCTCTTCTTTTTTTTTTTTTTTTTTTTTTTTTTTTTTTTAGTACGTTTGTTCCGTTTGGAACAGGCTAAGGTCGGAGACCATGCTGCCTAGTCTTCAAAAAGATAATTTGTCTGGAATTATTTTTCTCTTCATTTTATTACAGATCAAAAACAGAGACAGGTAAAATAATTTAGAAATGTCAAAATATAAGTAGGGTTATCGAATATATTCGATTTGGATTTGAATTTTTACATCTAAAACTGATTTATTCTATGATTTAACTCAATTTAATTTTTATTTTATAAATTAACTAATAGAAATGCACTCTTATATATTCGTTATAGGTAACTTTCTTTTTTAGGAGATTCTTATTCCAGTGTAGTTTATATTACTTTTTGTTATATAAGGAGCATTCTTTTGTAGTTGGTTAATGTATAATTTACAGCTACAACTGTGAGTTTTGTACTATTTATTTTTGATATAAATAATTTAAAAAATTAAATGTAGTTTTAATCTTTATAAAAGTATACTATTCTAAAGATCATTTAAAGATACACAGGTCAAGATCAATCTATCTCAGTTTCTTTCTATGTAAATTCCTTGTTTTTTTTTTGTAGTATGTGGTCAACTTTTAGATGTAACTGCATACTTTTCCCTTTTTTGTAGATGCAACATAACCATGGAAAATTATTTGATTTCCGTTCGAGCTTAATGTCACGCTTGATTCGAATAGACAGTAACCGTTTATAAAGCTTGAAAACCCTAGAATATAACTCTTCCGTCGATGCTCACAGATTCAGAAACAGAACGTTTCATGTTTAAAGATAAGCCAGCTGTCAAGTGTATGTCAGTAGGTATCTAGATGTACCTATTATCTGTGGTATCTAGTTATTTTAATGTACTTATTGTATTTTGCTCGTTTCTTTTTCGAAGATCTTGTATATAGTTTTGTTTCATTGTTGAATTGAATTAAACTTCTAATTAATCTGATGTGTATTATATATTATCTGAAATGATGCGTAAACGGTTGCTCCATTTTGTGCAATTAGGCACTGTTGGTATAGCCGGTTATTTTATTGGACAGCATGGGCTTAAAAATGACGATAACGATGATTCTTTTCTGATAAATGGTAAAAAAATTAGAAAAATGCCTGGTTTGCCCATTTACGGCACTGTTTCAGCGGCAGCTCCTTACACGGACAGTAGCTCAGCCAAATATCGGGTAATTATTCAGTTATAAATTAAATAATGTGTTTTTTAATTATATATTACATTCTCAATTAAATTATTATTATTATTTATCTAATTATTTATTGGTAATAAATAATTAGATATTTAATTTTAAGACGCGGTTTTTCATTTTATTTGTGGTATAAACAAATACAGTGCATGGACACTTTTTATTTAGGTTATAATTTAAGTACTTTATACAAATTTATTTCCTATTCCATATTTTTTTTCTGTATTTTATAAAAGAAATTTAGTTAAACTTGCTTAGATGAACTAATTGAAATGGATTTTATATTTAGATATAGGTATCAATATTTAAGATTCATAGCTTATATAATATATTTTCTTAAGAGTAAATAAGTAATTATTTGAAAAAAGTTATTGTTATGTATATCTTACTATTATTGTGAGTGTGAAAGTTTGTAACTCTGTATGGATGGATGATTTTTTGTTACTCTTTCTTGTAAAACTATTAAACTGATTTGAATGTAATTTCGTATATAGATTATTCTGGTATGCAGATAGGTAACTAAATAACTTGCCAACTTGGGACATAGGATACTGAGTCATGTGGATGAAGCTGTAGTATACACCTAGTCTGTTAATATTTTTAGTAAACATCTGCTTAAGTTTCAAATAATTAACCATAGATTAGTCTTGTTATTATACATGCAGTTATTTAAACAGGTGTTATGCAGAAAAACAATTCATATTGATATACAAGTTAAAAATATCAATTGAATCATTACACATGTATACTTAGTAAATGTTATTTTATCACATTACCACTTGTATATATATATGTATCATAACTAGTTTTTATTCACAACTTCCATAAAAAAATTTATCATGACATTTTCTATATCAAATCTATGTATAAAAATTTTTATGACAATTAAGTGAGCTGTTAAGACACCAATAGGTAACAAATAAACAAGTTTGATTTCATATCCTACTAATTTGATTAATATTATAAAATTGTAACTAGACTTTTGTGCTTAACTATATTTCAACTTTTTGACAGGTCCCCGAAATAATGAAATATGGCTTTCCTGGTATGGATAATGTTCATTCATATGATGATTATGTGCTGTCATATGATCAAAGGAACAGGGTACCACATTGGGTGTTTGAGCATCTAACAAAGGCACATGTGACGAAAAACAATGAAGTAGACAGGAGTAAATGCGAGTTCATGCCAGATGAAAGTATACATCCATTTTTTAGGTAATTTTTAATTAAAATTTCAAAGCCATAATAAAAAATGATGCTAATAATGTATTATTTTTTTTAAATGCATGACAACAACAAAATAAACACTTTTAAATAAGATGCCAATATTTAATATTAGAATTTTATTTTTTGGTACCGTTTTCCCTATATATACAGGAATTAAAATTTATTATGTGATTGTAACACTGTAGTCCTTACAAATTAAAAAAGTTCAGTTCCGCCCGCCGCCACCGTTTTTCTTTCATAAAAACTACAAACACCACCTGCACTATCAATATATGGGAGTAAGGTAACAAACATGGTGAAGCTAGGCTCTATGGTGAGTTATAGTGGACTGTGAGGTTAATTTCCACTCTGGAAACCATTGTGGTTAATTTATCACAAGGGGCCATAACATACCCATTGCCATTCATAAAATGAAAACAATATATTGTTTGCAGGTCTCAAAATAGTGATTATAAGAGGTCGGGCTTTGATCGCGGCCACATGGCTGCCGCTGGCAACCATCGCATCTGTCAGAAACATGTCGATCAGACCTTCTACCTCAGTAATATGGCGCCACAGGTATATATACTGCAAATCCTACTATTTATAATATGTATTATTAATGTGAGAATTTGTAAAATTGTTTAGACGTTTGCATTTTTATTACTGAATCACATTTAAATGGCATAACGGATTTAAATGAAAAGTACCCGAGTTATATATTCTATCTTAACACATAGGTATTCATACACCGAATCATGAGGGTGAAGCCGCAGGAAACAATAAGTTAATACAAAATGAAATCACAATAATTAAGATCCCTTTAAGGGAACCAGTGAAATGAGTTAAGTACTTTTTTTTTCCCAATTAAACATGAATGAAAATATGATGAAAAATTTTGAATCAGTAAGGTGCATACAGTTAAGTTGGTATAGGAGGCTCAATTATTTTATCTATTTTTTACACGGATTACCAATATACCGGATCCGGTGATTTATTTATTATTATTTATTTATTCATTACTACAAATATGTAAAAGCATTCTCTCCCAGTCAACCATAGGGGAGTGTCAGAATACTCGAATCGCAATACTAGTAATTATTGATATACATACATACTAAAATTACATATATAAACGAATAAATATATATAAATAACAAATATACTTACACATATGGTATATGACATATATTATATTATACACGAAATTGAGAGTAATATAAAGCACTTACTGCTCGGATAAAGAAAAAAAAGTGAGCGTGAACGTTTTTTTTTAAAGACGGTTTAGTCGGTAGTCTCTTAATGGCATCTATCTAGGTTACCTATCAAGTTTGATTCAAGGTATCCTATGTATACTTATAGTTTAAATGGTTAATCTGTGACCAAGCTACCAGATTACCTATCAAGTTTGATTCAAGATATGTATACCCATAGTTTAAATGTTTTTTACTCTATGGATAATTTAAACTCTTATTTTAAGGTGGGCGAAGGATTCAACAGGCATGCATGGAATAGATTAGAGAAACATGTCAGGAAACTGACCAGAGTATATGATAATGTATACTGTTGTACTGGCCCACTGTACTTGCCCAGGTATGATTTGAGTCAAGTTATTTAATGCAACTCAAAATGAACAGAAAAATGTTACGGCGCGTTACATGGGAAGGGGGGGTCAAAAACCTTCAAAAATTGTGTTATGTAATAATTGAATATCTTTTTTATATAGACACAAACAGCATTATTGTTTACATAGAATACTCTATGATGCCCATGATGTCTTATGCATCACCATATCTAAGGAGTATGGTGTTATGCCTCTATACTGTGTAATCTGCTATGTCACAACTATATCTTACCATTAAAATCGGAATACACTTGTTCAAATACAGTTTTATAGCAGAAATACGAACTGGGAATTTTTAAAGATATTGTTAGTAATGCGGACCACCAGTTCCATTGCTAGTAATATACCTTGACAGGTCTACCTCCACGTGGAAATCATAGGGCTGAATCGCAGGTTTATTAATCAAGATGGGCTAACTAACCTGCTCTTACTTTTTCCCTTACTGGTGCCCCACCGGTGTATATCACTAGCGCAGACGGGGTAACTGTTCCATTATCATACATAAAAAAAACACAGAGTTTCGAATAGTTATTTGAGGTTAGGAGTTAGTTGGTTATTTGAGGTTCCATTGTATCTTGTGTCTTTTTAGAAAGGAATCCGACGGCAAGTCGTACGTCAAATATCAGGTGATAGGCGCGAACACGGTCGCGGTGCCGACGCACTTCTACAAGGTGGTAGTGGCGGAGGCGGCGACCGGCCAGTTGCACATGGAATCTTACGTGATGCCCAATCAGAAGATACCTGATGAAACGCCAATTACATCCTTCATGGTAATTATAATGTTAACTGATGCCCTTAAAATGTATGGCATATACGCATACAGGTTTTACCAGAGGGAGGCTTTGTACAAAAGTCGTTTGCTTGGGTATCTCTGTCCCATTCATGTTTCAACCGTAAAGTAGTTGTGTTTGCATAGTTGTGTTTCGTTTTTAAGGATGGGATATGGCGTGAATTTACAGGGTACAGAGTAATAGCAACCGAGACCTCAAGAATGGCAACGCATGGGGGGTATCATGGGCGAAACAGTATACTCTGTTATGTGCATGGTACTGCTCATGTGTATAGGCAACGGTTACCACTTTCCATCTGGTGGGCCGTCAGCTTGTTTGTCATTTTAAGTTGTATAAAGAAAAAAAAGGTTGGCAAAAACTGAAACATTGTTATTCTTATTGGCTGAAATTATATTCCGAACTGGGCGATAGAATAATAAGGTAGAATGATAAAAAAATTAATAGGAACGGTATAAAGTGCATATCCCCAGATCTATAAATATAAATACAATAAATACTTATTTTATTACAGGTCTCACCCGAAGTGATAGAGCGGGCGGCCGGTTTGCTGTTCTTTAACAAACTCGACAGGTCTAAATTGACCTCTATTAATGGACGAAAAGTGTAATATTATCGCCAGTGGATTGTGATCTTTTTCCCGTTAGGAATAAAATTTGAAATTAAGATTTACAAAGTAAAATTAGTACTTTTATTCGCCAGGTACATGCAACAGACCCGTGTGCGGTATACAATGTGTTCTCTCATGCCTGACAAAATGTATTTCCCATATTTTTACCGCAGCATACTTAATACGTATTTAATAACGGCTTAAATATACAAATAAATTTATAATTCTATCTACACTGTAAGGGACTAGTCATGAAGATAATAAAAGAAGAATGAAGATTTAACAATTAATTATATACAAGTAGTTGTATCCCGCGGTTTCTCGCGCGTGAATCGGTACATAAAGTAACCTATATGCTAATTAGGATATAATCTACCTGTGTCTAAATTTCATTCAAATCTGTTCAGTATTTTTTGCGTGAAAGAATGACAAACGTACATCCATTATTACAAACATGCACATAATAATAATAATAATATTATTTTAATAACTCAATTTATGATTGTTGTTAGAGTGTAGGTTGTAAGTATATATAATATCTTTATAATGTGACTTTAGTCATAAAACTTCTGTATTTGTAAAGGTGGATAGTTCCTTAAAAGATTTTTTGTATGTATGGCTGTATTTTTTATACAATCTATTAATGTATGTTGAATTATGTGAAGAGAAAAAAGTAAAAGAAATTTCCAATAGTAGGTAGTTGTAATTAAAATTAAATAGATTCAAGAACAGACGTAGCCAATTGTTAGTTTAAATATATTTGTGATTGTGTGCAGTTAGTTAAAATATCTTGTGCAATATAATTGTTATTAATAAATCATGTAAATAGTCAATTTTATTAGTTTTATGTTTTTGAAATATATTGTTATTGAAAATATTTTTGTCTATAATTTTTGATTCAGAAGTTTTCCCATGTTGTTTTATTTGAAAATCGAATAGAAAATTTAATCCTATCAGGATTAATTATGTATGTTTATTTTATGAATTATATTATACTACTTAATACAATTTTTAAACAGCCATCTAGTATCTCTGCTCATCGTAAAGGTTAACTGGTAGAGAATGCCTATAGCATTAAGTCCGCCTTTTGTATCAAATTTCATTGGTCATCTCTCAACTATTTGGACCAAGTGCATTGTATTTTAAACTGCGTCAAGAAATCACGGAACGATTACTATGAGTTGGCAAATTGTTCCAACTCTTAACATATTTGACTGACCACTACATATGCATTTTAGCGGGAGTATAAAATTTTTGATACTACAGCCAACAAATATGCGTACATACCGGACCTTTAGACGTAAGCGAATTCATCAATACCATTTTTTTTTTATATATATAATACATTTTTTTATCTGCAATTTGCATTTTTGAGATATATATATATATATATATATATATATATATATATATATATATATATGAATAGATGATAATAGAATAATAACCACGCCTTCGCTATAGGTATAGGCAGCAGTGAGGGATGAAGCAGGCCAGTTGGCTCATTGTGATAAATTTATCAATAATTAACCAAGATGGTTTCCAGGGAGAACCGGCTCGGTTATAATCATATTAGGGTGTATTGCTAGCAATGGGGCTGATAGATCTTATTACTGACAATCCCTATCCTTCCACTATGATACTATTTCTTTATCAGCCGGTAACTGTCCACACAACAGGTCTCCCCCATAAGGGGAGCTTTGCCAGTAGTTGCCACGCTTGTGGGTTGACTGCAGTTGTGCTTTCGGCGATGCTTTAAGAAAGACACTGCTGCCCATCCCTCAACTTTAAGATCCTGTAATCGCCTTTTACGATACCTACGGGAGAGGAGGGGGTGCTCCATTCTAGTGCGAGGTTACACGGGAGGTATGATACTATAAGTGATAATTCGGTTGCTTAAAACAAAACATTTCTTTGTATAAAAAACATTTGTATATTCCAGATAGAATTGCATAGCGACAGTATTATTATTACAATAGGTTATATATATAGATACAGAAGTCTATGTGTACACTCGCTTAGTTCTCGTCCTCTTCGTCCGACGCGCCGTTCTGTTGTGGCTCCTCATCCACGCCCGCATTGCCCATACCTTCAAATAAAAAGCATATTTTGTGAATTAATAACTTTGTACAAAAGTCGATTGCTTAGGTACCTCTGTCCCATTCTTGTTTCTACCGTGAAGCAGTTGTGTTTACATGGCTGTGTTTAGGTTTGAAGGATGGCGTGAATTTACAGGGTACAGAGGAATAACACCTAAGTTCTCAGGAATGGCAACGCATGAGGGGTATCATGGGCGAAACATTATACTCTGTTATGTCCATGTCTCATGTTTTCATCAGGTGGGCCGTTAGCTTGTTTGCCATTCTAAGTTGTAGAAAAAAAAAACTATTATTTTTCTTAAAGAAATATACTGTTACATAAAATAGTGGCCAGCACCGGATTAACGCTTTTTCTTTATTAAAGTCATATGTCTAATTATAAATATGTCTGTTTGATAATGGAATGTGACGTTCTATATGTAAATTTTTAAATTTAAGTATTATTTGAGTTTAAACATTACAAAAGAAAAAATAAAATTTTCTCTTTACAATATATTAGTTTAGATATAATTGTGTGAATAAAAATTATTAAGTTTTTATACCAGGATTATTTACAAAAAGGTAATTGCTAAGGAAAAAACAGCAGAAAGGCCATCTCACCCTGGTCCTCATCTTCCTCGGCAGAGTCTCCAGCCACCTCTGCATTCTCTGCCTCTGCTCGCTCCATCTGCCGCGCCAGTTCCGCTTCATCAGTCGCTGTCACAACTTTAGGCTGGAATGAAAAGAAATGAATGTTTCATTAAGAAAAAGTGTTATATGTTTGGAATCACACATTATTGGCCTTAGAGGTCATCACGGGACGGGAGGCGTATGAACAGGCGGATCTCAGAGAATACAATGTGACGTTCTTGGTTTCCTTTATGCGTTAGTGAGGATTATAGTGTTATGCCTCCATATCATGTAATTTCCCCTTGTTTTCTTTTTTTTTAATATGCAATAAATCAATAAACTCATAACTAATTAGTTCTATGGATATTGGATACACATACCGCCATTTGCACATTGAAGACTCCACCAGCCGCTAGGATGGTTTCCTTTATTTTGTCGATCGCGTCTTGTAGTGTTTTGAGACCGTCTGTCTTTTCAGGTGTCGATGTTGTCATTACTTGGAAAATAAAAGATAAAATAAAGGCTTGACTACCAGCAGAAATATATTATCAACAGCGATGGTGTGCTTGCATGCTTGCTATGTGCAAGAATCTTTATTAAAAAGATTGGCTATGTAATCCATATCCGAGCACATCAACACCAACTACAGCTCCCTGCATACATGCAGACAAATCTATTCATATAATAAAACTGTAAAGGTCAAATGTCTGTACATAAAAAAGTAAACTCTAAAAACCGAGTCAGGGGGATGTTAGACGAGAAATAGAACACATCCCGATTTTTTAAACGTTTCTCTATTTGTAGGAATAAAAATTTTGGATTTGGGATGTTATTCAATCATATTTAAAAGACTAAATGGATTTGAATCTAATTTTGAGCATTAAGAGTAAGGTTTTAACTAATTTTAATTTAACACATAAAATATATGTGGGTAAAGTATTGGGGAACAGCTGGTGAAAAATAATACTTACCATACAAAGGAGGGGCAATAAGATTAATCTTAATTGGCATGTCAGCTGTGGACAGCGCAAGGCCAGACTTTAGGGCGGTTCTAACGGCGTCGATACCCTCGTAGCCATAGCATGCACACTCTATGTCAGCACGGATCTTTACCGCTTGCGATGTCAGTTTCCTCTTGATGTTTGCCAGCAGTACTTCCTTAGTGTTGTCATCAAGTCCACATTCATTTAGTACTGATGGATCACTGTTGAATTATATTTTTTTGGTAATTTGTGTATTTTGAAAATTATAATCTTGATTTAAATTTATAAAACAAATACAAATAAAAATACAACAAAATTTTTATTTTGTGAGTACAGAGGTTTAATATCTTAGCTATTTACCAGGAATGGCAACACCTGTAGAGTGTTGATTATGTCTATAGTTGATGGTTAATGTCAGCTTATTAGTAATTCCAAATAATATAACACATTATACCTTTGCATAGAGTTATTTATTGTTTTACATACAGAATTAGATCATTAATTGTGACATTTTAATTTATTTAGATCTTATATGCTTTCTCCTGCTTTACTCTACCATCTGCAGAGTGTATCTATTAGTTAGAATAAACCAGTTAAAACTTTAAAATGTATTCTGTGGTTTGAAATATCTACAATTTAATATACTCATAAAATAATATCTCCAAATAATTATGCAATAAATACTTACACAGCAGCCTGCTTAAAGAAATCATAAGCAGATGCCTTTTTCTTATATTTCTCTTCAAAAAGCCAGGCTGTCCTTTTATATAGCTCTTCTAACTGTTCTGAAGACTCATAATGTAACAATTCAGCTACATGTCGCAAGATTGAGTTCACTGCTTTCGCTTTTGCGTACCTTTCTGTACATTTGTCTATGTCCTCAGCTGATACACGACGTTTTGATAAATCTATATAACCTGTAATTGTGTATTTATAGATTGTTATATTTACAGATACAATATATTCTTATAAACAGAATAACTGTGTTAATACCAATTTACATTTCTAAAACTAACTAAACTATCAGATCAACCAGATCACAGTTTCCCTGGAAATTATCATAGTTAATTCATGGAGAATTTGTCATGAAACCATCTTGACTTTTTCTTAATTATCATTTTTTCACTGGTAGGATACCAGTTTTTATTTATTCACTACTTGCATCCCTTGGCTTTGCATGTGTGAATAGGCACAAAGTAATCAATGTGCTGCTAAATTAAATAAGACCTACCTATGGACCAAATGTCATTTAAATCTGTACAGTAGTTTTTATGTGAAAGAATAAGAAATATGCATCCATCTTTATAAACTTTCCCATTTGGGGAAAAGGGATTGTTAATAATTAGGGCAATCTCCATGCAGTTCCCCCTGGAAACCATTGTGGATAATTCTAGTGGAATTCATAACTGCACTAACTGATTTGCTTTTATCATCACCTATCATCCTTCACTGGTGTCCCGCCAGCGTATACCAATAGACGGGGTTACCATTCCATTATCACCCATAAAAAACTTTACCATTTATAATATTAATAGGAATTATGGATAATAACATGAGCTTTTTAAATGTAGATATAAAAATTAAAGTTTTTGTACACAAACATGAAAGATTTAAAGAGAGCTGTAGCACATAATTTCTGAAAGTCTAATTAGATGATGCAAGTGAACAGTAACCTTAAAAATTTTAAGGATTGCATTTACCTTTCTCTTTATCTACCCTGATCACCACAACGGGCTCGGTTTTGCCAACTCTAATCAATTTATTAATGGATCTGATACGTCGCCTGGACAGTTCAGAGAGTAAAATCATGCCTTCAATGTTGTTATATTCTAACAGATGAACGTACGCGCCCATCTCAGCGATGGATCTCACGTTCACCATCACCACATCTTCCACCTCGGGATATTTCTCTTGGTAAAATCGACACGACAACGGCATCTGAAATAATATTCGCATATCCAGGAGAAAACATAACCTAGACAAATTTAATTAAGCAACAAAAAATACTGCCACTATTAACACTGGGTTTAATTATCACCTTGATTATGCAGAGTCACGTATTTCAATAAGTTTATAGTGTAATATTAATATAATTGTTGTAATAATTAAATAGTTCACGTTGACCACTTTGCACGAATATTTAACAATCCGACTACCAGTGTTGCCAGAAGCAATTTTTTTTTACTGATATTATTGCTGGCTTGGAAGCGTATCTTTTAAGAACTTTTTTTTATGTATGATAATGAAATGGTAACCCCGTCTGCGCTACGATAGGGTGTATTGCTAGTAATGGGAAAATTACACCCCATTACTAACAATCCCTTTCCCACCTTTAGCAACATTAACATATTTAAAATTTTATTACCATCATATATATTGGTTTATATAGGATCGGATTGACTGACCTCTTTGAATAAGAATATCTGACATGCGTCAGATATTCTTAGCGACGATTACTTGAAAAGCTTCGAAATATTTTCAAAATGCCTGTCAATCCTGTGGAAGTGTGCTTAAACTTGTTTCCATACAAAACTTTATAAAACACTTGCAACCTGCATTGGCTTCACACGGGTTTTTTTTACAGAAAATATAAATAAAGCCTATGTTAATCCGAGGAGACGTAGTTTTCGGTAAAATTGGTTGTATAGTTTTGGAATTAAATCGTAATAAACAAAAATCAATCATTTTTCTCGTTATACTTAATATTACTTTATATTGATACACAACCTAAACTTTAATATGGCTTTATCTCCTAAGATATTCATTTAATTCGCATGGTGTAAAGGGAAAATAATCTTTAGAAAATGCTCAAGCCAACTAACGTATTTAAAATGGTAAGAATACATACAAAGAATATATACAAAGCTTTCCAATTAAATTATTTATAATTGCTTATTTTTTAAAGTATCAAAAGTAAAAATGTCCATCGCGGACTTTTCTTTAGACCTATATAAGATACATAATTCCATCATACATTATTTTGTTATATTTTAAAGGGTTTAGGTAGCGTTTTCGTTGACGGCGGCTTATTTTTTCCGACGCCATTTTTTTCATATAACTTGATAAGTTTTATAAATTTTAATAAATTATATATTAAACCATTCTCGAGAATCCGTTGGTGAAAACAGTATAAATCGGTGCAGTAGGTCTTTAATTTATCGCGAACAGACAGACGCGGCGGAGGGCTTTGTTTTATAATATGTAGTGATAAGAAATTTAAAATTGTAGTTACGTGTGTAAACTGTTTACAGCGGGCACCCTCCAAATGCACTTCACTATTTTGTGACGTAGTACCTACGTTATTGCATTATACTGTGATTTTCTGTGCGTTAGTTTAAGCTGAAAATGTCGACCTATAAATTATATAGAGATGCTAACGCATTACTTACAAGTGCTTGTTTCACAAGAATCTCAAGAAAATATTATAAATATTTAAACTCTCTTAAAATCAATATTTTTTTTTCTTTTCTTATGGCACGGCACAAAATGCATCCGCCAAAAACAAAGTTTGGGAAACAGCATTTTAGGGAAGGAATTTTGAACGAAGGAATTTAGGATAAGGATCAGAAAAGTTGAATGATGGATAATATAAGGAAAAGGACAGATATCTAAATAGAAATTACAATATATTTAACCTTAAAAATATATATGTATATGAAAAGTACATAAAATAAGATAATTTACAACTTAATATTATTGATAAGAATAAAAGATGAAATCAAATTATATACTTCTAAATTATCAAGAAACAATAATACTGGAACTGATGTAGGTAAGGGAATACGGAGGGAAAGGAGGGAATTAAAAAGAACAGAATGGTCATAGAGAGGACAATTTAAGAGAATGTGTTAAAATCAATATTTAAAAAACTAATGAGATTTTTATTTCTTTTTTTTGGCCAACTTTTGAGTTATGTTGATATTTTAAAACAGTATTATCCTACATTATTAGATTTTTTTTTGATAGGTGAAAATGTTTTGGTAACCCCGCCAGCGCTAACGGGATACGCTGGCGGAGCCCCAGTGAAGGGTGATAGATGAGAATGAAAATAGGCCAGTTAGCCCATCATGATGAATTCATAAGGAATTAACCATAATAGTTTCCAGGGAGAACCGCGAAGAGGTCGACCTGGTTGGGTATATTGCTAGCAATGGAATTCTCAGTCTCAACAATCCCTTTCCCCCCATATTAGTAGTATTATAATCTTAATAATTTCATAAATATAAAATATGAAAATGTTTTTTTTTTATTTTTTAATTGAACGTATATTGGATTAACACATAGGGTAGTTTTTAATATGTATAATTCGCGCGGGCAAAGTCACGGGGAAAAATCAGTAAACACAGATTATAGGTATGGACTTATCGGTCGCATTCTATGCGTGTTCATTGTGGCATACTTTTAGCATCTTTCTCGGAAGACGTCCTATATTTATCCTTGACACTGTCTACACATTATACGACATACACTCATTTAATGTGAGTGCAATTTTTTAATGTGTATTTATACAGCTCAGACAATATTTTATACAGCCTAAAACAAGTAATTGTCGCCTGTACACTTGAACCATATACACTACAGAATATACTGTGACGCCCATGATTAATCCATGGTTGGTATTGCTCTTTCTGAGATCCAAGATATTATGCTTGCGTGTCCTGTACTTCTTTCCTTTTTTTTTAATTAGTATATTGTTTGAGAAATATTTCTTGTAAGAAGCAATTTACAGTGGTACCCTGCACTTTGGTTATGTTTTGTTAAGAGAGGGACTGGTTGAAAACCAGCGCTGTGCAGCTGTTCACATTGCGCTTGGACACGCACATCATCATGAGCATCAGCTGAGCCGGTTCCTTTTGCCTAGTATGGGACACCTTTTGTATTTGTTATTTATATTTTATATTGTAATTGTGTGTTTACTGGCAATAAATGTTTTCTATTATATTCTATTCCTGTATTTTCACTACCATAATACCACCCTTCGCCCTTAAATAATATCAATCAAACATGGCTACTTCTCGGCAGAAATGTGAGTAAAATAAATTTAGTTAGCACTCTTTGTTAAATTTAGCACAACAATTGCTTGTATTATTTTATTTAGAACGAGAGATAGTTTATAATAATGTAATCCAGCAATTAACAGACAGAAACACTATCTGTTAAATTAATACGAATCATCTTCTTATTAAAAGCATTTACACGTTTATTTATAACTATTAGGTCATCTGTGCTTTATGGATGCTTATTTTTTTTTATAAGTTTAGAATAAAAAAAATAAAAAAAACTGACGACCTACCTGATGGACAACCGGATGGATGATTGGCTATCAACATGAATTATGTATATTAAACGTCACAGAAGAAGTGATTTCTAATATGTCGTTATTCCTAAGAACTTATGTCGGATTTGTAACTGAGAAGCTTGTAATCTATTATTTAAAATTCACGTGTCGCGGTGTTTGTTACCAAACTCCTATAAAACGGCTTTACCAATTTTCATGAAATTTTGTATGCCTATCGGGTAGGTTTGAGAATCGGCCAACATCTATTTTTCATATCCCCTCAATGATAAGGCTGACCCACCCCTAAATATTTTTTTTTTAATTTTTTGACAAAATTTTTATTTTTATTTTATTATGATTTAGCATTGAAAAATATATACAAATTCAAATTTACTCGCTTTACGATCAACCTCTGTTTTTAATCGCGATTTTTATATGCCGTAATAGGGTTGTAAGATGGTAATCGAATATAATAATTGTAGTACGATAAATTTTCATGTATAGTTCTCGAAATAATGTATATGGTAAAACAACGATTGCTGAGTTAGCTAATTTCACTATAACTGGCCCTTAAAACGGAAATACAGCTGTATCACAGTCTAAAAAATATTTAAGCTTAGTTGCTTGGTGGCAGAACAGAAACACAAGAATATACAATAGTTGACTGGTAGAACACTGACCAGTGTTAATTTCCCCAAATGTAAATAGAATTTCACTGTGCATTAAAGTTTAAATAAATTAATATACATTTAGATGGCTTCGTGCAAAGATTTTCACTGTGTTGTTTGACGTTATAAATCTTACTGATATAATACAAATGTAACTAGTCGATGTCTATACATAGAAGAATGTGAGTATAAGGGGTCTTAATAAGAGTAGTCAGAGCAGAAGCCAAAATACTTAACATATTTTTTTAATTTTCTCTGTCTTCCAGATTATCTATCTGTCTGTTTATCTAAATGTCTGTCTGTCTGTCTATATGTTCAGCATCTCGTAAAAATTACTGTACCAAATTGGATGCAGTTTTCACATTTGTGTACCTGAAGGTCTAACTTAAAATCCAGTATACATTTTATCTTGTTATACTATTTAGATAAGATCCATTTCATTAGTTTACCTATTTCTGAAATCCACGCGTACGAAATAAGGGGTAAAAACTAAGTAGATAGTAAAATAACTATAATCTTTAATGGGGTAGTCAGAAGCTTTAGTTCGAGTATTGCCTAAACTCTATACATATAGTTTGGTTTAAATAGAATAGTTGGCCAGATTTGAATTCACGATGTTTATGTATTATATGTAGGGGTAGAATACAAGGCTTTCTACCTCTGTATAGGGAGGGGAAGGGGATTGTTAGTAATGGAGACTGAGAATTCCATTACTAATAATATATCCAACAAGGTCGACCTCCTCGCGGTTCTCCCTGGAAACTCTCATGGTTAATTCCTGATGAATTCATCATGATGGGCTAACTGGCCTGTTTTCATTCTCATCTATCACCCTTCACTGGTGCTCCGCCAGCGTATCCCGTTAGCGCAGGCCGGGTTACCATACCATTTTCACCCATCAAAAAAAAAATCTCTGCATAGGTCACGTCTGTGATCACTTCAGATATCCTAACCTCAGTGATGTAAAAAATAATTAACTTTTTGAAATACGAATATCTTGATGTAGTTTTAAGACTTAGTATGTATATTGTAGTAATTTAATTTTGGAATATCGCTCGTTTATTACTCAGGCATAGTCTATGCACTACAATACAGACTGTGGAACATTAAAAAGGCTGTCATGAAATAAATTAATTGATATATATCAGCAGTAGTGGCCGAGACAAATCTCTGTTCAATCGTTTGGCATAGCCAGCACGGCTCCTAATGTACTCGGTGGCGGGTCCCGTTAAATTAATTTGAAATTTTTCCGAATTTAATTTGTGTTTCTGTGGTGAATGAAAAACTTTTTTTTTAAATAAAGAATTATGCAACTGTGTTATCTCACTGGTCAGTAAGGATGCGGCTGTATACGTATGTATTTTTTATTCCTTTGCTCTACTTTCGGTTTATGATAATTGATAAATATATTAATGCTAATTAATGTTTTAAAAAAAGGTGTTTTAGCTGTTAGACGTTATTAATTAAAGTAATTAGGATTTATAATACAAAAATTATGCTACATATGTGAAAAATAGAGAATGTTTGTTGAATTGTGGTCTGTTTTTTTAAGTAAGTATTTATTTCCCGGAAAAATATATACAATTGTCGAAAAATATATATGTAAGGTTATGCAAGAATATGAAATATCAATTTAGGTATATATTTTAATAACACGCTTTTGGCAAAAAATTGCCAAAGACATGTTGTTGGCGCTTATTCGCTGAACATTGATTCAAATGAGTCAATGATTTCATCCCGCCAAATTGCCGTAAAAATGTTGATCGTAAAAATACAATTGTCTTTTTACAGCTTGTATTAAGCAAAAACAAGCCTTAACAGCTTTTGACCGGGTATTTTATGGTTTCAATACTTTCAGTTGAAACTATATTTTTTTCTATTTTTTTTGTTAGTTATTTGAGTATTTGCATCAGACTTTATTCTTTATTTTTTTTTTATGTACATATTATTTTTGTCTCATTATCTGAATACTAAAAGAGATTGTTTTTTGCATATTTATTAGATTAAATATATGTATAGGTAAATAGTGTGAAGAAATTGGTAGAAATATAATATGTTCTATTTTGCGAAAAATGTAGCTGCAACATTTTATCTAAGAAAACTAAAGTGACTCTAAACACAACTTCAGATTGTATTACTGCATATTGCATTTGTAGAGCAAATTATTAAAATGTTGTAATTTTTTTTGCAATAGATTCCAAATAGGCATTTTAGAGTTTAGGACAGGAGTTTAACAGAAATTGGATACTCAGGACAGAAAGTACACGCATTTGATATTATTATAAAAAGTATTGAGGTGAGGGGGGAGGGGGATTGAGGTGAGAAGAAAAAAGTAAAATGTTTGTACATGTTTGTAGATACATTCTATATATATTTAGTAATACGCTTAATTCTTAGATATCTATCTGTATGTAATTGCATTATCTCAAAAATCATTGAATGAATTAGATTTGCTGCTATATTGTAGATAGGTATATTTTATTAATGGCCATTTTAATTAATAACACTAACAGATGGGGCATAAATGACAGTAGTAAATCAATTCTATAAAATCATTGGATTCGCACGAAGCTGGTCTGATTACATTTTCATAGGTACTCGTGTACAAAGTTTCAAAGTTTATTATGTTGGTTCGTTAGGTTTCAAAGTATTAATTAGTTTAAATGTCACAATTTTTCCCGTCGATTTATATACAAAATACTTGTTATGGTTCTAAGTATTGTGTTTAAATAAGAAAATGTTTCAAAGTGTACTTACATGTAAAACATGTAGTGGTAAGGATTTCCTCTGTTATTTATATTACATCCAAGTGTAGTTTAACTCTCATTTACTAAGTGTTACGTAATTCTAACAAACTACATTCATTTGAAACTAATAATTAATTCTATTTCAAAACGTAAAACATACACACATATTTCATTTATTATATATATTTATTTCATTTTTCATTTATTATCATATTTGTTCATACATTTGCAAAATCAGCTTTGAGCATATATTGTGCAAATTATTGTCCTATTGTCTATCTCGTTCTAACATACAGGTTATTTTTCTCTCTTTCACATTATCAATTTATATATATTATTAATTTATATATACTTCCTTATCTAAAATGAATGTTACGAATCCAGCTGTCAAAGTAAAAAAAAAAAATAGAAATACTCTTAGATACTTTAGATATGGGTATACTATTGTACGAACTTTAAAGTGCACAATGTGACTAACAAAACTCTAGTAGTTTTATTTAATGTCTAAATTATGTGTTGCTTACGTATTAGTAATTGCATGTGCAGATAGATGTGATGCAAATAAGTGGCCACTGGCCGCTAAATTGTTAATAAGCGCTGAATCACTTCAATAAGCGGTTATCAATTGGCGGATGCGTCCAACTCAGACATTGACTGTTGCTAGCGCAGACTGGAGAGAAGTAAGGGTGGGTAATATATAGTAATATCTATATATTTTAGTTACAATATCTATATACTGGTCTAATAATGAATATGTTAAAAGTCTATTATCCAAAAAATAATATTGGATAAAAGAATTATAACGTATTCAAAAATAGATATTTTTTTCGATATGGTCGATATCGAAATGGGTAAGGAACCCAATATATAAATATCTGATCGGTATTCATATTATTCATGCTTAGAGAGAAGTGCTTGTAGGCAAATATATTTCTATACTTATAAATTTAAGATCCATCTCAGATATTTGTTAAAAAAGTCCCAACTGCATTTATTTTTCGCGCCAATTTTATTTGGCTTATGTTTAAAGGAGAGAGTCATTGCCCAGTAGTGTGATAACTAATTTTTTTTAATTAACGCCTGAAGCTGTAAATAAAAATAAATCGACAAATTATTTATTTATTTATAGAATTACCAACATAAGATACAGCTAAACATTTCAATACAATTTGATTATAGAAACTACTAATCAAAGTCGAAAATAATCCGAGTGATGATTTCCAAATTCCATCAAACAATCGATTACAAGTATCTATATGTTTAAATAATTCTTTTATTGATTAAGATTTGATATAGTAAAAATAGAAGCTTCGATCGCAGCAAGACTCATAAAAAATCAACACGGGAGTAAAACCTATAGATAGTAAAAAGTTCTATATAAATCAGTTCAAAATTAGCAATGATACTAAAAAATTCAAAATTAATAAAAATGTGAAATTTTTGAATGCAATTAAAAATTTTAAGTAAAGTTAATAAAATATAGATAACCACTTTTAAAATTCAGTAAACACCAAAGGAGGGGTCAAGGTAGGAGAAAAAGGTCATAAAAAAATATCAATAGGGGAGATATATGTATATATATATATATATATATATATATATATATATATATATATATATATATATATATATATATATATATATATATATATATATATATATATTTTTTTCCTGTAAGTTACAAGACGGGATGGTATATATTTAAAGGAGACACAAGTCGAGAATGTGAAAACCTAACTCAATAATAAAATATAATATAATTATAAGTAAAGACTTAATAATATCGTCATCTAAAAGTGTTCATGACCTTGACCTTTTAAATTAAAACTATTAGCCGTTATTCCAAGAGACATTTCCGTTGCAATGGACAAAATAAGTAGCCGATTGATTGTTGAAGGTTGAACAAAATGGGTCACGTCTGTGCCACTAGTAGCCACCAATTATTATTTGTTGACCCAATCGAGATTTAATGTTCAGAAAGTGGGCCGCCATGTTGATAGCGTGTTTTACGTATTATTCATTGTCATAGTCTATTTGCTTATTTATTTACTAGCTGACCCGGAAAACATTGTTTCGCCACCTACTACCAACTATCGGAACATTATTTTCACAGGGATAAAAAGTATCTTATATTTTATCTTGGGTAGGTAAATAATACATATTTACAAAATTTAATTGAAATCAGTTAAGCGGACTCAGAGTTTAAAGTGCACGAACGTCGTGTGGCCCCGCCGTAGAATAAACCACCCGTTTCTTTCCCATGGGTGTCGTAAATGGCGAAGGGAATTTAATGGTATAGAGATGGGCAGTAGCGTTCCTCTTAAATCATTACTAAAAACCTAACTGCGGTTGCCAACCTGCTTGCCAAGTTTAGCAACTACTGGCAATACTCCGCTTATAGGGAAGGCTTATAAGCAGTAGTAGACAATTACCGGCTGATATGTATGACAAACATTGTGACATGGGATTTTTATAAATCGCTCTTAGTTTTATTGAAATATCTATTCAAGATTAGAAATCAGCTTTAAAAATGCTTAGTTAGAAAAAAGCAAAAAAAAAAAATGGTTTTCCTAAATTTTTGTTTTGAAATTCCTTACAAAGTAGTAGAAAATATTATTTTTAAAATTTCGCTTTATTCATTTTGCACTGAGAAAACAAACAAAGTAAACAAACAACAAACAAAACGAAAACATAGTAAATTCATAAAATTCCCATTATACTAGACAATGCTAGAAAATGGGTATAGGAAAATGTCGAGATCGATGCGTCTACCTCGACATAGACTAGTATTTTCAAGTTTAAAAGACAGTCTACTAATACAAACAACATTGAATTTTTTTGTCGGAATGTTTTGATCAGTCTGCTTTAAATTTGATAAAAAATGTACATAGTTTTTTTTATGCAACTTAGAATGGCAAACAAGCTGACGGCCCACCTGATGGAAAGTGGTAACCATCGCCTATAGACATGAGCAGTACTAAGATATATGATATAACAGAGTATACTGTTTCACTCATAATACTCCCCATGCGTTGCCATTCCTGAGGACTCAGGTGTCTTTCCTCTATACCCTGTAAATTCATTGTTATATCCTACCCTTCAATTGTTAATTGACATTGTTAATTGGCTAGTTGTAAACTTTTTTATTATATTTAAATAAAAATATATTTCTCTCTAGGTACTAATTCTGTATTTATGGTCTAATTAGAGTTTAGATTAATGACTAATTCATTGTAAACCCAAAAACATACAAAAATGTTATAATTGTATTACAAAAAATACATTGAGCATTAATTATTTATACTAATTGTCCATTAAAAACAACAATTAGAAATTTTGTTTTAATTGTCAAACTCTTCGTTTAACTAATTTAACATGATCAACTTGCAAAAGATTCATTCAATATATTTATATAGACAGCCATTGCTTATATATATAAGATTATTTCTATTTCAGGTTAGTGATCTTTGTGGGTTTGATATCACCGTATCCAGCGAGCAATGGTGAATTACCAGGTAACATCTTTACTTATCATATCTGTAATAAGAAAGTAAGTCTGACGTGTAATGACGTGACAAACATATAAAAAGACGAAAATAAAAAAAAAAATTGCCTCTATTTCTCTTATTAAGAATCGCGAACCTCAACTAGTCTTCATCTAAAAACCCCTTCACATACCTCCGTGTACTACACCAAATCCTTTTCCGTTCAGGTAGTGAGCCTATGGAACATATAATACTCGTATGCTGTCATCCTCTATACGGAGTGCTCACTTAGCTTGGTTTGAAGGACAAGTCAAATCACATTTTCTTTCACTGTAGTTCTTCTTTTTATTTATTTATTTATTATCCTTCTGTAATTTTTTGACTGGATTTGTCATATTTCCTTGTGTGTACTATATATGTATTTATGTATTATATATAGTAGGTTAATAAATTGTATGTTTTTTAATATTTTTCTGCAATATACGTTTTTGTATTTTATGCACGAAACAGTTATTAATTCACTCTAGCGCCATTTACCCACTTCTATATTCTCTAACCAAAGGTTGTCTGTAAGAGATTGCACTAGCGATAAGATCGTTTTTTGAATCTTTATGTATATATTTCAATCTGTATTTATGTTACTGTATTTCGCTTGAATTATTTAATTGTAATTGATTATGTTTATGTTTCTGGTGCAATAAAGAGTTAAATAAATACATAATATAGATTTTTTTTATCGTCCATGTACAGACACCATTTACTTACAATTTTATTATAATAGTAATATTTTTGACAGCACTACGCGTACATGTTATGTGTACGATGAGTACCAACTATGACAGCGACTACTGTCTAGTAATAGAAGCATGCAAGGACCTAATTAATCGTCGACATGTTTCATCCATTAGCAAATAGTCTAAAGAACGTTGAACCGGCTCATTATTACAACAGTGAAATTCAGGGTCTGTATTTTTAGTGAGCTACATTTCGAGAGTATTTTCGTGTATTCACAATTGTAAAATACTACTGTGCATAAATTACAAAGCGGTTCCTCTCGTAGGCAATTAAATATAAAGGCATCGATAATTACAGCCCGTTGTTTATTTAGGTATTTTGTCACTGTTATTCGTTGAAATCGTAATTTTGTTTTTCTTTTATAGTATTCTGTTTATTTTGATAGGAATTCCACTCGTGACTTCATCGGCGTGACGAGGATAAAGTTTTTTATGGGATAGAAAAAGGTAATGTCACTTGCGCTATGGGTATACGCTGCCGGGGCACCAATGAGATGATAGGTGAGGATGAAATCAGTTGATCTCTCGTGGTGCATTCAATAATCGGAATTAATGTAGTTACCAGAGCAGGCTGCGAGGAGGTCAGTGGGGGGTCGTCCTACACTGCGTTTGCCCGTACGCGGTCACCACTCAAGAACCTTTCTTCCCTATCGGTTGTCGGTTCTTTGTGCTATGTCACCAGCCCATTGCTACTTCAGCTTGCTTATCCTAAATAAAAAATATAAATAAGTAAAATAAATACTAAAGTTTAAATGAGCTTATATGTACAAAATATATAACACACGCTTTCTAAATTTTAATAAAAGGAATGTCGTTATATTTCTCTTAATTACCGGAGCGCTGTAGGCATTACGAGATCGTAAAACCACTATCTGTACTGGTCATAAACTCGAAAAGTTTTTGAAACGATTTGACCTTGGCATATTAACTTTCATGATTCTTTATTAAAGTTTTACTCCTGACGCCTTTTGGACCTTGGTGCCCATTATCCAGGACACCAATGCAGATGGGTAGATAGGAATTGGTAGTAATGGGGCTTAACAGCTTCTTACTAGTAACGTACTCTATTAGGCCGACTTTCAAGCGGTTCCCCCGGAAACGATCGTGAATTATAGAATTATGGAATTCATCACGATGTGCTGCTAACTGATCTGCTTTCATTCTTATTCATCCTCTCTATATAAGTTAGCGGGGCACCAGTGGTGCCCCTTTAACGTATATCGTTAGCGAAGGTGAGGTTACTACTCTGTTTTCACCTATCAAAATCAAGGTAGACAAGCTGCTACTCGATCGGGTTGACTGCGTCTCTATCTAAGACCGATACCGGGTATTTTTTACATTAATTTATTTCTTTTTTGTAAATTAAAATTATTCGTTAAATGATTTGTCGAGCGTAAAACTTGAGAACGGCTGCGCAAATTCGGCTAATTTTTATGCAAATATTCTGAGAGAGATTCTTAAGAAGAGAAATATATGAAAATAACTGTTTAATAAAACGTAAAAACAGGTTTAAATCAAACTTAAACACGTGTGGGTTTTACCTTAACTCAAAACATAGGATACAAGAGCTAGTAATAAATAAACTTCTACCAATATTTTCCACTTGTTACAGATAATTTTACGACAGTAGCTCCGTTTCCAATCATCGCACCATGTTCGTCGCTTCGTCCTGGTGACGTGGACTTCCAGACAGTGGACCTGATAGCTGTGTATAAGCTCGACCGACCTGAAACCGCCGGAGTGTCGTTGGTACAAGGCTCGCAGTATTTGCAGAGAGCTTACAGGATAAAAGATGGCGCTAACCTGACTTTACCTTTACAGTAAGTAAAGAAAATAGATAAGGATAGGATAAGATAAGAAAAAACACCACCCCTTTATATATTTTCTTTAATGGATGAAAGTAAAATGGCAACCCCACATGGTTTCATTTGACTTTTTCAAATGATAATGGAATAATAATAATCTCACCAATGTTATCGGTTTACGCTGGTAGGACCCCAGTAATAGGCCAGGATGAAAGCAGGCCAATTGGCCTATCGCGATGAATTCTTTATAAGTTAACTACGATAATAATATATAATAGTATATAAGTGTATATAATGTGTAGGGATATATAATTAACATTATTACATGCATCATATCTGTATATTAAGAAATAATAGAATTTCATTGTGCCTCCGATCAAACTGTATATAATTACTCCTCTCCATCCAAAGGTTGCCTGGAAGAGATCGCTTTTAGCGATAAGGTCGCCCATTGTTTTCTCATTGTGATTATTTTTTGTAATTGTTTATATTTATAATAAGTTTATTATTGTAATCTCTTGGAGGAAATAATAAAGAGTATATATCTATCTACGATGGTTTTCAAAAGGGAGCCCGAGGTTGTTAATTCTCGTTCCCATCAATTGCTCCTATCCCTCATCTGGTATTAATCACGAGAGTTTTCACGGTGGACCAAGTGAAAGTAGAGCTGATAGGGTATATTGCAAGCTATGTTATAAATTGTACTGGCTATCTTAGCCCAAAATACAATACATGTACTAATAGACATGTTATAGGAGACGTGCCCCCATTATTTTTATGTAACGATCCGAAAAAAAAGGTACATATGTTCCTGACGCGTTGGGTCTGAGTCATCACGAAATCCAATAATATTCTGAGAATGATAGGGGCAGAGTAAATTGTTATTATATACTCAACTGCAATTGCTATATTTCAATATACAATAAGTCCTATTAATAGGAGAAGTCATTGTAAATCTAAGACGGTGGTACCCTGATATTATTTATTTATTTATTTATATACACTTTATTGCACCATTTATAAAATAGTAAATACATTTAACTGTAATAAGAAATGATACAAAAGGCGGCCTTATCGCTAAGCAATCTCTTCCAGACGACCTTTGGGTAGAGAATTACCTAATTATTCAGAAATGATGATGATATCAGCCGTTAACTGTATGCCTGCTGAATACAGGTTTCTACCTTGTGGGATTTTGGTAGTAGTCGCCACGTTTGGCAAGCGGATTGGCGACCGTAGTTAGCCTTTGATGATATTTTGAGAGGGTCGCTGCTTCTAATTTCTTGATCAGTAAATTCTCTTAGTTACTTCTTACGAAATTTACGGGAAAGGAAAGGGTAGCTTATTTTATGCCACAGACCACATGGCATATTTGTTTTATTTAGTAGTTATTCAGAGATACATGATGTTATTTAAGCATTTATTGAACAGTAGCAATAAAAGTGGCATCTTAATATTGCATCTACATTTATTTATGCGAACAGACAACAATCTAAGTTTTATCTTCAAATTGCAGACAAGTGTTCCCCAACGGCCTACCTCAGCATTTCAGTGTGGTCGGCACATTCAACAGTCGCGGCCAACGAAGACCTTGGAGTCTCATCAGAGCCCGCTCCAAGAATCTACAGTTTTCATTGACTCTTTTGCCTAATGCCAAGAAACTTGCCGTTTTTGTTCAAGGGACTAGGGTCGTTTTTGGGAGTGAGGAGGTATGATTAATAATTAGGTTTGAGTAATACGTATCAGTACCGCTCCGATATCTATATATCGAGTTTCTTTTGACATTGGTGGCGGAAAAATCATCCATTTCGATGTTGCTCATACCAAACGGATATCCATATTTATTTTGATCATGCTTTATTCCGATATTGCTAATATTTACCATATTCGTTATCGGACCAGTAGGTATATAGATATTGTAACTACAATATCCTCGGCGCTCCTCCACCGTGCGTTTTTCAAGGCACTTTCTCCCACGCACAACCACTCTTTGGAATCAACTTCCAGCAGCAGTATTTCCGAACCGATACGACAACATAACCTTCAAGAAAAGAGCATATTCCTTTTTAAAAGGCCGGCAGCACACCTGCAATGCCGTAGGTGTTGTGGGTGACCATGGGCGGCGGTAGTCACTTACCATCAGGTGAGCCGCATGCTCGTTTGCCCCCTGTGTTGTAAATATATATATATATATATATATATATATATATATATATATATATATATATATATATATATATATATATATATATATATATATATATATATTATGTATATTTTTATACTAAGAACCAACTCGTTAAAAGTATAAAATAATATTGTAGACTTTTTTATGTTGCAAGTTATTCATTTCGAAGCTGTAAATATTAAAAAAGAACAAGTAAATGTAATTGCAGTCTGTAAGAGAGGCTTATGTTTATGGCAGTATCTAAGAGAGACTTGTCAATTTAACTGCTTAAATTGTTTACTGTTTACGTTGTGATTTTTTGATGGAACTTCATTATATCAATTATATGATATTATTAGCTATATCCCGCGGCTTCTCTCACGTGAATCAGTACATAAACTATTCTATGTGCTTAATTAGGATATAATCTACTTATGTACCAAATTTCATTCGAGTCTATTCCAGTAGATTTTACATGAAAAAGTAACAAATATCTACTCATACATCCATTCATTTTTACGAACTTTCGCAATTATGTACAAGCACTATACTATATGCTTGTGCAGTAGTATGTGTAAAGTATAAAACTTTTTATATTACTTTAGTCGCAAACAAGCATACAGCCGGTCTGACGGTAAACGGGATATGGACGCCTGTAACACCAGATATGTCACGTGCGCATTGTTAACTTTTTTATTATTTTTTAACTGAAATGATGATGGAGCAAATATATCAAATGTTGTATTATAGAATGATTATATGAAATCATCAGGGTTCATCATCACCATGTTTTGCAGTTGTTCTCACCTGGTTGGCACAAATTGCACATGGCCGTTACAAATGACACCGTCAACGTAGCTGTCGACTGTGTTGAGGTAAATAATATATTTTTTTTATAAATATTAATTACTAGAGGGAGACTTTGTACAAAAGTCGTTTGCTTGCGTACCTCTATCGCATTCATGTTTCAACCGTGAAGTCGTAATTTGTATTTGGGATGTGTTAATCAGAAATATAAAAAGTCTATATCTTTCATCCCAAATTATACGTGCAGATGTAGAGCTGTTAAGGTGCCAAGAGTTAACAAATTGACAATTTTAATTTTATATTTGAAACAATAGTAAGGATTATGTAACTACTAGCTTTTACCCGCGACTTCGTCAGTATAATATGGATATGTTCACTGTCTATGTATTTCATATAATACGTGTATACCAAATTTCATAATGATGAATTAAGATGTTAAGGCGCTATAAGGTAACTAACAAACTCACTGTCATATTTATAATGTTAAGTAAGGTTTTATTTCTTAAAGACTTTTAGTACTAAATTTTTTTTATCATTTTTCGATCCATGTTTTTTTTTTGGTAAAATATTCAGTTACATTGGCAGAACACTTCCTTATAGGGGAAGGGAGTTGTTAGTAATGGAAACAAAGTGTCCCATTGTTACCAATATTATGTATATTGTTAGCAATGGGACTTAGTAAGGTTAGCTTATATGTGTCTTTTTTTGTTTTCATTACTCAGTTGAGACCAGAGAACGTTACTTATCACGACTTCACAAATGCTACACTTGTCACCATAGTGTCCAACGATGATGGTACTCCAACGCCGGTAAGTAGATACAGGTGCTTGACCTTTTTGTTTTATACAACTTAGAATGGCAATATAGCTGACGGCCCACTTGATGGAAAGTGGTAACCGTCGCCTATAGACATGAGCAGTACCATGGACATAAGAGTATACTGTTTCGCCCATGATACCCCTCATGCGTTGCCATTCCTGAGAACTCAGGTGTTATTCCTCTGTACCCAGTAAATTTACGCTAATAGCTAAATAAAGATACCCTCCGCTGCTGTAGAATCATGATAGAAACTAAATGAAAGAAAAATGATAAGATTTCTACTTTTATACACACAAGAGAAAATACAGGCATATTAGTGTAATTTCCTTCATTCATTCCACATCGCACCCTTAAATTGTCACCAATTTAAAACAAAATCTTGTTTGGTTTTAGTGATATTTGCACTTAAAAATAGAGCTGGGCATCTAATATGTTTTCTTTTCTCAAATTACAAATTTATTAAAATGTTTTATGTATTCAGGTTGACTTATGCCGATAGGTTTTTCGTCAATTATTAATTTTGGTTTTAATTATTGAGTTTAATAATTATTTAAGTATTTGTTAATAGTAAATAATAATAGTTATAAAAATATTTATTAATTTGACAATATAATTGACAATTTATGTTGGTCATGGTTCGTTCTCGGTCCGATCTCGGTCTGGTGATTAGAAATATTTAGAGATTGATTGTGGCTGGAACAGAACTGGACTGTGGTCTGATAGTACGAATTCATACTTCGTTTTTATATAGCTTTATATTTTAGATAGATAGATAGATAATTTATTTGCATTACTTACAGCACACAAATTATAACATATATAGATATACATAAAAAGCGAGATAATATAAATGATTAAATAAAATACATAAAGCCAAGTACAATTTTCTTTTGTGCGTGTGCCATAACAATACAAAATGGTCACAACTCAGTTTATTGCTTCGCCCTCAAAAGAGCAAAGCACTGATATTCTGTTGAGGCTAAAGGGAATAGGGTAACAATAAAACAATATACTACCAGATTATCTATACAGTAAACAGACAGATATGTCACTTTATCTAGCAGACAAATGGATCCTAGAGGTAACTTGTTGAAATATCAAACTTTTGCCTCTCAATTAAGATTTTTTTGTAAATTAATTTTGAAACACTTAGTGGCGATCAGTCTTATGAGAGGTGGTATATTGTTCCAACATTTTGTGGCTTGATGTCGGAAGCTACCATTAAAAGCTGCAGTTTTATGGGGATGACAAGCTAGATTTTAAAGTGTTAATCAGCCATGAACGACATAAAGTAAGGTATAATAATGATAAAAAAATCAACGTTACATAAGTTAATGATTCTTTTATATTCTTTTAGGTCGATCTTCAATGGCTCTCCTTGAGTTGCAACCACTACAACCTCACCAGCGACAGTTGTGAAGAACTTGTAAGTAATAATACTGATAATACTGACTGATTTTTTTTAATAGTGATAATGGAATGGTAACCCTGCCCGCGCTATCGGGATACGCTGGCGGAGCAGCAGTGAAGAACGATAGGTGAGGATGAAGCAGGTCAGTTGGCCCATCGTGACGAATTCAACAAGAATTGTTCACGATGGTTTCCAGGGGGAACCACGTGGAGGTCGACCTAATGGGGCATATTGCTAGCAATGGGGCTGTCAAACTCCATTGCTAACAATCCCTTTCCCCCCAATACTGACTGATAATTTTTTTTTGTGATTGAAACATTATTACAAGTAATAATAATATGTTTATTTTTATGACATAAATAGTTTATAAGCAATTGAGAAAATGTTTCCTTGTTTTTTTTTTTAAATAGATAAAGTGCTAGGTCAATAACTACCTACTGGTGAATTATTTTGCAATTATATGTATTGAAAATGTGTGTCATAAAATAAAATAGAGATTTCATAAATATATGACAATGTTAAAAAAAAATTTCAATGCCCTTTTCTTCTTTGCTTTATACTCATATCAGCTTTTACCCGCGACATCGTCTACGTTATTATTTCCAGGATTATATTGTTTCTTTTTAATGTATGAAAATGTAATAGTGCCTGTGTTATCGGTATACGCTGTCGGGCCACCAATGAGGTATGATACGAGTAGGTGGGGATGAAAGCAATTCAGTTAGTCCATTGTGACGTATTAAAGAACTACGGTAGTTTTCATGAAGAACCGCGTGGAGGTCGACCTGATAGGGTATATTTCTAGTAATAGGGTTGCTGAACCCCATTATTAACAATCCCCTTTCCACTTGGCAACTGCCATTAGGCTTTGTTGATGTTTTAAAAGGGTCACTGCTGCCCATCCCTCTGCTATTAGGTTACTAAACTCAAATATAAACAAATTATTATGAAAAAGTTCCTGTTAAATAACGTTGTTACTTTTACACGTAACCATTATATATTTGGTTATCTAAATGGGCCAAGTCCTGTAACAGTTTTATATTTCAGGAGGAACCTGAGAATCTCATTGACTCATCGCTACAGGTACGCATTGTTATAAAAAAAAAATAGGTAAGATTAATTTAAACTTTCGTATGGAAATAATATAGAATGAGAGTAATTTCAAATAAATTGAAAATAAATTAAAATAATTTAAAGTAGTTTTGTTTTTAATACAAAAGGAATTTTCTGGAAGAATCTTCGGAGATGGTAACGTATTAGGGGTGTCATGGGCGATTTTAGATACAAATGTATAGAAAGAGAAATAGCAGGCAATAGATAAGAAAGCTTCTGACTATCTCATATCGTTCTTATAGTCGTGAGTTTATTTATTTAAATATCACAAGTGCTATTTAAAAATCGTCTGCTTGGGTAATACCTCTATTCCACTAGTGTTACTATCGCCAAACAACTATGCTTGTATGGATGTATTTCTGTTTGAAAAATGGAATATGGTAGTCAAATACCTGGATACGAAGGCATAGCAACATAGTCTTCAGGAATAACAACGCATGAGTAGTACCTTGGGCGTTATTGGTGTATTCTGTGACGTTCATGGTGCTATTCATGTAAAAAATGTAAAATTATATTCTACAAAAAAAAAACCGACATCAATCGTTGCTAAATTAGTTCATTTATATTTAAAAACTAAACTACTAGACCGTTTTGGTTAAAGTTTTTACAGGATCACTCTAAAAGTATACATTTTCAAATGTAAAAAAGAATTTTCAAAATCAGTCTATAAATGACGGAGTTAGGAGGTGAATATAAAAAAATTGAGGACCTCCTTCCTTTTTGAAGTCGGTTTTTTTTGATGCGTGAAAATGATATGGTAACCCCGCCTGCGCTAATGGGATACGCTGGCGGAGTACCAGTGAAAGGTGATAGATGAGAATGAAAACAGGCCAGTTCGCCCATCATGATGAATTCATCAGGAATTAACCATAATAGTTTCCAGGGGGAATCGCGAGGAGATCGACTTGGTTGGGTATATTGCTAGCAATGGGATTCTCAGACTCCATCACTAAAAATCCCTTTCCCCCCTTTTTGAAGTCGGTTGAAAACTAATTGGAAATGCCATCCACTGTTTTCAGATTGATTCGAGTGCGAGTGCTAATTTCGATCCAACGTTAGATGTTGTCTGCAATGGAACATGTCCTCCAGTGAGTATAAAATTAATAGTTTTTTTTTAATGTATGATAATGAAATGGTAATCCCGCCTACGCTATCGGTATACGCTGGCGGGATACCTGTGAGGGATGATTGATTGATGGGGATAGATGCAGGTCAGTCAGCCCATTGTGAAGAACTCCATTAGAATTAAACAAGGTGATATGATAGAGTATATTGCTAGCAATGGAGCTGTTAGATCCCCATTACTAACAATCTCTTCCCTCAAGAGTTGTATTAGCACTAAATAATAATAATAATGCCTTTATTCGCTAACCACAATTTTACTTTAACTTACATACTACTTATTACTAAGCTAGCTTACTAGCAACCATTATGTTGGTCAGGTTGTCTGTCGACACAGGCATCCCCCAATTGCTGCCACTTTCCTCTATCCCTGGCTGACTTTCTCCATCCTTTAGGTAAATCGTCCTCCCATCTTTTGATTTAGCATTTTTTAGTATTAGCACTAATTAGTACTAAATTTCACCCGTGACACAGTAGTTGCCATGCTTGGCAGGCGGATTGGCAGACGCAGTTTGGCTTACGGTGATGTTCTAAGATGGATACTGCTGCCCAATCCTCGATCGCCTCTTACAATACACACGGGAAAGGAAGGGGTGGCCCATCCTATGGCGAGGCCATACAGCAGCAATTTAAGGAATAGTTACATTTATTTATCTAACTTCAGGTTTTACTGAATGCTAGGTTGAAAAACATAAGCTTCCAATAGTGGATCAATTCGACAAGATTTGAATCCGCGACCGGTTTTCATTGTTTTAACGTTCCTAAATGAAAAAGTTATAGAAATATTTCCAAATAATTTATTATTTCCACTCTATCTCTCTGCTAGTATTTTTATTAATATTTATTTCATAAAGTAGTTACTAGAATCTTTATTTTGATAATCGCTTACAGGGTCCAGAGGGGCCACGGGGTCCTAAAGGTGACATGGGCATAAGAGGGCCTCCTGGTCTACCGGTGAGTAATTTAACGTTCCTTTTATATATTTACTAGCTTTTACCCGCGGCTTCGTTCGCGTGACCGGGATATGTTCATTAACCGAGTTAAAAAGTAGTAAATAAACTTTTTCATCCCATATAGTACATGTATACTAAACTTTATAATAATCGGTTAAGCCGTCAAGGCGCTAACAGGTAACAAACAAACTCACTTTCACATTTATAATATTATTAAGGATTTCTAGGACTTATTCATAGACAAGCTATAATACTCATATCACTTGCCGGCAAGAATTCGGCATAAAAATTTTATTTGTAACTTTTATAAATTATAATAGGTACTGATTTATTATTGTTGATAGTTGAATTTCTACTGGCCTGATGTGGTACATCTGTTTTGGGTAGTCATTTACGTGTAATATCATCTAAAACAATAGTTTATTTATTAGTTTTTTCACTATTTGTTTGTGTGTACAGACAAAGTGTACTAAAACGACTGCACACACATTATTTTTTATTAAAAGATGAATTTGCGCTTATTTTACGTTTGTATGGAATAAGAAAGGGGAGTTAAAAACTAATGTCATCTTTTACATACGTTACGATCGTTATTTAGTTTTTTTCTAGTTTCAATGATACTTAACAAAACATTTCTTTTCAGGGAGTGAGGGGCCAACAAGGTCTTGCTGGTTTGACTGGGGCGCCGGGGATCAAAGGAGATAAGGGGAACATAGGGATTCCAGGGCTACCGGGATTGCCAGGGAGAGCAAATGTGAGTAACTTTTAAATAGTTTTATCAATACCATTATGATAACGTTCGTTGTGTAGTGGTTTTACATTTTTCGATGATAGCGAATTCTATCCCCACATAATATAAACATTTGTATTTGCATTGTGTTCATGGATTAAATTATGGATAGAGATCTCAATATTATCCTATATATATATACATAGTTAAACGTGGAAAATTGCAAAGATGTCTGAAGTCGATATTTTTATAAATCAATAAAATCTAGATAAATTGGTCGTATATTTCTATTTATTTTTGGTTACGTTAAGGGTAATATTTTTTGATAATATTATTACATACTTCAGTAACAATAGGAGCATGTTTCTTTCCCGCTTTGCATTTATGACTTGCTATTTTGGTGTCTATAATTTTGGGCAGATTGTCCCTTATGTGACTGACATATTTATTTCTCCTGTAAATTATAACATTTGAATATTATCCATGTTCATGGACGAATGTATGATAGTTTCATTGGCGTGTTCTACAAAATTACTATTTTGTAGTATGTATTTGTGCAATTGAAACACTAAATAAAATTAATTACAAACTGATCCCATTTACACTACCATCTGCCTTTACAAGAATCTTATATATTTAGAAACCTGTAGTAAAGTTCTTTGCTCAATAGATTTGATAGTTTTTGTTGCATTCGGTATACTTGTATCAGGGAAGAACATTTATCCCTCGTGTATTTGTGGGACAGAGTTACCCACGCAAACCATTTTTGTACATTTATTTGCTCTATATATATTTCATCCTTTTTTGTTTTAGGGTAATATCACAGTGAATGGACGACCTGGTCTACCTGGAAGGCAAGGACCTAAAGGGGAGAAAGGAGATACCGGGCAAAAAGGTATTTTTTAATCAAATATACATTAATTGAAACCGAAATTATTAAAAAAATATGTATATTATTAAATCGATGATTTTAGTTTTAATTGACGGTAAATTTACGTAGTTAATTGGGTAGAGAAAAGTATTTATTGTTCAAAGTCAGTGTAAATATGGTTAAATAGGTATATTATGTATATTTGTAATGTCCAAGAGAGGTCAGAGAACAATTGGTACGCCACCAATCCGATGGTTGGATGACAGAGCGAATAGTGAAGAGCAGTGTATGAGGTTAGCTCAGGACCATTGCAAGTGGTGCAACAAATAGGTGGCCTATGCCCAGCCGTGGGTTAATGTGGGTTGAATATATAATTATTATTTGAGAATTTGTTATTTATAGATTCTGTATACATGTTTACTTACCGGTTTCTGTACAAATCATTGCATCCCTTCTCTTCTGAAATCCACGTGAACAAAGTAGCGGACAACATACTAGTGTAAATACATATATATTTCTATACATCCATTTTTTATAAATATGGATGAAGCATTGCTTTACGTGTATATTTTATTTTCATTTCGTTTGTACTTATTAATATTTTGTGAACGTAAGTTTGTTTGTTTGTTATTTCTTGACGCCTTAATGATTCAATCAATTGTCATTATCCAGAACATTTCAATCAAACAGTAGATAAATCCCGGTAACGTGGACGAAGTCGCGGGTAAAATCGTACCCAGCACGTAATAAAAATTGAATGATATCGATTCAACGGCTGTGTATATCCGGACTGATTGAATCTGTTGGCAGCTGATCCGTTAATGTTTCAGGTGAACCCGGTGAATCGGGTTTAGTCGGATTATCCGGCTTACCTGGTGCGGACGGTCGGGATGTAAGTTTCAATTTAGGCTATGATTGGTAAGGGATAATTAAATAAATATCTATCAAAGGATAGGTAGATGTTTATTTCAGTTGGTATGAAATGTTTCCCAATGTATACAAAATTAATTGATTAACAGCTTTGTAAACCAATGTATAAAAAACCTAAGATGCACAGTCGAAGTAGTCTCCGCATTGATATGAAAATCTTCGCATTGCATTAAATACAGAGTGCATGTACTTATTTGTAACTGTTCAGTGATGATTGTGCACCATCCATTCGTGTTTCTAACGTGAAGCAGTTGTGTTTGCATGGCTGTGTTTGAAGGGTGGAATATGGCAGTGAATTTACAGGGTACAGAGGATTAAAATAACTTTAAGTTACGTCTTGGAAAATGTGAGGAGATCCGACCACAGACAATGGAGATTTTGTTTTTGATTATCTGAACTGGATAATTTTTAGGGCCAGCCGGGACCACAAGGACCTCCTGGTCCGAAAGGGGAGCCTGGCCTTCCAGGTCCCGCGAGCACAGCTGTTTATAACACGACTGCGGTCCCAGGCAAGTTTCATAATACACATACACGACTGTTGGTACAATACTACATATAATTTTGCGGTTTTAATGAAATGTATGAAAATAAAATTATTATTTCACATGTTTATTAAAAATTTGTTTTAAAGGATTAAAGTGGAACGTTTTTTGGAAGTTTCCTTTTTAGGATTCCTTTATATAGGTCGATATCTGACTCAGTAAGGATGACTGTAAACGACCTTTTTTAAAATAGTAACAAATGAACATGTACTTATTCTTAATGTAACACTATATATGTAACACAAATATGGAAAAATAAATTATTACAATTAGTTTATGCTGGTGGGGAAACAGTGAGACTTCTGCGATTATTTTGAATCCCATTAATATTATAATCGCGAAAATTCGTAAGGATGAATGAGTGGATGTTTGTGTTTATTTCACGCAAAAACTACAGAACGGATTTAAAAGAAATTTGGTACATAGGTAGGTTATATCCTAACTCAGCACATAGGATATTTTAAGCACTGATAATTAATGATATTAATGATTAATGACATGGAAAATAGTTAATGTAAAATGATGAAAAATAACATCGTCTGCTTTATCGATTTAGACTAGTGCGTTATTAATGTGGGCTCACAGGTGAGTACGAAGTCAGCAGTTGGCCCATCGTGACGAATTTAGCATAAATTTATCACAATGTCTTTCCAGGAGGACAGTGTAAAGGTATACCTGACTATATAATTATGGTCACTAGTTCCTAACAATATACTTTTCTAGGTCTCATTATTATATATCTGAGATGGAATCTGAGGTTGTTGGCAAAAGAAATTGTTGGAAAAGCTCTATCTAGCTGTTATTAATCAATAGCTAAGCTATCTAAACATAGATTTCAGTTCGATTTTCTATTTTTCAGACCGAACCACAATAATTTATACATTTGGCTTACGTCACAATTAGATAAATCCGTATCAGATTAGCACCAGTAATTTTGATACTAAAATTGTTTTAAATGTATAGGACCTAAAGGAGAGAAAGGAGCTGCTGGAAAGCCTGGTCTTGACGGTGCTCCTGGATTAAGGGGTCCACCAGGATTGGATGGAGTTAGAGTAAGTTCAAAATTTTGTGACTCAAAAAGTATTTTGAATATAAAGTGAATCCTTAAAAAAATCTTAATAGCGTATAACGTCTACCTGGTAGGTTATATTGCTAGTAATGGGGTTGGTTGAACCCATGATTAAAAAACAATTTTTTATGTCAAGTACTAGAAATATACTGATATAGCCTCTTTATATGGAGAAGGGGGAAAGAAAGAGACTAGATTTTCTTTATAACACGGGGCAAACGAGCATGTGGTTTATCTAATAATAAGTGACTACCGCCGCCCTGATCACCCGCAACACTAGAAGGATAGATTAAAATTATTTAATCTATCTCTTAAATTATCTTCAAATAACTATGTTTGATTATTAAAATATTTTAATTTGACAGGGCCCTCCAGGCCTAGAGGGGCCTATGGGAGTGCCTGGCTCTCCCGGACTGAGAGGGCTGCCGGGTCCACAGGGGCCTATTGGAGAACGGGGACCAGAAGGATTACAGGTTATTTTTTGTAGTAGATAAGTACATTTCGGAATGGTAAGAAATAGGTTGGTTATAACCCTAATATAACTAAAAAAATTCGTTATTTTTACAGTTATATACATTTATTTATTCTTTATTAAAAAAATGTTTAATACAAATTGCAAACTTAATACTATATGGTATTTTCTTCCAGTTTAGTTTTGGAAAAGCGTAAAAATGTAACGTATAATGCGATGTAAAGTTTTGTAATTATTTAAAATTAATTTAAAGTAAGTGCATTAATATTCTGCATGCATGTAACAATCCTTTTTACCCTCAAAGGTTTTTTTTTAATGAATGATAATGGAATGGTAACCCCACTCGCGCTATTTGTATACATCGGCGGGGCACTAGTGAAGGATGAGAGGTGAGGATGAAGTAGGTCAGTTAGCCCATCGTAACGAATTCAACAAGAATTGTTCACGATGGTTTCCAGGGAGAACCACGTGGAGGTCGACCTAATAAGGCATACTGCTAGCAATGGGGCTGTCAAACTCCATTGCTAACAATCCTTTTCCCACCCAATTTCTCAGATTAGCTAGTTAGATAAAATAGATGTTTTTTGGTGTAGGGCCCAGAAGGACCTCCAGGGAAGCCAGGCTTACCCGGGCCACCAGGACAAGCAGCTTCGGTTACTCCAAGCGTGGAGGTGGCAGGCCCACCTGGCCCACCAGGAGAAAGGGGACAGGTGAATTAACAATTCGAATATTATTTTGTTGAAAATTCGTTGATTGATATAAATAATTTATTAATGCTAAAAATTGCAGATAATATCACTATTGAATATATTTAATATTTAGTTCTTTTTATATTTAAACTATTTATATGTATAAAACAGAACGGAATGAAATGAAGTAGAGTAAAAAAGAGAAGAATAGAATAGAAGAAAATGATTCTTCAATGTGATTTAGATATGACCGTTTGATAATTGCATATTTTATGTGACTTCAGATGTAGAAGTAGCAATTCGAGAGAGCAAAACGTCTCTTTTTTAACATCGATTCATTGGAATTTATTTTAAGGGTAACTCTATTGATTTAAAATTTGACCTTCAGGAACTGTGAAAAACGCATTCAGTTTGATGAAGTAGTTTTTGCGTGATACTAGAATAAACATACTGATAGACAGATGGACAAAATTTCTAAAAAATATTGTTTTGCTGGTCTTATTAAGACCCCTCATATTAACTTTTCTACACTAATATTATAAAGAGGAAAGATTTGTATTTTTGTGTGTATGTATGTTTGTAATGAATAAACTCAAAAACTACTTTGCCGATTTAAAAAATTCTTTCACCATTAGAAAGTTACATTTACCCTGAGTAACACAGGCTATATTTATTGCTAGAAGAGATTAGGGATCTCTACTAAAACTTTAGCAACGTAATTCAAAATGTAAAAAAAATGCTGTAAAATATGTTTCGTCGCGTTCGCTGCGGAAACTATTTGTGATAGAACAAAAGTATGTTCTACAATATTGAAGAAAATATCAATTACTACAAAAACTTTGCGATACTACGTGTTCAACTATTATCGTTATGTCACAATAACCACTTTTAAAATGTTGTAAAAATGTCCACTGCTAGTCTTATATATTTCTAATGTACAGACATCGTCTACGATTTTACCATATTACTTGTAGTAAGATAATAGAAATCTTGTTATTTTTTTCATGCAATGTTTCTCTGTAGAATGATTAAGGATTATTATATGTATTTGCATCTAGAAAGGCGAGCCTGGTAATCCGGGAATGCCGGGCAGAGACGGTGTAGATGGTGTGCCGGGCGTACCGGGATCGATGGGTCCTCCGGGATTACCAGCTCCATACAATACTGTCGTCCAGGTATTGTAGCTTGTAATGTTGATTTGTTATACTTTTTTCTTTTACAGTAATTATACTCTATACTAATGTAGGTACTAAAATGGAAGCTTTTGTTTGAACTATGGAACTATGGACCAGTCAGATTTGAAAACTTATTTTTGTAGAAGGTTAATTATTTATATCTTTTTTTAATGCAATTTTGAATGGCAAACAAGTTGACGGCTCACCTAATGGAAAGTGATAACTGTCGCCTACAGACATGAGAAGTACCATGGATATAACAGAGTATACTGTTTCGCCCATGATACCCTCCATGCGTTGCCATTCCTGAGGACTCAGGTGTTATGATTTAAATTATTTCAAAAACGAATTAGGTATATACATATGATTTTTATATGTGGTTTATTAAATATACCTATAGTATAGTAAAACACATCGATGGCTGGCTCGTCCGTCATACTCCTTAACGTAGAGGCTGGTCTGTTCAAGAGTACTGTGATTGATTGTAGTTTTTTTATCAATATGAAATTTGTGACGGTTAATTATAATTAACATAAATAAAAAAATACTTTTATTTTATTTATTTTAATGTATTTTAACGTAGCAATATACAATTAATTATTAATTTTTACCAAAGAATATCTAATAATATTACGTATTCCTAATATTAAAAAATAGTATCTACTTATTTATTTAGCATAATTTGATAATTTATTAGCAGCTCATAGATTAGTTATGGTGGTAATAGTGAACAGATATCCTCTTTTTATGGATAGAAGTCCATGTCTAACAGTAGGCATTTATAATTATGACGATAATATGGTGTCTACAGGCTCCCACATTAACGGAGAACGAAGTAAGGACTATTTGTGAAGACCTTATAAGACGTAAGTAATGAGGCATAATAAAAATATATTCTTGGTAGTTATACAGGGTGGCCCAAAAGTCCTTAGAAAAGTAAAATTTGAATTAAATGAAAACGGCGCGCGTGAGCGGTGCAGGGGAAGCGGGGGCAGTAACTTCGGTTTCTGGGAATTTAGTCGCGATGGAGCGTTTCACCGGAGCGGACCGTGCGTTTTGTGTGCGCGAGTTTTATCAAAACAACAATTCGGCAACCGTTGCGAGGCGTAAATTTCAAGAACACAAAGGTTTACACAACTTTGATGACACCCCAGCTCTCCAAACGATTAAGAATTGGGTTACTAAGTTCGAGGTGACCGGTTCGATGTTAGATAAACCGCGGTTGGGTCGCCCAAGGACATCACGTACGGAACAAAACATCGACACAGTGGCACAATCTATTCGTGAAAATCCTACACAGTCAACTCGTAAGCGTTCCAGTGCATTAAACGTATCCAGGACATCGTTACAACGGATTTTGAAGAAAGATTTACTTATGCACCCTTACAAAATTCAGTTGGTGCAAGAATTAAAAGAAACTGATGCTATTCAGAGAGTGAATTATGCTAATGAAATGTTTAATCGGTTTACTTCGTTCAATAACATAATGTTCTCTGATGAGGCACACTTCCACATTAACGGACATGTTAGTAAACAAAATTGCCGCTATTGGATCCCGATTAATCCAAAACTTAAGCACCAGAAGCCCTTACATAGCCCTAAAGTTACAGTTTGTCCGCTATGTTAGCCCATGGCATCATAGGGCCTTACTTTTTTGAGGACGGCAGAGGGCGTGCTGTTACTGTTACTTCGGAGCGATATGTGGCCATGATCGAGGAGTTTTTCACACAAAAATTGCAAAACTTTCCAGGCTTTAATGCCCGAACATGGTTTCAACAGGATGGAGCAACTTCCCACACCTCCAATACTGCTATGCCCGTTATCCGTCAACTTTTTCTAAACAAAGTTATCTCTAAGAGAGGAGACATTTCCTGGTCACCACGTAGCCCGGATCTGACTCCAATGGATTTTTTTAAGGCTAAAGTTTAACCCGCGGTCAATTAATGACCTAAATAAAAACATCCGCAGAGAAATGGCAAGCATTTCAGCAGTGACGTGCCGCGCAGTCATCGACAATTTCAGAAGGCGTTTGCAAGAGTGCCGTGACTGTAACGGATTACATTTGGACGACGTTATTTACAAAAAATAATTCCCGTTTTTCTAGCTATTTTTACAAATAAAAATATTATTCATAGTGTAATTAGTTTTATTTTAATTAATTTTTTTCATTACTAAGGACTTATGGGCCACCCTGTATATTGCCTATAATTGTATCAAATTTATTATTTTTACCCACATACATATATATACAAACTTGCCGTGTGGTCCCGGCATAGAATGGACCATGTCTTGCTTTCTCGTGGGTGTTGTAAGAGGCGACTAAAGGAATTTAATAGTTGAAGGACAGGTAGCGTCTCCCTTATAACATCATTAAATCCTAAATGCGGTTATTTCAGCCAAGCATGGCAAATACTGGCAAACTCCCCACCTCTACCATTATGGGGGTGGCTTATGTTCAGCAGCGGACAGTTAACGGCCGATATGAAGTATACAAAGCTATTTATATTATTTACTACGATTCCCCCTCGTTTAGCACAGGTTTTATTATTTATTTATCAAAAAATTAACTTACGATGTATTGGTACATACAAAACTTTTGTAAAAAAAACTTCTAAATAATGGTTAAACCTTATCAAAATCCATTGAATGGTTCAAAGAAAATTAGACGGAGATAAGATTTGCTCACACTGTTGCGCTGTCAGTTATATTTTTTGCTTTTCTATATGATGTTCTACGACTAGAATAGACGTCTAGTTATGTTTTCTTATTATGGTAACTATTGGAAGATAATGTAGGTTTATATCGACATTTTAGCCAGAAAGACTGTGAATTAATAACTATGAAATATACAATATTATTTTCAGAAAATTTACAAGAATTTATGTTGACTCTGTCGACGCCCTCGCCTATTGTTAAAAGAAGAGGAGCTCCGGGTAGACCAGGTCCTCCCGGTATACCAGGTAATGCAACATGCTGATAATACTGCTACTTAAATGAAGGTTATTTTATACCATATTTCAGGTCGAACCTTACGTGGTTTGTTTTGGGAACTATTTTGATTATCTCCCAATTATTCATTTTCATAAAGATTAACAAACTGATCTGATTTCACCTTCACTTATCGTCTCACATTGGTATCGGTATATGGATTATAATGGAATGGTATCCCCGCTTGCGCTAATGGTATACATTGGCGAAAACCAGTGAGGGATGATAAGTGAGAATGAAAAGGTAGATTAATAGTTCATCGTGATGAATACACCTGGAATTCAGCATGATGAGTTTCCAGGGGGATCACGTGCAGTTTGACCTGACAGAGTATATTGTTATGACTAGTTCGCATTACTAACAATCCCTTCCCCCTCAATACGAGGGATTACTACTCCATTATTATAAAAAAAGCTCGTATGAGGGTAGGTACGGGAGACTCGTAGAAACTGTACGTAACAATACATAGGGTTACAACCTTTCTTTGTTCTTTTAGCTTCTCTTCTTTTATAAATAGTTAACTTTGGAAATAGTTCTAGAGTAAGGGATATCACATGGAAATAGTTCTAGAGTAAGGGATGTCTACAGCCACTTTTAATTCTTTGCACCGCTCAACATTGATAATTCATCCTCACACTCTTGAGCCAAAATGGTCACTTACAGTGTAGTTGCACAGGAGGAAAGTGTGGAATAAACTCTTTGCCTGGGTTTTCTACAGAGACAACATCATAAGGTTCTTCAAAATGGGCGTAATGTAATGTAAGGTTTCAGAGTCGGCAATGCAACGTGTGATGCCTCTGGTGGTGAAGGCGTCCAAGAGCATAGTAAACTTTTAGCATCAGACGGGCTGTGTATTTGTTTACCACCATAGTAGTGTGAAATATAAGGCATAGATAAAATTGTATTCTTAAAAGGTTTTTTAAAGGTATTATTTATTATTAAGATATTATTAGGTGAATCATAAAGTTAAACAATATCGTACTTGAAATATTCGAGTTTAAAAGTCAACAAACATATCTTTGTACAGATTTGCAGAATTTAAACTTAATTATCTCAGCTTGGATATTAGTTAAGGCAAAAGTTATCATATCTTAAATATTTACTTAAAGTAGTACTACAAAGTAATAATAAAATTAAAAATAGTTACTATAATAATTATAACATTGGCCATATATGAAGGAAACAAAGTAAACTAATATCCTTTTATAACGATTTTGTAGGTAAAAACGGGGATCCTGGCGAACCCGGTCCTCGTGGATACCCTGGTGAGACTGGAGAGCCAGGTAAACCTGGCAGTCCAGGGGGCAGAGGTGAGAAAGGGGACAAGGGCGAGCGAGGACCTGAAGGAGTAGGACTACCTGGTGTAGAAGGACCTAGAGGTATTCCAGGTGAGTTTATTCCAATTCCAATTTTTCACATGTAAACTCCAAAGGACGAATCTCCTGATGTATGTAGAAACTCTGATTTTGATTATAAAATTTATTTAAGAAATAACAGAATGGATCATGTATTAATTCCTTATCTTAGGGTTTATCTTATTCCTTCATTATTCATAACTATTTTTGTAGCTCTGAAATATGGCAAAAATTATCTGCCTCTGATAAGAAGTGATAACTCGTTTGTGGATGAATTATATGGTAGATACTTTGCTTCTTCTCAAAGGTCTTTATGGTATATAAAGCCACAGATAATATAATACTATACGAGTACATAAAGCATAATATTTTAGAACTGTAATTAGAGATATTACAAATACACATGATATGTATGTATATACAAGTAATTTATATACAAATTGCTTTTAGGCCCCGTTGGACCTCCGGGACCAGAAGGTAGATCTGGCCAACGAGGTGATCCGGGGCGAGAAGGTAAGTGGATAACCCATTTATATTACAAGGAAACCATGTAGCTTATGTATATGTATATGTATGGTGGGTTTAGGTTTTTTTATACAACTTAGAATGGCAAACAAGCTAACGGCCCACCTGATAGAAAGTGTTAACTGTCGCCTATAGACATGAGCAGTACCATGGACATAACAGTGTATATTGTTTTGTCCATGATACCCCCCATGCGTTGCCATTCCTGAGGACTCAGGTATTATTCCTCTGTACTCTGTAAATTCACTGCCATATCCCATCCTTCAAACTCTTGAATAGATGATGATGGCACAAATAAATTTGGGGCATAATTTTAATTTTTAGTACAGTAGGTTGTATACCAACATATCAATCATTTATTATAGAATATACAAGAACATAGTTTCCGTGTGGTCTCGGCATTGGATAAGCCACCCCTTCTTTTCCTGTAGGTGCCATAAGAGGCGACTAAGGGAATTTAATAGTAGGGATGGGCAGCAGTGTCTCTTTTTTAACATCATTAAAGCTTGACTGCAGTTGCCAACTCGCCTGTCAAACATGGCAGCTACAAGCAAAACCCCTCCAAATAGGTAGCCTATGTTCAGCAGTGGACAGTTAATGGCTGATATAGTATATATACAGCTGATATACAGTGCGTCTGGATTAGTAAGTGAAGTAACCTAAATATGGTACTAAGGTTTTAAAGTAGTGAGAGATTTATTCCCTGCTTTAAGAGAGATTTTGATTGAACCATTTAGATTTCAAGAAGAGATACCATACCCCGCACTGGGATGTTAATTAAAATGATAATTATAATGATAATGTTGATGATAATGAAGTATAAATTGTAGTTATTCGTGCTATGGACTTTATTTTCAGGCTCAATCGGACCTCGAGGAGCTCCCGGTCCAAGAGGAACTTGCGAGTGTCCTTCCCCAGCATTCTATTCATATGCCATGGGAAATAGTAAAGGACCTTAATTTTGTGGTGTTTATATTAAATGACCTACATTTTAAGATAACTGTATTATCCTCTTACCTGTGTCTTTTACAATATGTACACAAAACTAAATTTATTGGCCAAAGAAGTTTCTATAGTTATTGAACGTATTATGCCAAGTTGAAAATAGAAAATTATTGTTGTATTCAAAAAACTAGTTTGTGACAATGATTTTGGTCCTATGGAATTATAATGTATATATAATTATACTGTATTCTATTTTTATTTTATACCTTTCCTTAAATATTTATGTACTACCTGAGACAGGTGATTGAAAAGAAATTTATAATATGTTCGGAAGAGGAGCGATTACTAAAGTCAAGAAGATAAAATCCAAGTTTTTATTTTTGCTATTTAGAATGGCAAATAAACTGATGGAAAGTGATAAACGTCGTCTGTAGACATAAACCGTACCATGAACATAGCGAAGTATACCGTGTTGCCCATAATACTGAGGACTAAGGTGTTCTTGCTTCTGCACCTTGTAATTTCATTGGCATATCCTACTATTCAAACCGAAACACAGCCATGCAAACAAAACTGAGGGCCTACCATGAAATGTTTTCCAAAATTTCGGATCCGAAGAAACAAAAATTTGATGCTAAATTTACATGATACGTACCGTTTAAAAATATTAAAAATGCTAAATATCGTTCCTTTGAACTTTTATGGTAGGATTTATGACAAACGAAATGTTAAGCTCCATTTACAGGGTCGATTTCGGTACGAACAAAAACACGAAATTAAGCCCGAAAATTCGGAATTTCATTTCATGACAGAAACACGAATTGGACAGGGGTACTCAAGCAGTCGAAGATTAAAAATATTAAATAATAAAGTAATGTTTTGAAATATTGACTTTAATAAAGACGATTCATTGTTTTAAATAAATAGTTTCAATATATAATACGAAAAATAAAGTTTTAATTACACTAACAATGTTAAAATACATTTCAAAGTAGAGTCTTTTAATAATGAACGTGACATTCAAAACGTATAAAAATACTGAAATATATTTCATGTATTTAAAGCTACGCATATTTTTTCCGCCATACATTACACTGATTAAGAAGAACTATTGCTAGTTGTTTGCGGGTTCTATTTCCGTTACTGTGTCTATATTAGCTTTGCAGAAGAAACATTGTTTACTATTCAACAAATGTTGCATTATGCATGCTCTGAAACGAAATTTTAAACATATTATTTTGTCCTGAAACTATTTATTTTTTATTTTTTTATGCGACATAGAATGGCAAACAAGCTGACAGCCCACCTGATGGAAAGTGGTAACAACAACAATGGACATAACAAAGTATACTGTTTCGCTCATGATACCCCCATGTGTTGCCTATATAGATATAATTTATATGATACCAATTTGTAGAAATATCTTTTTAGATAAAAATAATCTAAATCGGTTTAGAATTGACGGAGTTATGAGGTAACAAACATAAAAAAATACAACTGATATGAGAATCTCCTTCTTTTTGAAGTCTGAAGAAAATAAGAATTAATTAGTAATTTACCTGCAAGAATGGTGTCCACACGGCACAAAAGCTGTATCCGCGGGCCTGGCGTAACATATAGTGCACAGCAGATCTGACTGCGCCCCGCTGGAGCCAGGCGACCTGGCTCTCACCGCAACCTCGCGAGCGACTCGAAGTCTGTCCACTACTATTTCGAGAGCTTTCATCTCGTTTACAGTAACATCATCCGGGTCTACACAATAAAACTTTATATTAGTACCTACTTCTAATCTAAGGCTAGATTATATACATAGAGAATAAAGCCTTAACGGGTCAACTTTTTGTCAGCTAATTTGACAATTACTCTCATGACTCATTTTTTTATTAGTGTTCTATATACTTACGCACATTATATATTTGACGTATCTATGTTTAATTATTTAATATAATATGACTTTTTACGCATTAAAAGGATGCAGAAATTATAAGACAAAATAAATATAGAAGTTATAAAGGTAAAGTCATAACTATTTATCACGCAAAATTGTATGAAAAAGTTGACCCACTTTTCTCGAAGTATTTGTATCTATAGTTCCTAGCATTCGATCAACCAATCAATCAGTAAACAATCAATCAATTAACCAGTCAATGAATCGAATAATTAATTAACCAAACAATCAGTCGCACCTGAGCAATGAGCTGCAATAGATAAAGATTGGAATGAAATAAGAAAAGTAATATTGATGATCGTGGTGCAGTGGACGGGTTCGTTTGTGCTCTAACTCCTCCGAAATTGCTTGACCGATTTTTATAAATATATTTAGTATATCCGGTAGGTATGAAAATAGGTCGTAAAGTATATTTCATATGTCGTAAAGTATACTAGTTTAGTTTTGTACAGTTTGTTATTAAATAATTAATTACTAACAATTGTAGAAAGAGAAATCTTTAGTTTTTCCAAGCATAAATTCTAGTCCGTCTACCCGGAAAAGAGGTTCGGTTACTAGTGCTTGTGTCACCTTATCAAGATGCTGAAATAAAAAAAGAAAGCAAAGTGGTTGTAATTAAAATAGCAGTATGTATACAGTGTTTATTATATAACATTATATTATTCTGTAAGATAAAAACTTTGTGAATTAAAAAAAAAAATATAAAAATTTGAGCCTTCCTTAAAACAACTGGCCTTATTAATATGAAAAGATAATAAACTTTTGTCATTTATCGACCTATGTTCGTTTTTATTTGTTGGGTGGATTTGCATGAAATTAGGAAGATGAATAGATTATTTTAATGAGTGATAATAGTAATTACGTGGCATAAGTGAGGGATGATAGGTGAGGACTAGAGCAGGTTAGTAGGCCTATTGTGACGGATTCTACATGAATTAACCAGTGATTTCTTGAGAGGTCCGCGTGGAGGTTGACCAGCCAGGGAATATTGCAGGGAAAATTAACGAGTGTTCAGTAAGGACTCACGTCAGGAGGTAACTTGGGATCTAGCAATCTGATGAGGCAGCCGGCTACTGGTGATAGTGCGACGTAGTAGTGTACACGATCGGTATCGGGCAACCCTCGCGCTACCAGCCTCGCGAAACCTGCTCCCCCTCCACCACGAACACAGACACGGGAGATCACCGCCATTAGGATCTGGAATAATTTTATCATCATTAACATATCTAATTTGGGGGGAAGGGTTAGTAATACGGACCCATTGCTAGTAATGTACTCTGTCAACTCTACCTCCACGTAGTTCCCTCTGAAAACCATCGTGCTGAATTCCAGGTATATTAATAAAGATGGGCTTAGTGACCTGCATTTTTATTCTCACTTATCATCCCTTATTGTTGCCCCTCCAGCATATACCGTTAGTGCAGGTGGGGTTACCATTCCATTACCATCCATTAAAAAAAAATGGCTGAACTAATCACTATGAAATTTGATATACAAATACTATATGGAGACGGAGAATGACATAAGCCACTTTTTATCTCGGTCAGTAAACATATTCCGGTCATAAAAGAAGTCGTGGATAAGAGCTAGTAATGACATAGTACCATGAAGTTGTGAATTCACTAACCTGACACGTCCGTCCCAGTAGGAGTTCGTTTTGGTTATCGCTAGCCTCTGGTTTGGTTAGCAAGCCCGGAGCTAGGCATATGCACATTTCTAATGCCCGTGCCAGTCCATGGTACAAGTCGAAGCATGTCGCACATAATTTGATTTGTCTCGACTCCAGCTGGGCATCCACGTATACTCTGTCCATCTGGGTATAAATAATAGAATATATGAATTAATTTTCCGTGTGGTCCAGGCATTGAATGGGGCACCCTTTCCTTATCTGTGGGTGTTATAAGAGGCAACTAAGGGAACTTAAAGGTCGACGGTAAAACATCATTTAAAAACTAACTGTGGTTGCTTACCCGCCTAAAAAGATGGTTAACCACCTCGTGTGGGGGAGGCCTATGTTTAGCAGTGGATGGTTAGCGGCTGATGATGTATGAATGAAATACTATATATACCAGAGGGGGACTGTATTAAAGTCATTTGCATGGGTACTTCTGTTCCCTCTTATTTCTGTATCCAAATCCTCAGAAATAGTAACGCATAAGAGTTTATTCTGTAATGTCAACGGTGCTATTCATATCTATAAACGACGGTCATCACTTCCCATTAGGCGAGCCGACAGTTTGTTTACCATCTTATAAAAATATACTTACCTCTTAGATTATATAGGTAAAGCACTGAGCCTCAAAAACGGGTCAACTTTTTGACTCGTTATCAGTGTTCTATATACTTACGCATACAATGTATCTTGACGTATTATTTAATAAATAAAATGAGTATTTCAGCATTAAAAAGATGCGTAAATTATAAGACAAAATAAATATAGAAGTTATAAAGGAATCACTCATAACTATTTATCACGCAAAATTGTATAAAAAGTTGACCCGTTTTTCTCGAAGCATTTCTATGGAGACACTATCTATACAATCTAAGACTTACCTCTTGCATCATGGTTATGAACTCAGATAACGCCCAGTTGAGTTGACTGAGCAGCGAATTTAGGAATACCGCAGCTTCTTTCGGATTTGCAGCTAAATAATCTCTTATACGACCTTGGATTATTTCTGATGGGCATGGACCTATGGAATTCAATATATGTATTAACAAATATGGGTATAATATAATCAATTGTCAATAAATTCTAGTAATATTATAAATATAAAAGTGAATGTATTTGTTTGTTATCTCTTCTGCGTCTTATGCTACCTTCTATCCTGGCACGTGAACGCAGCCACGGGTTAAAGCTAGTATGTATATAAATATAAAAACAATGAGAGTATAAGAAATTATTTCCAAGAAATAAAAAGTACTGGATGAATGGATATTTGTTACGTTATCTTAAGTCTATCGATAGTAAAAGTAAATGTTATAATCGGTTCAAAATCATAATATAATAATAAAATATATAGTTATATATGTTTTATTATTATATTATAGTAAAATATATATTAATAGTTTGTGTTCCACAAAAAAAAAAACCGATTGAAACAACGTTGATAAAATTTCTATGAGATGGGCCAATTTGTATGTATATACGAGTACCTTTCAGATAAAAAAGAATTGTCCAAATCAATTTACAACTGATGAAGTTGTGAGGCAATAAATATAAAAAAAAATACAACCGAATTTGACTAATACAACCTCTTTTTGAAGCCTTTTAAAAAGTATTGGCACATGTGATTGGCATTTGTTTGTGTATATATTACTGGTATGCAGTTATAGAGTATTTAGGATTGACGAAGATAAGGCTAATTTTTATCTCAGACAATCAATATATTCCATTCTAGTCACGTGGGCAAAGTTGCAACACAAAACTAGTATAAAACAAAAGAGACAAAACATGAGAACTTATTTACCAAAGCACTGACTCATAAGGCCAGCGTCTACTCTAGCACCCAAATTGTTTACAGTGGGCTCCCTATCGCCGTACCTGAAATATTATATAAGAAATTCAATTTACCTGATACCTATGTTGCCGACCATTATGATATTAGAATAATAAATCTTATTGGTACTACAGTCCATATATTATACGGTAGATTTCACCGGCACAAATAATACTGGTTAGACGGGTTTGCAATTAAATATAATTGGAAGAGAGATTTTGTACAAGTCATTTTCTTGGGTACGTCTGTTCCATTCGTGTTTCAACCGTGAAGTAGTTGTGTTTGCATGGCTGTGTTTTGGTTTCAAGGGCGGGATATGGCAATGAATTTACAGGGTATAGAGAAATAACACCTGAGTCCTCAGGAATGGCAACGGATGGGGGGTATCACGGGCGAAACAGTACACTGTTATGTCTCTAGCACAACATTATATTGCGAAACATTATATTCTGTTATGTCCATGGTACTGCTCATGTCTATAGGCGACGGTTACCACTTTCTATCAGATGGGCCGTTAGCTTTTTTGCCATTTTAAGTTGCATAAAAAAAATTGAAAATCGTGTATTTATTTGTACATTGGAATGAGAAATATTTCTATATGAAAGTAATTATCTTTATATTTATTTTTATTTAATGTTGTTTTATTTATACAATAATGAAATGGAAATCTACTCAGAGGACACTAGCGGTTCAAATAGGGCGCAAAAAGAGCCTTAGTAAAGAGTCATATTAAATTTGACGTTAGTATTTTTGACTGAGCAGCAGGTCTAAAGTGCCAAGAAAAATCGACACGCGGTCGTTGTTAGAGGGCGCCGTCAAAGCCCAAGGGCATCAGGTAGGCTAAAGCCCGCCCTGTATAAGTCCAAAACAAATAAAACATCCCGGCGTCTGTCAGTTTAGGGTGAAGGTATAAAGAACTAGATATCTGATTTGCAATCTTATTGTTATTGCTGTTTATCTCTAGATTTTCATAAAACTTTTTCGATAAGACTCAAGTTTCTTTTCTATATTACCTACTACCAATACTTAAATCAATTGTTTTCTTGCTCATTTCGTTTCAGGTCAAAACCGTATCTAAGTTTTACATAAAAACAATTCTTAGTGAATCTAGAAGAACAATATTAGGTATGTATGTACTAGATTCAATATAAATAAAGTTTGTGCCTTGTTTGGGAATATTTGCCTAAAGTTTTTCACTAAAATCCATAAAACATAAATACATTTTGTCCTGCGAAAATAAAAACGACATTAATCGTGGGAAAATGTAGAGAATTTGTGTTATTTTGACGATATTTAAAATTATGTAGACTCTGGAGTTGTATCTATATTAGAAAGTATTTATTGCTTTGTAACAAGCAGGATCATCATCTCAGACATTATTTGGCCACTGCTGGACATAGACCTCCCCTATAGACTACCATAATGAACGGTACTGTTCTATCTGCATCCACTGACGGACCATCCACAATCCAGATGTTGATCCGCAAAAAATGGCAGCTTCAATTGTTGGCGATGTCTTTGTACTCGTATATTGTGTAATAATATTATGGATTCGTGTATTCTTTTTGTATAATAAATAAATAGTAATGTTTAAATAAAAATATATAAATATAAATAGTAATCTTTATCGTGTTTCTACCGCCAAATGTTTCGGTTTAAGAATAAATCTCTTATAGATATACCTTCGTTCGTAGATTATATTATATTATAAAAACGTCAAATCTCTGATAAACCTATTTCAACTGTTGGACTGTTTTGTTTCTTCCTTTTGTGGTAAATTTCTAATTTGAAAGAAAGTGACAAAAAAGTGCGATAGAAAAATAGATTTTTGTGTTTTAGTTTTTAGGAATAAGAGGGATAGAATATGTAGTTTCCATTTGCAGGCTGGGATGTGGCTGTGATATTATAGGGTACAGAGATATACTAACTTAATCTTTAAGAATGGCAACCCTTGAGAATACTATCGGCGTCACAGTATATTTTATGATCTCTACAATATTGTCCACGTCCAAAGCAATGTACCATTTTCTATAAAGCGAGCCGTTTACTTATTTTACATTATAAAAAAAGATTTCGTAGCTGCAGACTATTGGAATAACGTTAATACAAAGACTGTAAAGTTCTTATTGAATTTATATATATGTATATTAATAATATTATATCTAATAGAAAAAAAAAATGTGAACGAGCCTTAAATTTTTATATGAATAATATCATTACTTACAAGGCATTGTCCTCTATTCATCTGAATCTATTAATAAAATCCTATTAAGGTGATATTTTTAGACACTTTGCCCTTCAAAAGATAAACTTTTCAGTCTAAAGGTTATTTCAATACATAAATTTAATGTTGCTATTCAGTTACTGGAATAAATTTTAATATTGATATAAGATATAATTAGCTTGTTCTGTGGTCATGATTATATATATAATATATATATATATATATATATATATATATATATATATATATAACTATATAGATACAATATATATATATATATATATATATATATATATATATATATATATATATATATATATATATATATATATATATATATATATATATTGGCCTCTACTTAGTTCTTTCATATAGAACCTAGCAGTTTAGACTAAAAGAACAATAGTGTTTAGGCTAAAACACGAAAAGAAGTTAGAACAGAGTATTATATAAAGGCAAAGTATTTTCAGTTATTTTTAACGGATAAAAATTGAGTAACTCCACGTCCCATCTACGCTAATGATTTATGCAAGCGGGGCACTAGTGAGGGATGAAAAGCAAGGACCGTGATGAATTCAATCAAAATCAAACACACTGGTTTCCAGGTAGAACGACGTATGACCCTAAATGTATTTTATATTGCTACAAATGTTCCTATTATGCGTTAATAGAAAGAATAGAATAGAAATTATATTAATTCAAATAGTTTTGTTTACAAGCTCTTTTAAATCGCTGTTTCTTATGATTCTACTGCTGTGTCAGATATTGTTATCTACTGAGAAGAATCTGCAAGAGAGTTAATAGTATACTTATATGATATCTGTCCGATATTGGATCCGATATGTGTCAGATATGTGCTATATATAAGAGAGTCAGATATGGAATGGTAACCACGCCCACGCCATCGATATACGCTGGCGGGGTACCAGTTAGGGATGATAGGTGACAATAAAAGCAGGTGAGTTAGCCTATCGTGACGAATTCCACCAGAATTAACCACGATGGTTTCCAGGGGGAACCGCTTGGAGGTCGACCTGAGTATTGCTAGCAACGGGTCAGTTAAACCCCATTAGTATCAATCTCTTTCCCCCCTTTTTATGCAAATTAGAAAGACAACTAGCTCACGACCCATTTGATAGAAAGTGATAACCGTCACCTATAAACATAAGCAGTACCATGGACATAACAGAGTATACTGTTTCGCCCATAATGTGATGTGCCGATAGCACGGTTGGAGAGTTATTATTACATTTATAATTTAGCTTATGGAGTTACACGGATCAATGATTACCTGGCAGCTAGATGCGGCCACTGTCGATGTCTAAAGCCGAATCCTGAGCCGTGCCAGAACCTCACCAGCACCCAATTGGACTGCGCCCACGCACGACTCTGGTACGGTCGCAGTAACTCTTCTATCATTAGCATTTGTCTATATAGGTGAATCGAAATCGTTAGCATACTTTTAAGGGAATATTTCATCCATAGGCTTAGCATAATGTACTACTAAAGTCCATCAATGGTATTAAACAAATTTTCCAAAGAATAAATAATAAAAAAAAAAAAAAATTAAGGCCCCAATACTAACACGATGCGTTTAGCTGTTTAGTTAGTATGTGTAATTTAAAATTTTCTATTATTGAATTTTTGGTTCAACAAACTTCTGTTTTAAATTTCTAATAATATATTCATAGACATATTCCTATTTATTTCTTATTGTCAACATTATAAAAAAAGTTTGGTACACAAGACGGACCTAATATACCAGTGAATCTTTGAAAAAACAAAAGTGTAAATATGCAAAATGTAATTCTTAGTATTGTTTAAAAAATAACATAGTTTATTTTTATTTTTAAAATTGTCTCATTTTTAAATTGTAATTCTATAACTCACTGTTTCACCGGCACTCTCTCGATGGCTCGCATCGTGGCTGGTTGTGTCGCGAACGACGCTAGTGTCTGTACTAGGGACTCCCTCGTGTTCGCCAGAACTATGCGCTGGTCCGCAAACTCCGCGCAGAGGAATGAAGCACACGACACCACCAACTCCTCCCATTCTGTTTATTTTACAATCTACCTATACTCCGCGGCTTTGGCCGAGTAATTCACCTATTCATGTTCAATGGTCTCATTGAAAGTCATTGTAGTAATATTGTCGAATATTACAGCAGATACTAAGTGAGAGCTCCTTTCGGTAATCATTGAAGGAGGCATTCTGACTCCTTTCCGTCTCTGTTATAAAATTTTCTCTGTTATAAAATAAAATTTGTGTGTAGTTATAAAATTTGCCACTACACCGTAAATTTGTGTGAAATGCCAAATAAATATTTTTATATTCTATTCTATTTTTGGATTGAAAGTATTTGTACAAATTTGTTTCAATAAAACCCAAGTAGGATTCACGTTTGTAATATTAATAGGATGGCAAATCGCATATTTTGTTTCTTTTTTTTTAATAGGTGACAATGGTATGGTAAACCTGTGCTACCCTGGTAATATGCACTATCGGTACATACTGGCGGGGCATCAGTGAGAGATGAGAGATGAGGATGAAAGTAGGTCAGTTAGCCCATTCTGACGAATTCAACTAGAATTAAACACGATGGTTTCCAGGGGAATCACGTGGAGGTCGACCTGATAGGGTATTTTGCTAGTAATGGGACTATTTGACTTCATTACCCCATTAGGGATTGTTACCCTTCCCCCTCGTATACTCCATGTTATGATGGGGTAAGGATACAATAATGTCACCACTCTTCAAAATATAATAAGAGATGGGACACAAGGGAATAAAACACCAGTGGAAAAGAAGGAATACTAGAAATAAAATCTTATACCAAGCCGATTGGCTAATTTGTATTATATACTTTCTGTATTTTTATGAGAGCAGATCCGTTAACTCATCGTGATGAATTCAAAAGGAATTACAATGGTTACCAGTGGAGGCCACCCTGACAGGGTACATTGTTAGCATTGGGACGATTTGTTCCCATTGTTAACAATCCCTTCTCATCACTTCGTGCCATTGGTCAGCTATACGTAGTTTAAAGCATATAGTAACAATTAAAAGGAAGAAAATTATGAGCATATAATACGTTGACCTTTATGGCGTAGTTGTGAGCACATTTATTTGCGTTGAGGTCTGAGGTTCAATTCTGATTTGGCCAATTTAACAAAGGCACTTTTCTTAATTGGCACGGGTCTAGGTGTTCGAGGTGCGCTCCCAGATGTTCATTGTCTGGTCCCTTATCAAATAGGGTATCCTGCTTCAGATCATCAGGGCCAGACGATTGGCATGATCGTGTAGCCCTATTAATATTATTATATCTAAAATACCTGGAAGCTGCTGAACCGGGACAGTTGGATGCATATAAAGGCGCAACGTATTGCATAGTTCCAGCATAGCATCCACATGGTACTCTGGCACAAAGGCGAATAGGGATTCTGCATAGTCCTGGGTACATACAGCTGGAAAACAATTTTATAATAGCATAGTTTTAAAGAGCTCTATTATCAGTAGTCTAACGGAGATATCTCGACAAAAAAAGAGGGACCGAGTTATAACGTAATCGGTCGGGACATGGCAAAGGCGTTGAACTACTGGTTGTTCTTTACTCTGTGATTAACTATAATATCTTTTAAAGGTGTGATCTATCGGTGAAATGTCTCAAAGAAATGTGAACCGTTAATAATTTAAATTGACAGCTGAATGTATTATTACAGCGTGTTCACATTTTTTTGTCATTTTTCTACGTTTGATTCTTTGGAAAAAATGTTTTGTATCATTGGTAAAACAGTCACTTAAAAGTTTCTTTTTCACTCCGCATTTTCGAAATATGTGACCTCAATATTTTGATTAACAAAAAGAAAAATATTACAAAAGATTCATAATCGTTACTAAAAAAAATCACAATTACCGATTTGACGTCAACGTGATTTTGACTTGATTTTAATTCTATTGCGTCAAAAGTCAGCCTACTCAAAGCCGATATAAATAATCACAATTTTGCTAACTTTGAGAAATCATTTACTTTCGATTTCTAAGGTAATATTCGTCATAATTAAAACATTTCATGGAAATAATTATTAATTTAACTTTATTACACAGTTCGTAATCGTTTGTATTTTAACACTGCATTATGTACATTGTAATTTGCATTATATTGCCAATTTTAACGGCTTAAAAGTCGCTAAATAATTTTAAACAAAATAAGTACGTTTTGCTTCTTAAAAAAAAATCGAATCTTTAAAAAGAAAATGTAGCCTGTACTATTGAGGATGAAGTAAGAATTCTAGCAATACATATGTACGTATAATAATGTGTTCTTCGCCATCTCAGTATAATAAAAAAAAAATACATCCAAATCTCTCAGTGGTATAAAAAAAATACATCACTCAATAAGGAAAGATTATTGAGTGAAGTCCAAATTTGTTCAGGTATTTAGAAAGTACTAGAACCGACAACCGATAGGAAAGATTATTAAGTGATGACCGCGTACGGGCAAACGTAATGTAAGACGAACTCCACTAGATGGAGTGACGACCTCAATTGCAGGGAGTCAGTGAATGCGGGTGAGTTAGGGTCATTCCTTATGGCAGTCTATGGTGGAGATCTATGCTCAGTAGTGGATAGGTAACGGCTGATATGACGATAATGATTTAGAAATTACGGTGGAATAAACAAACTCACATACATACAGTCCATCAGAACAGTAGATATATATGTATATACCTATTAATAATGGTAGATCACAATAAATCAATTTATTTTTTCTATTATGATTCTTAAGGGCTTTTACCATCTTCAGGTATACCAGGTATATCAGTCATATAGTACCCTGAACTGATTTCTCAAATAAAGTTTTATCTAATTTCCCTAATTACAGAAAGGGAGGAATTAATGGGTATCAATAATTTACAGCAATGTTCAAAAATTTCTGATTTGGGTCAGCTAATATAGATTGAATAAGATCAATATTTAATCTATTTAGGTGAAATTTTCTTCTCTTTTCATGATATCTTCTCTTTGCATCGAGTTTATACGACACTCTAACAGTATATATTGCACGTCATCGAGAAATTGCTAATTAAATGATTTTAGATTCAAAAATTAATTAAGTATACTTACGATTTGGTGTCCCTAATTGTGAGCGGGAACCCGCACGTGGTGTGGTAGCCCTTGAAGTTGGACTCTGCGGACTACATTATTATGAATTATAGCTAGATTAGTAATCAGGATCATTAGTAATCAGCTGGATCCGGAAAACGCTGTTTTGCCCTTTATTGCCATCTAGTGGGCCCATTTTTTCTTAACAGGATGAAGATTATCTTACCTTTCAAGTAAGAGCATCAAAGAAATTGGAAAATCAAACAATATACATTTACGAAATTTTATTGAAATCGGTTAAGGGATTAGTGACAAGGATCGTAGATTAGCCTGAACGAACACCGTGACACGAGATTTCTATATTTTAAGATTACATGTTGAAAAAATTACCACCTAACTCGATCCAATGGGATTTGAACTCATATCTCTCTGTTATATAGGTTAAATGTATGAGCACAAATGGTTAACATCAAAATGGTGCTTACGTCGAACGTAGTAACGTTTGAAAAGTGTGATCGATGGTTTTCATTCCGTGGTATTATTAGATAAATCTTTATTTACCACTCGCAATGCATACTTTACAGTGTATAACTATTTAGGTTTTTATTTAAAATATAGTAATCCTTGTGACAGTCTGGAGACTAAACTAGTTTGAAACCTATATTACAGATCTCTAGAGTACCATACTAGCAACTAGAGTTTTTTTTTAAATAAAATATATAGTCCATGTTACTCACTGATAATGTATTATTTTTTAAGTTTATCCAATACAAACGAAACATTTAATCTACCCTCATTTAGATAGATAAACTAAAGTTTAAATTGTGATACCTTTGATCTGAACTAGAGGTATACTCCAGTTGGAGAGATGCGTAACTAGCACCATCGAGAATGGAGTTTTTGCCTGGTAGAATTTCTCTGCTGGCTACCTAAGGTATAAACTTAAAATTTAATTCATTCTAATTAAATTATATATTACAATTGATGATTCACACTGTTAAATTTGTCGGAAAATACACAGTTTGTTTTTTTTGTTTTAGTATAGAAGTTGTCTGGTTTGGTAAATCTGTTGTATTTAAGTTTTTGACAATATGACAGTGAAATTTCAGGATATGGAAGGACCGTAATGGTAAGGGATGGCAATGCATGAAGGGTACCATGGGTATCAGAGTGCATTCTGACCATGGAAATGTCCATGGTGCTTATTTGTGTCTATAACTAACGGGTGCCATTTTTCGATAGATCGACTATTAGCTTGTTTATCATTACAAGCTCCATAAAAGATAATAATTTTGAACTTCATTATTCGTGTGCTAGCACTTTTTTCATCCTCAGAATGTTAAGAAGTGACAAAGAGTGTAAAGTAATATATACCAGTAGAAGAAAAGATAAATTCGAAATAAAACACTTTATCAAGTCCTTTGTCTTGTGTTGTCCTCTGATATCAGGGCATCAAACAAGTAGTTGTAACACGCTAATTTACTTCTAAAAAAATAGACCGATAGGTTTATATTTATTTAATAAATAAAAATTAGAGAGAATTAGAAGAATCTCAAGCAAACCTAAATGTATAAGGGACGAAGAGTCTAAGTTCCGCACCTTTGAAGCAGAAGTCGGTGTTAAAAGGTTAGCCCCGAGGCTCTCACCTGCGCCTTTCTTGAAGGCCGAAGAGAACCCTGAGCGTAGTAAGGCAATATGCTCCTTATAAAAGAAAAACTTTTATGGTTGGAGAAGGTGTTGACAGAAATTGCGATAGAAATTACTTGTGTATGCGCCGCATAATCAGGGTCTGACGATAGTCTTAAAGAGTGCAGGGCTCCTGCGAAGTGTTTAGCCAGCTCCGCCTGTCTCTGTTTGGTCCATATGGCTCCGATCACCCATGCCATCTGGAGAGAGCCAGCTTCAAGTTTCTCCTATTGACAACAACAATAAATATCTAGTACACTTAATTGTGTAAATATATTTATTTATTGAACATTGAATTGAATTTAATACACTAAGATAAAAAAATTCAAAAAAATTTGGCCTGGTCAGCACACGATGTCTTGAGGTCGATGTCAGGAGGCCTAAATTTTTTGGTAGTGTGACTTGTGTTCGTTTGAATTCAGTGGGCCTACCATGAAATGTTTTCTAATATTTCGGAGTCGAACGAAAATTAAATTTCATGTTAAAATTACATAATACATACCGCTTCAAAATATTTAAAATGTTAAAATATCGTTCTTTTAAACTTTTATGATGGGATATAAGCCGAACGAAATGTTAAGCTCCATTTACTGGATCGATTTCGGTATGAACAAGAACAAGAAATTAAGTCTGAAAATTTGGAATTTCATTTCATGGTAGTCCTTCAGTTTCAATGATATAATATAAATCAGTTCCTTAAAAGGATGTTGATTTTGATTTCAACTTGTATAGGCAAGTATTTTCAGTTTCCATAAAGTGGATCGCTAGTTTATTTGGCATACCACTAGTCTGATTAGAGGGAGACTTTGTACAAAAGTCGATTGCTTGGGTACCTCTGTCCCATTCGTGTTTCAACCGTGAAGCAGTTGTGTTTGCATGGCTGTATTTCGGTCTGAATGGTGGGATATTGTGTGAATTTACTGTGTACAGAGGAATAACACCTGAGTCCTCAGGAATGGCAACGCATGGGGGGTATTATGGGCGAAACAGTATACTCTGTTATGTCTACGACGTTCCACCTGACTTTCCATCAGGTGGGCCGTCAGCTTGTTTGTTGTTGTTTAATTCTTCATTCTAAGTTGTATAAAAAAAAATTGGCATTCTTGGTAATATTAAAAAAAAAAACTATAGATGAAAAAGAGAAAATAAAAAAAAAACTACCTCATACACCGCCTTGGATCTTTCTAATTCTTTCAAAATATTTTCCATTAACTGTTTTCTGTTTTTTTCTTGTTCTGTTAACTCTTCGTTCGAACCTAAACGATATATCTCTTTTATTTAATTAAATTATATCTTTAATGTATAATAACGGAATGGTTTTCTCGTTCTATGTTATTAGTATACACTGAGGGAGTAACAGAGTGATTGGTTGGCTCATCGTGACAAATTCATCAGGAATTGATCACGAAGATTTTCGAGGGCACCTTCGTGTAAGTTAATTTGGCAGGGAATATTTACAGCAATAACTCACCGGCTTATGTCAATAGGGCAGGCCGGATTTCCATTGCATTACTATCTCTTCAAAAAAAACTTGCTGTAATCTGCAGTCTTGCCTATTTATATTCGGATAGAAGTGTTTATATAGATGCATATAATATAGTTCTTTTATCGGTGTAACAAATTTAATTCAAGTCAATTAAATAGTTTATGTATAATTGGGTACTAATATTTTTTATTACAAAACCTCTATTTCACCTGTACTTCTGCTATAAATCAGCTGTGTTTTAATTTAAAGGGTTACAGAGACAATACCATATCATGCTATATCAGCCGTTAATTGGCCACTGCTGAATGTAGGTCTCCCCTATTGGGCGGTTTTGCTAGTAGTTGCTACGCTTGGCAGGCGGGTTATTTTAAGTTGTTTTAAGAGGGACGCTCCAGCCCATTTCTCTTGGGGGGAAAGGGATTGTTAGTAATGGAGACTAAGAATTCCATTGCTAGCAATATACCCAACTAGGTCGACCTCCTCGCGGTACCCCCTGAAAACTATCATGGTTAATTCCTGATGAATTCATCATGATGGGTTAACTGGCCTGTTTTCATTCTCATCGATCACCGTTCATTGGTGCTCCGCCAGCGTATCGCGTTAGCGCAGGCGGGGTTACCATTCCATTTTCACCCATAAAAAAAAAAGCCCATCTCTCTTAGTCGCGTCTCACGAAACCCACAGGAAAGAAAAGGATAGCCGAAATGACACAGCAACACAATACCATAGTTCTCAGGAATAGCAATTAATGATGCCACAAACTATTCCATAATGTCCATTATTTTGACGACGACGCTTACTACGAGTAGTTTTTTCACCCGTCAACTTGTTTTTAATCTTCTAAAGTATCTAATCAAATAACAAATGAACTGTACCACTACCATTCATATGCTTACCCATATCAGCTTGCATCTCTGTGGAAACATTGTAGATTCTTTGCTCTATATCGTGAAGACAATCCGCCATGTCCAATTGGTTGTCTCTCAATTCGCACAGCTAAAATAATTGTAGACAATGATAGGTTTGTGGTGTTTCTGAATGCACATTTTCTAATTTCCGAACAAAAGATAAAAAATAGTCTGTGGTAGAAAACTACTCTGTGGGTACGGCCTGTACCTAAATCAATTATTATTATACCAAAAACACTATGTTGTATTCCTTGTGAGTGATAAATAAATGATTATTTCCCAGTTTGGTGACCCCAACGTGCTATAAACACGCAACCTTGTAATTTATGTCCAAGGATAATTAATAAGGATTTATAAGGATATTAGGAGGATCTTAAGTAACTTAAAAGTAACTTCATTATCACGTCTCATCTTTCCAACAGTAAACACATTTTTTTTTAAATATATCTATTGGGGCAGATGCAAAAAATAGAACGCTAAATATCCGATAAATATCCGATTCAAATAGATTATTTTCCTGTACATTCATCAATCTATTCATACATGCTCACCAGTTACGAATTCTTCAGCTTGTTTGCCAAATTGCATAAAAAAATTGCCTTCTTCAGCACGTTGCCTATTTGGTCGACGTACATTTGTCTATGGCGGCCCCTATTGATTTCTTCATTTATTCGTGCTGGATAAATCTCTTTCATTATTCTTTATTCATCCATCCTCTCCAAATGGCCAAAGCAACGCAACATTCCCATTTAAATTTTCGCCACTACATCATTCTTCAGTCCACACCACTCTAATCACACTATGTCCCACTCTGTTCACAGATTCCGTACTAACAATTTTTTTTCTACTGATAATGCTATTATTATTGAATTACATACTGCAGACAAATAAATAGTTTGCAAAGCAAAATCTTACCTTTTCGGCATGTTTAATAGCAGCTCCATGATAAAGGGCTAGTAAACCATCAACCAATCTCAGGTGTGCTGATCTGACATCAACAGCTCCAGCGCCGGGCATCATGGAGCGAGTCCCTTTGAGAGCTAGCGCTGTCTCACCAGTTATTCTAACGTAGAAGAGAAAGAAACATACCGTTGTTTCTAGAAGACTGATGTATTGATTGATAAATGAATTCTAAATGAATCAATGATTGTTGAATTCTGATAAATTCGCGTCGAGAACTAGCCAGTTAGGATTATAGTTCTTTTAAAATAAGTAATGAATTAGACGAATTCACAATTGTAAACTTATGTAATCAAACACACTCAGTCCGGATTGCATAATTGGTAGTTTAAATTCCACGGATCGAGTTGTCGGCAAGTAAATTAAGTAATAAGTATTTTAATTAACATTCAGAGAAATATATTTGGGCTGCTGTCTATTAAAAGAATTTTTCATATCGGCTATTGTATTGATGCTCTGATGAAATAATTTTCGAAAACAGAACATTTGCTATGGTGTTAAATTCGTCAATTCTGTCTTTAACGTATTTGTAAATATTCGATGTATGGACTACATAATATGCAATTTTATATTCAAATACTAACATTACTTGCAGGGTGGTGGTATTGGGATGATTTCTATTGAGAGGCCACCATAATTATGGAGTGGTTCGGATGAATAAAATATACCATAATTGTTACTTGTGGTAGGTATAACTATGATACTGGCTGTAACGATTTCACTTTACATTATACATTTAATAAGAAGTGTGTGTCTATCAGTAACACTGAACATTTCTAACTGACATCAAAAAAGAGAAGGTTCTGAATATGGTTGTATTTTTATGTTTGTGACTTCTTAACTCTGTCATTTACAAGTATAAAATGATTCGAAAAAACTCTTGTTCATTTGAGAAGGTATTACATTTTTAAATTAGTACCATAGTTTCATCGATTCAGTGGTTTAGTTTTTAAACTAAAATAACTAGTTATGCTATGATTAAAGTTGTTTTTTTTTGTGGCATAACATTTTCAATTACTTTTAACACGTTGAATACCAAGCTATAAATCGATATCTTTCCAAATGAGTTGTGTCAGATAATGTTATGTAACAAAAACTTAATTTTGGTTATTTTTCGAATTTTTCATGGTCAAAAGGTTCAACGTGTTTTAATGAAATATAGGTTGAAAAATAACAAATTTGAGTCTCTCGTACTAATTTAAAGAGAGGATGAAAAACTACTGTCGGTTTTCAACGTATATTTCTTTAGAAGGAGCATTCAATTTCTTATTACACACCTATTCGGCATTGTAGGCATGGGCTGATGCATGAATCTGGCCAACGATGATATTACTTGTGGTAGCGTAGCCAACCCTGGAGAACCAGCGGTCATATCGCTTACACCTAGAATAATTTTAGACCTTATTATGGCTGTATTCTCTCTCAGTAAATGTCCCATAGAGAAATTTAAGTTAAATTTTTATATTTAAATTGTACATCATCTATGGTTGACTTTTGATGACGAATTAGTAGTACTAATTTAATTTTGTAGACACATTACTTTGAAAATAAGGTTCCGGGATCGATTTTTAGTTGACCAATTTAGGAAACGAAATTTGCAGACCTGGCCAATTAATAATTGAGTCTGGTCTGCGTTTATGCAGAAAAATGTAATTACAGTTTGTTTAAATAGAATTTAATGAAAATAATAATAAACAATAAATTGACGCGACTAGAATACAATTTATTGATTTTTAACACTAGATAGATAGATATTCCTTATTGTTTTTTCCAAAAGATGCCAATAGTAAACTTAATTGTTTATGTATCTAAAGTTTATATATTAGTTAATAAGTTTTATAAGTAGAAGAGGGCCCAAAACTTCACGAAACAGGGAATCTTAATGTGAAGTTTGGGAACAAATAGAAATTAAAACATGTATTTTTGGATTTAATAAATATTATATTATATTATTAATATAGATACAAACAATTATTATCACAGTTTCAGTACAAAAAATCATCACAGTGAGAAAACAATGCCTCCCATTGTACAAATCATAAATCAATTAATTGAATGTTTCAATCTGTTATTAATGATTTAGAAAGAGTTTCTGTGATATTTTCAACAACCTATGCTTATCTTTTTTTATTCATATATATCATCATCATATCAGCCTTTAACTTTTCACTACCCCTTGGGGGGTTTTGCTAGCAGTTGCCACGCTTGGCAGGCGGATTGGCAACCGCAGTTAGGCTTTGGGGATATTTAAGAGGGATGCTGTTGTCCATCCCTTGCTCTCCCTTAATTGCCTTTTACGCCACCCACGGAAAAGGAAGGGGCAGATAGAGGAGGTCGATGTTTTTTTTTATTGATTTAAGCACAGAGTGATGTAGTCATCACTCTAAGAAAGGACTTAGGGGATCTACTATTAGTGATTAAATGTTGATAATAGCACGTATTGTAGGCATTGCGTTGGCACTTTGGTATTGCAGGCTTTCACAGGCTACGGTAATTGCTTACCATTAGGTGGGCCGTATGCTTGTTGCCACCTCAGTGGTATAAAAAAAAGTATATAATAATAGTAGTAGAATTAAATTCTTTTGTTTATTTAATTCTAATCAGTCTTCAGTAATATCAATTAAAATACATGAACAAAATACAAATTTTGTAATTAAGGACATTTAGAATTTCATTACATGCCATTAAATGGAGAATGATATAATTAATCTCATATATTATGAATTTTGTGTCACGAATAATTGGTAGAGAAAATGGATATTACGAAAATTGACGTTATTTTGAAATCGCTTTCTCGTTATACAATTATTTTAATGACACATGAAAATACTTTATTGGAGTCAATTTTTGTTAGCTCTGTATTATTATGATTGAATATTTTATTAAATCAATCTCAAGGATAAATATGATATTTTTCAATATTCATTAAAATGTCTACTTTGTTCCAATGACATCCGATTTGTTATATTGAATGGTTTGTTTGTTATATAAAAAAAATTCTAATAGCTATTATTTTTGTAAAAATATAATGATAAATTCATCATTATCATATCATTCATTAACTGTCCACTGCCAAATATAGACTTAACCATAATAGGGGGTTTCCCAGTAGTCACCACGCTTGATAGGCGGGTTTTTTTTTATAGGTGAAAATGGTATGGTAACCCCTGGATACGCTGGTGGAGCACCAGTGAAGGGTGATCGATGAGAGTGAAAACAGGCCAGTTAGCCCATCATGATGAATTCATCAGGTATTAACCATGATAGTTTCCAGGGAGAACCGCGAGGAGGTCGACCTGGTTGGGTATATTACTAGTAATGAGATGTTCAGTCTCCATTACTAACAATCCCTTTCCCCCTTGATAGGCGGATTGGCAAGTCAAGTTTTGGTAATGTCTTAAAAGGGACGTTGCTGTCCATCGCTTGACCAATAAGTTATGTATATCGATCATTAAACTAAATTTGATTTTAGAAAAATTTAAGGTAAGTTTCCATGTCCATGAGAGACAATCTCTAAATATTTTTAGAAGTAGATTTAAAGAGCATCTTTTGTCTTTATGAACATATATATATATATATATATATATATATATATATGTCTATGATATATACCTGTATCAATACCGCCAGCCCTATTGTAATTGGGCTCGAAACTTTGTATAAAAGGGTTGTCTTCCCCGAGCACATTTATCAGGTCTTGTCTGTAAATAAGTCAATGTGGTTAATGATGTATACCACACTCCTTCTGATGGTCGCAGGTTCGATCCTTGCACAAAACAAACATTAGTAATAATGAGTATATCTATGTATTAATAAAGAAATAAAAAAAATAAAGTATTTCCATTAATTGTCTAATACTCCTTGTAAATGTTTAAAGGCATTTATTTAATATCAAGCGTAGGGACTTACACTACTAGTTACTAGTCAAAACTACTTACTGGTAATTTGATTAAAATTATTTTGTTAGGAAATTATTAGCACATTTTTGAGGTTGGGATGATGATTATTTAAAACCCTCTGTTCCTTTTGTGTTTCTACCGTGAAGTAGTTGTGTTTGCATGGCTGTGTTTCAGTTTGAAGGGTAGGATATGGCAGTGAATTTATAGGGTACAGAGAAATAACATCCGAGTCCTCAGGAATGGCAACGCATAGGGAGTATCATGGGCGAAAGAGTATACTCTGTTATGTCCATGGTACTGCTCATGTGTATAGGCGACGGTTATCACTTTCCATCAGGTGGGCCGTCAGCTTGTTTGCTATTCTAAGTTGTATAAAAAAAAAACTCTGTTATGTCCCTGGTACTGCTCATGTCTATAGGCGACGATTACCATTTTTCATCAGGTGGGCCGTCAGCTTGTTTGCCATTCTAAGTTGCAAAAAAAAAACCCCTGACTGACTGAAAATTTAAAGAACCTTAAAGTCCTCACGAGGAACGGCAACACTCCACCCAAACGGTCCACATTGTAGAAGTCTAGTTCTCCATCTATAAACGTCTTGGCAGGCAGATGTGGTGGTAAATGACTGTAAAATTTACATATGAATGTATTATTACAGTTACAAAGATCTCCTTATTAATAAACTTTCTTTGCTTTTATCCTTTGGCATTTTAATGGCTTAACCAATAGTCATGAGGTTTGATATAGGTACACTTACTATATGAATGTGAATACATAAATTTATTGGGTGCGGAAAAATAACACCTGAGTCCTCAGGAATGGCAACGCATGGGGGGTATCATGGACGAAACAGTATACTCTGTTATGTCCATGGTACTGCTCATGTCTATAGGCAACGGTTACCATTTTCCATCAGGTGGGCCGTCAGCTTGTTTGCCATTCTAAGTTGTATAAAAAAAATGTGATGGAGATAGACATAAATCACGGGCATGAAATCACGAAAGTGATAAAAGTTAAGTATATTATAAATATAAAAGTGAGTTTGTTTGTTAAACTCTCAGCGTCTGAACAACTTAGATAGATAGATACCTACATAATTTATTTGCATTACTTACAGCACACAAATAACAACGGATATAGATAGACATACATAGTAAAAAGAGATAAAAGAATATGTATACAAAAAAAAAATATATACATAAAAGAAATATTTTTTTTCCTTTCATACAACAAGTTATTATATATTATTATTGAGAGACAGGCTTGTTCAGGCAGAAAACCTGTAACACTGCGACCTTTCTATGATCTTTTGTGCTCCGTCTTTTTTAAAGTCCAAGCTAACTCCTATCTGTGATAAGAATTTTAAGATGTTCTTTGTAGTGATGTTTTTTTATCTCCTCAGGATATAACGTGCTTTTTCCAAAGGCGATACATATATCGTTTATGTATGAGTGGGCCACAGCCATACATTCAGTGCTGGTTTGTTCCACATTCTTTATTCTTTCTTTATTCTTTATTGTACATAAAACATACTGTTAATCACAATTCATTATAAACATAATGTACAATGGCGAGCTTATCTCTAATAAGAGATTTCTTCCAGCAAAACCTTTTCATGTAGATTGTGTTATTTTAAAAATAAAAAAAAAATAAAAAAAAAATCTTGTGACAAAGTCTGTAAACACTTTTAGGGTATAAAATATTCATAAATTGTCTTGAAATTTCGTAATATCTATTACTTTGACGTAGGTTATTTTTTATTATGTTCAATTAACATATCATGATCAAATCAGACGTTAACTGTCCACTGCTGAACATTGGCTTTCCCTTTGGAGGGCTTTGCCAGTAGCTGCTAAGCTTGGCAGGCAGATTGGCAATCGTAGTTAGACTTTGGTTATGTTTTAGCAGGGACGCTGCTGTTCATTTCTCGATCATTATATTCCCTTAGCCAATTAACATATCTTAGTTTGTATAAACTACAATAGTATAAGATAAAAATATATATACGGATGGCCTATGGGGTTTTCGCTCCACAGTTTGAGCATAGCGGTGAGCAGACGGGCGTGACAGCACCACGAGATGGCCGGAGAGTTGCGGGAGATGTTGAACAGCCTCTAGAAAATGTCCTACTTTGTCATACTGCAGACTAGCTTTTTGCCTGCTGCTTCTTACGCGTGGATTCCAGAAGAAAACCAATAAAATATGCCACTACTAGTTGACATATCAAGATAAAACATAAAACAGATTTTAAGTTAGACCTTTAAAAACACTACTGTGAAAACCGCGTTCAATTTGGTGCCGGAGTTTTTGTATGATGCAGGAATAAACTTACAGACAGACAGATACTCAGACAAAATTTCTAAAAGTTATTGTTTTGGCATCCATTGGTTATGACTTCATATATTAATATTTATTAAAATATCTCCCATGTATTGACATAGTTTGGTTACAATTTTATGGTATTAGTAGGATATGTTGTCTACTTTTAAATATGTACTACATATTGAAATTGAAATAAATAGATGTAGTTTTATTTAAAAAAAAAAAAAACACCTATTTCAATTTTGTTTTAAATACTGAACTATTGAACTGATTTTGTTAAAAATTTCTATAGGACTAGCATATAAGATATATGAATAGATACACTTTACTGTTTTCTCTAAATGATCATAGATACAATAGTACTATCTCTGAAAGTATATCTTTTCAGACAAAAAACAATTTTTCAAATCGGCTTATACATGACAGAGTTCTGAGGTAACGAATATAAAAAAAAAAACAATCGAATTGGGAACGTCTTTCTTTTTTTAAGTTAATTAAAAATTAAACTGACTATACTTTTTTTTGCAATTTGGTAACTGTCGCCTATATTTATAAATAGTATCATGGGCATGACCACAAAATTCTAACACCCATGGTACCCCTCATACGTTGTCGTTGTTGCTTAAAGGTAAAATTACCATATCCAGTATGCAGTTGTCCATTATGTATCTTCGGAACTTCTCTAAGAATATCTTGCGAGTGGATGGAACCATATTTGTGCCGTCTGAGTTCTCCAGCAGCATTAGTAAGAATTCCAACTGGAAGTATAGATTCAAATTCAAATTCAAATTCAAAAATCATTTATTCATGTAGGACATTTTAGCCGCTTATGAACGTCAAATTTTTACATTATAATTTTATATTTACTCTACCGTCCAGTTCGGTATATAGATCCAATTGAGAAGAACTGGCAAGAAACTCAATTGAATTACTTTTTTTTTTTTAAAGCCAGTTTATTTACAAGATGTTATTGTATTAGCCACTGCTGAACATAGCCTCCTTCAAAAGGCGGGTTTTCCCGGTAGTTGAGACAACAGGCGGGTTGGAAAGTATAGATATAGATCTATTTATAATATTAATAGGAGAGTAATTTTTTTTTCTGTCATCGTTCGTGATGTCATGCATAGCCATTACAGAATATACCTAAGCGCTGTAGCAATTAATTTGCTGCAACACATACTGAGTGGCGGCCATGTTGGCAATAAGAAATATGAAGTGTGTTTTTTATTTATAAAAAGTGTACTAGAGGGAGACTTTGTACAGTCAAGTCGTTTGCTTGGGTACCTCTGTCCCATTCGTGTTTCAACCGTAAAGCTGTGTTTGCATGGCAAGTTCGGTTTGAAGGGTGGGATATGGCGTGAATTTACAGGGTACAGAGGAATAACATCTGAGTCCTCAGGAATGGCAACGCATGGGGGGTATCATGGGCGAAACAGTATACTCTGTTATGTCCATGGTACTGGTCATGTCTATAGGCGACTTATACCACTTTCCATCAGATGGGCCGTCAGTTTGTTTGCCATTCTAAGTTGTATATAAAAAAAAGTGTAACTATTTTTGTTAGTGGCAATAAATGTTTTCTTTTTTTCTATCTAATAACATTATAAATGCGGAAAGTTGTAACGACGGATAGATGGATGAATGTTTGTTATTTTTCTCCCAAAAACTGCTAAACGAATTTAAATGAGATTTAAATCACGGGTGGGTTATGTCGTAACTTAGCACATAGGATACTTTATGTGAAGAATCTAGCAGGTAAAGTTGCGGGATACGACAAGTTCTTAGATTGTATGGACTAGAGCCTCGAGTCTTAAAACGGGTCAACTTTTTATTAGCTAATTGTCAAATCAGCTGACACGTTCTTTTTATCAATGTTTTATATATTTACGCACATAATGTATCTTGACGTATCTTTTTTATTTATTTAATAAATAACATTAGTTTTTATGTATTAATAAAATGTGAAATTTATAAAACTTCTATATTTATAAAACAAAATAAATATAGAAGTTATAAAGCAAACACTCATATCAATTTATCATGTAAAATTGTATGAAAAAGTTGACCCGCTATTGTCGAAGCATTTGTATGGAGATACACACACAATATTGTTTATAACTCGTAAGCGTCCTTATTACAAGGTTAGTCGTAATGGATATATCAAATCAAAATCCAATCATAATATTCATGAAACAGAATAATTTACTTCATGCTTGTAACGCAGCCGAAATATTTACTAACATTATAAATGGGAAACTGAGTTTGTTTATTTGTTACCGGCTTAACTACTATGATTTTTTCAAATATAATAACCACCGAATTAAATTTACGTGTAATTAGACCGAGAAAGCTTGACTAGTTTCGGAATCAAGTCCAGACCCTTAATCTATGGAATTTATTTATACATATTTACACATACTACCATTTATGGAATAAATAAGGATATAAGCTAGCTGTTAGTAAATCTTTCCTAGTCTTGCGAACAAAATCGTGGGTAAAAGCTAATATGAGAAAAAAAAATACAAAACAAAAGGTTAGTATCGTTTTATGAAAAATTACACTTTATAAGCCAGCTATAAAACCCTAAGTTCATTTTACGACGCCGGTAGCACGTCGAAGGATCTACACAAACTTTGTGTTTACTTCATTCATTTTTGAAGAAGTGAAAGTAATTGAAAATTTTCAACGGAAAGTTATGGATACTTTCTAAAGATTACGTCAAAAACAAAGCGCGTAGAAATGAAGTAAATAAGTGATATAATCGAATACAATCCGATGATTGTGAATAATTAATTGCTAGATTCGTCAATACTATGAACTACGAGTATTTTCATTATTTCATATAGTATTAGAATGCTAAATATAGTGACTAGTTTTTGTAAGAGACGATAATGAAATGGTAACCCTGCCTGCGCTATTCGTGTATGCTGGCGGGGCACTAGTGCCGGATGATAGATGAGAAGGAAAAGGCAGGTCAGTTAGCCCATCGCGATGATAAACCTGGAATTCAGCACGATGGTTTCTAGGAAGACTATATAGAGGCCGACCTGACTATATATCCTTAATATATGCTAAAGGGGGACGGGATCGTTAGTAATGGCGAGGTTACACCCCATTGCTATCAATATACCCTATCAGGTCGACCTCCACGTGGTTTCCCCTGGAAACCATCGTGACTGATTTATCGTTAAATTCGTCACGATGGGCTAACTGACCTACTTCATCCTCACCTATCATCCTTCACTGGTGCCCCGCCGGTGTATACCGATAGCACGGGAGGGGTTACCATGCCACTATCATTAAAAAAAAAATATACGCTATATTGCTAGCACCGGTAGTCCGCATTACAAACAATACCTTTCCCTCCGACATAGTGATTGGTAAAACTGTTAAGGGCTTAAAAGATAACGAATAAAATTAATAAAAAGACTTACTTTCATTATTATAATATTAGTAATTTGTTAGATTTTAGCAGTTGTTGGCTTGGATTACCAAGGTATGGAGAGAAAACTAGGTGCCACAAGTTTCTATTCATAATCACGGCTTTTGTTTCATTTCTTTTCATTCACTTTTATTATATCACACTCTCTAACAATACTATCTTGACCTAAACACTACACAGTTAATCTCTTAGATTATAAAGTATATAGATCGGTAATGTAAAAGAGAGAAAGTATAATAACATATATGTTAGAGTGAGATAGACAAGTAGGACACACAATATAAGCTCGAAGCTGATTTGGCAGGAGTATGAACAAGATATGCACGATAGTGTTACCACTTTCTTGGTTCTTTTTATTTCAATGCTAGTCTATCAGTATGCAGTTAATTTAATCTTGTTTGTTAGAGAAGTTTCAAACGATTCTATGGATAGAATCGTTATCGCTTTTGATTGATCACGAGATAGAACGAGATGGTGACGTGCGCTGTCTTGTTCTTTCTTGTCTGAGTGCTAACTGGAACGATTATATTGATAGATTTGTTTGCCACTTATCTAGATAGATCTGTTTTGCCATTATTTCATTTAACATTCTTCCCACGTACTCGAACTGACGTAGCGTGCACTTTCTCACTTTTACACAAACTTTAAAACGACTCGCTCTAATACTATTTCATTACGAACTGGCTTCTTGTTCGCTACTTTGTACGCGTGGATTTCAAAAGTAGGAAAGCCAATTAAACAGAGCACTTTTAAATGGCGTATGGCGATAAAATATATTTTATACCAGATTTTAAGTTAGATCTTCAGGAATATAGTTTTGAAAACTGCATCCAATTTGGTTCAGTAGTTTTTGCGTGATACCGGAACAAACATGTAGACAGGCAGACAGACAAAATTTCGAAAAAATATTGTTTTGACTTCTGTTGCTCTTTTCTTATTTATGGCAAAGTCATAAGATATGGACATTTGTAGGAATACTTTAAATCCTGGCATTGATATCCTCAATTCAAGCGCCTTCTAATTGTGCTCGAGCACGTAAAACGTCTTTTTTTCATATTTTGTTAAGAAGAATAGAGCTGGCAAAACAGGCTTCTCTTCCACTAACCGGTCTTGGATATATTGTATTTAATTTGTAAACTTGTCGAGTTTCGTAGAATGGCAATAAATTATTTAGAAAGTGTCCAGTAATTAAATTTTATTATGTTTTATATATTGTGATACCTAAGTGAGCGAACTGGGAAACTGTGAAGCTCCGTTAGTTGATAAATATAATAAATAAATAAATAAAATACCTGGATTTGTTCCAAGGGTGCGACAGCCTTCGTGATTTTATCGCAATCCTCTCTATATTGTTTTTCTATGTCAGAATCGTCATTAGCTGGTAGTAGCTTCGATATTTTGTCTATAACAATTACGTTAATTATAACAATTGTAATTTAAGATGTAATAACAATAAAATTTGATCAGCTGTTGTTATTTGGTGACCATATTTTGCAATAAAGCAATATTAAAGACTAGCTTTTTGCCTACTACTTTATACGGATAATTTCAGAAATAAAAAAATCAATGAAATGGCCCTCTTCTATCTATCCTTACCTATCATGATAAAACATATACCACATTTCAAGTCGAACTTTTAGGAACGCAATTGTGAAAACCGCATACAATTTGGTGCAGTAGATTATGCGTGGTGTCGAAACAAACATGTATACAGACAGACAAAATATTGTTTTGGTATCTATTTGTCTTACTAAAACTTCACATATTAAATTTTCTTAAATATTGGTTGTGTAGTTTTTGAGTTAATCCATTACATATATACATATACACAATCAACTCTTTTTTCTATATAATATTAGTTACAGATATTAATAAGAATAATAAGGTGTGGTTTTAAGGACAAAACTAAAAAAACGACACGGACTAAATGAAACATCTATAACAAACAACATTTACATTCTTTTTACTTGGTTTGTGTTTTTAATTGTATCGCAATTATCTGCTTTAATTAGTGATACTATTTAATCATAAGGTCTAGATCCGGCGCACATTTTATCAAACTTAAGCTAAGGGCACTTTTAAATCTATAATAAAATGGAATGGAGAGCTTTATGAATAATTATATATAATCGTATCGTTATATTTATAATTAATAAATATAACGATACGATTGTATAAGTATAGCAAGCAATACCTTTAATAATACCATCAAGTATATACCTGTTTCAGTTGGAGAAAATGGTGATTGCTTTATTGTGCCTTTTTCAGCCATTTCTGAGAAGGAAATAAATATATATGTATATTTTTTAATTATCCCTTACATTTAGAAATGTACGCTATTGTTAACTTCAGAAACGTGGAGGCTCTCAAATGGAACGAATTTTTTGTATATTAAACGATGCCTTCACTTATTGTGGATTGATTTTGTTAATTATTATTCTATCAAAAGTGCTTTTTTTCATCGTGTCTTCGATCAAACTGTTTATAATTACTCCTATCCTGGAAGAGATCGCTTTTAGCGATAAGGTCGCCCATTGTTTTTTCACTGTGATCATTTCTTGAAATAATCACAGTGAGAAAGAATGAGTGAGAATTAAAGGGATTGTTAGTAGAAGTAATGCGGACTACAAGTCCTATTGCTAGCGATATACCCTGTCAGGTTGACTGGAGGTCCCCCCTGGAAACTGTCGTACTGAATTCCAGGTTTATTCATCACGAAAGGTTGACTGACCTGCCTTTTTGTTCTCACCTATCATCCTTTCCTGGTGCCCCGCCGGCGTATACCGTTAGCGCGGACGGGGTTACCATTCCATTATCTACCATTAAAAAACCGACTTGCTTTTATCCTTACCTATTTATTATCTGTCACTGGTGCCTCGTTGTACCGATATCAATTGGTCGAGTTGTTACCATTCTATTTTTTCTCATTAAAAAAGAAAATACAGTCTAACAAAAAATATTATATAACAAATAGTGATACCAGCTATTCTTGGGTCCGTTTCTCCTTGTACAGAAGTGGGTCTTTGCCACCAGGCTTTTCTGATGACAGTACGTAGAACAGTATCATCAGGGCACTTCACATTTAGGAAGTTGTCAAACCTGAGACATATTTATTTATTTATATCATGTATTTAAAAAGTAAATTATTAAAAAAAAATCTATATAAATAGGTATGTTATCTATTGTAATTGTTATAATAGATACCTAATTATATAGATTTTTTTTTAATTAATTCTTCTGATTCATATATTAACGCACAAACCTAACTGTCAAAAACACAATACGGTATCATCTATGATTAACTCGTGATGTCCCACTGCTGGGCAAAAGCCCTCCATTTTACAAAATTTTTCCTTTATTTCCTGGGCCGGTCTTGGTGATGCTGTCCATCAGTAGACACCAACTGGTTGCAAATATTTGCCCACCTATTGGGACCCATATGAGTAATGTGACCCATCCAACCTCACATGATATTTTACTAATATAATAAAATTGTAAATAGACAATGTCTGTACATGGGAAATATTTAAATAAAATAAAAACAATAAAAGTCAAAACAATGCTTTTTAGACATTTTATCAGTCTGTCTGTATGTATGTTCCGGTATCACGCAACAACTACTGCATTGAATTATATGTGGTTTCCCCAGTTATGTTTACGCTGGACATTGGTGTTTTCTTCTTATGCACTCATGCATATGGAAGCGAAAATATGTATATCAACAGGCAAGATAGATTCAGTATATATAGGATAGTTCTTTTTTCTGGCTGAGAACAATAATTGTGTACAGCGTCTTTAAGTCTACTAACGTGATTTTATTGAAGAACACATATTTGACGAGATGGTGCCTGGTCTCCCGGTGTTGCATCAGACCACATAACACGTACACACCTTCCGTTTGTTGGGTAAAGTACATGTCCTGGACAAAAACGTTTGGTTATATAAAGGCTAAGATCAACACCATTAGTGACTTTTTTAAGGGAGTGTTTTATCAGTGACTTTGAACATTATTTTCAAGAAAATATGGCTCGTCATTACTTTGTGGTTCCAGCAAAGAATGGGTGACCCCTTTCTTTCTTGTGGATGTCGTGAGAAGTGACTAAGAGAATTTTATGATCGGGGAATGGGCAGCTTCATCCCTCTTAAAACATCACCAATACCTAATTATATTCCCATTTCTCACTTCAGCGCTGCCAAACATGGCAACTGCTGGCAAAACGAATGATGTGATGATGATAGCTCGACAAACAAGTAAAATCTTGACTCTGCCAACTAGATCGCAAAGTACAAAAATGTTTTTTTTTTTACAAATTTTTTTGAGAAATTATGTTCAGTTTTATTAATACAACAATCTCTTAAAGTGCTATTAATGATTTTGACTTTACTTTGTTTATAAATAATAGAGATATAAAATTCTATATATTTGTTACATTATTTATTTTTAGTTAGTTGCTAAAACTAAAATAAACCTTTGTAATATACTAGCAATATATACCAGCTTTTATGAAAACGATTCATAGATATTATGAGGACAGTTTAGACTGAATTCAAGAGGTTTTCCGATTGTAAAAGCTTTTTCTATAAAAAATCCTTTGTTCGGTTTGTAATACTACATGTATTTTTATTATTATTATTTACCGGTGAAACCAGATCGAAGAGCAAGCATTCTCTAACGACGCAATGTTCCAGAATATCACAAAGCGCAGCTTCGTTCAAGAATGTCCACAGTAGGTCCAGTAAAGTGCAAAGACGTGGTTGCGGCTGTGTCAATAACTTGGCAGAGAGATTTTTCTAGAAGTGAAATAATATCAATTGATAATTACTTAAGTTCTTGACAAGTGATCGTTTATCTTGATATGGCCATGTGATGGAGAAGAGATGACAGAGACGAGGAGAATGTTTTAAAGAAAGTAATAAATAGTTAATTGGTGGTTACAACTATGGATGTAAATAATTATATCTTTATAAAGGAATATTTTAAAATCAATGGATGTATGACAACGGATATAGCTAGAACGAGAACGAAGTCTGGAATGACTGCAAATAGAGAAGAATATAAGAGAAAAACATATATTATATATACGGGGATAAGGGCAGGAAGATAATTATGGTCTCTGTACATTGCTGGGTTCTAGAAACTAGTCAAATATTTTACTAATTGGCGTGATTGTTATTGCAAGTCATACTAGTGATTGGTAACTTTCTGTACATCTCATTTAGTATTCAGTACCTTTAATGCATTATAGCAAAATATCATAATTATACATGTTCATTAATTGAGATATCTTGTGATTAAAAGTGTGTATTATATATATATATATATTGGCTCATTAGCAAATATACAAAATGTCGTTATCCAATATATAATATCGAAATGAAACTGAATGAAGATATCTGACTGGGATCGGCGATATCGAAATGGGTAATGATCTTTTTTCCACTATCAATGTCCGGAATCCAATATATAGATATTGGAGCGGTACCTACTGATACTACTCATGCTAACTTGTGATTAATTTTGGGGTTCGTTAAAATGTCCTAAAATTGTTTTTGTTAAAACATTATTAATCATATTTATTATCTACTAGTTATGCCCCGCGGTTTCGATCACGTGAATAAGTACCTATATAAAGTATCGTATGTGCCAAGTTAAGATACATATAACCTATCCGTGTATCAAATTCTATTGAAATCCGTTCAGTAGCTTTTGCGTGAAAGAGTAACAAACATTCATCCATCCATCCATAGCAACAAACATTCACATTTATAATATTAATATCATTACACAAAAACTTTTTTTTTAAATAATGACAAGCTGTCACTCTACTAACAAAGTTCTCGCCTCTGCTCTTCAAGTAAAATTCCGTGGCGTATTGATCAACGTGTGTGCCTCTGCTCTTCAAGCCTAGGGCTCCTCTTAATCGAGGAAGAAGTTCTGAGACTACCACGTAAGACAGACGAAGGGATCCACCTAGCTCGACAATTACAATGCGAGCGAGGGACATAAGAAATGCCTAAAACAAAATTATTCGTAGTATCGTATTGAAATTAATAAAACTACAGGTGACCATATCAGCCGTTAACTATCCACTGCTGAACATAGGCCTTCCCCCATAAAGGGGGGATTTACCAGTAGTCATCACGCTTCGCAGGTGATTTGGAAATCGTAGTTAAGTTTTGAGTTTAGGGTTTGGGTTTTAAGAGAGTCTTCTCTGCCCATCCTTTGATCATTAAGTTTCCTTAGTCGTCTCTTGTAACTCCCACAGGAAAGGAAGGGGTAACCCATTTTATAAATAAGACCATAGTCCTCAGATATAGCAACGTATGAAAGTAATGGCGCATTTCTGACGCGCATGCATTTGCTCATATCTATAAGCGACGGATACTATTGTCTATTAGAAAGATGGTTAGCTTGTTTGCTATTTTAAGTATCATAAAAAATGCTTTAAAACAAATTACATAAGGATTATTAGTAATGAAGACCTGAGACCTTGAGATCTAACCTCAATGCTAGTATCCCTTATCAGGTCGAAAACTTGTGGTAAATTCCTAATATCTTCACGATGGTCCAACTGACCTGACTTCATTTCCAATTGGGTCAATCAATCTATAAAATTTGGTATTCACTATTTCATGATCATCATTACATCAGCCTTTAACTGTTCACTGCTGAACATAAGCTTCCACCTTGGGGCGTTTTGCCAGTAGTTGCCACGCTTAGCAGGCGGATTGTCAACCGTAGTCAGGCTTTGGAGATATTTTAAGAGGGACGCTGCTGCCCATCCCTCGTCTTTCCTTAGTCGTCTCTTACGACATCCACCGGAAAGAAAGGGGTGACCTGTTCTATGCCGGGACTACACGGCAAATTCACTATTTCGTATGGAGTTAATTAAGGACATAGGTTATTTACTTGGGTCTTTTGACAAATCGTGGTCATGCGGATAGCGTTATGACTGAAAGTTAGTTTATATTTAGTATTATTAGAAAAATTCTTATACTCACTCACAAATTGTTGTAAGCATTTGACCGGTTTCTATTAATTTTATTTGTGTTATAAAATTTTTTATGTAATCTCACGTACTTTTTTGGATATTTTCTTCATTTCTTCACTTTGAGTATCTACGATGGAATGTGGAGAAGGCCTGGGACTGTATGTCGACTCAGAGCTGTGGATGCGAAGCGTCACCTCTTCTTCTCTTGATGATTCTGATTTTGCCTAAACACAATAGTAAGAAATAATACACGTCCAATTATAATAACTCTAAATGTAAGACAGCTATAATCCTCAGAAATGGTAAGAAGTTAGGGGGGAATTAAGGATATTCTTAGTGACATTTATTACTGGCCTAATAAAAATACCCTTGGATATATTATATCTAGTCTAAGCAGAGATGAAAGCACAATTTCTATGAATATAACATGTCAGCACTTCTTCCTGGAAACAAACGGATAATCCTTGATGAATTCGTATTTGTTTATTAGCCACATCTCTTACTTATCACGGCCCTCTTTAAACATAATAAAATACTAATCGCGGTTGCTAACTCGTCTGCCAAGCGTGCTGTACTTTGCAACACCTCCCCCCCCCCCCCCCAATCCCCATAGGAGGAGGCCTATGTTCAGCAGTGGAGAGTTACCGGCTGATATGATGATTAAAATGTTGATAGTCATTCTTTTTTTTCTAAGAATGACGTATTTATAAGTTGCCGACATCCCGTGCTACTTATGTAGTGAAACAAATGGCTAGGATTCTTACGGAAATAGAAAAAAATACCTTACTACTTTTAGCAGTCACTGGAGTTTTAAGTTCAGTTAGGTGGGTCAGCTCATCTAGCAGTGCGTCTAGATATTTGAAAAGTAGAGATGCGCGCGCGCATTCCTTGTTAGGTGGCGCTTGTAGCGGGGCGTAACCGTCCACTGGAAAGCTTGTAGTTAATGCTATATTTAGTATTGTATCAAATTCTATGCCAAACTATCTGGTCAATGTGATAGTAAGCTAGTATGCATCCCTTTCATTCAAAAGTGAAATTCTTAGGCCCAAATTCACTAAATCGAAGATATTAGATATACTACTTCTCAAAGAGAAACAACGGCTTTAATTATTATAAATCTAGTATAGAATCTGTATAGAATAAATTCTATTAATTGGATAAAGAATTATTGAAATAGATTCACAATTTAGCGATAGATATCACGAAACAAACACACAAATATACAGGTTTTCCTGTTTTTAGAAGTGACATTAATAATTAAATGACAAGTAAAAAACCCATTGATTGCTTGATTTTGCGACAGTTACTGTGCCTCTAACGTTTGACTCAAATTGCCAATTTTATATTGAGCTTGGTTTTTTAACATTTCTATGACAACTGATTATGAAAGATTGTAAATTTTTGTTTTATATTCTATCTTTATTTTATTACAGTGTTAATGTAATAGGCTATTTAATAAGGAAAAACACAAAAACATACAAACACGAGTTTTCTATAGCATAAATTTATCAAGGGAGTTATGGACTCAGAAATGTTTGTCGAATAAATCCGGCTATGACGATGAAAATGTAAATTATGAGCAGGTAATTCGCTTACACAAAGGGAACATGTCCAAAGTTTGCATAAAGATGTTCTTGCATAGCCAGTGACACCGAGGGGAAGTAAGCGAGGCCAGCGCCGTATGCCACGTTATCGAATGCCACGCCTAATGATATACCATTTCTGAAATTGAATAAGAGACCTTAGTGGCTTATGACTTTGTGGATAGATACGTTATCGCCATAATGTAAGATAGAAGGAGGCAACGATGTCCGGCGTCTCGTTTTCCCTAAAATGTATTTACGAGTATTTAAAAACAAATCCTTTATTATTTGATAAGAGGGCCTGGTAAGAGAAGATTTTTCAAACGCGTTGCAGAGTCAGTAGTTACAAGTGGTTCAGAACCGTTCTATATGGCAGTCTATGAATGAGGCCTATGTTCAACAATGGATATATAACAGCTAATGTGATGATTATAAAAATCATATGGAGCCAATGTGGGATTAAACCCTATTTTTTTTACAACCTGTTTTTTATACAACGCAGAATGGCAAACAAGAATTACTAAAATCCATTGGGAATATGAAATGATAAAATTAATAATTGGCGAAACTTTCTAAGACAAAGCAGTTGCACTTTTACTTGTATAGCTGTTTTGGTTTGAATGATGGAATATAAAAGTGAAGTTGAGGGGTATGCAGGCGAACATCTTAGTCCTCAGGAATGACTTGAAAGGTACAATGGGCGTCATAGTGTAATATTTATGGTGCTGTACATGTCTATGAGCTGTTTGTTTCTGGAAAATCTGTAAAAAAGGTATAATACCTATAAAACTCCATGGTGCCTTTGTCCAAGTCGATACAGGAGCCGATGACATCACCAGGAAACCATGCCTGTCCATAAGGAGAAGTCGCCACATTCCACTTCCTGACTCTTCCACCATCATACGCGTATGAATGCGCTGTATCTCCTACACCGGTGTCCATGGAGAACACACAGGAAGCTGTACACCATCCGACCTGATGTAAAAAAATAGACATTACAAAAAAGATTATCGATGACGATGATATAAGAAAAAGAGGCTAATTGAGATATTTCTCCTTTTGAAGTGAATAATATCGCTTACCTGCATAATTCCTTTTGTGCCAAGCTGTACCTCGTACATCCATTTTCCGGCAAAAACGCAAGCCGTTGCCCTGATAGTTGCGAAACTTGAGAGACCTTGCACACTTACTCGCTCGTCGCCTACTAACACCAATCGTCCTGTACCTGAAGAAGTTTATCAAGGAAGTCTCCCATACTAACATGGTAGATTGAAGGAAAAAGATAATAATGAGATCTAACAGCTTCATTGCTAATGATACAGCTTCTCTGTCAGGTCTATCACCACGCGGTTCCCCTGGAGATCAATCCCCTGGTGGTTAATTCGCATGGAATTGGTCACGATAAGCTAAATGACCTGCTTTTGGTATTATTACTCCTCACTAATACTCTGCCAGCATATAACGATAGCATAGGCAAAATTACCATACCATAAATTCACCCATAAAAAAAGACACGGTGGGGTTAGAAGAGTGTGGGCACCCTTAAATTGGGCAATAATAAACTATAAAATTTAACAGGGTATATAAAACAGAAATATATTGACTTTAACCTCATTGCTACTACTTCGTAGCTGATAGCTTACCAGAGGGAGACTTTGTACAAAAGTCGTTTGCTTGGGTACCTTTGTCCCATTCGTGTTTCAACCGTAAAGCAGTTGTTTTTGCATGGCTGTCTTTCGGTTTGAAGGGTGGGATAGGGCGTGAATTTACAGGATACACCTGAGGAATAACACCAATTATTCCTGATTCCTCAGGAATGGCAACACATGGGGGGTGTCATACGAGGAATGGAACGGAATACGCGCGGGCGTATACTCTGTTATGTCCATGGTACTGCTAATGTCTATAGGTGACGGTTACCACTTTCCATCAGGTGGGCCGTCAGCTTGTTTGCCATTCTAAGTTGTATAAAAAAAAAGCCAGCCAAATTAGTACGGGAGTCTCAAAATATGTTGTTATATTTTGAACCATGTTTTTTGGGCAAAAATGTTTAATTTCATTTGTAGAATACATGGAGTGTTCTAAGAGAAAGAGTATTGATGCTAAATGATTTCAATTAAATTTGATGCTATTACCAGTAGAAGCGTCAAAGACTACAATTTTCGGTCCAACGCGCCCTGGTCTGTTATCGAATTCAGGTGTCTAAAACAAGATAGTTAGAATTAGAAAAACGGGTCAACTTTTTGTCAGCTAATTATCAAATTAGCTGGCTCGTTTTTTTTATCAGTGTTCTTTATACTTACGCATACAATGTAATCTTGACGTATTATTTAATAAATAAAATGAGTATTTCAGCATTAAAAAGATGCAAAAATTATAAGACAAAATTAATATAGAAGTAATAAAGGAATCACACATATCTACATATTTGTCATGCAAAATTGTATGAAGAATTTGACTCGCTATTTTCGAAGCTTTTGTATGTTGATACTCTATCTATGTAATTTCTGTTTAAAAGATATGCTAAAATTCTAAACGATGCTCTGCAGCTCACGTGTTTACTCTACTTCTACTAAAAATTAAAAAGGAACTACAGTTTTACAACTAATATATAAAAGTGAGTAGACTTTGTGGTTTTATGTAACCAAGTCGATGTATATATATATATATATATATATATATATATATATATATATATATATATATATATATATATACGCGACAGACACGTGTTTTGCGCCTTTTAAATGTGGAAAATTGTAAATATGTCTGAAGTCGATATTTTTATAAATCAATAAAATCTAGATAAATTGGTCGTATATTTATATTTATTTTTGGTTAATAATATTATTACGTACTTCAGTAACAATAGGAGCATGTTTCTTTCCCGCTTTGGATTTATGACTTGCTATTTTGTTGTCTATAATTTTGGGCAGATTGTCCCTTATGTGACTGATATATTTATTTCTCCTGTAAATTATGACATTTGAATATTATCCATGTTCATGAACGAATGTATGATGATGATATAATATATTATGATGAGATTTGCCAGTAGTTGTCATTCTTGACTGGCGTATTGGCAATCGCAGTTAGGCTTTGCTGATGTTTTAAGAGGGATGCTACTGACTATCCCTCGACCATTAAGTTGCTTTCATAGCCTCTTACGAGACCCATGAACGGAATCATACTGCCAAAGCAGCGCTACTTTTTCGCCCGTTACTTCGTACGCCAGGATTTTAGAATTAGGAAAATCAATGTTATTCACCAATAGGTGGCGTATCAAGATAAAACATACCAAATTTTAAGTTAAGCCTTCAGGAATTGCAGTAATGGGGACTACCAGTCCTATTGTTAGCAATATACCCTATCAGGTCGACTTCCACGTGGTCTCCCTCTAAAAACCGTCGTGCTGAGTTTTTGGTGTGTTCATCACTGATGCTTCGCTAGCGTATACCATTAGCGCAGGCAGGGTCACAATTCCATTGTCATCCATTAAAAAAAATGCTATCATATGCTTCTTGTCTCAGACAATCAAAATTCCTCCCTCACATGAATGTAGACGCGAGTAATAGTTAGTAAACTCAACATTATCTTTCTACCCTTATCTCAATTATTTGGAGTCCATGTAATATGATTTTACTTTTGGCTTTTGGTTTTACAACTGGCCGCCTGCCTGACGTCGACCCTCCTTGGAAAGGGATGGTTAGCAATGGAGTTTGACAGTCCCATTGCTAGCAATATGCCCTATTAGGTCGACCACCACGTGGTTCCCCTTGGAAACCATCGTGAACAATTCTTGTTGAATTCGTCACGATAGACTAACTGACCTGCTTCATCCTCACCTATCATCCTTCACTGGTGCCCCGCCGGTGTATTCCGATAGCGCGGGTAGGGTTACCATACCATTATTACCCATAAAAAAACCCTACTTAGATAACACTATATAACAAGTAAATTATAAATATTCAAAAAAGATATTAATAGTACTGCGTATATCTGTCCGTGTTATCCTTCATAACCATGTCGTTGCCGAAAACTTTGCGAATTGTATCGTGCACCTCTCCCTTCTCAGCTGAACTGCTGCACACCCCGAACATAGATCGGAGTACGTTCTTCATTACCGGTATTTTCGGGGTTTGTCTGTAAAAAAAAACGACTTCACGAAATATTTATAATTTACCAGAGGGAGACTTTGTACAAAAATCGTTTGCGTGAGCACCTCCGTGCCATTCGTGTTTTACCGTGATGCAGTTGTTTGCATGGCTGTGTATCAGTTTGAAGGGTGGGATATGGCAGTGAATTTACAGGGTACAGAGGAATAACACCTGAGTCCTCAGGAATGGCAACGCATGGGGAGTATCTTAGGCGAAACAGTATTCTCGGTTATGTCTATGGTACTGTTCATGTCTATAGGCGACGGTTACCACTTTCTATCCGGTGAGACGTCAGCTTTTTTGCTATTCTAAATTGCATAAAAAAAAGTTCTTCTGGAGTAAGTAGAAAGACCCAAGGGCTTAAAGGTCTCACCCATCTATTATTAAGTATATTCCTATAAAAATATAACTTTATAATAATGTTAATATATAGACAATAATAATTATAAATATTTTCTAAGACATGTACACAGAATTATTCTTTACCGAACTTGATGTTCTATCGACGTAATACACCGTTTTAGCTGTCGATGGTAATAACAACAGTAAGGTATTTAATACTAAAACTACGATGTCATAAACTATTATATTAAATAACTTACTGCTGTGTAATTCGAGTAAATACAAACAACTATTTCAATACAAATAAGGCTCAAAATTTATTGCGTGTTTACCTGTTATCCTTTCAATACAGTAGAGATATTAATAATAATGGCAAACTATCAAAGTAATATAATCATATTATTCGAAAAAATAATTAAGTATTAAGTGATACAAAATGTATCGATGACAAAACTGCTTAATTCAACATTGCATAATGGAGTGACATATTTATTTTTAAATTGAATAAAAAAGTGTGATTTGGCGGGAAACTCAATGACAAGAAGTCGGATTGGAAAGAGTATTGGTATTGAATGTAACCATAGATAAAATAATGCTTAATATTCTACGATGTAACCTTGGGTTTGGAGATCCTTTTCTATCTATAAAATCAAAAAGGAAGTCTTGTTTAAAATATCAGTAATATTTAATTTTTTTAGATGGAATGTTTCTATAGTATACAAACGCTTAATACCACTACCCTCCATCTTAAGGTGTAAGTTCTAAAATCTAAATGCTATTTAATTTATCTAGAGATAATGTATTCTTTTGCTTTTTTTTTTTTTTTTTTTTAGTACGTTTGTTCCGTTTTGACAATAGTAGACCATCCATTTTTTTATGTATTCTTTTGTTTATTTTTACCTATTTTGAAATTTTTTTTTTTTTTTTATTGTAATGGCGTATTGTGATTTGTTCTCCTAATCTTATTTTTAGACAATATCCTAGTTAGCAATTTTAAACAAAATGACAAAAATATTGGAATATAGCTTGAGTTTGTTTAGCTAGTCCTCCCATCATTTCCAAGTAAAATGTTATTGATCGGTTAAAGTTCTTAAAGTGAATAATGAGCTTTGCCTGAAACAATAAGGGCTCACTTTCCGAGTTCCTATTTATTATTAATAAAAAAGTATCTTCCGAAGATTTGATTGTAGACTTGGAGACTGACTGACCGAATATCAAGTTGATAGAAGGTATTTTTTCAACCTATTAATAATTTAGGATTCTCAAATTCAGGGTTGCGCATTGAAATTTTTTCAAATATACCTATTTACTTTTGAATGGGTGGAAATGGAATGGGAAAGGGATATTTTAGTGTTGTTGGTTAATGGTGGCGAAGTACCAGTAAGGATGGTAGGTCATGATTTATTTATTTATTTTTAAAAGGTACATCAACAGTGTAAATACAGACATTAATTTTAATTGATATACAGGGCTTGCATCTTGCATTTACACCAATTACAGATGTACACAACATTTTCTTAAATCATCGATTACATATTAACAAAACTGACAACAACAAAACAATAAAAAAAAAACCTACAAGTAACAAACATAAGACAATCTTCCTCCTTACAGATACACAAAACAAGTAATCACTGCAATTTCACAATTTCATCAAAATTGGCAATTTATCAAAATACATAATAGTTATTGTAATGTAAAAAAAAATTTATTCATAAGTGAAGCGTTGTTTTTGAAATGGCGTCATAAGTTTGACTGTCATGGCGCCTATTCAAGATAGGCATGATCCGCCATGATGGAATACTGTTACTTAATATTAGCTGGGAATGGTATCATAGTTCATACAAAAATGTCATTCCAATAACAATGTTCCAACTGTAGCAGACCTGACTAGATATTGACTGAAGTTTCTCTCGCATTAAATTACTCTCATTTTCATACAAATTTCTCGCAATTATTTCTTATTTAATGCTTACTTAGTAAAATGAATCGATATTTACAATTTCAGGTTTATAATATCAGCAATTTAAAAGAATCAGGAAATATATGGTGATGATGAATATCACTAATTAGATGATCCATTCAAGTGTTTGTCTTTTCATTAAATACAGATTAATTACTTTGATCTAAAAACTTGTTATAATACATCAACATTAGATACACCAAAGATTGTTACCACCACCACCACTATTTTTGCGAGAGTGGTGCCCTCTAGTATCAAAAGGTTTTAAGCAAAAAAAAAAAAACATTTACGAGTAAATCCCAAGATAATTACTTGCTTAAATTTATAAATGTATTCCATTCACGACCCTATAGCAAGGATTGTTAAGAAAAAGAACTGTAATTATCAGTAAATTGCTTGCTGATCATATATTTCAACTGCTTGTAGAATTGTCAGCTCCGCCCGCCGTGCCGGCTACTTCATTATTTCGCTATCCAAGTTTATTTATTGACAGCGCTAGATTCAGTGCGACATGTTGAATGTAATACGCCCACAATACAGTTGGAGTGAGTTCCAAATAATTTTATTATGTTTTTCTAACCACTGAATAAAATAAATTCGAAGGAATTGTTACGAGAACTAGTTGTATATCAACCAGATCGCATTCCACGCAGTCAGTTTTCATTATATCATCATGTCAGTCGTTAATTCTCCATTGCTGATAATAGGTTCTATTCATATTGGAGTTTTTGTCTATAGTTACCACGCTTGGCGGGCAACTATAGACAAAAACTACTGGCAAAACCCCTCTTAGTAGGCACGACAGGTCCTCCTTCCTTTCCCCTGATATTAGAATAGTAACCCGCTCACGTTAAGTATTGGTACCTATATACTGGTAAGATAACCGTGAATGATTATAGGTGAGGATGAAAGCAGACCAGTTGCTGTATCATTGGCGAATTGTTCAATACGACGAACGAATGTCGGTTTCTAAGGGGGAATGTAATGGTCTCGCCATAGAATGGAATACCAATAAGAGGCAATTAAGGGAACTTAATGGTTAAGGAATAGGCAGCAGCGTCTTTCTTAAAACAAGCGATTTCCAAAGAAACGAACAGCGTTTGCCAACCCACTTGCCACCTGGCGACCATTAGCAAAACCTGCTAAGTCTATAGGAAAGGCTTATGTTTAGCAGTGGAGAGATAATGGCTGGTATAATGATGGTGATTAGTAGAATAAAAATGCAGTTAATTTACCAATAAGAACGCCGTCAGAATATCTTTTACATTTTCTCCCATACAACGGACAGTATTATATTCCTTGTGGCATGGGTCAATGGATAACATCAAGTTTTTCTATGTAGATTAGATGTTATTGGAAAACATATATTAATATGTAGAAAATCATCTATTGCATAATATAGTCCCTTTTTTATTTTATATACTTATGAACGTTCTAATACATGCTCTGATGTCATATAAAAAAGGGCAAATTTAAAATATTCTGGAGCAAGGAGTTTTTACGAAGATATGAATGATGAATTGTATTTTTAATTATAAAAGAAGTTATCTCCATACATAATTTATTCTAAAATTCAAAATTTATGGCTTGTGGCCCTTCTAAAGAATTCTGAAAAAGATATGAGAATTTTGCCTTATAACACATGGGTATTCAAACTTTTAACTGAAGATAAGGCTGTATGCTTTAGTTCCGTTGCCTTTTCCATCGTGGATACATTGATACCACAACTACTCAAATTTACTACTGTATTTTTGTTATATGTCAAGTATTTTATGTTGTGTCACATGTGAAAAGTCGAATACAATAATTATGAAATGTGAGAAAACAATACTATTCTAATTAATATTTTTTTACTTCATTATACATTATTCGATAATTAAAAAACATTGTATCTCTGGTGTGCACTTCGTAGGTTTGTATCTCAAAAGTATTATTATTATTCAAAAATAAAAAAAAAATTTCAAGATCACATTTTTCTAATACTCCTAGTACCTATATATTAAAAAACTATAACATTTAAATTTTGGGTTTTCTTGTTATTTTACTGTATTCGAATATTTCACTGTAATCTACAATTAAAAAATAGAAATTGATTGTAACCAATATATACAGTGAGTGTAGAAAGTATTCGTACACCTAGGGTTATAATAAACAAAATACGAATTTGATAGACATTCCTCTATTTATCTAATTTAAATCAATACTGTTAAATAGTTTAACATTTCCGCACTTTGTTTATGATAATTTATGTTTTTTAATAAAAAAATTATACAACATAAAAATATTTTTACGTTAACTAAGCAAGTAATGACAAACAAAAAGTATTCGTACACTTATAAAATTTGTAAGTAAATTAATATTAAAAAAATATTAATACTTTGTTGGACCACCGTTAGCATTGATGATAGCTTGGAATCTCTGCGGCATCGAATCAACTAGTTTGAAAATATAAGAAGACGGTATCAATGCCCATTCTTCGCGATGCGCAATTTTTAGTGTTTCTTTTCTCGAAATTGGTCGATTTCGAATTTTATTATCGAGATAATCCCATACATGCTCTATAACATTAATATCAGGTGATTGAGGAGGAATCTCTAGGTATTTTAGAGCATTAAACAGGATCCATGCTTTAGTATGCCATGCTTTATGTTTAGGGTCATTATCTTGTAAAAATATC